CGACAGTGTCTTGTTTAGAGCCTGTGTCGACAGATGACAGTTTGGCTAGGCCGACAAGCAGCGCCTCACGATGAGTGGCAGCTTCTCTGGCGTGAGTTTCGGCCAACTCTTCAGCGTCATGTAGGCGTTTCGAGACAGTTTCCAGTTCCGTGGTTCTATCTTCGTGTTCGGCTCGCAGTTGAGACAGTTTTTTCTCGGCAACTTCTCTTTGCACACGCTCTTCCTCAATCTGGCGCTCGTAAAGGCTCACCTTGCTCGTGGATGCTGTGACGGCGGCCTCTAGGGCAGCCATCGAAGAAGTGTGATTTGTTAGTCGCGACGATGTGTCCTCATGCGTCTTGACCAAAGTCTCATGATCGACCCGCAGAGTCCGCAACTCTTCTTCTACCTCAGCCCTGCGGCCTGCCTCTGCTCGAGCTAGGCTTTGGGCTTCGTAAAGTTCTGCGCGAAGTCCCTCGAGTTCTGCCGGGTTTCGATTCTTGCTCAGCTCATCATAGCGGAGTTGGAGAGCATCCACAGATTCTTCCGCCACTTCTCGAGCTTTCCGTTCGGACGCAAGGTCGTTGTTCAAAGAATCAAGCTTGGCCTTCAGCTCAGACTGTGCAGCGAGTGCCAAAGCAAGGCGGCGTGTAAGGTCAGTAAAACGTTCTTGCTCATCAGGCTCTCGCGACGCATCAGGTTGTGGTGTGCTACGCTGGCTACCACCATGAGCCGCGAGCTTTGCCCTTGCATACGCAGCTTCCGTGACGGCGGCATCACGCTGATGTTCCACCTCGGCGATCCGTCTAGCCATAGATGCAGCTTGTGTCTCCATGGCTTCTTGCATCTTGATGATTTCCGTTCTCATGGCCATGAAGGCTTCCATTAGTGGCCGATCGTCGTCGGTGACCTTACTCACGGCTCGCTCGTCAAACGTGGGACTAGAGGAAGCGCCAGTGTGGTAACCTTGCTTCCGAGCCAGAGCCAACTCTGAAGCATACCAGGCGTTCGTCTTCTTTGCAGTTTCCAACTCTTTCAATAGCGCCTCTTGGTGAGGATTCATCTTGGGAGATTTGGGTTCGTCGCCTGGCATACTTCGTAAACTTCGATTATCACCTTGTACTTCCCCATGATGTCTGCCGGATGAAGAACGTCCCAGGTGCCCGTCTTCGGTACTATCGATGGAACCTTGAGCCCTTTGCGACCGGAGCGATCGTTGTCTAGCAACACCGCTACTCATGAGAGGAGCCGCTTCACCTGCTTCCATAGCCTTCGCCTTTGATTCGGTCCGCTGAGTTGGAGTCCTGCGGCCGAAAGTGCTCGGACTTCCTTCGCGGCTGGGTCTAATGTTCTCTTTTTGAACGTCTCTCACTGCTTGGGGCTGCATCACACCCTCTTGAGGCACACTTCGACCGCCATCCGGGCCGGGTGCAGTGCCTCTTGTGTCGAGCGGAGAACCATTATACCTGGCTTTTGGTCCGTTAGGGGTGTTAGGGGCATTGGGAGGAGAATGCACACCATTCGTTCGCGGCGTTGGCGCCTGCCCCTGAGGTGGAGGTCCAGCGGGCGCCTGTGCCATAGATGCCCGCGGCAGTCGTGACTGTGAGCTACTTTGTCCAGCCGGGTCTGGTCGTTGAACCGGACCGCCTGAGAATTGCTCGCGAGTTGCATTTTGACTCCTTGCTCCTTCCCGTGATGTCGAACGGATGGGCATAGCAGATCGTGCTTCGGTACTTGGTCTTCGAGTTGGGCTGTTCGGTTGCCTCGGATCTATAGGTTGGCTACTCGCCGGCGCATCGTTTGGATAACGAATCTTTGCAGTATCCAGTACATAAACCATACTCAGCTCCGCAGGATCCCGAGGCGCGGAACTAGGCTCTCCAGCAAGGACGATGATTTTGTCGCGGTATGCTGTCATACTGTGGCCGGATCTGGGCGACGGCGACGGGCCCATGTTTTGGAAAGTATACCATCGTTTTGACGAGATGCGGAAGGCTGCTAGATCACCAAGATCTGTGCCTTCTTCGGTCCTACCACCAAAGATATACATCACGTCATTGACCAACGCAGCGGAGTGGCCTTCGCGGGGAGCAGGAATATATCCTATGCAGTCTTGCTGCGTCCAGACATTGGTGACGGGACTGTACGTCCAGACATCGTTGAACCACTGAGTGCCATTGGTGCCTCCAAACCTACGGACGGATTGATTAGACGAGATTCGACTGGTGATCACGGTCCACTTACAGGAATAATTGATCGTTGTAGCTAATAATCGTGTGATTTGTTCTTGCAGCAGGCACTTTCGCATTCGGCCCGACAACGTCGTCGCCCGTGTTTTGTATTAGAAACTCCCACTGATTTGCCGGGTTCTGTAGGGCGTTCAGGTCGAAAGCTATTAGATCATTGAAGAAATAACCCTCAACCTGACCTCCAAAGATGTATATCTTGGAGCCCAGAATATTGAGGGTATGACCATATCGGCCAGAAGGTCGTGGACCCGGAGGTGCGGCCCGAGACCATTGTCGAGAAGCTAGAGGATGGTGAGCAATGTTCACCGGCACAGAAACACAGGACCAATCCACTCACAAGTATTAAGCAGGTACAGAGTGTCGTCAAGCACGTCGTTATCATCCATCTTAGTATCACCGCCAAACACGATGAAAGCGTTGCCAACCAGCAGACTTGCGTGTCCGACGCGGGGCCCAGGTCCCTCCGACACTGTCGCGATGGGATAACAGGACAGACTTCCACCGCCGGACTCGACCATCCACAAGTCGCCCCGAACCATGGAACCGTTGATGAGGCCCCCCATAATATAGATATCACCATCTTTTGAGGCAATTGCGTTCACAGCCGCGCCATAGCGAGGGAAAGGATTAGATTGCGCAGTAGTGAAATTCAATCGTCGCTGCGACCAGGGATAGAGGGCGGCATTGGGAACTTGAGTCGGCTGTGTAGCCGTCGAGGGCCGTGGCTACGCACAACAATAGTCAGCGCTTCCGTTCAGTATCGATGTCAATCGAAGAATTTTGACGTACCCCAGATTCTGACTCTGATCTCTCGCGCCGTGGATAAGCAGGTCCAGCGGCCAAAGTCGAGTTCATGGAACTCAGGGAACCGTTTGGATTCGAACTTGCATTAGGATTAGGAGGAGGCGATTGAGTCGATCTCTCGCCGGTGCTGTCTATGGAACCGTTGGCACCTGACGAAGTCGGGGTGCCGTCAGAGGTATGGATATTTCGACTCGCTGGGGGTAAGCCCGAGGCGGGCGGCGCGTTCTTCCTGCTTTTGAAGAGAAACGCCATTGCTCGTGACTTCGCAACGTTGGGACTCGGGGGCGTCAGGCCAGATGAGACACGGGTGTGTTAGATGCGCAGGACTTGCGCGGACCGAACCATCCACCTCGCTCAAGCACAATCCATCGTCCCGGCATACAACGAGGAGGGCGACCAGAAAGGACAGGAATCGTATTCCAGGACCACAGGTCGCGATGAGTCCGATGGATTATGCAAGGTGGTCGATGCTGTCTCCCAGTTCGATTCTGGCTGCCAAGGGAAGACTTATGCAGGCACCGGGAGCCCCCCAATTAATTCCAACGCGATCAAAGGTGCGGACGCGCTCGTGCAGAAGAGTCGGTGCGGGCTAACAATTGCCAATCGGAGGCAACGGCTGGCACAACGCGAACAGTGATAAGTAGATACAGAAGCGACAGAAACCAAATTGAGACTGATGCGGTGATGATGGCGACGATGAAGAATAGTATGGACTCAGGAGAATTATTTTCTTGTTGAGCAAGAGTAAGTGTCGCCCACCGCACAGCCTGGCACCACCGACGAGGGACTAGGTACTCCTCCTGGGTGGGCATTCGGCACCCTTGGAAGGCACGGGAGGGTGAGGGCGCCCCCGGAATGCTCCAACTTCCCAAGGCCGGGCACCAAGCCATGTTTCAGGTGGCTGGTTCGAGTCTAGCCCCCTTGAAGCTCACCGCTAAGAATCTCCTCTCCCATGCATCTCTGGCGCCCATGAGGCCCTAAACAAGCAGCAAAAAAAAGTTCCCCCCCCTTATTATGCGTTTGACCTTGCACAAGTCCCCATTCTTTGGCTGCAGCCTCAACGTTCATGCTCTGGCTGGGAAAGACAAACGCCACACCCCATCCTCTACGGTTCGCCGCCACCACCGAGGATGATCATATCCCAGTCCTGACTCACCAGCCGCAAGCTGCGGCTCTCTCTGCCTTCTCTCTGCCTTGGTTGGCGAAACTTCTTTTCTGGTAAGGTTCCCGGGGCTGAAGATCGCAGCACGTGATTGCCGATCGACCTTAGCCGAAATGATTGGAGGACTCGTTTCCATGTTGACGACATCCATGGTCTTGGACACACCCTCCAAACGATATATGTCTGACCATAGACAAATCACGAAGACGGAACGACGGTTTGCGAACACCACTAGCCAACATCTGTAGACGGAGTGCATCCTTTACGAAACTTACTCGACTCACCGGACATCCTGTTGGTCACGCAGACCGTTATCAATCCGGGCTGATATCATTGACATCCGGTGCTGCCACGGCTCTCCCAGGTCGAACTGATGCCGGATACCGTGTCGCCGAAGTTACAACTCTCTTGATGTTATAGGCAGGCTTTTGACCAGTGCGGAAACAGAGCAAAACAGCTAGGCACAAGGCCTCCCCAAAAGCCCTTGAGAGACCAGGCAGCTTAAATCGCGGTTTCCGCTATCGGGTAGAAGGATACATCCATCAGTTTGGTCAAGAGTGGAGTGAGTGGTTGGGTCTTTTCAAAGATCAAGATTCAAAACTCTAAAGATCCCCTCGAGTTCGGGGTCCCACAAGAAAAGGTGAGCAGGGGAGGTATTACGGATTGCAGCCTCGTCGGCCCGACCCCCCCAGCCTCGCGACATCCCGAGGACAGCCTCTCACAAGTCTGCATTGGAAAACCGGAACACGGAGACCAGGCTGATCCTTTAGACAGACAGAAACCAGTGTAAGATTACACCAGCCAGGATGGCATCAGACCGCCTAACCCGACCACAATCACCCGAGGTCGACCTCAAAACCTTCATCGCGCAAATGCCCAAAGCGGAGCTTCACGTCCATCTCGAAGGCTGCCTGACACCTGATCTTGCCCGCGCTCTCGCAACACGGAACAACCTGCCCACTCCGTCGTCCATTGCCCACTTGGAACCGTCTCACCCGGAGGCAGGCTATGCGTTCAACGACCTCACCTCGTTCCTGCAGATCTACTATCCAAACATGGCCGTCCTGGTCACGGCCGAGGACTTTTCTGACCTGGCCCTGAGCTACCTACGCACCGCATACGCCCAGAACGTGAAGCACGTCGAGCTGTTCTTCGACCCGCAAGCACACACGTCGCGGGGAGTGCCCTTCCCGACCGTGGTGCGCGGTTACCGCCACGGCATCGTCACGGCGCAGCGAACGCTAGGCATCTCAGCGAGTCTGATCATGTGTTTCCTCCGCGACCACAGTGCCGAATACGCCATGTCGACCCTGATGGAGTCGCTCCCGTTCAAGGACAGCATCATCGGCGTCGGCCTGGACAGCGACGAGCGCGAAAACCCTCCCAGCAAGTTCGCGTCCGTCTTCCAGCGCGCCTCCCGCGAGGGCTATCTGCTCACCATGCACTGCGACATTGACCAGCCCAACACCCTGACGCACATCGGTCAGGCCGTTAACGAGATCCAAGTGGACAGAATCGACCATGGCACCAACATCATTGACTCCCCGGAACTGGTCGACACCATCAAGACTCGCGGCATCGGACTGACTTGCTGTCCAATCTCAAACTCCGTGGTCACGGCCGACTTCAAGGGCCGGGAAATCCTTGGCCTCCTGCGGCAGGGCGTCAAAGTCACCATCAACAGCGACGACCCAGCCTATTTCCGCGGTTACGTGAATGAGAATATGCTGAAAATGGCCGAGGGGACCGATATAACAAAGAAGGAGTTGATCCAGCTGCAGAAAAATGCATTCATGATCAGTTGGATCTCGAGTTGGCGGAGGAACCATTTTTTACAAATGTTGGACGAGTATGAGAAAAAGATGCTAGGCAACATAGAAGGAGAAGCTCTAGTAAACGGGATTTGACGTTTGATGACCTACTCTGCAATGGCCCGAAAGCAGCATACGACGTTGTGGAAGGGTATCTTTACACTGATAAACATAGAACTCAACACCTGCATTTCCGCCGGACCTTGCTCTGGTCTCTTTCACAACCACTAATCCGAGCTTTTCGCCGTAAACTCGACCTCGCCAAAGAACGTAGCCCGCAGCTGCACAATTGCTGCAATCTCGAGAACAAACTCCTGAAGGATGATAGCGTTGGTCAGTACATGGCTGAGACTGACGTGATTCCTCGGGCTCAATGACCAGTCATCTGTGCCGCTCGGAGTTGCAGCTCCAGATTCACCACTGGCGTCCAACAAAGCGCGACGTTGATCACCAGGAGGACTTGAAGTTTGTTTGCGGCCTGCGTGTACAGGGAGTGATTCCGAAGCCTCTTCGGGCGCCCGAAAATTAAACAGAGTAACTTGTGTTTTTAAAAGGGGGATCGATGGCGGTGGCACCAAAGAAGCTGGCTGCTGTGTTGACCCCTCGCTTTCCCCGAGTTGAGCCGGTGTTGATTGCCTCAGGGGAGAATGGCCGAGAGTGCGCTCAGTTAAGCTGCTCCGATGTGTTTCAGGCCTCGACAAAGCACCGTCGATGGACCCAAAATCCCTTGTCGTTACCTTTCGCCCTCTTGGAGTTGCTGGTGGTGACTGAGATTTCCCAACAGAAGGTGAGGTGCTTCTGAGGCCCGAATCAGCGTCTTTCGTCTGCCATGATGAGTTCCCTGGGTTTTGAGGATTGGTAAGCGTGTCATCCTCTGACAGTTCCATTCTCCTTCGAAGGACAAGCTCGTCCCATTCGGGAAACTGTGAGCGCCATTGACGAACTTGCTCTATAAGTTCACCAATGATGAAAGTAATGTTACTCGAGGAACAGTCTTGACTGTCGGTCTCGTTCCCTGGCCGCAGAAGCCACCCTTGCAGATTCATATGCTCACAAGCAGCCAGGCCCATGACAGCCTCGGTCAGATAAAGATTTGTGACAGTGTCATTTGCAAAAAAACTTCGCAGCAATGTGAGGAGAGCTTCAAAGAGCTTGCACTCTTGGGCAATGGACATGTCTCGTTCGTCTATTTGGTCCATATCCGCTCGGTTCATGCGGAGGCAACTGTGCTGCTCCAGTAGAATCTGCTCGTCCAGCAATGCTGCTTGATATGACTCATCCATCTCGGGGTTTTTGGCTATCGCAGCAGCATAGTCAAACAATTTGAGCAAGGAGCTGTTCAGATGCTCTACTCCACGTTGAGCTGGAGACGCAGTTGCTGGCTCAAGTTTGAAAAGATTCGTGAGGACATGACAATGGTGATTCGCAATGATGACTGATAATAGCTTCAGACAAGCATTAACGGTTTCTGAATGACGAGATCTGAGGCTCATTACCATCAAGTCGAGAAGATTGAAAAGATTCGGGGAAGGGCTGTCGGCGACCTCTGCAAGGGCTTTCAAATGATCGATGGACTTTCGTCGGCTAACAGACATCCTCTGTCTTCGATGGCTTCTCTCCGCGGGGCCGCGGGGCATGCTTGGTGACGCCAAAAGGTAGCGCAGGATGCGATCCACGAGCTGTTCGTGGTCGAGAGCAATTAGAATCCGGGACAGATGGGTTATGACCGCGGCGGTAGAGCCACCTTCAACATCGGATGACTCCAAGAGCGAAGGATAAAGGAGTTGTTGGACAAAGAGTATCTGAAAATGGTCCAGCAAAGTATCACTGACTTCTGCCGACTTGCAGTGGTTCAATGTATCCTGCCAGAACGCCAGATAAGTGAAGAAGGCTTTGATATCTTGCTGAAAGACTTGTGGTACTGTTGTGAGCGAAGCAAGCGTTTCTGAACGATCCGAAAGAGAGACAATAGCAGGCGCGGAGGCTTGGCCACTAAGTGAAGTTGATTGTCTGCTGAGCCTGCTGTATAGGGCACCCAACCCACTAGCCATCTGAGGTGCCAGGTCACTCTCGATCATCCATGTTTCCAATGGCTTGGATCTGGAGGCGGTTTCCGTCAAGTATAACAACGCCGTGCGAGCAAAGTCACCCACGGGGCCATCGTGGTGAACGTATTGCACTAGCACATGGAACAGAGGAAATTGACTTCTCCTAGAATCGTCTGCAGCGTTGCGCCCGCGTGTTGTTTCTCGACCTGGATAGAACCAAGCAGGAAGGATGTCTGGGTCGAGGCGGATCTTGGTAGCAATCTCGAATAGCAATTCCACCAGGTCTGTTTCTAGACGTTCCTCGACAATGATCTTCCCTCCTATTGTAGCAAAGCATACCAAATCTAACAGAGACCTTGTGAACAATTTGCTGTCAAGCAGTCCTTCGGCCTCGCCATTAATGAGGATTTGGAAGAGTTGAGCAGAGGACTTGATGATATCCGGGTTGGCAGAGGACACGGCGAGCTTGGTGATTATAATGTAGGTCTGGCTCGAGGCAACATAGCGCAGGCAGGAGTGCGGCGCGGCTCTGCGCGACTCATCGTGGAGAATGCCTTCGAGGCGTTGGAGGAGTTTGACAGTGTAGGTCAGGGCGGCTTCATCTTCGCGCTCGAGGCTTCCGCTGCGCCAGGTGTGCTTCACCGCGTCAATGAGACAAAGTTTGCAGGAAGGGGAGCGCACTCACAGTCAAGGCATTGCAGATGCTCTTGCAAGATGCAAGGCGCTCTGCTGGTGTATTTGTCCTTTGTTTGGTCTGGTATGAACCAGTACCGGCAATCAGGCGAGTGAGCTAGCCAGCCATCTTGACGTTAGACTCTTCAGTCCTTGCACAGCATGCATCTTGGGTAAGCAACTCACGATATCCATGCCCTTTGCCTCATTTTGGAACGTTCATTGGGGTAAGAGGTATGGTCGGACGATTATGTCGAAAGGAGAATCCAGATGAAGATGATTTGAATCAGTAGTTGTCGGAGGAGCCGTTAAGACCATGTATGGTGCTAGCCCGATGTCTGGTCACAACTTCCGCTGTTGAGGCCAGGCGCAGCTTCCCTGGCAAACCTCTGAACAACTAGATAAAGGATCTTCTTCTGCTGCTGTTCTTGCTTTTTCTCTCTCTGCTACAGATTTTGCTGAATTAGACAGTACCATTTGCCAGTATTGAGTGAGTCTGGTGTGAACCCTTTTCCGACTCCGATCTACTCATATATCAGAAGCCGGGATCACTTCTATCCTCACTATGGAGGGTCCCTCAAATCTAAATGCACCAGGTGTAACCTTCAAGTCCTCTAAAACACTCGAAGGTCGAGCACAGGAGCGGGCAGCCTCCAAAGACGAAGGCCTGGAGGATGTATACAACCCGGGTCCCTTACCTTCCGTCGGTGTCATCAACCCAACCAAAACGCATACCGGGCTCTACTCTGAGCACGGCCATTCTCTCTCTCACATTCGACCCATTACCAAACACCCTGGTTCATCAGTCACCACATTCTATAATGGTGTCTTCACCACGATCATTGGCATATCGACCCTGGGCGCGAGTATCACCTTCTCCTATGTCTTGTCCAACAACACCTCCACACCTCGAGCAAGACAGCCAGTCTTCAACGTGGACCAGATACAAGGATTCCTGGCCATTAGTTGGCTCTTGTTCCTTCTTGCGTTGGCAATTGCTTCACTTGGCTCCACTATCTTGACCTTCTTCAAGGACCACTGGATTGCAGACTGGGATGGGCTGAATGGGAAGACATCGCAACGGAGCGTTCAGAGATACGCCATAATTGCAGCGGCGCTGATGGGCGGTCTCATCATCGGGGCTTTTGCGCTGCTATGCCTGGTGGTGGTTGCGTATACCGCTGTTGTCGGGTGGATTGCCTTGGGATTTACCAGCCTTATTGGAGTTATCATCCTTGTGGCGCTGGTGACTCAAGCGCCGTGGCCGTGGCGGAATAACGCCCCGTCTCCGAGCCGAAGACATCGCAGTGCAGGTGGTTATGACGGAGGTGATGGAGAGGAAGGACCATGATGGACCATCAAGGATGATGCGTTGTGTGATCGATGCGGGGAACTATTATTCGACGGGTTCATCCATATGTGGTCGTTATGTTTGGGCGGTCGAATTCCCCATCTGACCGCAGCAGTCTTTCCCTCCATGGCTATCGCTCCAGCCAGTATAATGCTCAGCTTGTCAAGATCGTCTTCATGATCATACAAAACTCTTCATAGCTCATCGAGTGAATGATTTCATATCAGTCACTTTCATCGTCAGTTTCCGCTTTCCTCTTCTTCCCCCCTTTCCCTTTGCCTTTGGGCCTGATATCTTCTTCACTATCTTCACTCTTGGCCTCCGACTTGGCCCTGCCTTTCTTGGAGCCTTCGTCAGGGATAGCCTCACAAATGTCGTTTAAAAAGTCGAACTGCCCATCCTTCATCAGTGCGGCCTTGAGATGCTGTGCTGTGACTCGTTTTGAGTTGTTTGCTCTTGCCTCTGCCGCACCCTTGGAGACTAAAGTGATCATGAAAAGCTCCAACGCTTTGGCTAGGTAAGAGTTAGAGTAATGAAGGGGGCAGTGGAGGTAATATTCCAGGACTCACAAACTGCCGTGGGAGTTGCTTGGGCAACCTTGCCTACATCTTCGTCTGCTTGCATGATGCGCTTGATTCGTGCAACGGGAAATTTCGTTCTCACATCGATTCCAAAAGAAGGGTCTGCCGTGGCGATGGGCATGACGGGTTGTACAGGTTGGGGTTGCTCTACCTTAGGTTGGATGACATTTCTTGTTGCTGCGTTGAGACCGTAGTCTTGTTCCAGTGCCTCAGCGGCTTTCTGTTGCCGCGTGCGAGGAGGCATGTCTGCGTAAGGATAGACGGGCAGAGACGGCTGCGGTGGCTGGCTCTGGCCTGTGCCCAAATGGGGACCAAACGCAGACTGAGAGTAGTGAGTCACTGGCGGACTACTATATGGTTGAGCGAAATGTTGTTGAAACGAACCCTCTGAAAGATATTGGGTAGGAGGCTGGCCTGGAAAGCTCGGAGTGCGGAAAGTCTGAGGGGGGAAACTGACTTGGGCGCTTTGTGATTGAGGGCGAGAGCCAAAATACGACGCCGAAGGAGCGGTGGATGTCGCTGTCGAAGGGGAGAAAAACGGCGAGGCGTCGTAGCTACCTCGAGGAGTGAACGAATGACCCGAAGGGAAATTGGAGTCTGGTGCGTGGTAGCTTGGAATTCGGGTTAGTCTGGGCAGTGGGGCGTTTGCGAAGGTGAAGCCTGATAAATCTGGACTGGAAGGACGGTATGATGACTCGGAGTTCGGGTTGTCGTGTTCTTCATTCATTGCTCGGCGAATGAAGGGTGCAGCTGGATGGTGGTGCAGGAATCCCGGGGGGTAAGATTTGGTGCAGTACTAGTATTGGTGACGGTGAAGTGGAGCGTGTGCGATGGGCAACTAGTCATTTTGAATAGACAACAGCGCCCTTTGTTGGTTCAGACTGGGCCGACCATGATTGTTGTCGGTGACGGAAAGTGATCGGGAGGAAATATGTGAAGGGAAGAACCAGTTCAAGCCGTCAAGCCAGAGGAGGGAGGTTGATAGGAGCGTGAAGTGGTACAATGGTACCTGGTAAGGGCGTTAGACACCCGGGTGCGGTACGAGAAACACACAAATGGTAACAGAAGTTACTAAGTCACCACCTAGCAGCCTAGGTAGGTACTAGTAGACTGACGACAGGGAGTCAGTTTGAGGCGGCGAGGTGGGCAACCAGAGTCACGTGTTCTGGGAAATGCGGAATAACGTAAATCCGGAGAGGCTGGGATTTCTGTGTTCTTGACTCCTGAGCAAGACCGAGTCATGTAGTTCAGAGACGTGCAGCTGAGGGGTCAGAGGGGCCTTATAAAAGCTGAGGTCAGGGCTTTTGTGGGCGTCTCAGCCATCCGATGATCAGATCAACAGGCCCAGAAACACGCTAAAGGCCACGGTCCAATCAATCGAGCCAACTCCAACTGTGACGCCCTGCCTTATTTTTTTTGCGAATCCACAATCCCACCTCTGCGCTTTGCAAACTTTACGGTCTCCTTCCTCCATTTCTCCCATTGAAAGACCCTGCTGGCCCCTGCGTCCCCTAGAACAATTTCTGCATGTCCCATGTCATCCTCCTACAGATGTTAGCCGGACCCCGACGATGGCGATGGCGATACGAAAGCCAAGGCCATGAGAATGACCAATCCACTTTTTTTCCCAGTCACTTTTGAGATTATGACACGGGGATCAATTTTCAGACGCGTGTCCGCGACACGTGCCTTCGCTTTTGCGACAGTAACACCAATAGGAAGAAGAATGACCTTGAAAAAATATCCGCTTGGTGCCTGCAACTTCGTGAATCATTGATTGTCAAATGATGATAGAGCGATCTGGAGATAGCAGTTGAAGACAAGATTGCATAACAACAACCCAGCTCACATGGCTGTGGTCGTCGTTTTGCTAGTCCAACTGTCATCAATGAAAGACCTTTCCAAACTTGATCTAATCTGATGGCGTGATTGGATTCTATGAAGATGTGAGGCAGGCCATTAGCGCACCATTCTAATGCAAACCCGATGCAAGGCTGGAGGACAGGATGAAATCAGTCATGATGTCAAGTCCCTGCAGCCGTTCATCTCGTGTGCTTCCGAGGAACAAGTTTACCACAGGCCAGGCGTGAATGCCTGCCTCTCGCTCCTGGACCTTGACTGTGGCGCCATTTTTCTTGATGCGATCAGCCATCGCTTGAATGCCAGGAGCAAAGACCTCTTCTGCGCCGTATACGATGCGAAACCCGTTTAGTGGCGAGGCTTGTTTCCAGCGCCCCGTACAGAGACCCGGAGAGATGACACTGTCCGTCATCGTCGCCTCCCCTGCATATTGTGTTGCGTACAGATGTAAGCTGTTGCGATCCAGGTAGTCACTAGGTGTATTCTGGTTCAGGTCCGACACTAGATGGGTCCAAGGCGAGATAAGTACAGCTAAACCTGGTCGATACCGTGACTGGAGCTGAGGATCTTGTTCGAGATGACCTGGCTGGAGAAGCATGCTCAGGATAAGAGTTGCACCTGCTGAATCACCGCTCACACAGATCTTTGCTGCCGACCCATGCCCGAACCTATCCCGAAGAAAATCATATCCTGCACGAGTTTCATTAAACTGAACCGGCCACTGCGCGTCCGGGACGAGAGTATATTCCAATGCAAAAACCGCTGGATTCTTGAACCCACTTTTTTTCAATCGAGTTGTCCAAGCCATGAGAAATTCGAGATAGAAATATGCCGAACCCATGGAGAACCCCCCACCTAAGCACAAGCATCAGCTAACACCCTCTCTCCAGGCAAAGGACGTTCGTTAACTAACCATGAGCATAGTATATTATGATGTCAGGGTCGCAGTCCGGATCGTCAACTATCCAGAGACCTCTGGCACCATGTCTAATGACTTCCCGATAAAACACGGGACAGTGCAGAAACCCGTGTCGCAACAGGCGGAATCGGAAGAATGGATATGCGACCCATTTGGAAAAGAAGACTCTCCCCACCCTGGCAGGGATCTTTGCGAACGCATATCGAACGCAGCGAATGACCACGTCCTGGAAGAGCGTGGCATGCTGTGTGAAGGGCGATCGGAGGTGTCTTTTCATATAATACCGTTCATGTACCAGCTGGTAGGGAAGTTTAAGAACTGTCCCGAGTGGTTAGTATACTGTGGCGACCCGCACAAGATCCATGCGGTTTCCCTACTCAAAAATGGTATTACTCTGAGTATCACACCAAGCAGCTCTTTGATGTCTACTTGGTAGAGTAGTTGTGGGATTAAAAAAATGACAAAAGCGACGCAATCAATCCCGTTGATTGGTCCCAGGATCATCTTGGGCTATTTGTATATTGCTCAGATATGGATTGACCGTCAAGTATGCATTCCATGTGTTCAAAGGCGATCAAATCATACAAAATAGAGAGAGCTGCAGACCAAGTTATACTAGTATGGGTAGAGTCCATCCAAAGGTACAAATCATCGAAAGTGTAAGCGTCATGTCTACTAATGCTAACGTTGAAGCCAAGTATCGGACTGGCGGAATTGAGATCTGCCATTTAGCCATTTTCTTACAGGTACATTTTCTGAGGGGCGATTCAGCCCTGGTGAGCATAGCATAGAGATCGGATGCTACACTAAGCTATATCGGTCCTAGCGTAAGGTGGAGAGGCAGAGAGGCCGCCTTTGAGAGCCTTTCGCCCAGGCTGGTTCAGGCTTTGGTGGCTCTCAGCCTGGCACCCCCGGCTGCGCAAAACTACCAACTGAAAACTTCCTTTCCCATCGCGACCATCCCGTCCTTGACATGTCCAACCTTTTTATTCTGATATGATTGTGAATTTTTGTCATTTATAGTCTAGTGATTGTGTCACACAAGGCCGGCGACGCCCCTGCCTGTTGTCATCTAATGGCGTTTGATCTTTCCATTCCTTCGTCCAAATCGCAGACCTGGTTCACTCCCCCACAATCAGGAACAGCCAGACTGTCCCTTGACTTCTGTTCAGCATGGCCGCTGTTGCGTTAGATACATCATTGACCAATGTCCTCAAGTATGTTTGGAGATCGCATGCCTTTGGCCTTTCCTGCGCTAACCTTCTCAGTTCCTTGGATTTGGACAAAGTGCCAGAGAAATTGAAATGCACGCGCTGCCACAACTTCAACCTCAATCCATACAAAACCTCTTGCTGCGATGTCGGGATCTGCGAACCATGTTAGTGACTGTGTGAACTGTTCCTCTTGGCGAGTGACTTACACTAGACAGGCTTCAGCACTACTCGCGGCTCCAGTTGTCCCAAATGCGAACATCGACCCTTTACCGACGACATTTGCAAGCCGAGTAAAGCCATGCAGAAGACCATCAAGGTTTATCTCAAGGCACAAGAGAAGACGAGGGTGGATGAGCGGGCCAAATCTGTCGGACAAGATGAGGTTGTCCACCCACCAGATGCCGGCAAACCCGTCGTGAACGGCGGCAGCCAAACAGATGGAGTTACAGCAGAGGTGTCGGAGGAGCGGCGACAAGAGGACGTGGCAGAAAGTGAAGACACCCTTGCTGGAAATGTCCAACCGTCAATTGAGGTAATTGCCTGCTCTACCATCTGTTTGATGACAACTTTTTTCCTAATCTTCACATCAGGAACCTGACCCTGAACCCGCCGATAACGACGACGATATCGACATCCAGGTGGAAGCAGAGGACGAGAACCTGCAGCCACTTCCGACCCGAGTGAAGAGTACTGAAGACACTCCTCAGCCTACCAATTCCTTCGAGAACAAACCGAACTCACAAGACGTGAGCCAAAGTAATACAGAGAGTTTCAATGGCATGGACTTTTCAAACATGATGAATGGGTTCGGCAATATGGATTACAATCAGATGATGCAAATGATGTCGGCAAACGGGATGGGCTTCAATCCAATGATGGGTGAGCTTGCTACTGCTCCACAATTAACAACATTTTCTGACTTTGCTCTACAGGAATGCCTATGGGAATGAATCCAATGTCAGCAGGCATGTTTGGCGGATTTGGCGGTCCAAACGGAGGCATGAACATGAATGGGATGAATGGCATGAACATGGCTATGAACTACAATGCCAACCAAGGAATGTATGGCTGGGAAGGCCAGAACAACAATATGTGGCAGAATAATAATGCAAATGCATTCTCGAATGGCATGGGCAATGACTTCGGTTCCAACTATGGTTTCAATATGGGCCCGTCTGGCAACTTTCAACAGCCCTATACCTCTGGTGATTTTCAAAATGGCTACTATGGCCGCGGCTATGGCAGAGGTCGTGGTCGTGGCCGTGGCGGCTTTGTGAGAGGCCGCGGTAACTTCAATCAATTCTCGCAATACCACCAACAGGGATACCAGAACTTGTCAGGCCAGAAGCAATTCGATAGCCGCAATGTGCAGTCTCATACGATGCAGACCGCATCCGCCGAAGTCGCCGCGGCCGAAGAAGAACACATGGACAACAACCACGATCCGGTTGATGACGGTCACGAAGACGATGACTTCGCCCCTGGCGGTCAGGAAGAAATCCAAGAGGCCCTTGGGGAAGACTACCAGAAAGCCATCACCGTCGAAAAGACTGTCACTACAACCGCTAGTTCTGAAGCTTCTGCGGCTAGTGGAGGTGATGAGGTGGCGACAGCGGTAGAATCTCAACCTATGGATGAGTCCTTGGAAGCTGATAAGGTGAACGGGATTAATGGACAGGACGACGCGGAGAAGGCCCAACCACCGGTTTCTGACACTATGCAAACGACACCTGCAGAAAAGCCGATACCTGAAGCATACAATGAAGATCTACAAGGCCCGATGCCACCACCGTCGGCACCGCTTGGTCCCTCGGCTCAATACGGTGATCATGGCTTTCGCTCTCGAGGACATGGTAGATTCTCCTCTCGCGGGCGTGGCTCGATCCCGATGCCAAACGGGCATATTGCTCCAACAGTAAAGACATTCCCGCAAATTTCTTCACCCATGGAACCAAAAGGCGTGGGCGTCATCGGGGCACCAACCGGTCCTAGAGCGATGCGTGAAGCTGCTGTGCCCGGGAGACCGCCTTCGCGACCTGCGGCAGCCGGGTTTCAAATCATGGGAAGAGCATCTATGTCGGCGTCACAGCGTTCAGAGTCTCGAGATGTCGAGAGAAGTCGTAGTAAGACCCCTGATAAAGACAGGGACGGGTCTCGACGACAATCCGTACAGGACAAACACTCCAACTTGAGATATGAAGGGGACGAGCAAGACGAGTCGGACTACCGCGACTCTGACAAGCCTTCCAGGAAATCGTCAAGGCGCGGCACCTATGATGATTATGATCGGAACGAGCGGGAAACATCCTACGCGGAATCGGATTCGGGGGATTACAAGTCCTCTTCGAGACGCAGTCGGGGCGATAAGGAGAGAGCTTCCAAGCAGCATTCATCCCGGTCCTCACGGCGACGTCATGACGGGGACGTTGGTGAGGACCACGAAATGGACGACTACGAGGAATCGATAAGGTCAACTCGAGATGGGTATGAGGCTGAAAGCAAGAGCAGACACCGGAGTAGCAAGTCCTCTCGTCACGACGGCAGAGATCGAGATCGGGACCGCGATTGGGATCGAAATCGAGACCGCGATAGGGATCGCGAGCGAGACCATGACCGCGACCGCGACCGCGATAGAGATCGAGAGAAGACACGGACCAAAGACCGGGATCGAGAGCATCGAGACGACAAACATAGGGATCGGGACCGGGATCGGAAGCGCTCTCGACACGACCGCCACCGCGAAGATGTAGACAAACATCAGGAATACGACTACGACTACGACCAACAGCAGGACGAGGTTATTACTGAAGAGCCTGAGTCGCGACATCGGTCACGGCGTCACAAGAAAGATCATCGTCGTGATGTTGAGGACTCTAACGGCTTGGACACCTCGATGGTCAATGGACGGTCACAATCTCATCGCTCCAGTGGCACAGTAACCCCAGCACCTGCACAGTCAATGTCGGCGTCAGGGTCAACCCACCCCGAAGAGAAAGACCCTCACACCCTCGAGCGCGAAGCACGGAATCGTGAACGTATGCTCAAAGAACAACAGCGACGCGAGAAAGCCGCCAAACAGGCTTCATCCTCTGGCGGTGGTGGGACAAGTGGAAGGAGAGTCACGTACAAATACGAGGACGATCTGGAGAGGGGACTTGTCGAGGGCGAAAGAGAGAGCCATGGGAGACGGTGGAGGTAGTACCGCCACTCTCAAGGGCGTCGACCATGCCCGGGTTAGGCTTGAAGCATGGCGTCCTGGTCTACTGGAGCGATGGACAGAACGACTGTTGCTGACGAACCTTTCTATTTGTTTATTGGTACTTGGCTCTCTTTGCACGGAGTTGCTCTCAAAAAGCAAGGGCTGGACCCGGACTATGTGGTTCTCTGGGGGATGAAACCCGAAAAATCGGAACAACAGGCAGGCGGGCAGGCGTTGACAAGTGGCCGGCAATTCGCTCTTCGGCAGGGCTGGAATATGGGAAATGACCTTTTCACGAGGCGTGAGAAGGTGGGAAGGGTGGCGAGCAGCGATTGTGCCATCCGGTTTAGTGTCTACGGATTCATGCCTCGGAGCAACACAGGCGAAGCACCAGGGACGACACAACATCAGCATGTAGTGGTCAATTTGTACTTGTATGAAGACATCTCATCTGCTCCATTCCAGCTGGATGTCGGCCTCATCGGGACCCGCCCAGCCGCCCTGCCATCGTCTGCGGTCGTAAAGGCGCTATCGTTGCGTATTGCAGCCACTGTCGAACTGAACAGGAAGCAGGTCGACCAGGTTTGACGGAATAGTTCATGGGGGCCGAGAAACTACAGCCGCCATGACTAACAAGGGGCGGGCCGTATTCGCCATGCTTGACCAGTACTCGGTACAAATGTATTCTTTCCTGCTTGCTTGCCGGTCCCTTGCCCGCCCACAAACCGACTGACTGGCTGGCTGACTGATTGACTGGGCCCTTTCTCGGAGGACGCTATGAGTAACAAGCAGCGCTGATCGAGGCAGTCTGATAGCTGGTTCTGACTCTGGCTCTGGCTCAGATGCCCTGCCCTGAATAGGGGATGGAATGGCGTTAATAATAGGTACGGAGTGCCACCCAACGTCGTTGACATGTCGCACGGAGGACGAACACATTGCTGCCAACGACTGTCTTCGACTTCCGGTTTGACGTTGACCCGGAACAAGAAAGGGTCGCACGCAGTCCTCCTGGCGCCAGACGACGGCATTAACATGGTCTGTAGGGTTTGAATAATTCTCTGCCTCTTGGGGACTTCTGCTTCTGAAGTGCTGTTATCCAGGCACGGGTCGTCTGTTGCGTGATGGCATTGCGATTATCACCTCATGGGAGACGATGTGTTTGCAGTCTCAATATGATTGAACTGGGGTTGGAATGCAGCTGTCTTCGAATGACCACTGGCTCATGTGGAGGAAATGAAGTCGAAACGTACCATACACCAATAGTTATCGCGGATGGATGTCTATCAATGTTGTTAGTCAAAGTGATTACAAGCCAGGGAGGATGTCAACCCTAACCGTCTCTAATGCTTGTGAAAGCACAATGAGTCTGCATTTCTATCAACCTATTTGCCAGGATAGAAAGGACGTCGAGGCATAAGATCGAAAGTGGTCAGAAGGGGCTGTCCCCAATTATCTCAAAGTTTCCCTCGAGAAGGGTAGAGGCCATCTGAGCGAACAGTTCGTTCTGGATAGGAAGGTAATATTGATACCTTATGATCCAATGGATGCTGCTGGTGAAAGAGTCACCAACCACCACGACTCGATCATTTGTCCCTGTCACCGCTTCCGAGACCTCGTCCACATGGCGATAAATTCAACTTTCTCCTTGACTCCCAGTCCCACTCTCTTGACACGCCCTAGCCTCGCCAACGCCTCGGCAATTTTGTCCAAAAATGCTCTTTCCTCCTTGGTCATGGAAAGTTCTTGGTCTTCGAGGCCACTACCAACGAGTGTATCTGCATCGCTGCTGGCTCCACCGTCTGACGAAACCAACGAGTCGAAATAGTTTGCTGTGTATGAAGGTGACACCTTTGCTGGGATGCTAAAATCTGAATCCGAGGACTTTTTACTATTATATACAGCCTCGGCAATGCGAATTCGGAGACAATGGGACGGTTTGCTGCAAAGGTTCCAGAGGAAGGTCAGGTAAGCGTGCGGGATGGGTGTTGTGACATCCGCAGGACTATATCGGAGGGAGACAGGAAACACTTTTGCCCGTGGCGGGGTTGCCAAAAGACTGGGACTCATGGGCAAGATGCCTCTACCGTTGGTCGTGGTGCACTCCGGAAATACCACCACGACACGACCTGGGTTTTGTCTCAGCACTTTCTCAATGTCCATGAGGTTTGCGCCAGGTGGTGGCGTCAGCTTCGGGTGACAGAACGTCCGGAGGATGGCTGTAAACAGAGATATAGGTTCCACCAGCCTCGTGTAAGGGTATGTGGCGGCGAAGACGGGGTCGAAAATGGCCGCCAGATACAATGGATCGATCGGCGAAGCGCTTGATGAAGCAATCACCGAGCCTTCTTGGGGAATTCTTGTTTTGTTTTGCGCAAGAGACCTGGACCATATCAGCACGTGCCTCAGCGACAACTGCACAGCCATACCCTTTCTTCACCCCGTCGATTTGCAGATCGATCCACCATATTCCCGGAATACCCAATATGCACCAGAGAGAAGCTTTTCTACCGAGGATACCAATGGGCATCCATTGTAAAACGAGAAAGTATGAGAGCGCGAAGACCAGAAGTAGAGGCACACGACAGATGAAGAGGAATATGTGGAAGGGTAACGCGAATCCAGCAGGCTCGGTCGGGATAGGAAGGAATGGAGCGATGCCGGAACCTATGGCACAAGGCAGATCAGCACATTGATCCATCGATTTTCTGTGTTCCCAAAGGATAATCACCTTTGTCCCGGAATTGGGAGAACTTTTCCATTTTCCGTTGCCTTTGAATAGGTTGTACAGAGCCCTCGGAGTGATCGCAAAAGCGCCGCTGGAGTGTCAGAGGCTAAAAACGCGAGGACAGCGCAGGTATAACATGGCAATGAAGAGCTCGAGTGACAAATAACTGAGTGGTCATCTGGTCATGTTGTGCGTGGCTGAACCAACACCAGGCAACTCAGGTGAGGTACCGGTACCGGTACTTGTGCGGGCAAGGTTTGATAAACGAGAAGTGGACCAAGGTGCAAGGCTTCCTAGGCTGCGGCTGTGGATGGCATTATGTGGCCCGACAGAGGACAGAGGACAGAGGACAGAGGAGGCAATGCGATCATCAGGTGGGAATCGAAAGTGAGTGAAGAAAACAGCACATGCCATTATTGCAGCCCAAAATCATGACATGCGAGGTGGTCCAGTCGCTTGGCGTCCGGCCCCGCTCCACATGCAGGGCTCGGGGCTTTTTTTGTGCACATGTATGTACCATGTACTTGGGCTTGTTGTCCCTGTCTCTGCGTACTCTCACTTATTTTGGTGGGAATGTTATGGATGTTGAAGAATGGACAGAGAGCATGTGAGTGAGTTGGGGCATGTGAAGCTGACCCAACATAATATCCAGGTGATTCGCACCACCACAGCATGGCGCCTAACCTCCTGCTCGGGTCTTTCTACGCGCTACATATGCTTCGTTCATTATCCCCAACAGCCCATGGCATGTGGCAGAACGGACATCATATCCAGGGTTTCCCTTGACCCACTTCTAACTCAGGATGGGCGAGCCTTGTATAATGGAGAGGGCAAGCCTGATACCGACGACACGATTCTATCTGATTGCGCGGCGGCACTGTGACCGTCCTGGCCAGCACTTCTTTCTACTTTTCTAACGACAGACCTGCGCCTTTCCCACAGTCAGCCATATCACCGGAAGACCAAGTGCAGTTTTGACGTGTGGAAGGCGCCGTTCACGATCAAAGCAGTCACAATGCTTTACACCATTTGGAAACCTCCTGGAGAACAACCTGATCGTGTTTCCCGACAGTGCGCAATGCGGTCCATTTGTCGTGCCCTTCACTCAACCGAACCGTTTTGCGCCATTCACACCTTGTGTAAGTCATTTGCCCGAGGAACCACACAAATATCACCTCTCTGGAAAGCCCGAGACTGCGCGAGCGTTCCTGGGATCGAATAACATGCTCGAAGTTACTTGATTACACGCACCAACCAGCGACCTCTCGGTACCAAAACTCAGCCTTCGCCACCATGTCCCCTTTCAAAGACAGCCAAAACCTTGTCACAGGAGAACTTGGCAATCTCCAGTCAGTCCAACCAGACAGTGCTCACCAGCCGTCGCAAAGTGTCAAAGACGAACTGAAACACAGCGATCCTCCCCCACCTGAGATCCTTCGATCACTTTCCAACGAAGAGTTTACTGCATGGGGCGAGTACCTAGAGAAGGAGAAGCCGGAAGAATACATCTCGTGGAAGATGCGGATGATTGGGGAGAGCCAGCAAAGATCGCCATGTCGGTTTGAGAATCAACAGGCGAGTGGGCAACAAGGATCTGACGCGTCGCCTTCCTCTGATCCTAGCAGCTTCGTGCAGGATGGGATTACAAGCGAAGAGCAGAAGGGGGATGAGACACTGTTGACCGTGAAAAAGCACGATATCTCAAAGAGAAAGGAACACTAGTGTATCGACCCTATGCGGAGCAAAAGAAGACAATTCTCAGACAGCCACACACTCCATCTGCATCAAAAGAGCGGAAGGGTGTCCCTTTGTCGCACTTGGTCGGATACCATCAAGTTCAACCACCTGGAGTAATATCACCATCTTTGTCTGAGAGAGGCAGGACATGACACTAAGAAGGGTCGACCACCTATGTTGCGAAGCATGTCATGATTGACTCTAGCTAGTTGATCAATGCATCATGTTTTCCAGCTCACTTTCTGATGCGTAAAGCTCTCTCAAAGCGCGGCCACTGCACATCGTTGATAGGTCGACGGTGCCGCGGCGACGTTGTTGGCTTTCTCTCCACTGCCTCCATCACGGAGTTCAGCGACCTTCCTCTTCAGGCCCTGCAAATTATGTACCGCGTGTGCGCATCCACTCCACATCCCACCTCAATGAGCCTGATACCCTTGCAGATTTTTCCCCAGTAAGGTGCTCGTCCAGCGACTTCTGCGGCAGGACAATACTAAGACATATCTCGCCTACCTGGAATCCATCGTCTAGATTCGAGCAACCGCTACCACCGTCATCACCATGGCAGCCTCCTTCGATGTAGCGGCCATCAGAGCCCAGTTCCCGGCCCTCGCCCAGAAGCAGGTGTTCATGGACAATGCTGGTGGTGCCCAGGTGCTCCAGTCGGTCATCACATCGATTGCGGAATACCTGTCCCGAAATAACGTGCAGCTGGGCGCATCATACCCGGTGTCACAAGTATCCACGACAAAGTTCGAAGAGGGCCACGCTGCGGGCGCAAAGTATATCAATGCATCCCCCAAGGAGGTTGTGTTTGGTCCGTCGACGACGCAGCTGTTCCGCAACCTCTCGATCGCCCTGAAGGTCGAACCAGGCGCCGAGTTTGTCCTATCCAGCCTGGACCACGAAGCCAACCTGGCCCCCTGGGTGCAATTGGCTGAGTGGAAAGGGGTGACCGTCAAATGGTGGATTCCGACAAAGAATACAGATTCCAACCCCAAGCTGGAGCCTGAGGATTTGAAGAAGCTACTCACCGACAAGACACGGCTGGTCTGCTGCACACACACCTCGAATATCTTGGGCACTGTGACAGACGTTGCCGCACTGTCAAAGGTCATCCATGAGACCAACCCCAACACCTTGTTCTGTGTTGATGCTGTGGCGTATGCCCCGCATGCCCCAGTCGATGTCAAGGCATTCGGTGTTGACTTCTACTCCTTCTCCTGGTACAAAGTGTACGGACCGCACGTCTCAATGCTTTATGTCAGTGAGAAGGCGCAACAACAGATCAAGAGTCTAGGGCACTACTTCAAAGCTGGGAACACGTTGGAGGAAATGCTGGGTCTGGCTGCAGGCAATTACGAATGTACCCAATCTATTCCCCTCATCACTAAGTATATCGACACAGTGGGCTGGGGCGCAATCACAGCACAGGAAGAAAAAATCCAGGAGATATTGCTGTCATACCTGCGGTCGAAGCCGGACCAGATCAAGATCTACGGGGAGCCCTCCTCGGACAGGAACCTCCGGGTGCCAGTCATCAGTTTCAGGGTCAAGGGCCAGAGCTCATTGGGTATTATCGATGCCATTGAAGCAAGGTCGAACTTTGGCTGCCGCAATGGGCACTTTTATAGCAAGCGGCTGTGCGACAACGTACTCCGCATCCCCGACAGCGATGATGGCGTGGTCAGATGCTCGCTGCTGCACTACAACACTGTCGAGGAAGTCGAGGGTCTTGTCAAGGTCCTGGATGAAGTTATCAAGGATGGGGCAGCGAAGCAAGTCGAGGACCCTGAAAGGAAGAATGTTGCAAATTGGTAAACGACGGCCTTGCCTTGCAGAAATAGAGCTTGCAAAATCATTGGCCTTGCACATGCGATGGCAACGAGTCTGATCCATGCTAGATCCTGCCGAGCATATGCTTCTGTTCTCTCCTTCAAGGTGGATGTTCTGCCCCAAAAAACACGCACCTCTTCAGTCAGATCAGTGGATGCAAATTGCAATGCGTGAGACACCATTGATATCGTCGCTTTTGTTGCCGTTATCCCCTGCGCTGAGTTTTCTGGCAAACATCGGTCAATGCTGCCTCAATTTTTCAGAAGCGGTGTGCAGCTAGCTTCTCAATTGTTCGACCCAGAAAGTACCGCCTTGGTCTCATGAAAGAGGTGAGAACTTTGAAGTTGTCTAATACGAATGAAAATTCGAAGCAGCCATACGATACAATGGATGGTATTGGGTTTGTTCTTCCATTTTTCTGAGGGGGTTGGGAAGGGTCTTTATAGTGGAGCCTGGGCTGCGCCCGCACTCGCCCACCACACCTGTACTGCGAACCTCTGGTAGAGGTGCAAAGTTTGAAGCAGGACCTGAGCAAAGAAATATCTCAGAGGCCCGTGTAGCGTTGATCAATTGAACAAATTTCTATACATATAGAGAGCTCGACAGCCTTGAATGCCATCCAAATCATTCCATTGTTCTCATCACCATTGATTGTACCTTTGCAGTGTAGAAACTTCAGTTGCACTATTGGAAGGTTAACCGAGGCCAAGCCTCCCGTACCACGTGCCTGTGAACTAGTCCCAAAACAAACAATTGTTTACAATGGCTTCATCCTTGAATACCTCCAGTGCCTCCTCCTCTTCAAATGCAGGCCAATTGACCGAGACTCAACAACATCGCTCCCCCTGGGGGATTTGGTCATGGTACTCCATCTTGAGTAACAGAAACTGGTGGTTCATCGGTGTCCAACACGGCTTCCTCTTCAAGATGGCCGACACAGAGAATGTATGCGTAACTTGACCCTCCCCAAGCAAGAGTATATGGTGTTGACCAGAATCCGCAGTTCATCTCCCACCTCCCCCAGCCCACCCGATATGGGCTTCCTTCTCCTCAAAGACCTCTGGCAGAAAGCACAGCATCAGCAACAAACTCCCGCACTGCCATGCCTCCACCTATATTCACCAGCCACAAGCGCCAGGGCTCAAGCTGTTTGTATATGCTTGCCATAAGAGATGAAAGATGTTAACATTCACGACAGTGCCCGAGCCAAGCGCCAAAAGAAAGACACTTGCTGAGCGCGCAGGCGAACCTGTCGGAACAATCCTTGCCGCTCCAAAGAACATTGCTGCAACCGGCGCTGGATCGATGTACACCTTTCAGTCCCGAAATCCTCCTGCATTTGCTCAGTCCCATCGGAGCAACTCCAGAAGCACCTCAAATTCTTCCGCGGCGTCTTCTTTCTCCGTCAGCATGGGCACCGGCATTCGACCACCCGCAGTCCACCCAACCTCAAGCCTCGCTCGCCCCAAATCGTCCCTCGCAAGAGACCGAGGAACAAGAACGGCTAACTCGAGGCCTGCTACGTCTCTAGGAACCCGTGCAAGGAATCAGGATGGTCCCGCTAATAAATGTATGGTTTCCCTTTTGTCCCAACCCCAACCAAAGGCTCTTGCTCGTGCTCCCGCTCGTGCTCCCGTGAGGCTCGGACCCGTCAAGGTACCTAAAGCAAATAATCGAAACATTTCATCACGCAAGACATTTGCCGCATCAACAATGTCGTCCATCCGGAATATCTCGACGACATCAATTACCGAACGGATGTTGGGTCTTTCCCTGACCCCCAAGACGCCCGCCCCTGAGCCCCGTTGGCCACCCAGCACTTCAATGCTTCCTCGTCCTTCTCCTCAGCTGTCAACACCTCCTATAGAGGATCCTTTCACTCCCGCCCCTTTTCCTAAAGATCTTCTTACTACTCCTCGCAAAGCTCAAGCAAGACCATTTCTAACAAAAGATTCAAATCTAGTGGCCTGGGACCCCGAAGAACAATATGGCAACATCGAGAGAATGTACGAAGATGTTTGCAAGCATTACAAGCAAGCCATGGAAGACAACATGGAAGCAAAAGAAATCAACAACACTTACAAGTCCACGGTTGCGAATCTTGAGCAAGATCGGAAGGATGCCGTCGAAGCCATGATCGCTCTCAGGTGTGAACTTGAAACTACCAAATACCGCCTAGAATCCGCCGAAAACGGAGCGCAGGAGCTCAAACGAGACCAAGAAGCGGAAATCGAAACCATCAAGCATCAGCACAGAGCAGAGCTTGAAAACGTTCGCCAATCCCATCGAGACGATGTGGAGCGTTTGAAGGCGGACCATAGAGAGGAGATTCGCGAGCTGAAGAAAAGGCTGGAAGACGAACTCACACATGAACGCACTCAACGGATCCAGGCGTTGAGTCAGGTATCCGCGCAGGAAGCCATTGAAAAACAACGACATCAGATGGATCTGGAATCGAAAGAACACGAGATTCGCAGTTTCAAACTGGAAATTGATCGACTCAAGGCGGACCTTGAGAGAGAAAAACTCCTCAATGATGATCTCCGCCGGAATCTGTCGACTGCAGGTGACAACGCAACGAGCATGGAAAGCGCCCGCCAGGCGTTACAGGCTAAGATTGAGTACCTGGAATCAGACAGCAAATCTCAATCAGAAGCGTATGCTACGATGGAGAGAAGAATGAATGAGGCTTTGGAAAAAGCCACGGAATGCGAAGAGAAGCTCCGGAAGGAAGAAATGCTTCGACGCAAACTGCACAACCAAGTGCAAGAACTAAAAGGAAACATTCGAGTCTTCTGTCGTGTCCGACCCACCAATGGAAGTGAAGCAGCCGAAGAGACTGCAAAGATCACCATTCCCGAGTCAGACGAAGAAGTCAGAGACATCGAAATCAAAGGACCTGAGGAAACCAACAGCCTCGGAAAAGTGACGACAAAGACACATCAATTCACATTCGATCGAGTCTTTGATCCGTGCAGCAACAATGCGGAGATCTTTGAGGAAATCAGCCAACTCATTCAATCCGCGCTGGACGGCTACAACGTCTGCATCTTCGCCTATGGGCAAACCGGCTCTGGAAAGACATTCACCATGTCTTCTGAAGACGGCATGATTCCACGAGCATTACGACAGATATACGCTACAAGCAAAGAGCTAGAAGCGCGAGGTTGGACATACACCATGGAAGGCAGCTTTGTTGAAGTATACAACGAAGAGCTGCGAGATCTTCTGGGTAAAGAGTCCGACAACAGCAATAAGAAACATCAAATTCTTCACGACAGCACAACATGTGAAACCACAATCACAGATGTGACCACGGTCAATCTGAACAGCCAGGACCAAGTCGAAGCCATCCTGACACAAGCCATGTCTCGTCGCTCGGTGGCTGCAACCAAAGCCAACGAACGCAGTTCTCGAAGTCACTCTGTGTTCATCCTCAAGCTTGCAGGGTATAACAGCGTGACGGGTCAGAAGAGCAAAGGCACTCTGAACTTGGTTGATCTCGCTGGATCAGAAAGACTGTCTCATTCCAAAGTCGAAGGTGCACGGCTGAGGGAGACACAAAACATTAACAAGTCACTCTCGTGCTTGGGCGACGTTATCGGTGCACTGGGTCAGCAACAAGCAAATGGCTCATCCAACGCTAGAGAGAGTGGCAACAGTGTTGGATCCAACTCCTCATCATCCGCCACACACATCCCCTACAGAAACAGCAAACTCACCTATCTGTTACAGTACAGTCTAGGTGGGAACAGCAAAACACTGATGTTCGTCATGGTGGCACCAGAGAAGAAGTGCCTTGCAGAGACGATTACAAGCCTGAAGTTTGCCGAAAAGGTGTCCAAGACGAAGATTGGAGTGGCGAAGAAGACAGCAGGAGGGAGGTAAGGCCGACGTTGTCTAGGCTTTGGGATTTTGTCATGTTTTTGCATCGGTTTCTTTTGAAAGCAAGCGGTTTTGACCTTGTTGACCACGGATGGAATATCGACCTGATGACCCAATACATTTCATGTCATGAGGGAGAAATGTGCGGCGTTTTGGCTTCTATGGTTATGGTCATGGGATTTTGGAGGTTTTATTCACTCGTTGATCACTGGACTGTGATGAAGAGGCATTGGCCGATTTTGACAGTTGTGCTTTGTGGTCGATCGAATTGAAAGTTGGATTCGGCTGGGTTTCAGTTTGGGGTGGATAAGGAAGGACACAGTATGGGTGGGATTGTGTTCGTATACAGAGATGACAGACACCCTTTGAATGGAAAATCGTCTATGAAGAAGTTTCCAGTGTGTTTTTCCCCAAGGAAGTCGTCGCTGCTGCACTGTTGTCCATATATACACGAGAGGCAGAGAATACTTCGACAATGCTGACGACAATCACAGTGCTTTTTATTTTTACTACAGTAAGTAGTATAGTTCCCAGAACCCTCATGTGTTCCTTCCATCCTATCAAGCAGGCTCAAGCCAGAGAGCAGCCGGAGCAAAACATCCCATGTATCCCAAGACTGAACGAAGCGGTCCTCCATGGTGAGAACACAACAAAGAACAACAGCTATTGCTATCGCTGTCACTGGCTCAGTCACATGCCTGCCTGACTGGTTGTCTGCCTCTCCATGTATCTACATATCCATCTATCTATCCACAAACCCACCATGCCTGGTCGGTTGGTCAGGTGGTTGACTGGCTGGTTAACCAACCGGTCAATCACGCACCCTTGACCTCCCTCACGATGCCCCTGGCAATCCACTCGGCAACGCCCATGGTGCTGACCATGGGATTCACGCCGCTCGCTGAGGGAAAGACACTCGCGTCCGCGACGTACAGGCCCTCGGTGCCGAAGACCCTGCCGTTGGAGTCCACGACGCCGGTTTTCGGGGACGACGCCATGCGGCATGAGCCCATCTGGTGGGCGGAGCCTGCGGCCAGGACGCCCGGGTCAGCGAGCCACGCGCGGCGGACGTCGTCGACGAAGTAGGCAAAAGATGTTTCGTCGTCGTCCGTGGTAGGTATAGATGTGGATTGCGCGTGCGACGGCCGCACCCAGCGATCGACGGACGGGTGGCCCGAGTCGATCTCCAATGCGCCCATGACAAAGGCCGCTTGCATGCCGCCCACGACGCCGGCCAGCAGGTGTCGTCGGTCGCGCGCCGAGGGCGTGTACGCGATCCGTGGCCGTCGACGCGTCGTGTCCTTGGGGTCGAGGTATACCCTGCCCGTGTCGGCGTCGCGGGTGATGCAGACGAAGCCCGTCGAGAAGCCGTGCTTAGCGGCGCTGAGACGCCATTCGATGGCAGCTGACAGTGCGCTCTCCCCCGGTTTGGCGTTCAGGGCGTGCTTGGGCCGGAAGGGCAGGGTGAGCAGGCCGAATCCCGGGGTCGCGCAGATGACCTCGACCTTGGGCCCGTGGTGTTTGCCGTCTTGGTCTTCGAGCCCCGTCATGGCCACAGTCAGGATCGCGCCTTCCCACGGGTTGGTCCGCTGCGGCCACGTCGCCCACACGGTGCTCGTCGGGTGGAGGTGCAGATGCGCTCCGATGTGCGGGTTCTTCAGTCCGCTACGCAGGAGGACCAAGGGTGATTGTAGAGTTCCAGCGGCCACGATGACTCGTCGGGCCGAGATGGTGAGTTGTCGCGAGGTCTTGCGGTCGCGGGACGTCCATGTGGCTTTGACCCCCGTGGCCGTCTTGATGCCGTTCCTCTCGGAAAAGACGATCTCTTCGACCCAGCAGCCCTCGATGAACTCGGCGCCGTGGGCCGCCGCGTCGGGGAACCAGTAGTTCGCGGGCCCTTGCTTGGTCGCGCTGGCGCATCCGTACATGCAGTAGCCGCAGAAATGGCGCTTGGACGCCGTGTTCTGGGGCACAATCTGCACGGCAATCCCGAGGCGGCGGGACCCTTCGAGGAGTGTCCTGTTGGCAAAGTTGTGCTCAATCTTTTGGAGGGCCTCGGGGTCGGTGGTCCTTGCGGCGCCCATGCGCTCACTCACTGTGTCGAGACAGTCCTGGTATTCTGCTCCCAAGAAGTGAGGGAGGTTGTCGGCCGCCCAGTCCTCGCGCACCGGTCGTGGTGGCTGCAACGAGGCTGACCAGTTGACTGTGCCGCCACCACCGAACGTGCTCCCGGCCAAGATGGCAACAGACGCATCATCTGAGAGATATATGCCGCCATTGTCCATCAAGTGCTCGCCAGCGTTGGCGGCAGACATAGGGAAGTGTGTCGAGGGGAAGTGGTAGGATTTCTCGAGGACCAGACATTCCAAGCCTGCGCGGGACAGGTGCGAGGCGACGACGCCGGCGCCGCACCCTGATCCCACAATCACGACATCAGTTGAGAGGGTCGTGGATGTTGACGGAGGGGTGAAGTCGTAGAATTTGAAATCGAAGCTTGGGTTGCGCTCGATATGCTTGGGGACACTGGGGAAGTCGAGAAAGCGGTACAGACCGGGAGACGTAGCAACCCAAACTTGTTTCGCTAGGCCGCCGAGGGACTTGTATACTCCTCTTAGGAGTGGTAACCTCGACCTGGACCACCCACAGATTATTCTCGAACGGGTTTCGAGGTCTTGTTTGTGAAGGGGCGTGGTGTATCCTGTCAGGAGGTAGGAGCCCACGGAGGAATTGAGCAGGGAGAGAAGAAAGGCCAGTCCTTGCGAGTCGGAAGCGGGGACGGTGAGCTTGAATTTCCGCACCACAGTCTCTCTGAAGTCAGGATGTGAGACGGCATCCTCGCGCAGATAGGCTCGTGCGACATCTTCAGAGGCCCCTTCTGGCTGATACGGCTTTAGTTTCGCAAGGGCCTCGTCGAACTCTGTAGGGTGGCCGGCTTTCGAGGTGGCGGAGATGGGGATCGACGGCACAAAGACCTCCAGGATCGAGAAGAGCGTGTCCAGCTGTTGCTCGGTGAAGAGGTCATCGTCAGGAGCGGGAGGCAGAGGCGAGGAGAGAGACGAGAAGTCGGACAAGTTCTCGACCAGAGACATTGTCTGTACTTGTATCGTCGTCGAATGTGTTCCTGGAATCAAGACAGGATAATAATGCCTGCTGCGTTGCTTGGTGTTCTCTTTCCCCCCTCTTTTCAAACACAACACCACTGGGTTCTTGTCAGGCAGGCAGGCGGAGGGACGGTGACAATATTATGTTTATGTACCGAACGAGTGTCTGTCCCCCGTGGCATTCATCCCCTGGATTTGGGGTTTGTCTTGTTGACCAACGGACTGGGAAAACAACTACCAGGTTCCGCTATATTAATTTCTCTGGGCGCCATGGACCAAACTCCGCAGTTGCCACCACCAGCACCAACACCAACACAAATCATCAAACACCAGGGTTATGTCTGGTCCGGTCTGATCTGGTTTGGGGCCAGCTTATGGTGGTGGTGGTAGTGGTTGTGGTGTTGGTGGTGGTGCGCGCATTATGAGAAGGCCGGGTGGCCCCATCGATTGTGTGTAACAGGAAGTAACCGTTTTGATCGCTGTGTAAGGCATTGTTAGGGTGTCAATTGCAGGGTGTCGTAGAGGACACGAGTTGGCGGTGGGTACTCGGTAGAGAGGGTTAAGGAGTACATAATCAAGCGTGTACCGAGTACATAATACGGGAGCGGAAGATGCGGGCGCATGTTGCGACACGAGATACGGTATGTGGAGCACTTACCGAGTACATACATATCTAAGGAATGAATCAGCCCATATTTTGTTCAGTAAATTCCCCCGTAAAATCCAAAAAAGGGGGGAGAGGTGGAGAGGGTGAGATACCAAGAAAGGGTTAGACAGTTACGAGCAGAGAAGGATCCACGACCTTCGTACGAGGTATAGATCGTCTCCCAAGATATTTGTATTATTTGTCCCATTGTCAGCGCTTGTTTTCTTCTATGCCTGCCTTGCAGTATATAATGCTGGTGACTGGGTAGGAAAACGCCGAGACCGTGGCTGCAACGATCTTTGTTGGCACGGGGGCCGAGCGGCCGCTCGCTGTGAGCATGGCAAGAATCCATCTTCTGGCCCGAGCATGAGCATGAGCATGAGCCTTTTCTTTGAATCCTTTTTGAGAACAGGTCCGTCGAGAGCGTATCATCACGGTGGCGACGGAGCACAAGCACCCTTCACGACCATATCTGGAGCCCGTGCCTTCGACGGAGGAGCCACATTGTACCACCAGTATCGATTCACCACAGAACCATGCCGCAGAAAACGATGTGGAGTCGATGGAGCACATTTTGGATGGTCGATCGCCACGCTCTTGTCTATGCTCCAATCTCTTCTTCATCTCCTGAATGCACTCTGTACAGTCATCATCATCCTTCCGCTTGAATCTCGTAGCTGTTGGACTTGTGCTTCGGCTCGAATCGAAAATCGGGATGCGCCGGTCCTAAGAACATCTCACTAGAAATTCGCTCGTTAGCCTTGCTTCGGTGCCAGAAATCTCCTTGTTCCCAATCTCACCTGATCTTGATCCAGTCCTTGTAGTTGTCACTTGCCATCAGCGTCTCGAGCTCATCTCGACCCTTATATCGAGGCGGTCGATCCTGGATGTTGGGAGGCAGATACTCCAAGAGCCCGACTGGCACGTATCGACAGGCAAAGCTGAGCCACTCCAGCAAGAACCGTCGCGTCTGCCCCACGCCAACCTCGTCGCTGCCCCACGCTTCTAACCCGTACCGACAGAACCGCTCGACAAGCTGCAGCCGTTCCGAGGACGATTTATCCAGATACTGCCCTGCGGCGATCTCTTCAAAGAGCCATGGCTTGATAAGTGCTCCTCGACCGGCCATGACTCCGTCAACCCCTGCGTGCTGCATATGATCGTAGTAGTGCTCATGGGAGAAAACGTCGCCATTGCCAATGAAGAAAACTTTGCCGTTTCTTGAGCCCGTGTGGCCGTTGGCTTGATCGCGCGCGTCAGTTTCATGGATAGTGTCACTTAGGGTATTCGCCTTCTCGTTGAGCTTGTTGATCAGGGATGCCGTCTCTGTAATATAATCCCAGTCTGCAGACCGAGTATATCTTTGCTGCCTTGATCGTCCATGCAGTGTGATAGCCGCGACACCACAGGCGTCCCCGCGCCCATGCTCACTACCGAGCACAAGTCGATCGACTAATTTCTGTGCGGTCGGTTGCTTGTCACGAGTCCCGGTTCGAATCTTCACTGTCACGGGTGTCTCACCTGAGACCACGTTCATTCCTCGAAGCATTTTGTCCAGCTTGTGTGGCGCATCCATCAGAGCAGAACCAGCACCATCTTTATAGACCAGATCAATCGGGCAACCCACATTGAGATCCACCACCCGAAGGCCTCGAGGCAATAATGTAGTGAGGATCTCGGTGGCTTTTACGGCCAACCAGGGCTTGTTGGCTGCAATCTGCGCACCGAATCGAAGGTCTCGTTTCTGGTCGTACTCAAAGACTATGTTGTCGCTGCCCTTGACCGAAAAGGTTGGGGGCTGCACCTCTGATTCGTGGGCTTTGATGAGTGCCCATTCAGACTTCTGACCTTGTAACAGTGGTAAAGACATGGCCATTTCCGAGTAGGTAAACGTGGCACCTAGGGAAGTGCATAGCCGCCGGAAGGGTAGGTTTCCCTGCGTGGTCAAGGGCGCTAGAATCGGCGTTTCAGGACCAAAATACAAACGACGTTTCTCTGAGGGTCGAAGGGGAGCATCTCGAAAGGAAGACCTCAATTCTTCCGTGGTCTCTTTACCCGGACGACCATGACCGGACTCGGGTTCTGGGGACGAGGAGTTGCGGAGGGGTCTGTTTCGTCCTCGACCTTGATGGGCTGGGTTTTGTGCCTGTTTCTCGAGCCACCGCAGAAACTCGTCTGACTTTGGTGTTTGCATTTTCTTCTTTGTCAGTTCGATTCTTTGCTGGGAGGTGAGAACATTAGCCACCCCAGCCTCCTCGTCTTCAGAGGTGGTCTCGGCATATTTTGCCATCCGCTCAGCATCCTCGACCAAAACCAGTTCCAGTCGACCATCACCGTGGTCTACTTCCTTGGAGTGAGAGCCAACAAACCGGCATTTCCACCCAGCCGGACATTTTCCCTTGATTTCCCATACAGGACACAGGCCGTTGAAGGTAGAGAGGTCTTTTCGTTTGTAGTCTTTCAGGTATTTCCGAACGTCATGTTCGAAGCGACAATTATCCCCAAAGGCACAAGGGTTCGGTGAGAATTCGGGTCTGCAGACTCGACTGGAACACAACCCTACCTCATCCCTCGAACTGCCGAACTCGCGAGCTTTGTTCTGGCCTTGCTTCTTTTCACGACGGCGGTTACCTTTGCTGTTGTGGCTTGTTGGTTGCCTATCTTTGTGGTGGAAGGCTTCGGCAGCATCATCATCACCCGCACCATCACGAGCAACTTCTGGCTCGACTGCGTCGTCGGACTTAAGTAAGAACTCTTCCTTGATGGGTGCTGTTCCCTTTCTCCGTTTGTGATCCTTGAGCTCTGTCGACGGGTCAATATCCTCAGCCTTGCGCTTAACTATTGCTGAGGCCCCAGCCGACTGTTGATTAGGGTTGATATCCGCGGTAACATCATTTGATATCCCATTGAGCGAGATATCCCGGTCAGGTTGATCTGCAGAATTTTCCATCGGGCGGCACCTTGGAGTCAGGCAAATCTCGATGTTCCACAGTTGATTTTGAGATTTCTCTGATGTGCTACCCCTATAGCACCTTCAAAAAACAGCAACAATCAGAATACGAGTTGATAGGCAGCATGAAATCGAGAACCAAGTCTGGATCTGATGCTAGACGTGGAGAGTTTGCCTGTGTGAGCATATTCGGTCATAGTTCTGAGAAAATTTGCCAAGGCTTCGGAAAATCTCCCCACGAGTTTATCCGGGATGCCCCGAGGCGGTGTCAAAAATAAATGGCACAGTCTGACAAGAAATAGCAATGAGGAGCGATTCGCTATTAAGAGGGCGTCTACTTTCTGTCAGACTGTGCCATTTTTTCTCCAAAGGCTTGGCGCCTCCTCGCCTCTACTCCCACTGCTTCTTACGGTAGTACCGAGTACTTTGTACAAGCTATAAAGCGTGTTAACTTGATATCTAGTGTCCCATGGATACCTAAATACAATTGGTCGCAAGCGCCAGGCCTCATTAGCGCACCTCTCCCGAGTCTCAACTCTCACAACACTGTCCAACTAAATCCGCTCAATACCTACGAGTAGAAAGTGATTCGCAGATCCGCCGCCCCAGTCTAGCTACCACGGCCTAGGGGGACGATTATTGGGCGATTACTCATGTACGCGCTGAGTCCTTGTTCCTTGGGAAGAGGAGGAGTCGGAAGCATTCCTACAAGTACCGGGATAACAATTACATGTTGATGTTGACTTGGACAATAACCCTGCCTGATCGACGAAGGAGAAACCGCTTCCTACCCTTTCTGAACCTGCAATACTTGATTTTCGACACGAAAGATGCTGAGAATATCCATCAAACTGATCCCTTGGGTACGAGTAGTTACGAGTAAGGACAACGCCAAGTATACCAACACCTTCGAGATTCCCCACTCCTCCCCAGGCAACCGCGTTTCACATCCTGGCACTGCCTCTCTCACCCTTTAGGTCAACCGGATGTCTTACAAGTGCGGATCATGTATCAACACACCAAGGGATTATATATCGCGCGAGCCCTCGTTACAGGCGTCTTGGATCTCATCGTAAAGACTCTTACCTTTCTCTATCCATACCATTGACACTCTCACTCTGCTGTGTAGCACTTTCACACCTTCGAGGCTTGCAACGTCAAGATGGTCTCCTTTTCCAAACCCGCCCCGTTTCTCGACGTTGAGTCGGGTATTCGTCTCTTGCTTCTTCTCAACAATTCCATTGCCCTTGGCCTTGGCTTCGCCGCCATGTCTCCAATTTTCATCGTCTTGGGTGTAGTGTTGGCTATATCCACAGTCTACAATCTAGGTGTCATTCTCCTCAGAGTCCGCCAGAAAACTCCAAGATGGAGCGACAGCAATGGGGACGAGACTGTCCGTTGCCCATCGGTGGTTGAATTGGCAATCGATACGCTTGGGGTCGCTGCATTCTTGATTCTCTATGTCTGCAGCACCATTGAGGTCGCGACCGGTGACAGCTGGAGACATCCCCCAATCATGATGATGGCGTACTCGTCTATCGGAGCCCTGGTTGCCTTGTAAGTTGGACCGAGTTCCCAGAGCACACTTACCTTGCCCTCAGGGCCACTTTCAAGACCGCTTGGAAGCTCTTGGTGTAGCATGTCTGACTATTGATATCAGTGTCATGCACAGCTGGGTAGCTGTCACCAACCTCAACCGGTACATTCGGTATCGGCAGAGCCTAGGTCCACGGTGCCCGCACTGCCATCGAGTCACTGGCAACGTCATCGGATCCCACATTGCTCTACCCCCGTCACCGCTTGAAGAAGGTCGACCAGCAGTTCCAAGAGAAAGCTTCTCCGCGAACTCGGTCGGTGAGAACGAAGGCGACACGCTGATTATGAAGACTTAACTCGAAAAGAGCTGGAGCTAGGACTTGATTACAGCGTCAACCTCAATACCAGTGCTGCCACCTTGGACGCGACGCCTGGAGCAGAGGATCGCTGTTGAGGCGGCGAGTGTCCCTGAATCGCGTCTCCAAGTCATCTGGAGGGTGCCGGGGAACATGCTGCAGGACGGGTTTCTGTGGTGCGGTGAAAGGACAATTTCAAATTGGTTTCATTTTGTTCATCTGGCTCCAGAGGACTCCCAGATATTGAGAGTGACCGCAACCGGCCAGTCATCTCTGTAACGTCTGTATCGAGATGTCCGCCATCGTGCCAGTCGGATGTGTGAAGTGTCTGTGTAGGGTAGGAATAAGAGTGATAGCTTGAATGCTTATGAACAGTAAGAATCACATTGCAACCTCGAAACTCAGGATCGAGAATGGATCACGGCCACGCCAAGCGCCAAGACGGCGACAACGAGCCAGTTAAACCGGGTCACGTGAAAAGAGCGATTTTCTCGCAGCGATTCTCGGGGTCTGTGCAACCGATGACTGACATCCACCAATGTGCATTCAACAATTACCTGACAACATTGCGTTTGCCTCAAGCCCTGGTGGCGAACCTGTCACTGTCCTTGTCCGAGTCTGAAGCACAGCTCCGTCCAACGCTCACACGTTCCCGCCACTCTGGCACCATCAGCTTCCAAGCCTTCCAGAAGCCCCATGGCAGCTGCAAGGGGAACATGCTGCAGCCCTACGTGGCTGAGTGGCCACTGCTTTTGAGGCAAAAGCTCCGAAAGAGGCTGACTTCAATAGACAATCTTCGGCAATCGATGACGCTACCGCAAAAGCTGGCAAATGCACCTTTCTCTCCCCGGGCTGAACCTCATTCGATGATCTGCCGGCAAATTCCCCTGGAAAGGCCATCGTATTGGTCCCCAACCAGGAAGATCTCACTCTTGCTCTGGAAGGGTCATCCGCATAGTCGAAAGGTCAGAGTTACAGCGTCAGCTGTGATGATCGAGGAGAACTTAAGCTATGCCTACAAGCCCAGAAGAGAAGACTAAGAAACAAAAGGTCACGCGGGCATCTCAAGCCGTCCACAGGAGGTCCCGGAGGGGGCAAGGCGCTTTCCGCGGTCCCTTGTTGCTTCATGTTGCTGATCGAACTATCTCCGAGATCGAGTGTTGGGCAAGGCTCTGAAACATTCTTCAGCCCCCATGTCCAGATGTCCCATCTACCGTCCTCCGTACCTTGCAGAAAGCTGCTGTTGGCAGAATGGCACATCCCCGGTTCATCGAGGGGCGACTATTTACATACAAGTATGTAATGGATACATCAAAAGGGCTCCACTGAGCTCCGCAAGGCTGTTCGCAAATGCCGCATATTCTGTTGGCCGTCGTAATCCCACCTACCTCGGCAGGCCTTTGACATTGGACACTTCGATGAAGCGTGCCAAACGAAGGCGATACGTACTGACGCAGCCTTGTAGGATGAGACTCTCACCGGGTTACTCCCACCTTGGGTCTCGCCTTGATACTCGGCCACCCCGCGCACGACAGCCACCCATAGCCCGGTACTGTAGCCATAATTCTTACGAGGCACGGAGGCAACTCTGATCTTACACCACTACCGCTCAAGCCGTGACAAGCCAAAAAGAGTGGCCATATTGCTAGGGATCCAAAGTGGCATTCTCCCCATCTCCCTGTCCACTCTTCTGAACGACACTGATATAGGATTTGGTCATTGCTCCGAGATGATATGCAGGCAACGGGAGAGGCGTGATGACCAAGGAACCGAGCGATGATCTCGAGCATATCCAACGGCCTCTCCTCTTGTCCAGGCTACCTTATGCGAATGATTGAATTTACCTAGAGCTTTGGTCGAATTGTTCCAACTGAGTCAGGGACTCGGCAAAATTGCCTGCGGCACACCCACACACCCCTGCGAATAAACATCAAAACAATACGTAACTGAAGACGAAAGTGGAATCGGATCATCTGGTGATTGCTCGGCCTCCAGGGTGCGCAATCTGGCTGGATAACCTAGGTAGCGAGGCTTTGGGGTTCCAACTGCTGACGGACGCATTATCCATGCGCAAATCCCACTGGTGCCGGCTTTTTTGTCGGTGGTTTCTTGCTGCTTTTTCCATCAGTGGACAAGTACAGTGGTTAAGTAGTAATAACCCTTCAGATGAAGTTGTCTCCTGCCTCATCTCTGCTTGGGTCAGCCATGTCCAAGCTCGTTACTTCAAACTATGCTAAAACTATGGACCTTAGTTGCATCACAAAGCAATTGGAGTAACAACCACATTTCAACCCGACTGGCAGAAGCAAGCGATGCTCCGACTAACGGGATGTTTCGCGCGCAGAGAGCAAGCACATTCCCGAAAAGAGGAAAAAATGCTTCCCATCCCATGTCCTAGACTAGGCCTGAGAGCCGATAAGATTATTGGTCCGAGGAGAATGCTTGAATTGTTTTGTCGGGTCAGACGGCGGAGATGATTTCGCATCCGGCTGCCCGTTGGCTTCTGAAGACAGCCACATGGGTGCCCACGCGACGCCACAAAATCTCGTCTTGATGGACCACCATTCGGGCAGTTGATTGAAGTTAGGGACTTGTACAATCGATGGCCAAAGCGTCGATAGACAGTCTATAGACTGCGGCCTTTGCTCCTGAAGCGTCGCTCTGAGTACAAAAGGGACTGTCATCAAACGAAGCCAGTCGAGAGGATGCACTACGCCCTTTGATCACCGCCTAACGACGTGGGATGAAAGTCGTCAGAAGGGCATCTTGACCGACAACCGGTGGATACTTTTGGCTGTGAGCCCTGCATTACCAGGGCACCGCAAGAAAGGAAACTACCAGTTTACTGAGAGGCCGCCAGGCCCAATACACCATGCCCAACGAGGTTGGTGGGTGTCCTGGCCGACCCACACAACAGCAGTTACGGTCAGGAGTGATGGGATGGAGACTCCTGTTGCGGCAAGATCCCGAAAAGTTACATTTTTTGGAACCGCGGAATCGGTGCTGGTCGGGATCTCGAGAGAGGCACAGAGGGTCATTCACGCTCATCGTTGTGAATGAAGAAGACTCAACCACAATCCTCGAGTGGCCAAGAGCTTGGCTTGAAACTTCCGGGCGTAAAATGGTCCAGCGTGGGCGCCGAGGCCTCGAGAGTCTCTATGAGGCAAACACATGGATCGGCAATCACACCTGGATGGGATCTCGGAAAGGTGCCAATCGCTCCGGGTGAGGAAAACTCCAGGCTTGAACCGGGCCTCAGCCTGCCTTTTGCCCTGACTTGAAGGAGGTATAGGCACTGTGAAACTGGCTAGCTATTATCCATGGAAACCACAAATACGAGGCTAGCTTTTGTGACGATGGTTCCCTTGCTCTTCCGGTGGTTCCCTCAGTCTTGTTTCGCGTTCAAGCAATGTCATCCAACAATGGTGACGGCTGTTGCGTCGAGATCGAGCCCAACTTTGTAGAGACGGACAGGAGCGAGGCATCGTGGGCACGTCGAACCACATTAGAGTTCGGGTACTGCTTGGAAGGAGATATGTAACGAGGGTGTTGGGATGACGTAGAAAATCAGAATCGTTGAGTGCCGTCTATAGAGCTAAAGCTAGCTATGCGAAGTCATGGGTATGAGGAGAACGAAGTGTCGATCGTCCCCAAGAAGTTGAGCAATTCGTTCATCTCGAAGACGCTGACGGTGCTGGCATGAGGTAACTGTGATGAACGACGAGGATGTGAGGATGTCTCTGGCCGGGGCTTCCAGAATGGCGGCAGGTCGAGTCCCTCGTTCTCTCAAGCAGAGTTGTGGACACTCGACACCCACCACCCACTACCGAGGGTCCGGGCTAGAGTTGCAATTGTGGATGCGGATTGTAAGTTTGACGTGCTGGCCTAGTCGCAGTGGGAGGAGCCTGGCAGGCGCAGGGATCTGGGAGCCGAAAGTGCCCATCGAGCCCGTACACAGAACCACAACCACTACTCGTAACGACTCGACTCGCATGGGCCTAAACCCGTACAGACAGCGTACCAGCCTGTATCAACTACATACTTCCTACTCATCATCCTCATCGCCGACTCACACTTCTACCCTGCTGCCCTTCAGCCTTTCCACTCACCAGGATTTTATCAACAACACCCTGTGCTGTAGATTCTGAAACCCGTCGACGCAGCTCCCCCACCATATTGTCGCTCATTTGCCTCCCATCTCCAACCTCACATTTATCGCCGCTCCTTCACCACCACCACTACCACCATCTCCAAGGCGACCTTATCACGTCACCGCCCTCGCCGGTTCTCTCCTCGACCTTTGACCACCGGCGACGACAACCTCGTTTGGCTACCTCCTCTTGACCACCATTTCCGACCTTATCAGTTTGCAGGTCTATGTTAGAATACGAAGAAAGTCCTCCGCCACTCAATCACTCGCCTTCTCCGAGTGATCGGTCGCATTTCACCTCTCGAGATACGACCCCCGTTACACCCGTCGGCACCGGGCCATTTTTTGGCAGGAAGACAGAGAAGGACACGCTTCCTTGGTTCAGGAAACCCATCGACGTCGGACGCACTACTACGAGACTTTGTCTAGATACCGATTCCTCCCTCCTCGCTCCGGACTTTGACGACAACTCTTTCCCAACTTTTGGCGCCTCGCCACCACCTAAGGGTATGGCGAGCGTAGCCAACCCTCTCGACATCTCTATGAGACAGACTTCGACGTCACCACGTGGCAATCAACCGTCAAACTTGACATCCGCGCTGCAGCGCAGTGACAGCGAAGAGAAGCGCATGATGGCCAACCCAACACCAGAGACGGCGCTTAATCGCCCTTTACCCCAGATGCCTTCCAGTTCCTCGAATGACTTTGCCAACTTTGAGCATGGCGCAAGACCAATCTCGGTGAAAGGCATGGCGCATGACAGGGCGAGACGCGAGAGTCTGGCCCAGAGCCTCAACGCGGGTATGAGCTGGGGAGGAATATCTGTTGGGAGTTGGATACGAGACGAGTGAGCCCCGTGATCGTTACTTTTGCAAATGTTCAGGATTGCTAATATCTGTGAAGCATGGTCATGTCTGGAACCTCGCCCTTCACCTTTAATTCGCCCTCGTTTCATTCGTCCTCGTACCTACCCAAACTCGAGGCCAACTTCATGAAAGATTTCTCTTGCTGTGGCCTTACTCTGCCGACCTTACATGATCTCCTACAGCACTATGAAGAAGCCCACGCGCAGAGAGATCCGCAGCAGTCCGGCACCAGCCAACAAGCTGTTCCAGATAGTCGAGCGGCAATTGCGGCTACCACGGCGGCTCAGGTCCAACAAGAAGCTCAACAGCGCAACCAACAGCAACAGTCACACAATGGCCCTGGCCGGCCTTTTGGGACGCAGCAGAATGTCGCCCAGAATATCCACCGACCTTCTGGATTCTCCAGCACGTTACAGACCATTCCGGACATGGACACAGTGGAGGACATGGAGATGGATGACATCGATGGGACCGATGAAACGACGCCACCACCGAACCTGTACACACAGAACCAATCCCAAACCTCACCCCAAACCTCTTTTGCCACCCCATCGCAGCAGCCACAAATACCTCAGCTCAACACCACGATGATGCAAGGACACCAAGCTTACCGGCAGTCCACCCCCAACACGCCTGTGGCGCCAGGGCGCAATGCAGCACGCTTCCAGGGCAACACGTCATCTACGTTGATGCCTAACCCTATGCAGCAGTTCCAAGACCTGCAGACCGGTTATCGAGGTACTCCAGACTCGTCCGCCCCTGGCACTCCCGGTGAAATGGGCGATGGGATGATGGACGGTATCGACGACATGTCAATGCAGAACCTCGCCTTGTACAATGGACTTCCTAACGGGATTGGTGGCTATAATTTCGGCATGAATAACGACATGATCGATCTTTGCATAGACGAACCGTCGAAGCGTCTATTTTCCACTGGTAACCAGGGCATGAATCAAGCACAATCAGGGCAACAAATCGCACAGAATCGCCTTGGGACTGGTCAATATGGGGCAAACAGCGAAATTGCGAGGACAATACGCGAACGACAAGCCGCTGCCGGGCTACCCGATACCACCACAAACATTCTTCCGCATGAAGAACCTAAACCTTTCCGATGCCCCGTCATTGGCTGCGAGAAGGCATACAAGAACCAGAATGGTCTGAAATACCATAAAGCGGTAAGTGTTCATAATCCCGTAGTGAATGTGTCGTTTGTCTAACGTGGAGCTAGCATGGTCACAATAACCAGCGACTTCATGAGAATGGGGATGGTACCTTCTCCATTGTCGATCCCGATACCCAGGCACCTTATCCTGGAACCATGGGAATGGAAAAGGAGAAACCTTACAAGTGTGATGTTTGTCAAAAACGCTACAAGAACCTGAACGGACTCAAGTATCACAAGACACATTCACCGCCTTGCAATCCCGAACTTCAGCTCAATGCGAACAAGAGTCCATCACTCGGTATGCCTAACATGATTGCTGGCCAACAAACAGGCAATATGGGAGCTGGTCTCTCGGGGGATCTGTCCATGATGTGAAGAAAAGATATCCAGCATGTTACGACCAAAGAGACTATTATCATCCGATGCACGCAAGCAGCTTGGCCACTGCTTCGATGGGGCATCACCTTTCGTTTTCATATTACTAATTGATGAGAGACGGCCGAACATCCATGATGGGTAGAGCAACCCACACGATAGAAAGAGTTGGCAAGGCTCAATATCCTGAATGATGATGGGCAAAAGCCGCCCGCCAGTGGCTTTTTGTCCTTTTGGAAGAGAGATCATGTAAGATCTCACCCGGGGAGGCCCGTCTCGGACTGAATGCTTTGAATTTGTGCAAACAATCATAGACAGGTGTTGTTGGGTTATGTTCAAAAAGTTTTTGCTGTACTTGCTTCAACATTTTCAGGGACGGGTGGTGTTTCAATCCGGCACTATGAAGCACAACTGGAGGCAAACTGCTCGATCCCCACCTTTTTCTCGACTCGACTGCAACGGCGTTTGATACAGGACAGCTTGATAGACGACTTCGGTGGCAAACCCTGGCAACCTACGACTTCCCAGCGGATTATGGGTTGAAGGAACAGGTGTTTTTGTACACGAGTACACAGAAAGGGGATTTTTGTGGGCATAAGCTCTACTCGATACGTCCGGATCTAGAGATTCTTCTACATTGTGTTAGGCTTGAGGTTTTCAAGGTGATGACTGCGCGTTTGACGCGACAAACAAGAAATTCTGTCTCTCCTTCTGGGGCGGTATGGAGTGAGTGAAGAAGGTGAAAAGATGGATTTGAGTATTTGGATGAGTTCCCGGCGGCCGTGAAAGAGCATGAGTTTATCGTTTCAGCAAGAATTGTTGCGCTATGGGGAATTACACAGCAGCAAGTTGGATACAAGTCAGTGAATAATCACAGACCTTTGAACAAAGCACCGCGTTCGCTACCAAGAATGTGACACCCTCGACGGTCAGCGCTTTTCTATTTGTGTAGAAGCTCGTGACAAAGCACGAGTCCCCCCAAGTCCACCGGGCTTGGACTGGCCCCGCGCCTGGTGCAGCCTTATTCATCCATCCGATACTTGTAGGGAGAAGGATTGTCCGATAAGCATCGAGGAGGAGTACCGAGCAGGTACGGAGTATGTACTAGCAAGGGCTCGGGCCTATTTTCTCATCGTGGAGCGCCGGTGACATGGGTGAAGGGTTCTACGAGTCTCCGGACTTGTCAAGGTCTCCTGTTGGCCGAGCACGCAGCACTGGTACAGTACGACCTGGAGAACAATGGCCGTTGTTGTCAACAAGCCACATATGGTGGTGGTGGCAGTGGTCTAAGATTGATGGCAACAGAGTTCTTGGTGGCTTCGGGAAGGAAGGGGGTGGAGAGAAGCGAACGAAGCGTTTGTTGGGAGGCTTGTGACTTGGTGATTCTGTGAGCTGCGCGGTGCGGGTTCGTGTCACGCCATATAACGCCAACGGGAGAGGGATTCAAGGGGTGAAGTATGAGTATTTAGAAGTCCTTGTAAAAAGAAACCGAATATCTCCCTCAACGGATAGCAAAGTATCTCGATAGGTGGTGGTGGTACGGAAGACTCATCAGCTGGCATCAGACAGGTCTCGTCTCTCGTCAGGCTGGTGGGTTTGATGGGGATGGAGATGGAGACCGAGCGAGCGAGGTACGCCACGGGCCCAAGGCGCGGTTCGGCGCTGTCGAGTCGGTCGGTACTTGGACTTGCACAAAAGCAGGTGAGAATCTTGTGGGCTAGGTATTGTAGGTAAGAAAAGAAGAACGAGGCGCAGCTGCTATCCGAAGCCAGCAGTACTCACTACTCGGTACGTTGCTCAGCTTCCTCCTCGCGTCGGTTGTTGATGATGATGATTGATTGATCGATTAAATGATTTTGATGGGGTGGGTTCAGTCGACGCGTCGCATCGGTCCACAAATCCACAGGGCGATTAAAAAGGCTTGTACCTACCTAGGCATGTCTCAGGGCCTCTCCCAGGTCCCCTCTCTCAGGGCTTTCCAGGGCTCCTCGGCGTGCGAAGCTCTCAAACAAGGCGTGACAGGGCAGGATCACCTCGAGTGCCCCCCCGGGGCAGTCATACCTAGCTGGGTAAAGAGGAGCCCTTTTGGCCTTTGCTCACTGCCCGTAGCCGGTGAGCCACTCACTCGTCAACAAAACACCAACTGAGGGGGGCGTGTCAGAGTCACATGGCAGTGGGTAATTTAGCTTGAGACGCGTGAACACCATACCACTTAGTAAACGCTAAGTGAGCGTCCCACTAATTTACGATTCAAAATATAGCACCCTTAACAAGGACGGTCTAACTATCAGATACTATAGACACTTTTTATACCCTATTCCTCATCTTACCTTACCATATCGATGCTATTTTAGGCGGAAAAGTATTTTAATCTATTAAATCATATAGAGGAGCTACTAGGTCGGGAAAATAAACTAGATATATGACTTAGCCTACCTATTAAACAGTCTCTTAAAACCCTTTAGAAAATTCCTAGAAGATTTTGAAGCTGGAGCTAGGTTAAATAAGGGACTAGGTGATCGTTAGGCTAAATATCCTCGAGGGTAAATAAACTAGAAAAGTATCAGACTATATCCGAGCTAGAGTTATAATGAATACCGAGTAGCTAGTTAAAATATAGGTTATCAGTAGGCGTGGTAATAACTTGCTAGATACTAGGTCAGCTATTGTACGAGTGGCTCGGCTAAATTGCCATGGCCACGTAATTCTGACACCCCTGCACCTGGTCTCGTTGGTGCCACCACCACCACCAAAGTTACCACGCCTGCCCTGCCCGCCCGTGGAACCACCACCACGAACCATCTGCTTCAGCCGCCCTTTCTGCCCCTGGCGCAACCTGGCATCTTGATCTGCGACAACCTTAACGACTCTTACATGTCAATTTTTCCCCCTACCGCATAATAACACACCTTTTTCGATCCCTTTTCCCCCCAGTTGTATCTCAAAACTTCGAAAGGACACCCTCGTCGCACCTCTCTTCCTCTCCTTTACGCCGCACCGACACCGCCGCCACCATCGCACCCCCACCCGCCCTCTTTCATACTCCGCGCCCATTCCCTTGGTTGAAAGAAGCATCGACTTGCCCTTTCTTTCCTCTTCCGACAAAAGCACCCAGTCTCTCGTTTAGTACCACTTCCAGCCACATCTCAACGGTCCTGTCCAAGCTGCCGCAGTCCACCTCGCTCCCTGCTTGCCTCGAGCCCTTCAAAACCGATCAGCCCTGTCTGTTTAGAGATCTGAGACGGGATTTCAGGAGTACACTCTAATAGATGCACGCGATTCCAGCAACGGCAGCGCAGTGAACCTCACTCCTTATTTACTCTTTTCGATTTTTCGGAAGCTCGAAGAACAACCTGCCATCCACGTCCCGAAAACCGTTTTTTTCAATTGGTGAGATCGGAGTCCGTTAGTGACACGATATCCAATTTGAAAAAGTTAGTAAAGATTGCGACGAGGAGAGTGAGAAGGCAGAAAAAGGTAGAAAGCCAAGATGGGGGACGTATCTGGCGGCCACGATGGCCAGCACCACGTGTCTAACATGCTCGAGGACAAATACATCGGCCTCACCCTAGCCATCGTTTCTACACTCGCAATCGGAACCAGCTTTGTCATCACCAAGAAGGGACTCAACGATGCCGCAGATAAACACGGGTTTGAAGGGGAAGGGTACGCGTATATGAAAACGCCGCTGTGGTGGGCAGGGATAGGATCGCTGGTGATTGGCGAAGCTGCCAATTTCGCAGCATACGCTTTTGCGCCTGCCGTTCTCGTCACACCTCTGGGCGCGCTCAGTGTGCTTATTGGAGCCGTTCTTGGAGCCTATTTTCTTGGGGAAGAGTTGGGAGTATTGGGAAAACTGGGATGTGCCATCTGTCTGCTTGGTAGTGCGATTATTGTGCTTCATGCGCCGCCCGACGAGGATATTGAGACAGTGGATCAGATTCTGGCGTATGCGATTAAACCAGGTATGGGAAATCCCCAATTTGGCTCACGCAGAGGCAGTGAAACCGGCCTTGCTAATCCATCTCCTGCACAGCGTTCATCATTTATTGTCTGGCAGCGGTTGTCTTCTGCCTTGTCATGATCTATAAAGTCGCCCCAGTGTACGGCAAGAAGAATCCGCTGATTTACATGTCGATTTGTTCTACTGCCGGATCGGTGTCGGTCATGTCGATCAAGGGGTTTGGAATTGCTGTCAAGCTAACTTTCGCGGGGAATAACCAATTCTCACACCCTTCGACGTACGTGTTTATGGTTGTCACGGTCGTGTGCATTCTCACGCAGATGAATTACTTCAATAAGGCGCTCAGCCAGTTTTCGACCTCGATCGTCAATCCCTTGTACTACGTCACATTTACCACCGCCACGTTATGCGCATCGTTTATTCTGTTCCAGGGATTCAACACGACGGACGCGACAAACACGCTCTCTCTTCTCTGCGGGTTTCTCGTCATCTTCTCGGGGGTATACCTGCTCAATCTGTCGAGAGGAGATCCAGATGGCCATCGCTTACTCAATGGGAAAATCCCCGATGAAGATGGGATCCCGACCGACGCTCTAGCCGGCCTGCAGACACGACGAAGTATGCAAGCGAGAAGAAGCCTGGATCCGCACCGACGAAGTAGCAGCCTCACGTACAGTCCCGGTGGCATGTTATCGGGCGGAAGTCGACACGCGAGTGCGGAGAGTGCAGGTCTCATGCAAAACTACGATGTCGAGCACGGTGCTTTTGGATTGTCGGATCTCGTGGAGGATCCCGAAGAGTTGGCGACGTCGAGTCGAAACGGTAGTCCCAGAGCCAGAGGCGAGCCAGTGACGAGAATACGCGACAGGCCTCATCAAAAGGGCCTGGATCGGTGACATTGAGCGAACCCTTTTGGGAGGCTTTTGATTTGTGCAGTCTCGACTAGACTTGGGACAAGAAAGTTTTGATTGTACCGATATCCATGCATAGGTAACGGTTCATTAGTGATGAAACAAAGCCAGCGTTTGACTGGAATAAAGAGCATGACCTCAGGAAGGAAAGGACTGGGACGGCAGGGAAGGAGTGATTCAGGCACTGGCTGGTCGTCAAGGCTCGGGGGAGGGATTCTGTATATTGTCCATGATGCAGCAAAGAACTCGAGCTGAATGTTATGTCTTTTCTCTCCTTTTTCCTCTCAGTCATTTGCCATCTCCTTTTATTTTCTTCTTCTCCATGGCTGACCGAGTCGCAGGTAGGGGAAGGAGTAAGGAAAATGCTTGTACTGGTGTACTTGGTGCTTAGTAGTAGGGATAAAAGAAAGAAAGACATTGGGCCAGGTTCACTCACTTGTTGTTGGGTGCGATGGCCGATCTGTGTAACTGCAGTTGGATTGTGGCGAGCACGTGTTCAGCCTTGGATGCAGCCTGTTGCTTGTTTGCCTCTGGATCCCCCTCTGAGGTCATTTTCCACTTTTCCGCTTTCCATCATTTCCCGCCTTTCACTTTTTGCTGGGAGCCCATCCACCATCCCGTTCGCACTGCTATAATTCCTACTCCTACTTATCCATGGCTAGAAAAGGCTGAAACCGATTTACAACAAACAGCCCCGGTCGGGCGAGCCATTCACTTCATCATGGCGCCCTCATATCCCGACCCAAGTCTGAAAGCAAGCGGCTCGCCACGCACAGGGCCACAGAAAGGTACGGCCACCGCCTCACCACAAACACCCACCCCCAACTCCCCATGCGTCGCCCATAACAAACAAAATCCCTTGCTTCTGATGTGTTGGTGTTTGCATCTCTGGAGACGGTGGCGCATGGTGCAGATCGATGGCGTTCCTTGCACGTTTCCATTGTGACATTGTGTCCACACCTTGTCATTCCTTTTGCTGCATAATTTCCATGTTCACGCCGTCGCTCAAACCCGTGCGTCTGACTGGGGCAACCGCAATCGCCTCCCCTGATACGATGAGCCATGCACGTGCGCGATTGCCCGTTTCCTGTCGCTCAAGCACTTTCGAGGGTTATCCGTCACGCGACACTGGAGCACACGACAGTGGGATGTTGTGGGAAACAAAGAGTCTCCATTGAACAATCGGGTTCCAGCGATTACGTGGTGGTACCTGGCATTGTGTTTGCTTTTCTTTTCTTTTTTTCTGTTTGGTATCTGCCGCAAGATAAAAAGGCTCGTGGTCAGAAATGATGTACTCTGTCAGATCTCTAATGCATTCTTAGGTGTGACCATCTTCGACGAGCCAGAGCATATCCCCGAGCCCAATATCAAGGTCTTCGCAGATGACCAGGATAATGCTGTAGGAACGTCCCCCACGCTTGTCGCTTCGCACAGCCCCAAACTTCACCGCGCCAGTATTTCAGGCAAGAAGTTGACCGGACGGCCCGCTCTGCCTTCTTCGAATTCCCATTCTTCTCATCTCCCCCCTGCCGGTGCTCCCCTTAACAGACCCATGTCGTATTTCAGCCTGGACGATAACAACCCCCCTGATTCATGGTCGGCCGGACCAGGTACCACGACTCCAGGAACGACAGCCGAGAGCAAAACGCCCGACCTACGCACTCTCTTGACCCAAGTTACCGACTGGCTTCAGGACGAAAAGGCAAAGCGACAGAAGCAAAGGCATCGTCGCCATCACCATCATCACAACAAGCAGCCGAAGACACCCGACGATCAGAGCGACAACACTAGATCCCATGAAGTCGCCCCTGACGATGAGCAAGACATGTCGCTGGAGAGGCTTGAGAACATCCTCCAAAATTTCTCCTTCACCAATACTTCAAAGCTTCTCCACAAATCTTCAAGCTCCATTTTGAGAAGAGGATCCCTCGGCAAGAAATACAAACAGTCTCCTCGCTCCGTTCCAGCTTCATCAGACACCGAGTTCTTCGGCGAAGATATCTTGGTTCCCAATGTCGAAGCGAAGCTGGATAATACCAAAACGATGGCTTTCACTGGCGGTTCGGCAGATGTGGATACCAGCGATAGTGCGAGGAGGCAGGACTATGAGCATTGGGTGACGTTCAAAAAGGATATTGTCCGCTTGACGCATACACTTAAGCTTAAGGGCTGGCGCCGTATCCCAATTGATAGAGCTGCCGATATTGATGTTGCGCGTCTGAGCGGTGCCCTTACCAACGCTGTCTATGTTGTCCATCCTCCCAAAGATATGTCCGAATACGATGCCCACAACCCTTCCGACCCTTCTGCCCCGCCCGTCCCTGTCTCCCGACGTCGCCCTACATCTCTTCTCCTTCGTATCTACGGTCCCCAGGTTGAACATCTGATTGACCGAGAAGCCGAACTTGGGATCCTTCGTCGCCTTGCTCGAAAAAGTATCGGACCTCGCCTCCTGGGGTCCTTCGAAAACGGCCGCTTTGAGGAGTTTCTCCATGCCAAAACCCTCACGGCGGAGGATCTGCGTGCTCCCGAGACGTCGAAACAAATTGCCAAACGAATGCGCGAGCTTCACGAAGGGATTGACTTGCTTGAATCTGAACTCGCTGCGGGCCCCGCGGTCTTTGTGAACTGGGACAAATGGGTCGACCGGTGTGAGAAAGTCATCTCTTGGCTCGACGAACAGGTCCATCAGGTGGACAAGGAACTCGCAGACGGCACAGCAAGGCGAAGGTCGAGGGCGAATGCGCGATACGCCCGACGAGGGTTGATTTGCGGTGTTGAATGGCCTGTATTCCGCAAAGCATACGACACATATCGACAATGGCTAATCGAGCAATGTGGTGGCGTCGAGGGAATACGCGACCTGCTCGTCTTCGCACACAATGACACTCAATACGGCAACCTTATGCGCCTACAACCTTCTGGCACGTCGCCGCTCCTTCGACCATCGAATCAACACAAGCAACTCGTCGTCATCGACTTTGAGTATGCAGCACAAAATCCTGTAGGGTTGGAATTCGCCAACCATTTCACCGAGTGGTGTTACAACTATCACAATCCTCCAGACAAGAACTTCCAATGCGACACGCGACGCTACCCGAACGAGCAGGAGCAGCACAGATTCGTGAGGAGTTATGTCATGCACCGGCCGCAGTTCAACCCCTCGGCGAGCGCGACGCCAAAGATGGAGGCCCGGGAGAAGACCAATATCAGCGATTTCATGCTCGATGCTCGAACCCCAGGAGGTGGAGTTCCGAATGCTTGGGCAGGGAGTAGCGGGTTCGAGGGGCCCACCGAAAGTGACTACGACAAAGAAGAGTCCGAACGGGAAAGGGCCCAGGAAGAAGAAATCAATCGGTTGCTGCAGCAAACGAGGCTGTGGCGGGTTGCCAATTCGGCACAGTGGGTGGCGTGGGGGATCGTGCAGGCCAAAGTGCCGGAGCTGGACGCATTGCAGGAAAATAAGGCGTCGCTAAAGACGATGGGCCAGCGCATCCAGGAGAGGAGAAGGAGTGTGACGGAGATGATATCCGCAGGAGAGAAGAAGGTTGTCGGGAAGATGAAGAGCTTGGTGAACAAGGAGGGTGGCGACGACAAACATCAGCAGACCGAACATGCGTATGCAATGTCTGACCCCCTGACTGAAGAGGAGCAACGGATCCAATTGGAGAGTCACTGGGATCGACCAGAGGGAAGAGCACAAGAGGAAGCGCACCAGGAAGGCACTGGAGATGTCGTGGTCAAGCACCCAGTGGACGCTTCTGACCACAGTTCCACTTGCGGTACCACCACGCAAAAGCACGCCGAGGAGAAAAATACCCACGTCGAGCAAGCCGTCACCCCTGACGGAGGAGCTAAGTCTGACCGATCACAACATCACGTCGACCCTCAACCTCCAACCGAACCCCAGCACAACAACGACCCTACAGACACGGCATCGGGACGCGAAGACGGAGCGTCCCACGCGGACGGTGACCCCGATGCTGGTGGTGACGAACCCGACGAGCCCGAAGACGAATTCGACTACCTCGCCTACGCCCAAGACCGCGCCATGTTCTTCTGGGGCGACTGCCTCCGCCTCGGCCTGGTCAAGGAATCAGACTTGCCCCGGGATCTCGTCCAACGGGCCAAGATTGTGCCGTATTGAGTGAGACGTACCGAGCAATGTTGGTTTTGGGTTTTGTGTTCCTTTTACCTATCTTACTGATCTATTCATCCTCGACCGCCCTATCGGCTATTTTTTTTTTTTTTTTGTTGTTGTTGGTTTCTTCTTGGAAGGAAACAGTGTTGGCGATATTCAGCAGATCCGAGGACGTGACTGAGAGATTCTTCAGAGGCGATCGAGCACGGTGTCCAGGTGGAATGGTAGCTAGCTAGCTTACGGTTTCAACACCACCCAGCCGGGAAGTCTGGGAGGGGGGAGCCCATGGCAGAGGAAGCTAAAGCAGTACACATAACAGCACACAGGTGGTGATGAATACCACAACGATGATGATGACGACGACGACAACAACCACGGGACGTGTATGGTTTTCAGGGACGCCATCATCTATCTACTTTACTGTTGATACCTAAATACCTAGGTAGATTGAGAGATACCACCGTCTTTTGGCTGTTCTGATATCGGCTGGCCTAGTCTCTTCAAGATCAAGTCAATGAAATAATCACCTGGGTAAATCTTTCCGGAGAAAAAGCGCAGAGTTGTGACAGATGTCCATGTCCATGTCTATTCTTGTATGTTATACGCCAGTATAGTACCTAATACGTACTCGGTATAGTACACACGCTTCGCTGTCTCTACCTCGGTACATATGTATATAAATCTCTCGCTCCGTGGTATATAAAGCCTGTAAATCGGACTTAACGTTCGGTGTTGAACAATCGACGGGTGAACACTAGGAAGTGGACATACAATACATCCCCTTCTATCCTTCCCGCGACACGCCTGAACATTTCGACACAGGCCGCTTGCACATGTACAGCACTAGCGTACTCTCTTTGCTTGCCGCTAGATCGTGGGTTGACTAATGTCGCTTACTGAAGCTGACGAGAGCGTGTCCTCCCTAGGGCAGCCAGTGGGTCGTGCTTGGATCCTTTGTAATGCTTTCAAACGGCCAGATTTTAGGTCATCTCTCTGCTCGAGCCGTCTTCTTCACCCTTCCTAGATGGATAGAGTGTAAGAGGTAAAGAGCCTTCTTGGTGGAATGACACTGTCAGGAGAGGTCGGCAACCCAAGCTATGCTCTTGAGCACTGTGGGATGAGGGCTGCTGGCCGTTCACGAACAGTGGACTGTGTGGCTCCATGGAAGAAGTACCAGGTAACAGCTTGGGTCTAGCTCGTGCGTCTTATAGCTTGATCTTCACGCCGCTCTTGTCCAGTCCTAGAGCTACCCCGGTGACCATCACGGCATAAACTATCAATAGACCCATTGCCTCTAGTGGAGGCATATCGAGCGTGTTGAAAGTCAGATTGACCAGACCCGTCAATAGATTGGCAATCAGAAAGACGACGAGCCCACTGTTGTTATATACCGCCAAAATGCGGCTGGTTGCAGATCGAACCCGGTCCTTGTCTTCCGGATTGTAGGAGAATATTGGCCCCAAGTCTTCCACCATACCAAACAGGAAGAGTTGGGCATTGTTAAACGCCACGACCCACAGCACGTAAGGAAGGTTGGCGAGGCGGCGGGATACTGTGAGATTGAACATGTAGATGCTCGTCGTTGCCCAGTACAGGAAACCATAGACGAGAGACATGACGAAAAGGCCCCTGAGGACCGATTTTCTCTCACGACGCGTGACCTCGCTCGGGCTCGACTGCTTCGTGACCTTGGAAACTGGTTCGTTAAACCGGACCAAGAGTATTCCGGTTCCACGCCCTGCGAGGAAGATCGCCAGGTATCCTGTGAATGAGAACACTCCTTCACGATTTTTCGACAAGAGACCGGGTCCTCGAGGAGAAATTAGAATATACGACAGAAGGTCTGTGTTGTCAAGGACCAGTTCGTAGACGACAGCCAGAGTGAGAGCAAAGACCTCGTAGGACTTGAATGCCCTGATTAGGCTGTCAGAGATCTCTACGAAGGGTGGAAGTAATGCCATGGTGAAAAAGAAATTCCAGTGCACTCCGTATTCCGTGACATGCTCGGCGTAGTCGAGTCCTTTGACGCTGTAAAGACGAATAAAGCCGAGGATGAGTAAAGGAATAGAATGTCGAAAAGCTTTGATGAAACGACTGCCAAAGTTGGAGGTGGTTTGTGGAGAGGCCGGGTCACTGAAACGGACGCGGACGACAGCTCGAGCAGAGACCACGCCGGCGGAAAAGACGAAAGAGCCCACGCCTAGATCCATGAGCGACGTGCCCCATGTCTCCACTTTGGCGTATCGACGAGGGAAGATGGGAAAGTCGACAGCTAGGATAGCCAAACAGGTCACAACGAGCATGGAGCCTCGGTAATGAGTGAGGAATGGTCGAACGGGGAGGGTCAGAGAAGCATTGGAAGTGCTAGTATCGCGTCCACTAACAACCGAAGGATCGACATTGGCTGGTTTCCTTGGTTTCCTAGCCGATGAGTTGGCTGAGCCGTCCGAAGAAGTGGTCGACTGCCCAGTCTTGAGGAATACAAGGAGCACCGCCGGCGTGATGAGAAAGACGTTCAAGGCCAGCGGCGCTGATGAATAGAGAGTGATGGCGAACAAAATAGCGCAGACATTGAGCAGGAAGTCGGCGAGTAAAGCGACCGGAGAGGACGGCGTGAAGAGTGAGTAGTTCTTCTGCAAAGTAGTCCAGAGAAAGACGGCGGCCTGCGAATATCAATCAGCCATGGTTCGTGAGTGGAGGCCGCAGATGGAGCTTTGCAGAGGAATCATACTGCGGCAACAAGCGTGACCAAATTGATCTCGGTCAAGGAACTTCCGTAGAGGTTGGACACGAAGGCTTCCTTGCGAGCCTTGTAGGAAGCTGCTGCAGTCGTGGCCATGGCAGCAAGTCTAGAGTCTATCTCATCGTAAAAGGATTGAGGGAGCGACTTGTGGAATATGGTGTGTGTGCGGAGGTTGAGAGGGAGAGGAATTGGAGGTGATTTGTGACAAGGTGGCAGCAAATCTGATTGAAATGACAGGGGCGCAGGTGCGTGACTGCCGCCTTTACAATTTCATTTCAAATGACACCATCTTTGGCATATCATCATTATCATTGCAATTGGTTGAGATTCTATATTGGCAAACACCTCGACTGATGGGGTCCTTTCCATCAGACGAGTATCGAATCCGCATATAGATTCTCCTTACTCAGGTCGAGCAAAATCAAATATTGCTGCGCTACCGCCCATCGGGAAGACATTGTTTCCAACACCTTCCTGAGAACATGGTAGGCGTCTCCCATTTCCCTTACTCCTGTTTCTTGGGCAAGCCATGCGTATATAGCCGCCGCAAAATATAAACAATCACCAAGCAAAGGACTTGCCGCCGCAGGGTTCGATAGCATGCCCATGTGCCACAGCTGGCTGAAACGGAGTACATCTGATGCAACCGACTTCAGCCCTGCGATTGCAATTGTCTGCATCTCAGTCTCTTCGACAGTATGGAAGCCGTGGTTGGACTCGGTACAGGCAAAGGGGTCACACAGGTGCATGAGACTGCTGTAACAGAGGGCCAAGGGTGTTCCATAGCGCTCGGGAACGTGATGGACATCGTTGGGAAGTAGGTTTGCCAATGCCTGCAGTGTCCGATGTAGTTGGATTGCTTCTGAAAATCGCATGGGGGCATCAAGCATTTTGTCATTGAGGAGTCGGACGAGCCTTCCCATGAGGTGCGTCGCCTGGCACGTTCGTGTAAACGCTCCGGCTTTGACATTGGTGGGCGAGGTCACGTAAAGGGGCTCACTTGTCGTTATGTGGCCTTCGTCCCAGAGGTCGTCGTCTGCCGGTAAGGTTTCATTGAGGACAGGGTCATCGGTAGACAAAGGGTGACCTGAGGAACCCAGATTGACATACCTCCACCACAGGTCAGCTTCAGATCCGTACAGGGGTATAGTTGCACATACCTATCCAGCAGCATTGTTGCCCACCACGTCCTTTTGAACTCTTCTAGCTCCGCCCACGCTCCCGATTTCTTCTTCAACATTTGAGGAGCACGTTTCCTGTCGTTGAGACCCAGAGCATGTCCTAGCCTTGCGCAGTGTCCAGTACTTAGGTAAGCAGCTGGATAGACCGCATGGCCGAGCTCGTACGTCGCGATCAAGATGTTTGCTTGCAGCAATTGTAAGGACATCAATCCACTCGATTCCACCATCGTGGCGTAGCTCTTGGTGAGATTGTACAGCGGGGATCGAATACTCTGGGAATCCCCCTGGGGAACTTGGAGGACCAGTTTCATGGACAGCAGGAGGAGTGCTAGGTCGAGAGTGAGCTCCAGAGCGGGATTGGACAGTGTCAGCTGCATGCGCTTCTTGGAGATGAAAGGAAGCCAGGTGTGAATGTTGGCAAAGTACCGGTCGACAATGTCCTGGATGTCCAGGATCGAGACTCCCACCGTCGCCGCAACCTCGGGGGGGACCGCTATGTTGGGTCGAGGAATGGTCATCTGCGCTTCGGCATAGACTTCGGCGTCGAGGAAAAAAGCAGGCGGGAAGGTGACATTGCTGTCGGTCGCAAAGCCAGCCTCGCTGCCCGTGCCCGGGCTCCTGCTGAAAGATCGCATCGGTCCATGCCAGCCCTCGGAGCGTCGACCTTCGAGTCGGGCTTCCAGGTCAGCAATTTTCTGTCGCATCATGGCAAAGTCTTCAGAGGTAGGAATCGGGGCGGTCTCCGAATAATCACAAGGCCGGGACATGCGAGTGCACAACGAGCAGCTGGGCAACAACTTGTCGCATTTTCTCTTTTGCTTTCGACAGGAGACGCAGGCTTGAGGGGCTTTATCAGGTTGGTCTGCCGTGTCGACGTCCATGGTGATGCACAGGTCTTTGCAGAAATCTGTTCGAGCCCAGCGCAGCGAAGTAAAAGATGGGATGGTGAGACAGCTGGCGGTTCATGCGGCCGCATTGGAAAGGGGTGATCCGCCTTGTCGTTTATAGACTGATCGCGAAGCCCGCGATATCCCCTGTGGCGTATAGTTCGATTTTACCGGAAATACCTCGTACATCAGAGGCCATCCATGGCGTCTTTATGTAAGAGCCAAGACTGACTAATTGGGAAGTAATTCCCAAATAGCCACATCCACGGCCACGGACGAGTGCTACGTCCGTCGAACACCTTCTATTCAAGTCGCCAACGTCAAGTTCGAATGTGAAAAATGGTCCGGAGACAACCTCATTGTACAGTGTGTCGACATTCCCAATATCCGATCTATACACGGGTGCCCAGAACGGCGCCCTATGATGTGTACTTCTTCTGCAGCGCCTTGGCTATCGTGGTGAGCTGGATGTTGCTCGTTCCCTCGTAGATGGCCCCGATCTTACTATCTCTGAACATCTTCTCGGCGATGCCTTCACGGACAAACCCCATGCCTCCCATCCACTCAACAGCTAGTCCACTGACTTTCCCGGCAACCTGACTGGCATACAACTTGGCCATGGCGGCATCGGTAACAAAATCCTCGCCCGCCTCCTTCTTTCGAGCGGCGTTGTAGACCAGTGCGCGGGCGGCACAGATCTCGGTGTAGGCTTGCGCAAGTTGATGTTGCATGCCCTGGAACTCACCGATCAATTTGCCAAACTGCTTCCGGTCGTTCCACACGTACTTGGCGGCGTTCTCCCAAGCTCCCAGAGCCAACCCCGTCATTTGCGCGCCAATACCAATACGCCCTTCGTTCAAAAGACTGATTGCATACTTGTAGCCTTGCCCTTCCTGACCCAGGAGATTCTCCTTGGGAATTTCGACATCGTCAAAGTTAATGACGCAGGTGCTGGAAGCCCGGATACCAAGCTTCTTCTCTTTCTTGGCAATGCTGAAGCCCTTCATATCTTTGGTCAGGACAAATGCCGAGATACCTTTATACCCGGCCTCGGGGTTAAGATTGGCAAAAACTAGAAAGAATTCGGCTTCCATGGAATTGGTTATCCACATCTTGGAACCGTTGATCTAGTACTTTGTAAGTAAATCGGATGACAGGAAAGAGCCCGACACCAAACAGCAACGAAAAAAAAATGAAGAGACATACCTTATAGCCATTTGACGTCTTTTCTGCCTTGGTCTTCAGTGCAAAGGCGTCGGAGCCTGATGCAGGTTCAGACAAGCAGAATGATCCGACAGTGTTCGTAGCCAGCTTTGGAAGCCACTCCTTCTTGAATGCTTCACTACCGTACCTGAGAACGGCCGTCACCACCAACGTGTTGTGTACATCACACATAACCGACACCGAAGGGTCGACCCTGGCAATCTCCTCAATTCCCACAATGGCAGATGTGAAGTTCATCCCAGCGCCACCATACTCTTCAGGAATCTCAAATGCCATGAGCCCTTGCTCGAACATCTGCTCAATGACGGCCGGGTCCATCTGCTCGTTCTCGTCCATCTCCCTCACTTTTGGCGCGACCTCTTCATTCGCCCATCTGGAGACAGATTCTGCAAGCATTCTCTCGGTCTCCGAAAAGTGAGTGATGGGGGTCGGAGACAGGGAGGCCGTGTCGATGTCATCGGGCATGTAAGGTTCAGCATAGCGCCGCCTTGAGGTAGTCGTGAATGTTCGCTTGCTGGTGCCAATTTAGCCAACGTCGGGGGTCTAGAGGGAGGGAAGAGCATACGGCAGAAGATTTCTTCGAGGAAGGGATCTGGTTGCTGGTGAGAGAGGCGCAATGTATGTAGTAGCTTTTGCGAGGGGTCGCAGCGTTCTCGGTATGGCGGCCATGTTGACTTTTCAGGAGTTGAGAGTGAGGACCGGCAAAGTCGTGCTCAGGTCCAGGGCGAATGTGTATATAAGACTGATCAAGACTCCGAAGGGATAGTTTCGGGCAACAAATTGCAAGTTACAGCTATGGTTGTCCTGCGCAATTGGCTTTTGCAGAAGCAGATTCCTCGGTGCTCGGCTCATCAACCTCCCCTGCTAGGCGGGCAAGGCGGGCCACACGCGGATATTGAAGGATCGGCGACTTCTCGGATCCTATTTCACGGGCCAAGGAGAGCCGCTGGGAACTCTGGACCTCTGGACGAGAAGCGCGAGTCCTTGGATCTTCTTAAACGATAGGATGCCCACCTCCTGCATCCCCAGCCTCCCTCGCCAGCCAAAAATGATCCAGTCTAGAACGCCACGAACACCAAGCGATTTGAGCTGCAGTGGCTGCCTGTGGCTGATAACAACTTGTGGCTTGAGATTTACCGTGGCGCAGCAACCGGACTCTGACGTCGCTCACTACGGGATCCAGCCATCCTGCGCAAGTTGCGACCCTTTGGCGCCCACTTTTCACGCAGTCATCCATTCAACTGGCGACAACCGATGATGCCCAGCATTCAAGTCCAAGTCAAGGATATATTAAGAATCGATCGATAGCCGCCCTAGATTGTACCCCTAAGGTTTGATTTCTTTTGTTTCGTCGCCCAGTTTTCCCTCGCCGTGCGCAAAAAGTGCTTGTTACCCCTCTCTATCCTTTCGAACGTCACCCGGTACCTTGGTACCATCTTGCGTTGGCTGTCTATCATGTCTGCCGGTCATTCTGAGCCGCAGGTGCTCTACAGCGTCAACAATATCTCTGCCTATTCTGTCCAGAATGGAGAGGAACATCTGATCACGACGTCGGGCCCTCAGACATTGTCGCTGCTGATGGTGCCGACTGCGTCACCTTTTGCCGACTTGTCAACCACAGAACCTACCAGCGCAACGCCCGAAGAAGATTTCTACCTCCACCTGCATCTGCCTCCGGAACTAGATCTCCCCCTGCCTGCTACTACCCAGATCTATCACAAACCTCCCAGCAGTTACCTGATACCGCGATGGGATCTGGGGCCTGACGCGGGGGCTTTTATCCGGCTGCAATTCCCTTCCGTAGGCAGCGGGCCGGGAAAGGTGACGCAAGACGAGGTAGACACATTTGAGACCATTCTTGCCCAATGTACGGCGTTCCTGGAACGTGTACATAGCACACCTCCAGGATTCGAGCGCTACGATCCGAGCAATTATCGACCAGGAGAGGGTTATATTGGGACACCCAAGCCTGAAAAGGAGCGCCCTCACCAACATGGCCAAATTGTGCTTATTGACGAAGAGAATGGAAGCGTAATCGGAGAGCTTCAGGACAACTACACGCTGGTTGAGGAGACATCGGTCAAGCCTGGATCGAAAAGTACGTGTATCATCTACTTCTCCCGTCTTTGGATTTTACTGACAGGTTGTACACAGCTCCCGTCCAGATACAGCTGCCTGTCGAAGGGCAAGGCAATCAGATTCGGGTCGACAACGTTTCCGAAGATTATCTCGAAATGTCGAAACATCCGGCTTACGCGAAGTCGCGAGTCGTCCAAAGCTCTGCGACCGCCTCAAGGCTAATTGTGACGAGTTCCTCTTACCTCGCTAATAAGATGTCATCTGGCGCAGATTCATTCCAAAGAAAAACCCAGCCGAATCCCAAGCCTATGACATTCTCCCCTGCCACCCACGCGCGCATTCGTCAGATCCATTCCTTTACTCAGGGGGCTGTTGGTCTCAGCGCGAAGACGGTTGGTCAATTGGGTAGATATGCCCAGAATTTCGGGGCCTCGCTGGCTCGGAAAGGAGAAAAGAACAGAAAAGAGCTGGGCAAGGACTATAAACCTGGCATTCTCAACAAATCCATGATTGCTTTCTCCACCATTGCTGATGGCATCGATCAGGCAGGTCGCAACCTTCTGGCTTCAAGCTCGGCGGCGGCGACGAACGTAGTCAGCCACAAATACGGCAAGGAGGCCGGTACCGTGGCGCAAGGTCTGGCTGGTGGTGTCAAGAATGTGGGGCTTGTCTACATCGATGCCATGGGCGTGTCCCGTCGAGCAGTAATCAAATCCGTGGCGAAGGGCATGGTGGTCGGCCGCATGCCAAACGGGCAACAACTCGTGGTCGGCTCCGGAGACGGAGGCATTGTGCCAGCCGAAGCATATATGCCCGACGAAAAGCGGGACGATTATGATGCCTCGTCTTATTCAGGAGCCTCGCAGAGCGCTGCAGGTCAGCCCGGGTATGGAGTTGAAAGTTATGGCAACGCGGTCAATGCACCGCCTTCATATCCTTCGGGGGTCGGTGAACCTTTGGGCTCAACACTGCAGGGTCAGCATGTGCGGGAGAAGTGATGACACATTTTTAAGATGCTTTGATTTGGTGTTTCATGAGACGATGGATGATAGTGATTCGGGCCTAGCTTTTTGGACCTTCCCAGCCTGATGCTTCCGGTATGAATGTTTCAAGCTGGCTGAAGCAGGGCAATGGTCACCTTGCAGACCAATGAGATGATGGCAAGTACCGGCGCGGGTCGCGTTCTGCTACCTCGTCTGTACCCACGGTTCGCTTTTTTCTCCTTTTCAAACCGGATTGAGCATGGATTGCAGATTGCATGCACGACATCCGCCGGGCCCAAGTGGCTGAAACCGAGACACATTATTATTGTCTTTCGACTCGACTCGAAGACACGTACTAATCGCTTGACCGCCATTTCGTCACTTTGGGTTGCCGCTTGGGTCCCAGTAAACTTCAGCCATGCTTTGAGATTCGCATTGGAGTTGGACAGAGTTCCTGACTGCATCTCAGAGTCGGCCACTCAATCGTCCCGAGTTTGTCTGTCCTGCGCGAATTAGACTTGCATTATATGCACAGAAGCAACGGGCGCTGATGCACTGATGCGCTGCAGGATTTAATGTAAAATGTTCACATGTGTCGATCTTGAGCTCAAGGATGGTGGACCTACTGGAGACTCTGGGGCGCGGCTTGTTACCTTCGGGGCTTACTTACTGCCCTCGTATAGGTGTGGCGCAACTGTATTGGGCTAAACAGGGGGTGCCCCAGAAGGAGTTCGTTCTAGCCGTAGTCACCAAAACCCACCGAGAGTGTAACCAGCGCCAGTAGCACTTTGCCAACGCGTGGTTGGTCGAGCCACTCTGGATGGGCCCGAGGCTCAGGTGGCTCGCCCACTCGCCCACAAACCCCCCAAGCAAATCACGGGTCACACCTGTGGGCACATGGTCTTTGTTCCGCCCATTGCGGCTGCGCGTCAAACGCCTCCCAGAGTGCTCGCGTTTGGAGATCCTCGCGCAGATGAAATTTCGCTAGAGGAAATCATGTTCGCTGTTGGAAGCAGACGGTGGATTTTCTTTTTCCCGACTCGTTGACTTCGGCTTGGAGTACGAAGGAGAATCATCATCTCACAGAAGGCAGGGTAAGGCGATTTAATAACAATCATGGTTCGACGCCGTTGACGCGATGATCAGTCATGTTCACGTGTACATAGGTACAGAGAGGCTCGGGTGATTGTTGCGCTGAGATTGGGTGGATCTGGCTCCGGGCCCCTATTCTCGGCGTCAAGGTCAAGTGCCATTCCATAACTGGGAACAGAGTCATTCTTAACAGAGACTATCCAAGGTCTCTCTGCCTCTGTCTTCAGTAGCATGTGTCGTTCGGATCGAATGGAAAAGAGAAACACTATCATCAGTCACATTTTCGAGGGTGCGCAGCCCGCCCGCCTCCACAGGCTCCAAGGTGTACAATGCTTCTTCTTGAACGCGGGTTGACTTTCTCATTGACAAAAAAGAGGACCATGTGGTTCATTCATGCTTAATGTGGAGTGGATTCCTTTAACACCCTGAGGCCCCATCTGTACACAGGATAATTGCCCTGCGTATGGCACCCAGCGCGTCAAGGTGTCCGGTACAGAGAAAGCGGACGTTGGAGTTGTAGATGAATGAAACAGGCAGTAAAGAGCTTCTTTTCAGTAGGAATCCGGAGTCGATGTTCGGTTCAAGTAGTTAACAGCCCTAGCAAGCCTAACTGTGATTAACAAGAAATCGCTTGCTGGCTAGCGTGGCCAATTTTCCGGCCACCCTTTTGGGGGGTTTTGGGTGGACAAGCGAGTTGGCTGCGCTGCTGCTGCGCTGCTGGTGCTGGGATTGCTGCGTTGTCCGTCTTCTCACCGGTCAACCACAACAACTCGCAATCATCTGTTCTGCCGCACTTCTCCCACCAAACAACAGCACCGTGCTTTTTTATTCGATCCCTAGAAGCAACAAAATAAAAAACATACGAGTCTCCTTCGCTGTCTCACCGCCTATCCGTCCTGCTGGCCAGTCACCACCCATCCACCTCCTTTGAGCGCCTAGGTCGATTCTACCCTAACTCCAAAATCGATCGACTTCGATAGACCTAACACCGTACCCGCGATAATGACCGCAGTCCTGCCTGTGCCTCGCCTCACTTCGTTCCCTGTCTGTTGACATCCGGTTGACTGGCCTTCCTTCATCTTGTTGCAGACGTCGCAGGCTCGGCGTTCGTCCTTGACCCTTCGCCCAGAGTTTGTTGTCCTTTGGGCATTCGAACACTAGCTCCCTGCTTCACTGGTGCCAACAGTGATCCAGCGATCTCACACCACATCGTGCCCTGAACGCCCTCCACACCGAAGCGTGCTGTTCATAATTCGGGCCTCTGGATGAGTTGGAACGGTCCCTCGGTGAGTAGGCTGGAGTCCTTAGCTCAGTGCAACCACTAACCTTGTCATTCAATTTAGTGTACAACCCTTCACTTCACCACGTTCCTGCATCCTTCAGACAGCAGATCCTCGAACTTTACCTTTGGCGTATCCTGATTCTGGCTTTTTAGGGTGCGAGTGCGTGGTCGACCCCACGACTCTGGGTGGTTGAAGGATGTCTACGGACACGGCTGGAGGTCAATACCGGCAACATATGTCAAGCGCTGCTGCGTACCCGCAAGCTGAAAGCTATCACTATGAACATCAACATGGCGCAGATCCTGAGCGCTACTACTCGAATCAACCTGTAAGTCCCGGGCGCTGTGTGGAATCAACATTAAGAGAGGGACTTCAGCGCAATACTGATATTCGTGCTTCCTAGTACTACCCGTCGCAAGACGACGATGACCTGAACTACACCTCTCACGAAGACCATACTCCTATCACCACCACCTCATATGACAACCCAGCAACGACGTTGCCTTATCACATTCGCAATCAATCGACTGCCCATGACCAATACGATGGCGCGCCGATTCCTCCTCCCAGGACGTCCTCTCAACAGCAGGGTTCTCCACGTACCCCTGGGGCTCCCTCATCTGCCCCATTGGAAGCAAGAGTAGCTGCAACACGGCAGGCGAGACAAAATGCACCAGATTCACACGCTGGTCGGGTTCAGAATCGTGTCGGAGATTACAATGAAGAAACGCGAGATAGGTCACGGGACGATACCGCAACGGCTGCTGCATCTGCTGCACGTAACCGACGAAAGGGTCCTGCCAGTCCCGAGGGTCCACACCGTGCCGCAAGCACAAGAGAACGAGGTGCACACACCGCCCCAACTCAAAGCCGATCTGAAGCCACCATGCATCCAGCTAACACCGCTGCGACGCTGGCGCGTGAGTACAGCGATGTCATCAGCAGGGTGGTCGTATCTGATCCACAGGAAGATATTGAAAGAGCTCAAGAGAGAATAGCCGAAGCTCAACCCATGAACCCAGAGACTCGACACGTACCGGCTCTGGACGACGATCTTCTTCCTCCTCCCGGGCCAGCTCGTCGGCAAGACTACTCCAAATCATCTCGCCGCAAGGACGTCCAATTTGGGGACTATGTGCTTGGCCAAACGCTAGGAGAAGGTGAATTTGGTAAGGTGAAATTAGGCTGGAAAAAAGACGGTAGCACTCAAGTGGCTATCAAACTCATTAGGAGAGAGACTGTGGCTTCCAACCCGACACGACTTCCCAAGATCTATCGTGAGATTTCCATCCTGCGGGATCTGGCGTATCCCAACATTGTTCGACTCCACGAAATGGTCGAGACAGAACGACACATTGGCATCATTTTGGAATATGCTTCTGGTGGCGAGCTTTTCGACTACATTTTGAATCACCGATATCTCAAGGATCCTGCTGCTAGGAGGCTGTTCGCTCAGCTTGTCTCTGGCGTCGGCTACCTTCATAAGAAAGGAATCGTCCACCGTGACCTGAAATTGGAAAATCTTCTTCTCGACCAGAATCGCAACATCATCATCACAGATTTTGGATTCGCCAACACATTCGACCCCAAAGACGAGCTGTCTGATGAAATTGTGTACAATCTTGGTAACAAGGAGTTTATCAGGAAGTTCAAGCTTGATCGACTTGACGCCCGCGGAATGAGGAGAGGCGACCTGATGCAAACCAGTTGTGGCAGCCCTTGCTATGCGGCCCCTGAATTGGTAGTTAGTGACTCTCTCTATACGGGGAGGAAGGTTGATGTCTGGAGTTGCGGGGTTATTCTGGTGAGTACTTGTAATCATGCATTCTCGTTTGTCTGCGTCCGCTAATGCCTTTTCAAGTATGCCATGCTGGCTGGATACTTGCCCTTCGACGACGACCCTGCAAACCCTGAAGGCGACAACATCAACCTCCTCTACAAGTACATCACCACGACTCCATTAACCTTCCCGGAATACGTCACTCCCCATGCGCGAGATCTTCTTCGCCGTATTCTAGTTCCAGATCCTCGAAAGCGCGCCGACTTATTTGAGGTCGCTCGACACAGCTGGCTCAGTGAATACCAGCACGTGGTATCCGACATGACTAGCAGCACCACCAATGTCGCCGAGATCCCACACGGTAGTGTTCGAGCTGGTAAGTCATTTATTGTTATTGACATGGCATAGTTTTAACTTGTGGCAGAAGATGATGAACGGCCCGCCGTCAATAGAAGCGCATCGGTACGTGAAGTACCGGCGAAACATAGTCGAGCTTCTCCTGCCGCACTTGCACGCTCCCCAGAAGCGCTGCTACACGAAGGTGATGAGGATTCTACCGGTTCACGGCGGACCCGCCATACCTTACAACCAGAATATGTCCCTCCTCAGACTCATACGGCCCGTGGGCAATCCGCCACGACGACAGAACCGACAGTCAGTCGCACTCAGGAAGTGCCCCAAGGTATCGCTGCTATGCAGCCAATATCGTTATCGAAACCACTGCCTCAGGACCCTCCCGTCAATCTTGCACGAGGAGAAAGAGTGCCTTCGCAACAGAAGATGCCGCCTGTACGTCCAGTTCGAGAGATTCCTAGATCGGTATCGGACTCAACCAGTGCGTTTGGCACAGCTCCGGCGCCGACCAGCCACTTCGTCACCAGACCTAGCACCCAGGGCTCAATCACATCTGCAAATGGCCCGGTCAATACCAGGTCCGACCTTCGTCTACCCTCTCGGGGATCGTATGGTCAGCCGGTGGCTCCAACAGTGGCTGCAACCAACGTTCAGGGTCGCGTCACACAGCCTACCAAGACCAGTCGAGGTTACAACATTTCTGGTCCTCTGCCACAATCCGGTGCGCAGAACTCCATTGGACAACCGATGACGACGCCAATGCCACCGCCCAGTTCGCATCAACCGCAGAAAACCGCTCATCACCGACGTTCAAGCACATTGAGTGGGCTGGGAGAGCGGCTCTTTGGCAGATCCAATTCCGTTGTGAAGAAAGACGTAGAGCGACAAAAGAACGGGCGAAAGTACCCGCCCACCAGCATGAAGGAATACCCCTCGGATGCGCAACCCCGGATGTCAACAGAATCCAAGCGATCCTTCTCGTTTGGGCTGGGCAAGAAGCGGAGCACGGATATGGAGAACCAAGCGCAAACAGAGAAGCCGGTACGACGATTTTCACTTATTCCTAGTTCGATGTCGTTCAAAGGTCTGATGGGGAGTGCAAAGGACGAATATTCATCCAAACCAGGCACCCCGCAAGCTGAACGATTTGCTCCTCCGGCACCGGGGCGACCGACAACCAGCCAGGAACAGATCGTCCAACATATTGCGAACACTGATGGACAGTATGAAGCGTCACGGCCGGTCAAATACAACAACTTTTCACGACCGCCTCAGTCCCAGTATCAGACACCACGATCTGCCACCACGCAAGCCATGAACGACGTCTATGGCGGAACGGCTGTCTACGCTCCGCAGGGGCAGACCGTACACCAACGTCAACAGAGTGAGCCCATGGCACAAATGATGGCATATCCCGACGTTGTGCAACCAAGTGATCGACCGTCAATCCAACAAGGTCGCCAGGCTCGGGGAGTCTTGGTCAAAAATAATCGCAAGTTTACTGAAGCATATGATCAGGAGCAGGGACCGGCACACCACGGTGGAAGGTCCGGAGCCGTTAAGAAGGTCCAAGATTTCTTCCGCCGACGTCGAGCTCCCACGGACGGCGACTATCGATGAATGCGCTCGTTGCGCTTGGGCATGTATCGTTCTCCTGTTCTGCAGGAGAGGTCAAGAAGATTCTGGTTTGGTGGATTGGGTTCAGAGGGTGGATATCGACGTTTCTTGTAATCAATTAATCATTGGCGGACATTGTTTTCCACCCCGTGTCAATCTGGGTGCGAATTTGGCGGAGGCCTTTGCATTCAACAACCACCATTTTGTCTTCCGTTCACTCCTCCTGAACGAGGGCGGGAATAGGAGATTGGGCCTGTGAATCCCATTGGACTTTGAAAGGTCATTCTATGTGTCAGAGTACAAAGTAAGTCAGATTCATGTCGTTAGCTGGCGGCGTTCGTTTTTTTCGCTAGGAAAGGTCGAGGGTGCAAAGAAAGCCGGCTTGTTGAGACTTGTACTGGAGCTTTTTCGAGGGCTTGGACTTGACATTGGGGGCATTTGATTCTTCGCTGGCACGGGATGGTTGAAGAGACTTGAGGGATCGGAAAGATGGATACCCCCCCCCCCCCTACGTAGCATTGTATGATTGTGTTTTTCAACAGGAAGGATGCACAGGCACAAGACAAGCAGACAGACACAAACCACAAATCAGAAACTCAACAGGTACTCTAAAAGGGAGGTTACTTTCGGACTATTGCTCGGTGTTTTCTCTTTTTATTGATATTGTGTGGGATGTGCTGCGGTCATCTTCTACATGCAGGAAAGTCACATCATCTCACAAGCCCCAGTCAGGCCAAGCTTTGTGGAGTTGAGAGCGGAGGAGCTTGTTCCTGGATCTTGTCGACTACCACCTTGTCGCTTTTGAGAACCCGTCGCCATTACCTGTTTCTTCACTAGACGCTCTCGTCCTCCCCCGCAATATGCAATCCTACATTCGACCATCAACGTCATCTGCCACCTGCCTGTCACCATCGCCTCTCGAGTCCAGGAAATGGTACCCGCCTGAGAAGAGATGGGCCGATTGTACACACTCCACTTAAGAGGAGGCAAAGAGCTGCCGGAAACTGGGTCTGGTTGCCCCCGCGGGGAAATTTCCAACTGGTGCTTCGTCCTTGAAAGGTTACATGGCGAGAATACAAGGCTTCTTCTGGCTGGATGGTGAGAATATGGTGGATGTGTGCGCCACTGACGAACACCTCCCTCTTTGTCTGGTAATCATCCTATGCACAGACACCGCAGTCCGTTCACTGGTCCCCCTCACAATGAGTATCCCACTGGCCTCAACACAACCCACTTCGCTTCTCTTGATAAACTCCCTGTACTCCTCATCTTGTGGACATGCTTGAGCCCAACGTGAGTTTCACCATCACAGTTTCGTATCGTGCCTTTAGCAGTCACTAGCTGTAAAGAAGGACTGCAAGATGAGGTCGATATCGCTATTTTCTCTCCTGATTCCTGCCTCTTGCCTCGTTGCAGCACAGTCTTCCACGGCGACCAGCGCTGCGGCCCAGTTCACTGTCCCAGCAAGTGCTGATCTCGGTGTCACCCTTCTTCCTAACATTGATGACCCTACTGCGGCCAACGCCCAAGTCAAATGTCCAGGCTATACGGCCTCACAAGTGAGCACGTCTTCGACCGGATTGACGGCCCATTTGACTCTTGCTGGCACGGCCTGCAATGTCTATGGGACTGACATCCATGACTTGGACTTGTCGGTCGAGTACCAGACCTCGTCACGGCTGCACGTCAACATTCGGCCTTCCCATATAACCTCCCAGAACCAGAGCTGGTACCTTCTCTCGACCGACTATGTCCCAGCTGGGAACCAGAGTGGTGGCTCCGTGACCACAAGCGACTTGACATTTTCTTGGGCCAACTCACCCAGCACGGGGTTTGGATTCAACGTAACCCGCAATAGCACCGGGGACGTCTTGTTCTCGACGACTGGCACAAAACTGGTCTTTGAGAACCAATTCATCGAGCTCGTTACGCACCAGCAAGAGAATTACAATCTCTACGGCCTGGGAGAGGTCATTCATGGGTTGAGACTGGGAAACAACCTCACACGCACAATTTATGCCGCCGATGTTGGCGATCCAATCGACCAAAACCTATACGGGAGCCATCCATTCTACCTCCAAACCAAGTATTTCGAGGTCGGCAGCGACAACAGTACCACTCTCCTGACTGAGCAGCTCGACACGACTGAGGCTACCGGGAATTACACCTCCTTCACCCACGGTGTCTATTTCCGCAATGCTCATGGCATGGAAGTCCTCCTAGAAGCCAACAATGTGACATGGAGAACATTGGGCGGCAGCATCGATCTGTATTTCTTCTCCGGACCGACACAGCCGGACGTGACGAGTCAGTATCTGAATGTGATAGGCATGCCAATGCTGCAAAACTATTGGGGATTTGGTTACCATCAGTGCAGATGGGGATATCAAAACTGGACTGTCACAGAAGCCGTCGTCGACAGCTATGAACGCTTCGGTATTCCACTTGAAACAATTTGGAACGACATCGACTATATGTTTCAATACCGAGATTTCGACAACGACCCCGTCCGCTTCAACTACTCGGATGGTAAAGCCTTCCTCCAACGTCTCCACAACAGAGGCCAACATTACGTGCCTATCATCGATTCTGCCATCTATGTTCCTGATCCAACAAACGCAAGCGATGCATACCAGCCGTTCGATGACGGCAATGCAACCAATTCATTCCTCCTCAATCCAGACGGGTCACTCTACATTGGCGAGGTTTGGCCTGGTTACACCGTCTTCCCGGACTGGCTCCAGCCGTCTGCCCGAGCATGGTGGAAGAACCAGATTGTCACGTGGCATCAAAAGCTTCCTGTCGACGGTGCTTGGATCGACATGAGTGAAGTATCCTCATTTTGTGTAGGAAGCTGTGGTACTGGAAATCTCACGCTCAACCCGGTCCATCCACCCTTCGGTCTCCCAGGCGAGCCCGGCAATGTCATCTACGACTATCCGGAAGGCTTTAATTTGACCAATGCCACCGAGGCTGCTTCAGCCTCTTCAGCTTCTCAAGCCCAGGCGACGCCAACCTCGACTGCCTCAGCGTCAAGCTCAAGCTCGTCTTCGTCGACAACAAGCTACCTGCGCTCAACACCAACGGCAGGACAACGCAACATCAACTATCCGCCCTATGTGATCAATCATGTCCAAGGAAACCACGATCTGGCTGTGCATGCGGTATCTCCAAATGCCACACACCACAATGGTATTCAAGAATACGACGTCCACAACCTCTTCGGCCATCAAATCCTCCAAGCTACGTACGCTGGGCTCTTGGCTGCGATCCCCAACAAGCGACCTTTTGTCATAGGGCGGTCCACATTTCCCGGTTCAGGCACTGTGGCAGGCCACTGGGGCGGCGACAACGCTTCCAAATTCTTCTACATGTACTTCTCTATCCCACAAGCTCTGTCGTTCAGTCTCTTCGGCATCCCAATGTTCGGCGTCGACACCTGTGGATTCAATGGCAACTCGGACGAGGAGCTGTGTAATCGGTGGATGCAACTATCAGCCTTCTTCCCCTTCTACCGCAATCACAACACGCTCTCTGCGAACCCCCAGGAGGCGTATGTTTGGAGTAGTGTTATCGATGCCACCAAGACTGCCATGAATGTGCGCTTCCAATTACTGCCGTATCTGTACACACTGTTCTATTATGCCCATACACGAGGCGATACAGTCATGCGTGCCCTGGCGTGGGAGTTCCCCAACGACCCCAGCCTCGCGAACGCCGATAGACAGTTCTTCCTCGGCCCGTCAATCCTCGTCACCCCAGTCCTCACGCAGGGTGCGACCAGTGTGGATGGCGTGTTCCCCGGCCTCGTGGAAGGCACTGATACTTACTACGACTGGTACAACAAGTCGCCTATCGCGATCCCTAGCGCGAAGAACACCACCATCGACGCACCCTTGGGCCACATCCCCGTGTTCATCCGCGGTGGCAGCATCCTGGCGACGCAGCAGATGGCCTTGACGACGCGTGATGCGCGCAACACGTCTTGGAGCATCATAGTCGCCCCCAGCGTGGAAGGCACCGCCAACGGATCGCTGTACCTGGACGACGGCGAAAGCCTGACCCCGAACGCCACCAAGATCGTGACCCTGACGAGCTCCGGTTCCCCGCAGAACGGGACATTCAGCCTCAACGTCAAGGTCTCGGGATCCTACACCGGTCTCGACCTTCCGCTCGCCAACGTCACCTTCTTGGGCGTGCAGCGCGCCCCCTCCAACACCACGGTGACCATCAACGGCCGCGCCGTCGCCAACGCCACGTATAATGCCGCGAGCAAGGTCTTGAGCGTCACCGGCCTGGGTAACGTGCTGGGAGGGAAAGTCTGGGGTGGGAACTGGACGCTGAGCGCGTGATTTATCCAGCTGAGGGAGTGGAGGGGATCATTCGCAAGATGAAGGAAAAAAGGTAAACAAGGGCAAATAGGATGGATGGAGAACAGGGGAAACAGTGCCGGATTTTTTTCAAGAATCTTTCAGCGCGGGACGAAAAGGATCACAGCGGAGTGGAAGCGTGGGATGGGATGAAATGAGATGAGATGAGGTCGAGTCACTGGAACAGAGCTCCCTTGCTCGATCGAGGTTAGGACAAAAAGTAATGACTACCTACATAGTTGGTACAATCGTAATAGAAGAATGTTCAGCCCAGGGTCGCTGATATGACTGACCTGTCAACCTCGACCGGACAAACTATCTGCTTTGTTCGTACTCGGTATGTATACTTTGTATCCAGCGGTGACAGAAAACCTCGTCCTAACACCATGTTTAGGACAGCGGCCGGCCTACTTTACTCTGCCTCTGCCTCTGCCTCTGCCTCTGCACGAGCTAGGTGCTTGGCCTGCTAGGTTTGAACAGGCGGTGATATGAGCCGACTCGATCAAGCCTGTCTGTCTCTGGATATTATGCCTCTTGCTTCTGTTGGAACCCACCATGATCTTCCTGAAGAACAGCAAGGCCTTGTGGGGAGCCAAATCTGGAAGTCAGACACCAATTCTACACGCCTCTTGCATATCGGTACAGATCTGCTCAATGTCGTTCAATTCTTGGACGACACGTGCAGAAATTGTGCAGATCCGAATGTGTGCAAGAGTCTTCTGGGTCATCCATTTGCGGCGCTGAAGGCTGTAGTACATCAGCAGTCTTGAACACTACCCTCCGCGCCTTCTTCTGAAGCTTCTTTGGTGGTGGACTAGGTTCTCGGTGTCTCTTTTGCGTCTTAAGAAGCTCTGAATGAACGCTAGAATCGGCTTCATGAACTGCTTCGTGTACATTTTGTTGCACAACATCGGCCAGAGCCGATTCAATTTTCAGGCGCACACGTTGGGTGTGATAGGCGTTGCGAGGCGCCTCATTAGGTCCGAGAGGTGATGGTTGCGTGTACATCAGAGTAAACTCGGCTCTTTGCCTCGCCGATGTTGTACTGAGACTGAGGGCAAACCGATGTTCCGAGTGCTCGCGACAGACCATACCCAAGGCTTGATAGAGGTCAAGAGCAAAGTTCTTGATATTGTTGCAGCGGGTAACCGCCATGCGCACGCCATCGGGAAGGATGACCGTAGAAGTGGCACTTTTCGTTAGTTGTGTCTTTGACAGAAGTCCTGCAAAGTCTTCAATGTCGTCATCGAGTTCACGTAGTAATGCTTCAATCTTTGACCTAGACAAGATGTGGTTCGCTCGCTCCTTGTATGTGCGGCGGTGACTTGCTGCGAACTTGTGGGCAGCCTAAATCATCAGCGATCCATGCGTGCACTGAAGCCGAACTTACCCCCAGCATTGGACGTACATTCTACGTTGGGTGGATATGCAACGACTTAGTGATATGTACTCCCAAGGGACGCTGGACTTGGACCAACATTATGGGAATGCACTTGCCGACTGTGTGTCGACCTCCAGACCTGATTATACCTGCTTCATGTGTATCTTTTTGACAGCACGTCTGGCTTCCTGTGGCTTGAACCATGTATCAAGTGTCTTCTTAATGTTTGGGGAATTCCAAATGGTATTCAGCACCAGTTTCGCCGCAGCAACACCGACAGTGACTGAAATTGGTGCTATCATCTGTGACATTCCTACTCGAGATGCTCGGCGCAGTCGATAATGACACAGCAGAGCCGAGTGAACCTGCTTCGCTCCCAACATGCGTGCAAATGAGGCTGGGCAGTTGATCCCCGTGGCATCTCATGTAATTGGCCCACGAGAAATGTTGGCGGAGGGGGGAGAGAGAGAGGCTCATCAACCTGGAGGCTAAGACCGGGGGGTCCGATGCGCGGCTGAGTCCGAGGCTGAGGTCAAAAGCAGAGGCAAAAGCCAAAGAGCGTGAAGGTTCGTCCCGAGCCGCTCACCATCCACCATCTCACCCACAAACGTGATTCTTGATGGACCGCCAGGTGGCACGGCTGGACAACGTCTTCCTTCCTTCCTTCCTTCCTCACTGCGGACAGCACAGGTACAGTACCTAAGTACGTTTACAACCATTAGGCGAGGGGAAGTGGTTTTTTTTTTTTCACATTTCACATTTCACATTTGACAGCACAGCACAGAGCTGACAGCTGATGATCATTGCTTGTTGCTCATTGCTCGAAACACCAACGAGACCTTCGTTAGGTAGCTCAGTGCCCTGGCAAAAGATTCTTTTTCTTTTTGCCTTACAGGCCTCGTGCTGGGCGAATACAGGCGCAGCCAATTTCCTTCGCCACCATGATCAAGCCTGGCGTAAAGTACAAAGCTCAGACAGGCAGACAGGCAGGCAGGCGCGTTCTCATTGCTCTCCGCCATTTCTCCATTCGAATCTTCTTCCATTTCATGCATCCTTGTCTCCTTGCACAGCCCGGGTTCCCAAATAGCCCAAATTGCGCTCTGTGCAAGACACCCTGCATACAGGAAGATTTGGTCCACAGTGATTAGTCCTTACTGAGTCGGGCATCTGTCAAGAGGTTTCTGCGCTGGCAAGGGTTTATTGGATTTCTTCCCGAGATGTGACTCCTGTACACTTTCGTCGTCGTCGTCATTGTCATCGTCATCGTCGCTGTCACTGCTGCTGTCGTCAGAAGAGGAGGAAGAAGAGGTGTCGTCAATCACCTCGACCTCCCTCTCCGGAGCATGTTTCACCGACAACGGCGCCGCGCTGGGTTTGGTCTTTCCCTCCAGCTCGGCGAGCCTCTCATTCTGTTCCTTCAGTATTCTCAACAACTCGTCCTGGATGGTCTTCTGGGCCCTTTCGGTTTGCAACACCTGCTGTCTCGCGAGGTCGATGATTGTTTCTCTAGAGGCAACGAGCAGCACAGCCATCTCGGTCGGCTTGATGCCCTCTTCCCGTTCAAGTCTGCGGGACACGCGGTCAAGGCGGACGGCTGGAAGACTTTCCCGAAGTCTCTTGACCGCATTAGCTTCGACTTCGACGCGGCGTTTGAAGGTCTCGGCTTCTTCATCGTTACGTTTGCGCTTCCGTGACTCGACTGTAGTAGCTGCGAGAGTTAGTTGCTATGGTTTCCCATTGCGGTAGGATTTCAAGGGGATTTGTCTTGTCCTCGTACCTGGTTGTGCCTCTGTTGGATTGGTCGGCTGTTTCTTCTTTTTCTCGTCCTTGCGTTTCTTCTTGTCTTCTCGCTGCCTGGCCTCTTTCTCCTGATGCTGAGCTTTTCCCGTGTCTGCTGACCTCTTATCATTTCCCCTGTCTTGCGGCTGCTCCCTGCCATTGCCCTCAGCAGACTTCCTCTTCTTCTTTGGCTTATTTTTGTCTCTGGTCCCTGTGTGGCCGGGAGTCGGAGTACTGTCACGCTCGGTGGCATCACTCCTGCTCGAAGCTTCGCCGTCGTCGGCGCCTACTGCTCCATAGAACGAAGGTCGAGTGTTGGCACGATTCTTGGACAAGGCCAGCTGTTGAAAAATGAAGGTGGGGTTTGATTTGGGATCTTGCGGAACTTCGATCGTGGTCTGTAGACGCGGTGCCGATCCTCCATCCACAACTCTTCTCCCGTCAAAGGCCGGTGACAGTGGTGTCAGTTTGGAACCGGAGCCGGGAACGGCACCCGCCGCGACAGACCGTGCTCGTCTCGCCTGGTGAGCCCACGGGTCCGTTTTGGTGAGATCGACAATGTCTTGCGTGAGGCGGGTGGATTTCTGCGGAGTGACACTCGAATGACGCTTGCCATTTGCGTGTTTCCGCGACTTGTCTTTGACCATTTTGAGCGGGAAATGAGTGAGACGCCAAAAGAATCCTCGAGACTCGCCCAGACTCAGGTTAAAGTGAAATGTGGATCGAGGTTGAGAGGCGATGTCAAGACACTGTGGACGCAGCCCTGGTTTCGGTCATCAGCCACGCCAAGGCCAGAGAGAGAGAGAGAGGAAAAAAGAAGAATGGAGTCGATATGTGCTTGTGGGTAGAGTCAAGACGATAGGGGAAGGAGGGATTGTTGACTGCGCCGTGATGGGATGAAGGCAAGGAACTGATAAAAAAGTTCCGTCCTCAGTCCCTGTGAATCACCACAAGAGAGTGACTTGGCTGTTGTTAGCAAGTGTGATGAGTTTCTACCAGACCCGCAGAACGAAGACCAGGTGTAGATTGAAATCGAACAAGCACGGCAGGTTTCTGGCTATTAATCGGTCAAGGTACCTACAATGGACAAACACAGTTCTCATAAAGGTGATCTCATTTCTCTAGAATCAGGCTTATCCGAGTCTGAATCATCGCAGAATCGTAAAGGTTATATGTACTCACAAAGGCTGGTAGAATGAACTCTTTGTCTCCCCTGCAAATGTGTTTATCCGGTTTTCTCATATCCTTGGTATCACAAAGCACTTTTCTCATGCCACAGCAAGCATGGCTCTCACCTCCCCATTAGTGTCAGCCATACCGAGCTTCTCGATTCTCCCCCAATTGGCCCAGATATCGGCCTTCATCTCCTTGAGCCGCTTGTGCATCTTCCAAAGGTCAGTCATGTCTTTGTCATCACGCTCCTTCTCGTCCACCTGCGATATCTTGTCGTAAAGGTCCTTGTAGCGTTTGTAATACTTCTGAAACCTTCTCGCCTCCTCAATGACATCCGCCCGGTTGGGTCCTGGTTTATCGGGGCTGGATGATCGTTCAGAATCGGTGCGGATCGGAGCACCAGGGCGTTTTAGGATAGGGTGCTCGGCTGCACCATTCAGCAAGGGAGTCGAATGACTTGAAGTAGACGTTTGTTGCTGATGCTGCCGTTTTGCAGGACGATCGTCGTCGGAAGGGGCGGCTTTGCGCTTCACAGTGTTCGGACCCGGACTCCTGCCGCGAGACACGTTCCTACTTTTGTCTGAGATGACAGGAGAGTATTTGTTGCCCTGTTTCGCTTGGGGCATGTCGGTGCTGGACGGTGGAGATGATGGGGCTGAAGATTGATTTGATGCCTTGCTGGAGCTGGAGTGGTCCACGTCAGTCGAGGTGGTGGGAGGTGAAGAGCCAAGGGGCGACGGCTTCTGCGGTGAACTGTCGTGCCGTGGCCGTGGAGAAATGCGGGAAGCCGTACTTTCCAGCTTCTGATGATTCTGGGGTTTCAACGACTTGGAGGGGCCTGTGGCGGCAGAACGAGGCTTGTCACTGGCACTGTTATTACCACTCGATGACGACGAGCTTGAGAGCGTGGACTTGTGGGCAGTCTTTTTCGGGGATGCGGTTGTGAGAGGCGACTTGGCCGATTTGAGAGGAGCTGGTTCTGGCTTTCTCTTCACGGCGGGCGTTGATTTCGTTTTCCCTGCGTCGTGCTTCTTGGGCTTGGCGACGACTTCTGCTGCTTCGGCTTCTTCATCAGAGTCCTCAATGCGTTCAGAGGACTTGAATTTGGCATCTGGTTTGGCAGACTTTAGGTGTGAGGTCTCCTTGTCCTTGCCCCTGCCAGTACCACTTGTATCACCCTTGACGGTAGCCTTGGTAGGAACTTTTTCTTTGCGCGCCTTTTCGACACCCACTGGCTCCTTATCCTTCTTCGCTCGGGGCTTACCATGATCTCGATCTGACACCTCATTTTTAACCTCGTTGCCGTCCTCATTCGGACGGTCAGGCCTGGGCGTGGTGTGACTGGATACTGGCTTGTCAAAGTTCAGCTTTGACAAGACCTTACCCTTTCCCCTTTCCTCTGAGGGAAGTAAAAGTTGCCAGAGAGGGTCTTTCTTCTCCACCCTCATCCTGTCATAAGCTTGGATGGCATGATCGATAGCTGCTTGTCTCTCCTCCTGCGAGCGGTACTGGAATTTCCACACATCCAATTCCCGGTAACTCTTTTCCTTCAACTCCCTTTTCCCATCCTCTGCTTTGGACTCCCGTGACACCTTATCGAGCAGTTTGTCGATGTCGTCCTTGGTTGCGCGCAGTTGGTCACAGATCGCTTTTGGTGTCATGGGCCGGACAGCCAGAAGGTGCACGAGCGGCACGCGAATAGCATCGAGTCGTATTCGATCCTTTGTCGACATGCCAGAGGACAAAGGGGCCGAGGTAGGCCCAAGCCGGGGAGAATACGAGGCACTCAGAAAAGGACTCCCCGGCGTAGATCTGTTCAAAGATCCTAACAGATGATCTTTCCTCAGAGCAGCGCCCTGTCCTAATAAGGGTGACGGTTTCACATCTTTCCTTGCTGCTTGTTTCAGGTCTTCTTTCAAGCTCGTCTCATTCCACGCTCGTTCCTCCTGTATAGATTTAAGGGTGCTTTCCAGGGTAGCCAAGGCCTCGTCGGCCTTTGCGGTATCTTTTTCAGCTTTCCTGACCTCCAGCCTATGGCTTGACTTGCCAGTGAAATATAGAGGGGTTGTGTCGTCGTCGGACTTGGAATAGATCTCGGTGGGGAATGTCTCGACGCTGCTTTCCAGCGTTATGGTTTTCTTGCCAAACTGCACCACTGGTCTTTTTCCACATCGGAACCGAACTTGCTCGTTACTTTTGAGGCATCGAAGAATGTCCTTGGTCACGGACTCAACCAAGTCCAACCGGATCACCTGGGTGGGCTCTGTCGTGTGTTTACTCTGGGTGTTGGACTTGGGGTCCCGTCTTAGGACGAGCCCCTCGGAGGGGATATTGAACGTGCCCATGTTGCAGGAAAAGAGGTCTCGACTTGGTCAAGGCAGAAAGATTATGGTAGGTTTCGTAGGGCTCATTCCTGGTGGTTCGAGAAATTGCGAGGACGGAGTCAGGGCAAGACTGGCGTGGAGAAGCGTCGGCTCGCTGCACAGCAGTGACAGCAGCTGGCAGACGGCGTCATGACACAATATTTAGAACAAAAGAAGTGACGACCGATTTGGCTGGACAATAGGAGCCGGTAAAAGAACAAAGCCACGATCCGTTTACAGCAGAGGCGAGGTCAAAGGTCGAGGTTGAGGATGAGAAGCAGGACAAAGGCATGCTGACGACTATTGGAGGGATCGGGGGTGTGGAGAGGGGACGAGGATGAAGCGACCTTGGAAGCACGCGGTCGGACAGTAGTAGTGGGACACGCCGTGTATCTCGTATGGCGATGCGATTTGCTTTGAGAGAGGTGTGTGTGTGGGCGAAAAGGTTCAGAGCGCGGGAGCGGTTGCCCTTCGATCAACAGCCGATTTGGCTCTGGCCGCCTGAGGGACAGTCGAGGACAACGGAGAAAGTTTGAGGGAAGCCCAAAGAGTCGCCCTAGGGACGACCCAGGGCGAGTTGCTGGACCAGGTAGTGACCAGGGTTAGAAGCCACCGAGGCCATCGAGGCCCGTCTTCGGGGACAGCGACAGCGCTGACTGGCTCGCCGAGAGGGTTAGGCGGGAGCCACATTCTTCAGGTCTACGCCCGCCGTGGCTAGCCTCCCGCCTTTCCGGGGCTTTCTGGCGTTGTGTCAGCACTGGAAACCAGCAGCAACCAGCAACCAGCAGTGGCAGTGGTGGGCAGTGGGCGGTGGGAGGCTTTTGCCCTCCGTCACACGGGCAAGCATCAGCCCGAGGCTTGGAGCCAGCCATTTAGAGGCCACCAGAGAGGGTTTTGGAACATCTCCCGCAACCCCTTCGTGCCCTTGTTCTCGGCCTTGGCCTATATGGGGGTTGCCGTCACCCCTCGAAAACTGTTCGGAAAAGCAGCCACTCCTCCGAAAGAGGATCAGAAGGGAGGCGTGCACGGGCGTGTTTCAGGGCGATGAAGGAAGCCCGGATCAGATTGATTTGTTTTAGATCCCCAACCCTGACTCTTGAGCAAAGGCGTCTAAAACAGGCACAGTTTAAAGGATTGGATAGAATCGAAGGGGCCAGGGACCGGGGTTGTTTTTTGCCACTGACGACCGTACACCAAGAGGTTGACCCGGCTCGGGCTCCTTTGATCTGAGGATTTGTGGCCAAAATATTTCCTGGACTACTACAATTATATGTCTAGTTCCTTGCCGCTTGACAAGTTCCGCCTTGAAAAAAAAAAAGGTGGTGTGAGGAGACCAAGTAGAAGACAAATAACATGGCAAATGAACCGGTTCTCCGAGTCGAGAGGAGCTGCTTTCAATAGGGTCTCAGTCTACTGGTAGCATCGTACGAACGGTTAGGTTAATTTAGGACAGGTGCTGCGTCCTGCGTCCTGTGCTGCAACATGCCGAGCACCAAACCGTTGGTCGTGAGATCTTACTCTGGAGACGCTGACGGGACATTTCGCCTTCTGTCCCTCGTAGGTAAATGTCATCGATTGACCTTCCATCCGATTCAGGTATTTGTACTCGGGACTCGGTACAATCCAGAGGCACAACATAAACTTGGACATAACCGGCATTGAGGAGACATGAGAAGGAGATTTATAGCGAATAACGTCCAGAGTTTAGAGTTCGGCTCTATTGTTTGATACGCACTTGGTGGTGGAGTAGGAGAGCGGCACGGATAGAGACAAGCAGATATATACTTGTACACTTTATGAAAGTGACTTTCTTCTTGGAGTGCTGATACTTGCTCGTGCTGAACTTGTACGAGGTACAATCCACAGGTAGTCGCGGGCGAAAAACCTATCGTCCCCCGTCCTATTCTAATTAGCCGTTCGCCGCTTTACTCACCCTCGGCTCACCTTCCGCTCCCTGAGCGATCCCTAAGCCATCACTAAGCGCTCCCTAAGTATATAGTCCTTCGTTCTTCCGCTTTATTCACAACGACGGAGGGGTCCGTTCGAGATACTACGGTACTAGCAACATATCTCATGAAGCGAAATCACTGACATAGAATATTTTCACGTGATTTGAACCTGGGCATCCGAGCTTCAGGCAACGATCGCCGCCTCGCAGCGATTTGCTTGTGGCGGCTGCCTACATGGTTCACCGGACTTATTCAGCCGCCCCTCAGCCTGACCATGAGGTCGCTTTTTATCCTCTACCCGGCAGCTTCCAAATCGCTACGTAATTATCGCCTTGAAGCCAAATCTTCCGTCGAGCGCCCTCTGTGCAGGTTCGGAGAATAGACTTTATTAGACGCGTTGAGGCGTAACCCTAAGGTGTCCCGGCTGGAAGTGATCGGCGCGATTTCAGCCGTCATCAGTATCATCGATGCCTCAATCAAGGTCTACGACGGCGCACAGAAAGACGTAAAGCTGCCAGACACGTTCCACGTCGTGGGGCGCCGCCTCTCCTTCCTCCGCAACACCCTCGAGACATGTAAGAGCCACCTGCAACCGATCCAAGATTCTTTGTCTGCGGACGTTTGTGAGGCGTTGGAGAAGACGCTGGAAGGATACGATGAAAAACCGGAAAATCTAAGACAAATCTTTGAAAGGTCCTGCCTGTAGAAAATGATGGGTGGGAGAAACGATACGCGAAGGTCGTTAAGAGACTGGGCAAGGGCAACAAGGTGGAAGAGCTGATGGTGTCGATCGCGGAGGACGTGCAACTGGTGGTCAACCACCATGCGGTCCAATCAGCCAAACCCGAGCAGATTTCCGAGCTGGAGAAAATCATCAAAGAGATGAAGTCGGCGCGGCGGTTGAGTCTGAGGAAGAGGTTTCGGGAATGGCGTTCACCAGTCAAGGTAATATGGAGAACTACATGAGGCAAGACGAAGCGTATTTGGTGGTCAATCGTGAAAAGGTCCAAACGCAGAATTTTGGTAAGAACTAGCCATGACGAGCACATTTTCATTTCACAGTTGGATGATGGAAGGCGAGTTGATATTGACCCATTTAGTCTTTACACAAACACCTCAGCCTCTATATGTTTCCAGATCCTCGAACCAATGCGGGTGGGATGGGAAAGACACAACTAGCCATCGCTTTCGCGAAGCGCCACTACCAGGAATACGAGTCCATCTTCTGGCTTAATGCGACGTCCGAGGCACGCTCATCTCCCTCTTGCCTTAGCCACTGCCGGCGTATATCTTCACCACACCACCTTCACTTTTGAACGGCCCCTCGAGGAGTACGACAATCGCTGGAGCATTGCTCTGCGGCTGCCGATCTCACTCCAGGAGGATCAAGAGAGCACAGTCTACATAACTTGGGATGTTTCATACACTCGTCTCAAAAAGGAAGATGCGGATGCGGCGAAGTTACTAAGCCTGCTGGCCTACTTTCGCAATTGTCGTATCTGGTACGAGCTTTTTCGGACCGGGCTCTCCGACTACTTACAACAGTGGTTGCGTGGAATTATTACAGGTGGTGGTCATAGCCGGCACACTGACCACCGCTGCGGCGCTCTCGGAACTCACGTACCATCTCCTACGACAACCCGGTGAACTAAAAGCTCTCAAAGACGAGCTAGCACAGGCCATGCCCGACCCGTCAGCGCTCCCTGACGTCGCCCAGCTGGAGCAACTCCCATACCTTTCTGCTGTCATTGAGGAAGGCCTCCATCTAAGCCGCGGCATCAGCACGCGGCTACAGCGCATCGCCCTGGACGAGACCCTCATCTACCAACCTAAGGTCTCGGACGACAAGAAGAAACCCGCTGCCAGACACAAGCCGTACACCCTTCGACCGGGCATTCCCCGTTCTCTGACCGGCCTCCTCATCCACCACTCCTCGACCTACTTCGAAGACCCTATGGCCTTCCGGCCTCAGCGGTGGATCGACGACCCAACACTCGACCGCTACCTCGTCCCCTTCTCACGTGGCACCCGGGCCTACGCTGAGCTGTACCTCGCCACGGCGGCGGCGTTTCAGCAGTACGGCAGCCCAGACGTCCACTTCCAAGAGGATCAGGAACTCCGAGAGCTGTTCGACACTAGCTACGGGGACCTCGAGATCATTGGTGATGGAGTAATTCCCTTGTATCGGCCGGACAGTCATGGGGTGAGGATCGTGGTGCGTGCTGCATGACTATTTCTGCCGTGCGGTGATGCGGATGGATGGTCTACTGGATCAATCTGGGTGGCTATATCGGGGGCTTTCGCCGACCAAATAGTATCCCAAGACCTGTGATCTAGTCAGCTTTATCGCTTCAGAGAACAACGTGTCTGTTTTCTGTCAGATAGTCGATCTCTCCGGTTCCGTCACACAGAAATACTCAGATCTTTATAGCGATTTTGGAGAAGTCCAGCGCCATCTTCGCTCCCCACCCCAGTCAGCACCGCTTTGACTCGTCCAATGTCTATCTCCTTGGTGCTGCCGAGGCTGTGATTCTCCACAGCCCGGTGCGGGGGAAAACGGGCTCGTTCGTTCGTCTACAAACAAAGGTACAGTACCTACCTACCTACCTGGTGTAAGAAGAAGCCCAATAATGACAATCAACAATCCCTCTTGGAATTCCCCAGCAGCTGAACAACAGCCATGTCTCCCAATCTCGACATCCCATCTATCTGTGCACAGATCGCTCGCGATTACTCACCCTGCGACGTCTCGGATGCGCTCCTCAAACTCCACGTCCCGGCTGCAGGCTACCTTCGCGACATCTCGCCCTTCCCAGCTGCTCACCAGCATGGCTCCCCCGGCCGCCTCGTGGCGCCCATCAGCACGGTTCTCTTCGTCGACAACGCTCACACGCCCGGCACGCAGTATGACGGCATGATGGTGCCCGCGGAATCCAACCTGCCCCACGACAAGCACTTCACCGACGTCGCGCCGGCGGGCTCCGTGGTCCTCATGCAGCAGCCCTCGCACCAGATCGCGGCCCTGCTGGGCGACATCGTGGCGACGCGGTACAAGCTCCGCGGCGTCAAGGGGTGCATTATCGACGGCCGGGCCCGGGACCGCGTCGGCTGCGGCGAGCTGTGCAAGGACGGGAGCTTCCAATGCTGGTCAAAGGCCCTGACGAGCCCCGGCACGAGTCTCGAGGCGAAACCCTGGGCCGTGGATGTGCCGATCAAGATTGGAGGCGTCGTCGTCGCTCCGGGAGACGTCCTGGTCGCCGACGAGGCCGAGATGGTCTGCTGTGTGATCCCGAGGGCGAGGTTGCACGAGGTCATGGAGCTGTTGCCCGTGCAGAAGGAGGCGGACGACGGTCTGCTCGAGGACGTAAAGCGTGGAATGGGCTTCAAGGAGGCGATCAAGCGGTGGCCAAAGCATTATAGTAATCATTAAAAGGAGGTGAGTGGGCAGGAGTGCTGGAAAAAAGGCATATAGAATCTCTAGGAAGACAATCTCTATCTCTCCCCGCTGTGATTTCTGACTTGAATGCCCCCAAGCAGCTGCATTGCACTGAGCGAACTATCTAACCGCATATCCATTGGGACAACCCGATATTACATTGATGCTCAGCGAAAGAACGGCGAATTCCCATTTAAACTGAAGCAGAAACCTCAGGTGATTATTACCCGCAATCTCAGCTTGGTAACGGGCGTTCACGGCGCATGATTGCTTTACCCTGCCAAGTCGCCTGCTCAACTTCCTCCGTAGATAGGATACTGTCTATCCGGTGAAGGGTGGAGAGAGGTCTTTGCGGCCCCCCCAACTCGTCCTGGGGAAGTCTGGAGAAACATGGATACGTGGCTTGGCTATCCACGGTTCAGCAGCTGCCTGGAAGCATATCTCGTTCTAGGGCCGGATAATGCTCTTCCGCAGACAGCACGAAACGATAATAGTCATTCCTCCTTCGCCTACTAGCGCAGATGAGAGCCAACAAGTACGCCCAGATGTTCTTTCTGTGGCATTGAATTACCGCGAAAGCTCTTGGATAATGCTGTTCCGGTTAGGTCGATAAGAAGCTCGTTTTCCATGAGATGATTTATAGGTTTCGAGCTTCGTTGACCCGAGGCCGTGGCTTTCTAGGTGCGTTTCTCCAGGACACTTGCTTCATCACCACCTATCGTGTACCATTCAGATAGCCATCGAGTCTGTGCTTTGCCCACTCTCTACGAACGCAGTTGCAACAGCCATGTCCATCAGGAAGTACAAGGCTGCCATCTCACAGGCTGAGCCGGTCTGGTTCGACCTGCAAGGCGCGGTCGATCGCACGGTCGAACTCATCCAAGAGGCTGCCGCCAATGGAGCATCCCTGGTCGCGTTCTCTGAGCTCTGGATTCCAGGGTATCCCAACTTTCTCTGGGGCGGCACGTACAGCGAGAACATCCCTTTGGTTCAGAAGTACATGAAGAACAGCATGACGGCGCATGGGCCCGAAATGCTTCGAATTCGCCAGGCGGCCGCGGCCAACAAGATGCACGTCGTCCTGGGCTTCAGCGAGCGGGTGGCCAGCACCCTGTACCTCGCGCAGGTCCTCATCGACGACAAAGGGGACGTTCTCCTCCACCGTCGCAAAATCAAGCCCACCCATCTGGAGCGCACCCTGTTTGGCGATTCGACCGGCGACTCGTTGCAGACGGTGGCGGACACAAAGCTGGGAAAGATCGGCATGCTCAACTGCTGGGAGCACTTCCAGCCACTGCTCAAATACCACACCTACGCCCAGAACGAGCAGGTGCACGTGGCGGCGTGGCCGTATCACGGCGAGGCCCTGGGCGAGGAGCCTTGGTCCGTCTGTACCGAGGCGAACGAGGTGACGGCAAGCCGCATGCACGCCCTGGAAGGCGGCACCTTCGTCCTGGTCAGCAACCAGATGATCTCGGCCGAGGGACTCAAGAAGAACACCGAGGGCCACAATGCGACGGGCAAGTCCTTCTCCGTCGGTGGTGGCGGAGGTGGCGCCGCTCGAGTATTCGGCCCGGACGGTCGCCAGCTCACCAAGGACTCTGATCCGTACCACGACGGCTTGATTTACTGCGATATCGACCTCGACCTGATCGACCGCGCCAAAACGCTGGCGGACCCGGTCGGGCACTACTCGCGGCCAGACCTGCTGCGGCTGGTGGTGGACGACCGGCCCAAACATTACGAGACGAGAGCCGATGGGGAGCCACCGAAAACACTCACATCCGCGTTCAAACCGCTCGGCGAGACGATTGCGGAGTTTGAGAATGCGGCACCGTGAAGAGCTTGGCCTACCCGGATGGGAGAGGGCGTGACAGTGAGGACATGTAGCGAAGATATCTAGTGAGGAGATGTATATTTGATCGTGCTGAAGAAAATATGACAGATGTCCGAACTCTGAGTGTTGAAGTTCTCATCCTTCCCTCTTAGATAGTGCAAGTAGATTCTCGACCTCATTGATATCGCGTATGGCTTTTAACGAGCCACCTTTTGGAACTATCCACATGTCCGGGTAATAGCCACCTTCACGGAATGGTGGCGGAAGGACGTCTGAGACGTCTCTCATTCAGCTCTTCCCATCAGCCACCTCGGTACCTTTCTGTTTGTCCTCCACTCCCGAAATCACCTTGAACATTCCCCAGGTATCCCCCACGGCCCAAACGTCCTGAATCTTCCCGTTGACGATCCGGAAGATGCCCACGCCGGGATACTCAAACCGGCGCCCCGTCGCCGCGTACCCGCGGAAGTCCTTGCTGTGCGTGGCTGACCAGTGCATGCGCGCGATACATGTCTCGTTCTCGCTGTCCACCCACAACTGGTCGACCCGCTGGTAGAAGTCCGGAAACGAGGCCTCGATCTCGCGCACGTATCGCTTGAAACCCTCTCGGTCCGTGGTGCCGTGCTCGAGGGTGCCGCGGAAGGCGACGGTCGGCGAGATCAACTCGTCCACCAAGGCTGGGGTGGTGTCGAATTTGTTCCAGATGTCGGAGTAGAAGCGGCGCACGATGAGCTTCATGGCGGCGCTGCTGGTGGTTGTTGTTGATATTGCTGCTGCCATTCTCGGTGGTGTCTTTTGGCTGGTATGCTGTGAGTGGGAGGGATGCGTATTTCAAAGTCTAGCAGTTGGTTCTTCTGTGACTTTTAGTAGCTCAACGAGGGGCATTGAAGTGCTATATCATCGCTGTGAGCTCGTGGAACAATGGTGTCTGATGAGTTGTGGTCACGGTTTCCCTCGCTTGCCCACGCTTGCCTCCGGCTGATGGACCCAGGTCCATACTCGGTACATACTCTCGCAACCTCAGTGATATCTTTCCATGTGGAAAAAGCTTTCTCGGCGAACCCACTTTCAGCCTTGGCCGGTTCGATATCATCGGATGCGCAATATCCAGCCAGTCGCTGAGCTCTGACATCAGCGGGACCTTTTACCAAACCCATATTCTCAATGGCCAGCACTTCTAACCGGTTCTGTCAGTCAGATCAGTATGTGGAGATACCGCTGGTACTGAGATAGGAGCTGCGGATCTCGTGCCTCTTCGTCATGTCCACTTTTCCAACCATACTTATCAGCAAAGTCGGTCGGTTGAGGATTACCCGCACGTCCTGCCCGGTCAGGACGGCCACCACAAGGCTCCTGACCCGGCACAGGATAAACCTAGGCGAGTCTGTAATCTTGTACAACCACCGAGCTGAAGGGACGTGGACTGTCCACATTGATAGTAGATGTGATCTCGCGGGTCATTCAGACCACTACTGCTTTTGAGTTAACGAGGCACACGGCCCGGCGTTGGAAAGGGCCCGGAGGGAGTATATATGAGCTCCATGAACTGCTATGCTCTTCTGACCGGGGACCCTTTGACTACTCGATTCTATATCACGCATCATGGCATCCCACACCTCCCAGCCGCAGACGACTTTGGACGAGACCAAAATGGCTTCCGAAATAGAGATGACCAAACCCTCCCTGGAGGAAGGCCAGCACCGAGACGTGAATGAGCAAGTCTCCTTCACCCCTGACCCTCGCTTTGAGCGCAAGCTCATCCGCAAGCTGGACCTCCTCACTGTCCCAGTGATGATCTTGATCTATTTCCTCTCGTGAGTATATAACCAGCTCTCGTGGGCAGCTTTGGCTGCTGTCTTGGTGACTGAACTGACGAGCGATGCAGGTTTCTGGACCGTACCAATATAGGCAATGCGAGGCTGCAAGGTCTTCAGGAAGAGCTGGGTCTCACAGACCGTACCTACCGCATCGCCCTCACCGTGCTGTACGTCCCTTATATCCTTCTGGAAATCCCCAGCAACTTGGTCCTTAAGAAGATCGGGCCGCACATTTTCTTGCCGACCCTGATGACCATCTGGGGCATCGTCGCCACGCTGCAGGTTAGGAGGTCATTCCAAGATCTGATGGTGCAAATGCTGATCGTGAACCAGGGCATCGTCAAGTCCACTGCAGGGCTGTATGTGAACCGATTCTTTCTAGGCGCGGTCGAAGCTGGAATCGTCCCGGCCATCATCCTTTATCTGTCCATGTGGTACAAGCGTGGCGAGCTGCAGACTCGGATCGGGCTCTTCTGGGGTGCTGCCTCGCTTTCCGGTGCCATTGGAGGTCTCCTGGCCGCGGCGATCAGCAATTTGGACGGCCACGCCTCGCTCAGGGGGTGGAGTTGGATCTTTATCATCGAAGGTACGTGCGGATAGCCTCTGGTCAGCATGGGCACTTGCTTTCCTCGTATTGTTTCTTGAGCCCTTCATAGTGACCAAGGGTCTGACGCTCAAACTGCCTTTTCGCTTCCATGTAGGCATCTTTACCGTCGTCTGTGGTTTCGCATCATTCTTCCTCATCGCCAAAGCCCCAGAAACCACTCGGTTCCTATCGGAACAGGAACGAGAATACGCAGTTGCACGACTCAGGCACGATGCCATGCATGCCAACCAAGTCACCATCGACGGCGTCACACACCACTTGGTCGTCGACAACAGCTTCTCGTGGAAGGCTGTCTATTCGGTCTTCGTCGACCCCCAGATGTACGGCCTGGCCGTGGTGGCCTTCAGCAGCGGAACTTTGGTCTTTAGCCAGGCATAGTAAGCTCGAACTCCCGATCTGATCTTGCAAGTTGTCCAAGCAGCCAAAGCCTAATGGAAACCCCTATAGCTTTCTTCCGACCGTCATATCTGACATGAAGAGCATTGCGACGACCCCTGTGATCGCACAGCTCTTGACCGTCCCGTAAGTCAACTTTCTGCTTGAAACATTCATTCCACGGTGTGCTGATGTTCATGGCAGGCCGTACACGGTTGGGGTCATCACCACGCTCATCGGCTGCCATTACTCGGACAAATACCACTTCCGCTACCCTTCCCTGGCCATCCCCACGCTGGTTGCAATCATCGGCGTCGCCATCATATACGCCACCGAAGGCGTCGGGGTCCGATATTTCGGCATCCACCTGACGGTCGCCGGCATCTACAGTTCTGTCCCCGTCTACCTTTCCTGGGGCTCGAACAATTTCTCGGGCCATTACCGGCGCGCAACGGGCGTGGCTGCCATCTTTGTCTTCACCAACTCCGGCGGCATTCTCTCGACCTGGCTGTTCCGCGCGTCTGAGGCTCCTAGCTTTCAAACGGCATACATCATCAACCTGGCGCTTCTGTGCGTGCTGCTGGTCTCGGGTACGGGTCTCTCACTGTATTATCTGCGCCAGAACAAGATTCGGGACGGGTTCGTCCGAAGTGGTAGATTTGAAGAGTACGGGATGGACAAGGACGGTGACCAACATCTGTTTTTCCGATATGTTCGTTGAGGCTGAGGAGGTCTTGCAGAAGGAGGGATTGAGACTTGGTGTGGCTAGAGGACCGCCAGTTGTTATTCATCTTTCAGCTGGGACAAAACCGGTCATGGAACATCCATTCCCCATATATCCTGGTCGAAGAAGCCATAGTCCATTTGAGGGTCCGAGAACACGCTGTCGAACGAGAGCAGCCAGTCAATATTGTCCGGCGACGTTTCGAACGCGGCGGCTGCGGTTGTGCCAATAGGGGCATGGGTAGTGTTAGAACTGTTGTCGTTATCAGCACCTGACCCTCCGATATCCAGCTCGTGCATCGCTAGGCCAGTCGGCATTAAATTCTCCGCCTTGTGACTATTCTGGGCATGTAATTTCTCGTTCACGGCCCATTTTTCGGCAAGAATTTGCAAGGAGCGGATCGCGCGGAGACTCCAGGACCACGCGGTGCTCATCTCCTGCAGGCATGCCATGTTGAATTTCAGCAGTCGGATAGCCGCGCGGCTGATCTCGGTGTCGTTCGAGGTGGCATTCAACAGCAAGATAACCGACGCAGTGCCCACTGCATGAACCGTCGATATGGGTATCCTTCTCTACGGCCAGACTTAGCGCATCAATGGACGGGGTCGCGCGAGGCGGTACCTACCAATGTATAGTTTGTCCGATAAGCTCTGAGGATGCTGGAGACAGCCTCGGCAGAGGAAGTGCAGATGTGACGATGAGAGAGGGGGTCAAGGTCAGGAAAGGAAGCCAATTGCTCTTCGCGACGGAGGAACGGCCGGTGCAGCAAGATGATGACCGTGTGATACTGCAAACTGCGCAAGGCGTCAGTCTTTGACACGTGCACATACCAAGAAGCATCAGAAGAAACATACTGGAGCGAGTATATGTGGGCGGGAAGAGCCGTCTTCGTCGAGTGAGGCAGTTTCAATATGCTAGGCAGATTCGAATATTGCTCGGTCAGGGTAACGTGGGTCTTTGTGGCCATTTCTTGCTTCTCGGAGAAGCTGAGCTCGCTGTTCGGACCGTAACTGGAGAGCAGTGAGCATTGGCCCTGCTGGCAAGTAGTGTGGCAAGAGGAACATACATTCGGTCCAGAGTCGGGCTCGCAAGCTGAAAGATTGTCGTCATGTACCGCAAGTTCGTTACACAGTGGGATGCAAGCGGCTGGGTGGACTCTCCACCTTCGATCGATGTCCAGGGAGTGAACTCTTCTTCCTTGAGGAGAGTCGGTTTCGGCGCGGTGATGTCGCTCTCGCGTATCATGCTGGGGCGTCCAAGTCCGATATTAAACAGCCTGAATGTGGTCAGCCTGACGAAGACATTCCTTCGATATCGTATCAAGAGTACTTGTCTAGAAGATAGCAGCCCCACCAAGTAATCCTTCGAATCTCGGATTGTTCTTCAGTGATCTTACCCAGGTGAACCCATTTTTGGCAGTCCAAATTCAAGCCTAGGTTATATGCAATACGAACTGCCATCCCTAAAACCATCCTAGGTTAACAGCCTACCATACACGCAGAAGACCAGACACTCACCAATATAAATCCATCCCAGGGTCTCTTTGTTGACGGACATCTCCCGTAGGGCCAAGATGGCGAGTGCAGCCGTCGTGGAAGTGGATGGGTGTTCGATCTCGACGCTCAAGATATCCTTAGCTTGAGCAGCCAGAAGATCACCAGCCGTGTTTGCGTCTCTCGGGTCCAGACGAGGCCCTGGGTGATCACAGTATCTGCTGGCCAGAGCGAGCACACAACGGAGAAGAAGCGGGGTGCAGTATTCGTTATACAACCTGCTCTCGAATGCTCGACAAAAGGCTTGTCGATGGATCAGATATTGCCAGGGGTTCTGCCACCTCCAGAATAAGTTCAGTAGGTGAGTTTGCATTTCGTATGAGAGATCAACATCAATCGTGTTCGGCTGCATTGTCAGGTCCAAGTCGTCTTGCTCGGTGCTCCTGGTAGTCAAAGAAGGGGCACTCTTAAGGAGATTGAAATAGCTCGGAGCGCCGAAGAATCGTAGATGGCCGTCCTCAGCAATGTCCAATTGACCCGCAGTCTCTGTCAACTCGTCAAGGGGGCCTCGCTCTGTCGTGGGCCATAGATCCAGTTCCCGAGTATGAGATTGGGCAGGACGGGCGTCCTCTCCGCCTAGGGTTGGGGCAACACCGGGGCTTATGTTCACAAAGTCCAATGCGGTAGACAGAGATCCGTGTTGTTGGCATGCATGTAGTTGGCGTTCCAGAGATTTGATGCGTGCATGGAGGGCTTCGACATAATGTTTCGTTGGCGGCCTAGTTTTCTCAGCCTCTCAGCCCGAAGAGCACGGCGCGGATAGCATACTTGCGTTTCTCTGTCTCGTAGGGATATTCACACTGCTTTCCTAGCCGGGCGCACGTACTGCATTCCGGCAATTGGCCGTCGCACTGGGTCTGCTCTCAGCACCCATAGGAGGTCAAGCGGTGTGGGATGAAGTCCTTACCCGGCTTCTTCTCAGGCGGCATGTCGTGCATGCTACCGACACTCGCTGCCTTATAGGCTTTTGAGACATTTGGTGTGGACGGTCGTATGTGCGTGTCCGCGAGTGGCGTTATATATTCGTAGGCAATCTGCTGTTGAAACCCCCCGCTACAGCGGACAACCATGACAGCATCGGGAAGATAAGTCTCGTATGTGATAAAGCTAACCTCCGCACCCGCACGCGTGACTGGGACAATTGCCAAGTCGATTTTAATGACTTCACACTTTGGCCGAAGGCTTCGGATTGGTGCCAGGTATCGCCCCGGTAACTACTCAAGAGTATAGACAGATGGTCTCAAAGCATAGAAGACTCACTACGGGGGCGGCGAGGGGACCCTTGGGGTCCTTTGGGGGTTGATGATGATGAGAAACACCAGACGGAAGCATGGAAGGTCACCCCGGCGGCTGCCCCGGCCAAGCTTCCCTGGTTGCCCCCATTATTTTTCGTTAGGTAGGGACAACACACCCTCAATTGCCACAGGCGCTTAGATGCGCCAAAGTCTCGTGCTCGGCGCCTCTTTAGCCTGTGGCCCTTAGGTGGCCCTCGTCTACCCTGGAGGACCACCCGCCACGCCGCCTTTTGCGCAGATTTGATCATGTCGCTTGCAGCCTCGTCGGTTGCGTATCTTCTGAAGATTAATATCTCTTTGGAGACTCGACTCTTTCACATAGCTGATTTGCCTGACGAGTGTACACTATGTCTCTAGGTACGTCTACGCTCTTGCTTGACTTGATGTCACGGATTCCTGGAGCTCATTTCAAGCCGCCAACATTTTCCACCAGAAACACTGACTCGTGCCACCAGCCTTGGATGAACAGACCCTACAACATGTGGCCAGTAATAGCGAGATGGACTAGTATGCTCGTTCTGTCGCTTAGTTCTGCGATATTGAGGCTTACCCTGCTCCAGTGAAAAATGGCCCGCCATCATCGAACCACTACTCCAGCGACTCAATGAGGTACATACTTGATTCTGTGAAATATTGCTCACGGTGAGATTGACATGCGATGTACAGATTGTGTATACGGAATTCCCTATGCCACGGCCATATCCCACAATAAATCGGCCGGCTCCTTCCTCACCGAGTCAAACACAGCCGACACAGATGGGTGATTCCAATCCTAACCCGCAGACACCATCGACACCTGTGCGGAATCTACCTCCCGTCCCACCCTTCCCAACATCGTCGGCGACTTCTACAAGCCATGTGCCTGATTCTCTCCCTCAATCCCAAGATGCCGATGTCAGTGCGCTGAATGAACTTCACGAAATATTACTGCAACTCCTCCATAGCGTAACACATACGCTTCGATCCTCATTTTCAGAAAGACCCCCTCATACGATACAACGGCTGGCAGAACTTATTCTATACCCTAGAAAACATTACAAGACCCTCCCGGCCTGGTTACGAGCCGTCGATCGAGTTGTCAGCGTCAGTAGTCCTGCGGATATTTTTCCGCTTTCCGACACTCCGCCCGTGGTCAATGGTGTCAATGGAGATGGAGGAGGGGGAATACTCTGGAACAACGGCGACGTGCGCCATGGCTACGACAGCAATTCATTAGGCAGTGACGAAAGTCTAGGTGGCGCACTCCTGACTCCAATACCGTGGTTACGAAATGGAATTAATGGTGGCGAGGATTCTGGTGAAGACACAGGCCCCCCAGACTCGAATGCCAGCACCAGTACTGAGGGCTTGGACGACGCTCTCCTCCTGCCAATGACACAGGGCGATGGAGATTCGCTAGTACCTGGAAGGGCAGATGGCGCAGTTACCCAAGGCGAGTTGATACGTATGGAACAAGAGGCTGGTGTAGTGCCTGTGACCCGAAACCCTTCTGATACACATGTGAGTGGGACAATGGAAGAGAATTCCCTCGTCGATGAAGGAGATATGGTACCTCACGCCCGCGGACCAGACCTCGTTGGATCCGTGGATATGGGAAGAGTCGATGGTCAAGACGTGGAAATACATATTGGAAGTCCTCCAGGCGAAGTGGGAAACGAGTCTGTCATTGATGCAAGTGACGCGCAGGCAGTCGTTTCTGCACAAACTCGTACTTTGGGCTCTACGGCCATATCGTTGGGTGGACCTGGATCAGCGGCGGATTCGGACGACTTCGAAATTGTGCTCAAGGACGCCGTTGAGGGCAGCGATGTGGACGCCATGCAAGTCGACGAGAGCGGGAAAGGCGACGAGAAGCAGCAGAAGCAACAGTGGCTTACCGAAGACGCCGACATTGTTCTTGTGGACGCGGATGGAAAGACTGACGACGAAGTCGAGACCAAGGCTGAGAACTCAGGTCAGACCATTGGACCGGATACCGTGGACACGAGCAGTGTGACTTGAGGGATACCTCTCTGCACCAGATCTAAAATCCTTTCAAGATTCGAAGTCCGCAATACTGGACTAAGTCTGCTGATCTTTGAGCGGAACCCGAGCACCCTGGATCTATCATTCGCTCCGGTTACACGTGTCCTGCGGCAATTTCCACAGGCTAAAAGAAGGAAGCTGAAATGGAATCCATCCACCAAAGACCTTGAGTAGCGCGACTGTCAATCCTGCCTAGACGATTCGTCGAGTCGGGGTGATAAGAAACTACAAAGAGAAGATTCCCTTTTCACTTCTACCCAAGCGTCGAAAATTGGCCAACCCTTGACTCAGAGAGGCTGTGTCCTTGTATGTCGGGCGACCATGGGCCCTCGGGAGAAGTATCCACATCTCAATGGGTAGGTCGCTGATGCATGTGATGCGATGCGTGTCTAGTATCACTACGAGGGAAAAGGGTGGACGAACGACGTCCTCTGACCCGGAGAACCGAGAATTAACAAAGATGGTTGCCACTTTTGTTGTTATGTGGAGAGCGGGAGAATATACATGTATACAAATACTCGAGACCTCGTATGCGTGTGTACAAGTAGATACATGATCCTTCCCATCATCTGTTCTCTATGCTCCTCTTTCATTCACTCATTCATTCATTACTAATGTACATCGAACTGTGGTGCGTGTTGGAGGTAACCCAGAGGTGGATTATTTCTCGGGCAGGCGTGTTTCTTTCTGCCGATTCAGGCTGCTGAAGCGGAACTGCTTTGGCTGACCGTCCGTCCAGCTCCAAAATGTGGGTGATCTAGCTGGTAGATAGATAGATGGGGATGGATGCTCGTCGGACTCGGTGAGCCGATAAGCTGATAAGCTGATATGGATGCATCGACCACTTGAGGTTTGAGGCTTGAACCTGCTGACATGTGGAAAAAGTATTCCGGCCTCGCACAGCCAGCTGCAGCGCCCAGCGCACCGCATCAGATCTTTCCCAGGCTGTCTGTCTGTCCTGTCTGTCTGACAAAAAGCCAACCAAGTGTTCTTGAAGTCTTGGCTGGAGCGGATCAACCGATTTGAGCTTGAGCGTGGGTGGCTCTTTGTGTCAAAACGCCCTTCAACCGGATTCCTGCTTGATGGCAGAAGAGGGAGGGAAGGTCCTGTCCGTGTGAACAGGGTCAATGGTGGTGGCTGTTGCACTGTCATTGCCCGCCGCGTTGGACGGGGCGGCTTCTGTGCCTGTCATTCCGTTGCTCATGTCCGTCGATGGTGCCACCGTAGGGCCTTCATTTCTCATCAGGGCTGGTCCGGTGCTTTCGACCTTTTCCATTTCATCAGCCTTTGTCGTGGCCTTGGACATGGAGACCGCGGGACTGCGATGTCCCACATCCATGGAACCCGTCTCGACGTCTGACATCTCACTGGTCCTGCCTGGGGGCGGCATGGGACTGGAATTTCCCCCGACCATCATGGAGGAGGTGGCTCCTGTCTCGCCATTCTTGGCACTAGAGACCGCAGGACTAGCAGTCCCGCCCGCCATCGACGACGCAGCATCTATTGCCGCATTCTTCTTCTTCTCCTTCTTTGCCCACCTCAGCCCGCAAGCATTGCACAGCGTTTTGGGACCATTGGGCCCTTTTCTCCACTCGGGACTATCGAGAGTTCCACAATCCGTGCAAACGTATTCCTCTGCACTTTTAACTTTCTTGTGTTTCTTGTCAGTGTATGAATATCGTGAGTCGGCTTTGTCAATGGGTATGTGAATGCCTGCATCACCACGAATAAGTGCTGGCGAAGTTCCACCGGTTGAGATGCCGTGAGATCTCTCGCCCTCGCGGTACCGGAGACCGGTCAACATTTCAATGGAGTCGACGTGTGAAGAGCCTTCGTATCGGGCCATTTTGTCCCGTATGGAGTCTGGGCGAGCAAAGGCGTTGGCCTCGTCCAAGGCTTCTCGCGTAAGAGCAATGTTCGACACTGTTGGCTTGGCGGGTGGTGGCATGCCACCATAATCGGGAAACTCTGGCCTGGCGGTTGTGGATGGCGAGGTAGGCGGAATGTCGGCTGAATTTGACGAGGCTCGTGAGGCTGCGGCTCCGGCAGCCTGTTTGTGATAATGCTCTTGTTGCGCATCCGCCTCCTCGGCTTCCTCGCGCTTTAGAATGGCTATCCTGGCCTGAAGCCTGAAATTTTCAATCTTGTGCTCCAAGAATGAATCTAAGAGTTCCGAGGTTGGGGTTGGGTACGGCCGGGCCATCATGAAAAAGCCCCGGCAAAACCCTGTCTGGCCCATAGGAGTGCCTGGAAGTTCAAGCTGAGTGATTCCATTGGTGAGATGCGGATGTCCGTGGCTTTCAAAGATGCGGTATTTGTCTTCAGCTCCGCGGAACCGGTGGAAAAAGCGAACAGGTTTTCCAGTTGCAATGCTCTCATTGAATTCGCGAATGAAAAGGGAAGAGTCGTCGGGATGAATGAAATCTGATATTGATTTTCCTATCAACTCATTTGGTTCGTATCCAGTCAGTTGCTTGGCCGAGGGTGAAACGTAGAGAAGCCGACCATCGGGAGTGAGGATGTACAACAGATCTTTTAGCTCCTCTAGTAAGCGCTGGGTCCAATTCTTTCTCCTTGTGAATTCGGTCACGGTGCTATTCGAGGCGGGAACAGTTTGCATGCCAAAGTCGGTAGGTAGTGGTCCAGCACCAATGCCGTTAACGGGCATAGAGCTGTCAGGAGTGTCAGGTTTACTCGAGCCCTCCTGCATCAAGGTTGGCTGGACGGAATCCATTGGGTCAAAAGGCGTAGGTTGCATAGAGGCCATATCGAGAGATAAAGGATCAGAGTAGACGCTCATATTTGTGCCACCAACGAGGGACGCATCCAGCATGGCTGGTTGGAGACCGTAGGAATCCATCATGGGAGTTGGCTCAGTCTGGAACGTGCCCATCATGCACAAAACGAGGCAGTGGTGGGTCTTGTGGTCAATAGCTGACTGTCGGTGTACAAGGTTTTTTGGGTCTTCGTTCTTTCTCCCTGATTTAGGGGACCAACAATTCGTTGGTACCTGATCCAAGGGGCGGCGCTGTAGCAACAAAGTCTCCCACCAACTAGAAGCGCGGGGAAGACTGGAAAGGCGAAACGAGCAACGGAGGGCTCGGGGGCATACGGAGCACAGCTCGCACTCATGAATGGAAAATACAGCCGGGGAGTGCCCCTTAGGGAAATAGTCCAAGATTTGAGATGATAGTGATGACCTGTGGTCTGATGGAACTCGATGAACGATGAAACGCCGACAAAAGAATCAAGATCGCAAGATGGCTTACAGATCAGATCTTTTGCCACTTCGTGCTTTGAGTGCCGACAAACTTGTCCTTGCCAAGAACACGTGACTGGGCGCATGTGGGGGTTTTCTAGGGGTTTCAGCGCAGCCGCGCTAGAGGCGGCGGAAGCCTTTGATCGCGTCTACTTCGCGTTCTTCACTTTCGTACCGAGCTGATCATCATTCATGGCTCCTTTACATGCTTAGATACGCCAAAAGGTGGATCCTGTGCCAGTTACCTTTACACTCCATCTTGTCTCATTGCTGGTGCTGTGTATGTCCCTCAGGAGTTGCAAAGTTCGCTCACTAACGACTGCTGCCTGAACTTTAGGCTAACGCAGGGCTCTCAGGCTGCATTTACCATTACCCCAAAGCTGCCTTTCATCAGATTGTCGAACCTGATCGTCTCAACGCCTGAGCAAAGATGTCCCGGCTTCATGTGTTGAAGATTTCAGGCATTCGGTCATTCGACAATAACCAGGAACAGCACATCAAATTCGAAAGCCCACTGACTCTCATCGTGGGGCAAAATGGCTCGGGAAAGACCACCATCATTGAGTGCCTCAAGTTTGCCTTTACGGGAATGCAGCCGCCCAATACGAAAGTTGGCGGTGCTTTTATTCATGATCCTAAATTGAACAGTGATACCCAGGTCAAGGCGTCGGTTCAAGTCTCGTTCAAGTCGGCCAGTGGAGCGGCACTCACTGTGTCTCGGCGGCTGGAACTGAATGTCAAAAAAACCACTCGTTCCTTGAAGACGCTAGAATGCTCATTGGTAGTGAGCAGGCGTGGCGAGAGGACCGTCATGTCATCCCGAGTTGCTGAACTGGATTTGATCCTTCCACAATACCTTGGGGTCTCCACTGCCATCATCGACAATGTCATCTTCTGCCATCAAGATGAAAGTTTTTGGCCTCTGAGTGATCCCACAACTCTGAAAAAGAAATTTGATGAGATCTTCGAGGCACAGAAATATACAAAGGCGATTGAGAACATCAAACAGATTCGAAAGAAACAAAATGAGGAACTAGGCAAGTACAAGATCCTAGAGGAGCATGCGAAATTGGACAAGGACCGAGCTCTGAAAGCCCAGAAGAGGAAGGAGGCTCTTTCAGATGAAATTGAGAAACTTAGGAAAAAGAGTGAGGAATTGGAGCAAAGAATCTCTCACGCTCGTCAGATGGCAGACGAGACTTGGAGAAAGGGTGAGGAATATGCAAAAATTCTCGGGGCGTTAGAAGGAAAGCGGATTGAGGCTCAAGGCAAACAGTCCACCATTGACGATCTTAAACTGCATTTGGTAGAGGTCAATGAGACGGACGAGTGGCTGCAAACGACCTTGTCCCAATTTCAAACCCGACAGGAGGAGCTCAGGGACGAGCTGAGTCAGAAACAAGAGGTATACATTGAGCAACAAGATCAAATGAAATTGCTGAGTAAACAGCGAGAGGAGAAAGTGCAGCTAAAGGGCAAGTACGAACAGGAGAAGGAGGCGCACGAACGTCAGCTTGAAAGACGTAAAGAAATGGTGAGAGAAGCTGCTGCGAAACATCAAATCCGCGAGTATGAGTACTTGGACAATGACACCCAGGTCGAGGAGTTTCTGGTCAAGATCAAAAAGATCTCCAAAATTCAAAAAGGAAGTCTTGATCGGGTGAAGCTCGAACACACCACACAACGACGGGATGCTCAGACTCTGATCAATAAACTGACCGAGCGAAAGTCGGCGCTTCAGGAACAAAGAGCCACTGCGCGAAAGCAGATGGATGCAAATGACCGCGAAGCCGCAGATTTCCAACGAAGAGTCAATCAGATCACCGCCGACGAGGGCAGCAAAGCAGTAGCCGAGTCACGTATTGATGATCTTCAGAAAGCATTACAAAAGACCCGTGAAACCGCCGAGGCAGCCGACTGGGATAAGAAGATCCAGAATGCTAATGCAGAGCTCCGAGGCTTTGAGGAGATTGGCTCCAAACTGAGGGATGAGATGGTTCGGTCCTCAAACAAGGCGCAGGAACTCGCGAAACTTTCATACTCGAAGCAAGCGTTGAAAGACCAACAGAAACGTCTTGAGACCTTGTTGAATGCTCACAGTGACCGTGTTACGGCCTTGGTTGGTAGTGGTGCATGGTCCCCTGAGACAATCGAAAATGTCCACCAGGATGTCCTCAGAAGCGCAACGGATGAAGTTTTGACGGCAGAACGGGAAAGAGATCTGGTAAATCGAGAGTTGGAGCAGCTGCAGTATAAGCAGAAAACTGTCCGCAAGGATCTCTCGCGCAAGGAGAATGAGGCAAAAAAATGTGAACAACAGCTTCGTGCTGTTATCGAGGATGGCCCCGAAGGTTATGACGAAGCACTGAAACAGGTGGAAGAAAAGGTTCAGAACGCTAGAGAGAACAGCTCAGGTTACAGCGGCCTCCACGATTACTTTCAGCAAGTCCTAGATGCCTGTTCAGGAGACAAGCCAGCGTGTCGCACTTGTATGCGAGGCTTTGCGGTCGGCAGCAAAACATTAGCGGATTTCCAGGAGCGCATCAACAAGCTGATCGCGAAGACGAAAGAGCACGCAGAGGAGTTTGACCCGAAAGAGGCGGAAGCAGAATACAAGCGTGTGCTGGATCTGGGGGTTGTTCATCAGACGTGGAAGAAGCTCGCCGACTCTGAGATTCCAGCTGCTACACTGGAGTCGGCTAATCTGGATGCTCAGCGACAGTCTCTGCTGGCAAAGTTGGAGAATCACGACAAGACTGTGGTACAAAAGCAGCAGTCTAAACGTGATATCGAGTCCATCGTTCAAATAGTCTCATCCATCAGTAAATGCGACGGCGAAATCAAATCGCTAAACAACCAAGTGGAGGAGTTGTCTGCCAAACAGAGCCAGCACAGCAATACGCGCACTTTGGAAGAGATTCAAGAGGACCTGAGCTCAACTGACCAGAAGGTTCGAGGCATACAGAATTTCATGAACCGAATGAGAACGGAGCAGGAGCAGTCCCGAGCCGGCATCTCCAGCATGGAGCTTGAACTGCGCGACCTCAAAAGCAACTTGAGCGATATCATATTTCAGCTTGATAAAAAGGCCTCACTTGCAGCCCGAGTGGAGGAATATCGAGAACACAACCAAAAGCTACAAGAGGCAATGGAGAATCTCACCAAGGAGATTGAGAGTCTCGACCCTCAGATCGCGACCGCCCAGGCCAAATACGACGATATTGATCAACGTGCAGCCACCAAAGAACGCGAAATGTCCGATGAACTCTCAAGCTTGAGCGATACCGTCAACAATCTTGACATCCTAAACGACCAGATTCGATCTTACGTGGACCGTGACGGACCCAATCAACTCGAACGTGTCAACCGCGAACTGAAGAATCTGGAGCAGGAGCTGGACCACGTTCAGAGCGAGCAAAGCCGGCTCACACGTGAAATCAACAAGATCACTGAACGCATCCGGGATGGTGAGTCGACGCGAAGACGATACTCTGACAATCTCCGATATCGACAAGAGAGCCGTGCCCTCGCACGCCTGCAGGAGGAGATTGAGGAGCTTACAAGCCACAACGCCGAAGTTGACCGCGACCGGTTCCAGCAAGAATCACAAAAATACAGCAAGGAGTACAATCGACTGGCTACGGTACAGGGTGGACTCATGGGTGAAGTAAAGTCAAAGGATAATCAACTGTCAGAAATCTTGGAGGACTACCAAACAGATCTCAAGGACGCGCCGCAGCGGTACAAAGAAGCTCACATCAAGGTGGAAGCTACCAAAGCGGCCGTAGAAGATCTAGGACGCTATGGGGGGGCGCTGGACAAGGCAATTATGAAATACCACAGCCTGAAGATGGAGGAGATCAACACCATTATTGAAGAGCTGTGGCGCAAGACATACCGTGGCACCGATGTCGACACGATCATGATTCGAGCCGAAAACGAGTCGGGAAGAGGCAATCGCTCGTATAATTATCGGGTGGTCATGGTCAAGAGAGGAGCGGAAATGGACATGCGCGGACGATGCAGTGCTGGACAGAAAGTCCTCGCCAGCATCATCATCCGTCTTGCTCTGGCGGAGGTGTTCAGCACGCATTGTGGACTGATTGCTCTGGATGAGCCGACCACAAACCTCGATCGCGAAAACATCGAAAGTCTGGCTCAGTCGCTGAAGGAGATTATCGAATACCGGCAGCAGCAATCCAATTTCCAGCTTGTGGTAATCACGCACGACGAAGACTTCTTACGACAAATGGAATGCTCGAAATTTACAGGGACGTATTACCGAGTGTCGCGAGACTCGGCTCAAAATTCGATCATTGAGCGACAAAGCATTGCAGAAGTTTTGTGAAGCTGCATCGATATCCTGGCATTGATCCATCGCAATAGAACACAGAGGATGCAACGTGCGTCACTATCATTCGCTGGGTCGCTGGGCTACCTGGCAAAAGATTTTCATTTGTGGATGCCAGCGAGATCCTACGACACTAGACGGTACCTGAAACAGGTGACGTGGCTCTGGGGTATGTTCAGGGACGATTGCCAATAGACCAAAAGATCTAGGCGCAGCTGGGTCCGTGGGTTTGTTGAGCTGATCAACAGTGAGACAGTTTCTTCACACCAAAGAAGGGGAATAAGGCATGCGCATTTCTTTTTGGCAGAGCAGGGACTTAACACGTGATAATAGAGGACCAAAGCTGGATAGGTGGCTGGAGGGTTTGACCTCTGGAAGGCCTAGTGCCAGGAGACCAACAGTGGACCAGGGTGCTGGGTGGCTGGCGCTGCAAGGGACCACGAACCAGGAGGCACCGAGCACCCAACAACAAGCAATACGAGCGCCTAGAACAAACCCGAAGGTAAGCGAGACACAAGCGCCTTGCCTTCCGGTAACCTGCGACATGCGCAAAGCAATGCAAACCTGAATCACACATGACATTCTATTCATTCCTCGGCAGAGAAGCTGATATAGGCTACCAACGTTACACTCGACCATGCATCAGAGGTCGTCACACATTTCTCGGAAAGGGCGGTGAACTGTCTACAACGATGCGCCCAAACTGGTTGCTGGTCACCAGACTGGGAACCCCTGGACCAAGAGAAATGGTGGTTGGTCGTCAGAAGGTGTGGGTTTCGGGATCGACAACAAACACCCACAAAGAATAAACCCGTTCGTTCCATCAAGCTTCCCCAGCCAGCATTCTCCATGCTGCTCAACATGGACAATTCTGCTCTTTCGCCACCACACTCAAGCCTGGCTCTGAGCGTCTCGACTTAGACTCTTGACCTTGATTTTTGCTTTGGGCTGGTGACGGGCTATCGACGCCTCGTATGATGGCGATTACCTTGAACCCAGTTCGGACATCTCGATCGTCTTTCTCGATCAGACTCTCACACTCCCGGGATGGTTATTTGTTGGGCTCTCAGGGCGGATACCAAAAGAGGAGAAGCATGAGGGTCCTCGACCCAGCTTCTCTCGACTGCCCTCTCGGTCACTTCGTCGCTCGCCTTTATCCTTCCAGCAGACCTGCTATGCACATCTTGATGGTACCCTCGCGATGCTGGCTCTACCATCGACATAGAAACTCCAATATTGTGGGCAAGGTGCCAATCAATACTTGGGTTTGGTTCCACTCATTTTTCATCCACCAACCGCTCCAGCAGACACCATTTATCCCAACCATTGACCCCACGAGCTCTAAAGAATGCTATACCCACATCCCCAAGTTGCCTCCAGGCATACAGGTTCTATGCTCTCGACGCTCCCTTCAATTACGTGACAAGAATTCCACTACGGTTGTGAATCTATACCCTGTCGAGACTCTTCTCCGTCATCTTGTGTTCCCTTCCCTCCACTTTCGGTGAATACTCTTTAATGATCAGCACCTTCGACAAGTTCTCTGTCCCGCCACGCCTGCAGCCTCCTCTTTGTGACAGTTATTTTCTATACCACATGATATGCAAGTGTGACCTCTTCTAACGTCTTTCCCCTCATTTTCCATCGGGTGCCTCTCTTTTGGACCAGTCGAGATACTAACGCAGTCGTCATTACTTGATTGCTGGCTTGCTTGCTTCACTGCACGTTATCCCCGGACCTTGCACAATAAAGGGTTTATGGTTGCACGAGCTTGCTTGACATCAAGTTCTTATTCTTTTATCCGGATCCCGCGCAGCAAGCGGTGCGCACACAGGAATTCAAGTCAGTCGTCAAGTTCTGTCGTTGTTCTCAAGTCGTTGACATCAAGCCATGGTCGCCGGAAACTTGTTGCTCGTGGCTCTTCTAGCTACAGCTGCCGTCGGGTAAGTCCTTACCAGGTTGCTGTTGTGTCCAAATATATTGATGGCCCCCTCAGTTCTCCTCTGAACAAACGGCAGTTCTCTTATGGGTCAACTCCAGTTCGTGGTGTTAATATTGGCGGCTGGTTGGTCCTCGAACCTTGGATTACGCCATCGATCTTCCAACAATACGGAGGCAATGTGGTTGATGAATATACACTTTGTCAACAAGTGCCAAATGCTGGAGATGTTCTGCGAAACCACTGGGACAGTTGGGCTTCATTGAGCGACTTTCAGAAAATCGCCGCAAACGGCTTCAACACGGTTCGAATCCCGATAGGGTACTGGGCGTTCCAAAAGTACGAAGGTGATCCGTACATTCAAGGTGCTGCGGACTACCTCGAGAAAGCCATTGGCTGGGCTCGTGAGACTGGCCTCAAGGTGTGGATCGACCTCCATGGTGAGCAAGATTGACTATCCCAAGCCCTGTGGGATGTCCAGCTTATCCTCTTCCCAGGTGCACCTCTCTCGCAAAACGGACAAGACAATTCAGGCCAACGTACCTCGACACCCGGCTGGACAACAGGCGATTCGATCGATGCCACGCTCAACGTCATTAGACAGATATCCCAACAATATGCGAGTCCGGCGTATGCAGACGTGATATCAGGTATTCAGCTTATGAACGAGCCATCATTGAGCAAGCTGCCCGGCGGACGGGACGCGACGCAGAGCTACTACGAGTCCGGCTTCGGGGTCGTTCGAGAAACGGGCCAGACGGCCGTCATCATCCACGATGGATTCGCCGCTCCATCTTCATGGAACGGGGTGTTGACCGGCCAGGGGAGCTCCGGCGCCATTGTCGATCACCACGAGTACCAAGTCTTCAGCGACGACCTGGTCGCCATGAGTCCCGAGCAGCACGTCGACTACCTCTACTCGCACGCCAGCACGTGGGCGCAGGGCCAGGACAAGTTCGTCATCTGCGGCGAGTGGACGGCCGCCATGACCGACTGCGCCCCTGCCCTCAACGGCTACGGCGTCGGCGCCCGCTACGACGGCACCTACTCGCAGCACAACTCGGACGGCGGCTACAGCGGCTCGCCCTACGTCGGCTCCTGCGCCAACATCAACTTCATCGACCAGTGGAGCGACTACAACAGGACCACCACGGCAAACTACATCCGCGCCCAGCTGAACGTCTACGAGACCCAGATCCAGGGCTGGTTCTTCTGGAACTTCAAGACCGAGGCGGCCGCCGAGTGGGATCTGTTCCGCCTCATCGACGCTGGCGTGTGGCCTGGGTTTGGTTAGAAAAGAACTTGAGTTTCTCTCGTTGACTCAGAGCGGGCGACCTGTCTACCGCGACCACGACGAGCGTTGATTGATTTGTACCAGGGGCGTTTCTTGGGAGAGCCGGGTATACCCCCAAATCGAAGGGCTTTCTTCTTGTTGTTGTTGTTGTTTTTTTGGTCCCGCATTGTCGGAAACTGACTCATTTACCTCCCGTCTATTATACTCAACTAATTAATCAAATTCAAATGACACCATAAGAGTTGCTCGGACCGCGCCTGGTTGATCGGAACGGGGCTGGAGACTCACGAATAGATGTAGATAGATACATACACAAGTAGTACTCGGCGGGGTGCCTGCGAGTATCTATGTATGTATGTATAGTATATCGGATTTTCCATTTCCCATTGTCATATATCACATGCATGTACATGCGATCTCATCTCATCCCATACAGACATAGATAGGTACGTGGGTACCACTAGTACGAATCCACTGATAATGGGAGAGGTAAGAGATTCCTTGATAGAGAGGGAGAGAAAAGCGTTCGAGTCTTGTCGGGATGGAAGGGCATCAAACAGATCTTCTAGTGACCTCCAGTGTCCTGGTGACCTCGTACTCTTCTAATGCCAATGCCATGATGCGTGTGACCTGCATGCACCCTTTGTGCCCTGGCGCCAAACAACATCCTTCTGTGTCATTCATTGTGCACATTTTCCTTTCCTCGTAACCACAATCGCTAGCTAGATATCAAATGCCCAAGTCAACGGGCAAAACTTCAGCAGTTCGCCGCCAGGCCCCGTCTTCACGTCTTCCTCCTTCACTCAATCGCAAAGCCTTCGCTCCGGGCCTTGATCACCTTTTCAAAGTTCACCTCTTCATCCAGGCCTCCCTCTAACAGCTTCACTCCCATCACGTCCACATCCACAAACGTCCTGCTCATCTCGAAATTCACCGTCATGGGGAAGAATTCTGCATCGTCATCGGCCTGGGCTTCAAACTCGAAACTGCCAGAGCTCGTCTCGGCGTCAATGACGCCAATGGTCCATTCTAATGAGTCGCCTGTGACTTGATATACCGCGTCAAAGGATGAAACACTGGGTTCTGACGAAGAGTAAGGGATGGTAAGGGTGACATCCCGGAGAGTTGTCGAGGCGGGATTAGTGAGTTCGTACTCTATTGTGATGGTATAGGTGCCATCGGAGGACGACTTGTTGACCCACGCCGTCAGTGTTAGAGGAAGGACGTCGGTGCTGTGGTCTGCTGGGGCCGTCACGCGCCATCTTAAAACACCGATGCTGTTGTTGAGAGGGAACCGCTTAGTAGTGTCTTTCAGCTGGATGACCTTTTGACTGGTGAAGAGACCCTTGTCCACATTGGGGTGTGTCCGGAATTGGGCTTTCAGAGGGCCTTCGACGGCTTGGACGGAGAGGGCGAGCTTGGTCAAGGCTGAATCACTGATTTTCAATTGTAGATCCCCTTTGACCTCCATAGACTTCAGAGCGCCTTCGCGCGAAAGTTTGGCCGAGAATGTCTCTGCAATGGTGACCAGGATAGGTGTAGTAGGAGAGGACAGCGTTGCGTCATGAGTGCTCGCGGTAGGCAGGCCACGGACAGGTAGTTCCGCTGAAGGCTCAACTGCGGGTATCTCTTCCGTGCCTATTTCCTGCTGAACTTGTGCAAACGCATTTGACGTCTTGGATTTCTTGCCCAGCTGCATACCCTTTGTGGACCGTGCCGTGAACTTGTTGGAAGTCTTGTTCTTTTCAGCTTCGTAGCTGTCGTAAGAGCTCTCTGGCCGTGTCGGCGGTGTATAGACAGGTTGCTGAGGCATCTTCGGCGCGATGCCACGGCCGTACGCAGCAGACCGCGCAGCCTCTTTCCGCTGAAGTTCGAGTTGTTTCGCCTTGCGCTTCCGCTCTTCTGACGCTTCCAGCTCTTTGTTACGGGCAATGATTTCTTGAATTCTCTCTTCGTGGGATTCCATCTCAAGGAAGGTCTTGATTTGGCTCAGGGAGAGGTTTTCCCTGTAGCCCATGGTGACGAGCTCGTCGAAGGCGGAAAGAAGCTCAAATGCATTGCGCAGGATTTCGCGTTCCTCGGCTTTCTTACAGATGGATGTGACCACCTGGCCGAATAAGTGTAGACTGTCAATGTCCTGGAGGATATTGGACTGTTTGTTTGTGATGAGGACGAGGTATAGTTCGTCGAGAGGCTGGTAGACAAAACGGACATTCTCCTGCTCGACGGTTGTGTGTTGTGTAGAGGAGTCGGCGAGCTTGGGGAACGAGGCGAGGAGGGCTTCGATGCGAGACTTGGGAATCTCTCTGAATGAGCGAGAGAGCAGCGGCTTGCCGCCTCGCGTACATATTGAAGCAGCAAGAACCACCATGGTGAAGATGGGGGGGTTAGATTTGTTGGTGAGTGAGTGGGTGTGTCGGGGTAATTGGGGGGAAGAAGTGAGGCCAGATGTGTATATCGCAGACGCCAAGGCATCTCACCCCGGATCGGGAAAGAGGGTGATGCCGCCCTTGCTCACCCTGTCACCCTCCATCTACCACACATCTGACTTTTCTGTGGTTATGCATTATGCATCCTTGAGTGGACGTTTCTCAATCTCGTCGTACCCTTTCGTCTCATGGGACACGTTAGAAAAAGCTCGTCTCGGTCCCGTCTTGGATGTTTGACCTGTAGGTAAGCCATTACCAACCCGTCCCCTCCCTCAATGGCCACGTTGCGGGGACGGCTGAGATGTGTTAAAGGGTTCGACATGTCAAGTGTGACGAAACAAAACCAGCCTGCCGACAGTGCACGGTAACGGGACGCACCTGTGATGGCTACGTCGTGGTCCAACCGCGCGAGGCTCCCTCGCTCACGTGGAAGCCCCCAGCAACCGTCCCTGGGATGGCGTTGTCGACCCTGCCACACGACGAGAAGCCGAGGGGTCTGGGACTCTTTTGTCTCGATGCCTTTCGTTCTCATGTCATCGGCGCACTTTTCGACGACCCCTCACGACGCCTCGAGCGCCTGATACTGCAGGCACTTCACCAGGAGTCGTGCGTGCGCCACGCCGCGGCCGCGCTCACAATCCATCAGCTCCAAATCTCGTCGCGGTGGCCAGCTGGCAGCATTGGTGATGGTGCTACGACGTTTGGCCTCAGGTCCTACGGTCTCTCCATCCGAGATCTGCGGAGGCTGTTGCTGCGGCAGCCCGATCGACACGCCGCTGAGGTCGCCTTGGTGTGCGCCCTGCTGGGCATTTGTTACGAACTCGCCCAGGGCGCTTACAACGAGGCACGACTCCATTTGGAGAATGGCCTGCGTGTCTGCTCGTCCTTGGCCGGTGAGAGCTCAGTGCTTCCTCTCCCCCTCTTCGTTTACATCCTTAACATACTGGCCGCGTTCGTCTGACAGATAAGGTCAACAGTCGACGGAGACATCTTCCATGCATTTGCGCGTCTTGACGTCCAAGGGTCGACATTTATCGAAGGCTGGGTACCACGACTCACGCCGCTTCTTCCGACCAACGCCATCACCGCTGCCGACGACGACTACGACCGAGATGTGGTCCGGTTTGAATCCCTGGAAACTGCTCAACGCCACCTTTATGCATGTCTAAGTCGGCTGTGGTCGTTCTTAAGGGGCACTCTCGACAATTCTCATCGCTACTGCAACCCGGACGATCGACCACCGCAAATTGCAAGTCAAAGCCGGGACCTAGGGGCACATTTACGGCAATGGGAGCTGGGCTATGACGAGTTTGTAAAGCGCCTGGACAGCTTTCCAAATACGGACGCCCAAACATACTCAAACCTTCTCTGCGTTCATCATCTGACCGCTAAGGTATATTTGGCGACAGCACTTTGTCCTAACGAGCTCTGCTACGATGATCATGACGATTCATTTCGCCTCATAATTTCCTTGTCTCGGTCGCTCTTAAACCACCGTCGGTCAGATGCGACCCCTGCCCTCTTTTCCTTAGGGCTGGGGGTTGTCCAGCCCCTATTCTTTACCGCCACGCGATGTCGGAATCTTTGGGTCCGGGAGGAAGCGATGGAGCTATTGTCGTCTATCCCGTGGACTGAAGGCGTGTGGAATGGTCCCGCCATGACCAAAATCGCCGCCGTCGTCAAAGAGTTGGAAGAACGCGATCTCGACCGAGCCTTCCTTGAGCAGCACCGTATACCCGAGGCGAAACGAGTTCATTCGACTAGCACCGACCTCGATCCTCGGCGGCGTTCTTCTGAGGTGCGCTGTGCGCTGCTGCCCAGTGGTCAGACAGGGCCGCGGGAACATCACTTCTTCCAAGTCTATTGGTGATACCTATCGTAGCCAATAGACAAGCGCCATTGGGCACGCCATCCACTGTTTACAGATTGCCAGGTCGGCTCTTGATTGCATACAGCCCCAGCCTTGAAAATTGCGCACTCGTCACCTCGGCCGGGCAAAGCGGAACTCTCCCAGAGCGGTCAATTTTGAATGCAATATAATTAGTGGCTCCATTGAGCTGCAATACCATGGGACAGGCTTCGCTCACCAAACGCAGAACCCCTCTCATCGCCCTTGGCGACACAGGATCAATGGAAACACCAGCTATTGCGCGACTTGGGGTTGATGTGTTCCTAGATTGAAAGACAACCCACGCTTGAACTCTGGTGCCTGGCCAGATTTTTAAGGAACCCTATCCTAATCCGTGTCTGTTTGACGGCATGGCGAATCAGGTAGAAGCAGTGGGCCTTCACACCTTCTCGACGGCATCGCCTCCACTTTCGCAACATGTATTTGAGACGGTACTCTTCTCGTGGGACGAGGCTCGAGAGGCATCTCTACAATTTTATCGAGCATTCAGAACCAGGAGATTCGGTTCCTATTTCTTTCCCGCTGTGGCCATTGAAAGCACAAGAGCACCCAAAGGATTCCTTAATTCGACCTACCACACATCGGAGTACGCAACGAGCCTGAGGATGCGACTCGTCAACTTGGCAACGTGGCTAGGGTTCGCCCAAGTTGGGATGAGTGCCGCCAGCAAAGGTTTCGATACTTTCTTGGGCTCGATTTTTGATGCACGACTCGATCCGACGATCTACGCACCCCTGGATCACCACGGAATTAGCGATGACCTCTCTGCACTCTGCCAAAATTCGACAAACGGGTCGTTGCTGGTTGCAGCGCGTGTAGCGTCGATCCATGCTGATGAACCCCTGTTTACATATTCTTACTCGACGGATCCGAAGCAGATTGTCGACGCCGACACCGTCTTCCGAGTGGGCAGCATATCCAAACTATTCACTGTCTATACGATACTGGTCTCTCAGGGCCACAGCATCTTCGCTCAGTGGATTGGAGACTTGCTCCCGGAACTCGCCACATCCAAACCCCCGAGCGACACTCGCGAACTTCCAGCAAAATGGTCAGAAGTCACGATTGGGGCACTCGCATCACACTTGGCGGGCATTGCTAGAGACTGTAAGGTTGTCACCTTGCCCATTATCTGGTCTCTTTTGGCGTACTGACGCCTGCTCTTTCTTTTCCTCCAGACAATTTGGGTGACCTGGCAGCGCTCCACAATAAGCCCAGCGGCCTCCCCAACATCCCGCCGGCCGACCTACCTGGATGTGCCAATGACAGCCATGTACCGACTTGTTCCCGCTCAGGTTAGACGAACATTCGAAGGCCCTTTTGATAGTTTTGGCTTGCAAACAAACTCATCTGACTGTGACATGACACAGACTTCATGACTACATTGAAGCAGCGAGACGCCGTCTTCGAGACGTTTCACACACCGGCGTATTCGAACAATGCCTTTCGACTGCTCGGGTATGTCGTGGAGACGATCACAAACACGAGCTATGCCACTGCCATTCAACAGTTGGTACTAGACCCGTTAGGTCTGAAAATGACCTTTGTACGTCAACCACCGAACGACGTCCGTGGCGCCATTCCTGGAGACACGACTAGCTCCGGCTGGTCCCAGGACCTGGGAGACGAGACACCGTAAGTGAAATGTCGCAGCCGGAGCAACTTGGCAAGTTTTTCTGACCGTCGGCAGCTCTGGAGGTCTCTACTCGACCGCCAGGGACCTGTGCTCCCTTGGTCTTGCGATCCTGAGCAAGAGGCAGCTCTCATCAGGGGATACGAGGCGCTGGTTGAAACCGTGGACACATACCGCCTCGCTATTCCTCTCGGTCGGCGCCCCGTGGGAAATATACCGCGCCGAGGTTTCAGGCCGTGTTGTTGACCTGTACTGTAAATCCGGAAGCACTGGCGCCTACAACTCATGGCTAATCTTGGTTCCGGATTTTGGCATCGTCATTTCAGAATTGGTCGCCGCGTCCGAGCCGGCCAGCGAGCTGCCTCTTCGCCTGGCTGACGTCGTCACGGCCCACACTCTCCGTACCATCTCTAGTCGCCAAGCGCAGACTCGAGGGCTGCTGGGGTGGTACAGTACTGCCAACGTCACCAACGCGACGGCAGGCGGCAGCACGTTGGAGTTGACACTACCTTCGGATGGGCCAGGTCTCGAGATTCGCAACTGGGTCAGCTACGGCGTTGATTTTCTGCAGGTCGCCAACGACTACTCTCGCTCCTCTGGGAGTGGGACTCTTAAGTCTGTGCGACTTTATCCCGCCACAATCGACCAGGGCGGCAAAGAGCTGAGGTATCGCGCGGTCTTCCTGACCGAAGGCAGCCCTGAGTCCGGCCTGAGTATTACCCACTCCGAAGGCATCCCTCGTCTCTTTGGTCAAGCTACTGAGGCGTGGGATAATGTGGACCAATTAACGTACGGCGGACAGCCTCTGGACGAGTTTATCTTCAGGGTGGGGCGGGATAGCCGTGTTGCTAGTGTCCATGTCCCTGGATTGAGGGTTACCATGGCTAAAACGGAGGTTTAGAGCGTTGGAAGACCGCTCCTCGGCACTATATCTGCGTCTGATCGATCAGTGTCACGGTAGTATCTGTGTTTTGGGCAGTCTGTTGAGGCCTCATAACGAGGGATCTGTGCTGTAGTTGTCTTACGCAATGCCACGACAGCCTAGTCTCTATAGACAGGAGAATGTCGACGCTGGCAATTGAGGCAGGACAATATCATTTGATTACCTCGAAGAGAACAAGACGGGACGCGGCATATGCGGGCAGTGTTCGACCTGCAAATGCTTCTGTTGTCCTGAAAAATGTCGTAAACCCCTCGTCGAGGCTGTGAAATGGAGTCCTAAGTCGCGAATGAAGATTGCTTCCACCAGTGTTGAACGGACATGATCGACCTCGACCCTGATTCGGTTCGATTTCGGGGATTCTGGGCAAATGGCTCGGTTTGTGGAGTCTGTGAGTGAGAAAGCTTCCGGTCGCGCTATTCCCAATCAGGAATTTTGTAGACGACCTGGCCAATCAGAAGCCTCGAGGCCAAGTTCGTTGCCTACCACCCAGTCCACCCTACCTAGTATGACATACAAGGCTGAGCGGAACACCGGTTTTGTGCCTATGTACCACTACACCGTGGCGGCGTCTGTGGAATTGATATGAGCAATCCGTTGTGGCGGTGCCAGAAAACCCCCCATCTTTCGACTTCGAGGAGAAGGTGGAGGAGGATACAGATGACATATAAGGAGAATCAAAGGCACCCTCACCGTGGACAACTTCTCCCTCATTGGAATCAACACTTCGGAGAAGTGTGTCTAGAGAACAATTTTTTCCTTCAAACCCCCATCCAGTCTGTACAGCTGCCATGGACAAGGAACACACCAAGGGAAACCCTCATGGAGGACAGGATACACGGAGCTTCGACGCGAAGCTAGTCGGTTAGTACCTCGTGTCTCGATAGAATGACCAAAAATCCATCGTGGCTCATATGGTGTGTGTGTGTTTTGGCAGAATCTCTAGATCAGCCGCCGACTTACAATGACGCCGGCCCGCCTCGCGTCGCCATGCAGGCCCCAGGGCAACCGCCGCACGATCACCGAATGTGCATCCCATTGGACCAACTGCGCGACGTGCCCAGCCCGATTCAGTGCCCGTACTGCGGGTTCCAAGGCGTGACCAGAGTCGAGCACATCGCCGGTCGACGGACCCGGTAAGTTTCCCACCGACAATTTTGCTGGGCGCTGTCCGTTCCTTTGAGAAGAAGAATTGGAAATATCTGACCTCCCAGTGCCGGACTAGACGATCGGCCGGACTCCTCTTCGCCGCCACCGTGGTCCTCGCCCCGGTCCCCTATCTCACCAACGGCACCAAGGACGTCCGCCACTTCTGCGCAAACTGTCGAGTGTGCGTCGCCGTCTGGCTGAATGAGAGGAACTCCCCGGGCCAGACACATGTCGTGGCACATCAGAATCGAGTGGGTGGGACCTATGATAGGGGCTCGGTCTGACGACCGCTGCGAGGCGTCTTTGGTGGGGGGAAGGAGTCGCTAGCAGGTTGTCTTGAAAAGTGGCATGGTTTCCCCCCCGGCGGGAGCGTGTCGAGAGCTCGGAGCACTTCGACCATTATTTCTTGTGCTGCCACCAAGCCATGGAGTGAGGGACACAGTGCTGCCTCAGTGCGGCGTCGAATGGTGCGGATCAACAAAGGGATCCAAGTCACGATATGCGAACCCAGTAGCCATGGACGGTCACTCGTTCAACTTGTGTGGGATTAGTGGTTCGGTATATCGACCAGTGGTTCTAAAGCTTCACACTGTAACCCGGGTTGTAACTCGAGGGCACTTTGACGCATCTCAAACTGGGATCGGGGCGATATCTTGGAAGAGGCGCCACAGGCAAGATCACAAGGTCACGGAGAGTACCAATGGTGAACGAATATTTGACTCGCGTTAAATGAATGAATTCCGAACATGGTGTGTTGAGACAGCAACCTCGGACAAAACACTCCCAGAACGACCTGTAGTATACCCCTGCCGCCCATGACATCCGCCCTCGTCGTGTTTTTCCTTCTGCCATATTGTCTTCTGTGAAACCAGTGCATCGTTCGCGTCCTATGCCATAGCGAAGCAGCACAACTTGGGCATATCTCGTACAATCTTGTGGATATTCTTTGCAATGAGCCACGCTGCCCAATGACACTACTCGTACCTGGGTGGCGGTACATTGTAGTAGCTAGCTGTGCTCTCGGGTCGCTGGATGCCTGTCGCGCTGTTCGAGTCGCTGTCCCAGCGCGTGGCCGGAGGCCTCTCATCGTTGCCCAACAAAGTCTGGTTCTGATCAGCCGTTGCCTCGTAACCGGGACTGTTGTAGTATGGGTGTTCTTTGTGCTTTGGCGGGTCTTGGGTAGAACCATTGTCAAGGCTGGGATCTTCTTCAGACGGATCTTCTCCCTCGTTATTTCCTTCGGCTTTGGCGCGTCGTGCACGCCTCCGTATCATAATACGGAGGCCAATTCCAACGAGGGTTAGGAGGAGACTGATACTGCTGAGAACAATGATGACTATTCGCCACGCTTTGCTCTTCTTGTGGTCGCCATCGTTGATGATCACGAGACGGGTTTTTCTTGCAACGAGATCCATTGCGCGAATATGGACGGCGGACATGAATTGGACAAGAATGCTGGCTCGAGAGGGACGGGCAGGGCGCTAACCCCCGTACGATTGATCGGTGACCTAGTTGTCGTGAAACTCGATTTCTTATGATGGCAACAGATGTAACTTCTTCAACTTGGGACAACGCCAAACCTGAACCGCCTGGCAACTGTTGGAAAAAGTGACTTGTAGCGCAGCGAGACTCTCCGTTACTGTACGCAACGGCGCAACGTCCAAAAAGAGATCACGGATGTAAATGGTGGAAGCAACAAGGGGACAAGAAAGATTATAGGCAAGCAGAGCAGGCAGTGGGCGAGCGAAAAGAGACACAGTACTCGGTACTGTTGTAGAAAGAAAGGACTCGACGTTCCAAATCACCATCCGGGAGCTGAAAAGACATAATAGTGGGATTCCAGAAGGGGGGCTTCCTTTGCAATAGTAATACGAGGCATGGTCGAGCTGAACCTAGGGCCAAGATAGGGGCCCGCTATCGAGAGCGAGGTTGGGTATACGGGTAGGAAGAGAAGGTAGATCCAAATCCGCAGGAATTGCGCCAGCCTTGATTTGGGGGCTAGCGCAGGCGGCGCAGGACGGATTGTGCCTGACATGTCACATGACACACTTCTGCACTGGGGATCTCGTGTCACATGACCAGTTGTCTACAGTACGATACATGTGCTTGTTTTGCTGTGCCATGTGGACAATACTACTAATTTTGGCTCCTACGGGAAGTACGTATGAGGCCGCTGTAGCTGCCCGACCCTGCCAGAGCCGCCTATTCGTACCTCCTCGTACGAGGATGGATTGCTAGAGGAACAAGACAAGTCCGTCCTCCAGACCTGACCTATACCGAATCCGGAATATGGAGGGCGCCAGAAAATGGAATCCGGCCAATCACCTCGGCGAATTGGCTTTGTCATGCAGGGATCGATTCCATCACCACCCACCGAATGCTCAATTAAAATCCTTCTCTCCTCGCAATTTCGCCTGAGGGCTGACCTCTTCGTGTACAAATGAATGTTGGAGGTGCGGCTGAGCGGACCGACGAATTCATTCGGAAGAGTGTGGTCTGTGGAACTCCGAGCCAAGGGGTCGAGATTCGAGAAGTCCTCGCTTGAGGAGTCTGAAGTGTCTTGGCAACCACCAGCTAAGCCCATGCTTAAACCAAGGGTCCGCAGAGGTGTCAGAAGCTTGGTAAAGTCTTTGGTGATCTATTCAGTCGTCCTGGCACATTAATGAGGTGTAGTGGTCGATACTTATCGCCAGAAGCAGCTACTACGACTGCCCTGCGAAGAGCAAAAGGCAAACAATCTCAAGCAGAACCATCAGACTCGTGGCAGAATCTCTGAAGCTTGAATGTTGCGTCGCCTATTGAGTTCTGCTTTCATAACCGAGGGACGGCTTGAGGAGCAGGCAGCGTCCACTGGGAAGTAGCAAGTTGTTGACAAGAAAAGGCCAAGAAGACCTTGTGCAAAACCTTTTGTTCGTAGCTGAAGCCCTCGCTTGTACTTCGCTCTCCCGCTAAGTGAACGCAGTAACCTGGTGGACAGAGAGACTGAGAGGCGTTTGCTGTCAGCAGTAACTTGACAGTACCATCATAGCGACTGCCCACTCTCACCTCCTCTATTCTTCCCTCTAGTCCCGGCTGCTTGAATCCCTACCAGTATGTATGTTTGTTGGTGTTCAAGTCTCGTGATCCCCAGGTTTGTCTTGGTGGACGCGACAAGGCGAGTCGAGACCCCTCACGGCACGTGGCGCGTCACGCGTCTCATGGGGCTCACCGCTCTTCCTCTCACACATCACACATCCATTATTTACTTTTTCAACGGCTGCTGGACAACTATTGCTTACTTCCCCTTCCCAGAGTGGCTTTTGCGAGCCTTGTCATCATCAGTATGGCAACTCTACCAGGGCCACAAGAAGGTACCGCCATCCCCAAGAAACCAAAATGCAGAGCCTTGGGCCTTGCGGACAATGCTCCCTGTCAATCCTATGCAATGTCCGTTGATAGCCACTTCTGTCGTTTTCATACCCGCCAGTGCTACGGTATGTAGACATTCTTCGGCATGAATGTCGCACCTCGTCTACTTTGACGTCTACGATTCACTCCAGGCTTATACAAAGGCTACAAAACGGCGTAATGCTCAACTTGGTGCCCTTTCGGCGTCTCCTCCCCAGTATTTAGCGAATAGTGGGACAAAACTGGCAAACGAGAACTTCGTAGCAGTCAAAGATGGAGCCGTTCTCAGGGAGATCCACCATCATCTCTTCAAGAGATATGCTCTATCGGATCGTGTCATCAAGGCCCGCAAACTCCACCATGGTCATTTCTATGCCCAAACAATGGACTATGGCCATGAAAAGTATCTGAAGTCACTTGTAACGCAGAAGTTGACGGTGCAGAAAGCCCTGGAACGTCTTACACAGCGCTGGGTTGAGGTGCTCTCTCGGCAACAGAAATGGTACCAGTGGGCGCGAGAGTACCCGGAGGAGGAAGCGCAACAACGCGAGAATGAACAGAAGAAGATTTGCGCCAGCATTGACTTCGGTCCTATCGATGAAAAAGGTGAATATCGAAAGAGCAACTTGTTAGTCAAGATCTGTGGACACTACATCTATAACTACCCTTGTCGAGGTGCAATGAAACGAGATGGTTGGCTGCATTTCAGCATCATGGTAAGGGAGTGCGGTTTGCACAAAGCCGTTGAGCTGTGCAAGTCATGTGATGAATTCTTCGAGCTGAACATTTTAACACTTTACCGCTACTTTCCATCTCCTGAGTGGCTTCCTTGGGCGGAAGACTATGGGACACGGCAATATCTCCTAATCGTAAGTGTACAGCCTCCCTTCGGGGAATTGGCCTGAGACCTACCTCAGTACCATTCATCATTGGCTAACAGCTCATGGTTACCAGGTTTTTTTCTCTTATGTCACCTTCAACGAGGCCTCTATGCTCATGGTCAGCAAACGCGCTTGCAATCTGTCAGGCCGTCGCATCTATGCTTCGTCTGAGATGAGAAACTACATCTGCACTTACATGAAACGCAACCATCCGGTCAGCCGTCGTTTCACCCAGTACATGTCAATGCAAACTCCAAGAATGTTGATCTTGGTGAGGGACGGGAAGACTGGGCGGATTATTGTGACGCCATCAATGGACGAACTATGGCTCATTCGATCTAAGTATGGATATGGAAGCAATGCCAAAGCCGCGTGGGAAACCGAGAAATATGTTGGACCCAAATTCTTCGAGGAGATAGACAATTATCGGAGGTTCAGTTTCGGCTTCGACGACTATTATGATATCTACATATGGAGCAAAAATCCGGGAGGTCCGGGGAAAATACTACATGCCGGTGTTATGGAGGTGCAAGGCTCCAGATCTCTGTTCCGGTCACAACTGCTAATGCCATTCAGATGCTGTATAAGGCGAACCAGATCGGACACAACTGAGGACCTATACGCCACATTCGCTCCAATTCTGAAGACTGTAACTCAAGATGAGAACACATTGGCTGCCCGAGACAATCGAGAGGGTGAAAAGGCTCAATCAATCTGGGATGACATACGAAGTACTCGTTTGAATGGCGGACACCGGCTGGTGATGTTGCTTTAGAGATGCCGAAGTATCTGGGTACGGGGAGGCATATGCTCTCGAAGACAAGATCCTCTTCCCCGGAGACTTTTCAGGCTCCCTTGGCAAGCAACACTTCAGTCCTATCGAGACCAGCCTCACGCGACCTTGGTGGATGGAGTTCGATTTCTGCAAAAGCTTCGTCAATATCGATGTCGAGTTCTTGAATGGTTTGGACGATGCTTGGTGGGCCTGAGGACCTTCATACACGGCAAGGCACCCTATGCTTCAACTTTTCTCTTGTCGAAATTACCGTTCCGCATCACTAGCTGTCAAAGCTTCCATACTCCTGGGACCACCACCTCCTGTAACTATCCTATATTAAGAATACCTTGCTGCAGAGAATGGGGGGCCATAGGTCGGACATAGCGCACTTCATTCACTCACATAGCTGAAGTCCCGAGGGTAATATCGGCATTCTTAACATTGCATTTCCATTTGTGTTGCTGGCAGAGCTAGTTCGCTTCTGCTCATCTCCTCGCCAAAAGCGATTGAGGTCTCCTCTAATTTGAGTCAAGACTGCGGAAAGCGAGTTTGTTGAAGTGCAAACAGTGCAAACAGTGCAAACAGCGCAAATAGCTTTCAAATAGCGCTAGTACGTTTACGGAAATCCTTGGCGGACAGTGACTTCAACTTGGGGTTCTGCTGCCTTCGCGTCTTGTTTCTAGTCACCGATTCTTCCACGAACACTTCGTGACCTTCAGAAAATCTTGAAATCATTCTTTGGAGAGCACACGCTTCACTACGTGGAAATACTCTACCATCACCATTTTCTCGGAGAAACTAGATCTAGATGAACCTTACCACACCACTCTCTTCGATCTGTCACCCTAGATCAGTCTGCCAACACAACCAAACGCCACACCTCTTATCCCACCGACGGAAAAAAAGATTTGGCAGAGTAACGCGTGAAAACTGCGGGAATATTTGCTCCGCCTCAAGGATCCGTGTTTCTCCCGCGATCCTTCGCGATGGCTGCGATCCCCTCGTTTGCCTTTCCTGACATGGATGTGTCGCAGCTCGATGACAAAATGGATGTAGCATCGTCCCCTTTTCGACAGCCTGACGATATCGACATCGACCTCGATTCTATCCGTGATCCTTCCGTGATTGGCTCGCCCCACGACGACATGGTCGATGATCCTGTGGCACCTCTCGACACCGAACTCGATGTAATGGAAGACCAATTTGATGAGACGTTGCCAGATGATGATATGAAGGATGAACAAAACACATCTATGCTAACAGAACAACCCGACCTGGACTTCAATATGGATGGTTCTCTCGAGGAAGTTCAAGGTGATGAAGATGAGGATATTTTATACGAAGACGAGGAAGACATCACTGCGGTTGTACAAGATGTTGAAGTAGTTGACGAGTACAACGAACCTGAAGGCCATCCGCAGCCCTTTCAAGAGGTGGAAGCAGATGTCATCTCCGAAGAGACTGGGGAGCGATTCGAACAAGAAAATCATGCCGATATAGATACTAATCAAGATAAGGGTCTTACCGACGTCGCAAGGGCCTCTCTACCACCAGCACATGACGCTGCTCAGGAACAAGGAGAGACCCACGCTCCAAACACCGAGATACCGAGTACATCCACGGAATATGTGGCTGGCCAGGACGGGGAAAACCAAGCTGCCGAACAAACGCAAGCTGAGCAACATGATGATGGTGCCGAACTCCCCGAACAACGTCCAGAGGCTGAAGCTGAGGCTAAGGCCGAGCCCGAGACCGAGACTGATACTCTCCCCGGTGAGACAGTCAGTGGTCCAGAGACTGACGTCCAGACAAGAACCCAATCAAGTGAATCGGCGCCGCATGATCAGTACGAGGAGACAGCTAAGAACGAAGCTGACAGTGCAGCTCTGAGTGTTCACCCTGTCACCCTTGTCTATCTAGAAGAGGAAATGTCACTTTTCCCTCCTATGCTCGGCGATGCCTCGAGCGTGTATTTTCTTCCTGATGCCTCATTAGCCTTTGAGCCTCTGGACAAATTGCTCGCAGCATGCCGTGAGATTTTGACTGGCACGCTGGATCATCATGACGAGCTTGTGCTTGACGTGCCTGGCTTAGGTCTGCACATCTGCGAGGACTCCAAATACGCTACTCAAATTACGCTTTCTCAAATCCTCGATGTCTACTTGCACCTGTGTAACAATAACGGAGGTCAGGTGATCCAACCTCTATATTGTCACTTGAGCAGCCGTGTGAGCCTTGCGTCGCAATACGCCTACCTCTGCTCTGCAGGAGCCGAAGGAAAGACGTATACAGAAATTGCTGCTGATCATTCGGAATCTCCGGAGGTGGATGGTGATGGTGCAGAAGAACCCATTGAAGATGGTCAAGATGGAGGCGATCACTCACCTACGAAAGAGGAAATAGAAGCAGTGACAGAACGCACAGACATTCAAGCGTTGAGTCACGCCGATGACACAGAGACCCTTGATCAGAAAGAACCCGCAGAGGATGAGATCTTTTCTGGCCATGCCACGCGGGATAGTGTACCCACAGCTAGCGATGCGGATCGTCCCGAGGCCTTTGCAGCCACAGCAGAGCCCGAAGCAACTGAACAGGCCGCTTTGCTTGCTGATGCCGAACAAGAGGATGGTGAGCCAGAGGACGTGTATGATGAAACACGAGAGCCTGGGGACAGTGAAACTGAGCAGGAGCTGCGCCCTGATACTCAAGGCCAACCAGGTGATGATCAAGAGCATGAAACCAATAGCTCACATACTGTGGAAGGCGATGTCGCCGAGACGGACTTCGAGAATATCGAAGGCGCAACTCGCGAGGCAGAAGGTTCTGGGCAACCAACCGAGGAAGCAGAAGATCTTTTTCGACATGAAGAGGATGGACCCGAGCCGGAATCCAGCTACAAATCTGACGGCGATCAAGAGTTCCTCATCGCTCAAGATGAATTTGACGATGGTGTGCCGGAAGATATCACCGCGATCGAGCAGAATCAACACCAAGTTGCGACGTTGCCAACTACAGATGACACGGTCGCATCTTTGCTTCCCAGCGATACTGAAATAGTGGGCGAAGATTCCTCGCACCAAGCTTCAGCCGTCGACAACGTCGATCTGGGCAATCTCAGTCCTCCCATAACTCCCGTCAAAGGCAAGCAAGCGAAGCGAAAAGCCGAAGAAGATGACGAGCTTTTTCTCGATCTTGATACGCCAGATCCAAAGCGTCGAAGACCTTCATGATCCAAAGCGTCGACGACTTCCGTTGTTCCCCGACCTTACTCGACGAAGACTGGCGGTCACAGCAAATGCGCCGACAATGCCGGATACGCGCGCAACGAAATCTTGGGACAATCTTGGGACGCTGGCCAAATCACGTTCACCTTTACTAATCACAGCAGAATCTAACCTTCTAGGTTCCCACGTAGGATCCCTTTCATTCCCCCAGTGCCCACTACGACGTCTTACTTGAGCGTTCGCCAACACTCAAAAGTTACTGTACGACAGTAAAAATTTCCCTTTATTCCCCTGTGCCACTAACCATAGTTTTTGAAATTCACCGTTCAGCCTTTCAGCTTGGAGTTTTCACCAAGACCGATTCGACGTCCAACCCTGACCTGTTATGCAAGGTGTCTTCACAACTTGAAATCCAAAGGTCGATTGGGAGGAACATGTACAATGACACCATCGAAACTTACCGTGACTGCAATGGCTGGGTGGGTGGGTTTGCAGTTCACTGTAAGTTACTAGAGGCGGAGAGAATGAGATATGAGCTCGTGCTTGGAACAGCGCCGTGTGGGACAGGGGAGAAGTCATGTTTTCATTTTGCTGCCGTGTTGTTGTTTTGGCACTGCGCTGGAAGGAAGACAGCAGGCGTGCTTTGGTTTTCAGCTTGGTCCGGACCAAGGGGGAGACGGAGGGCAAGCAATGTGTTGTACCGGGCAATAGGGAATGTGTTTTTGAGCTGGTTGATCTGCTGGATTTCACAGATATGCTCCGTGGCTGCTCAGTCGATGAACTTGTACAAGTATTCTAGGTCCCACTTGTTTCCGCTATCACATGTGAAAGCCGCAGTGCGCAGTAAGATACGTTGTCCCCATAAATCATTCTAGCGCCACTGGCATTGGCTTTGACCCCGGAAATGGGAGTTTTGTGTAGTTTGTGAAAGCGCATAATGTGGTCCAACGTTGTGGAAAGGTCCAAAAGGGACACGTTATCAGCCAATCAGGACTTAGCGATTTCGCAGCATCAGTATCGCGTCGGTGCGTATTCGGAGCATAAAACCCGGTCACTCCCTCTCCGCCGTCCCAACTTGGGAACTTGCTCAACCCTGGTACTCGGGTACTCGTAATACTTGCTTACTTGCTCATCTACTTGCTCACCTACACATGCATTCCTCATACATACACATATATATTGTCATATTAGTCGCTGATGTTTTGTTTTCTCCCTCTTCTTTCTTTCCACCCTTTCTTTCTCTTCCCACTTCTCTCCCTCCTCCTAGAGCTATCTCCCAAATACTGCGGACTCTCTTTGCTCTGACTCAACTAGACAAGGTTCTAATGCAGACGGGCGTCCCACGACTATAAAGGTTGGATGAACGACATCGCGCATGGACGTTCAAGCGGCGCAACCATCTTCTCCCTTGCATCAAATTCTCGAGTGGGCGCTGGACCCCTTGGTAACATGAGAACACCATCTCAAGCGTGGCTATCGACTGCGGTGGGCTTGGCGCCTATGACGACCTTCTTCTCGGACGCACCAAAGCCGCTCGACTCGCCGTCACTGTATCTTTCATCAGTGACTGCGACGTTTGGAGCCTTGGACTTCACAAAGGGCCAGTGTCCCCTGGTCTCCTTGAACCTCAACAAGACGAAGCCCAGAATGACGACGATCCAGAAGACGTTGTAACTGATGACGCTGCCGTAGGTGGCGCTGTTCTGCCAGCCCAAAAGGGCGTTGAAGATACCCCAGCCACCGCCGCCATTCAGCACCGGGTTGCAGCAGTTGACGTGCCAGACACTGGACCGGATATCATATGACCCGGGGCCAGAACCGTTCTCGGCAGCGTCACCACCGCTGGCCTTGTTGAATTCGTGTTGCTCGAAATACCAGACGGCCCGAGAAAAGAGGCCGGCCGCGACAAGATACAGGAAGCAGGTGCTGGCAATGAGGAAGAACTGCAGGGGAGCCATGTTGCCGCCCTTGTAGATGATGAAGCCAACCAAGCAGCCAGCCGCGAGACCACAGACGGTGGGTAACGGGATCGAGCTGGCCGAGACGCCGAGACTCACACCTCCGATGAAGACGATGGCCTCAATCCCCTCACGCAGAATGGTGATGAAAGGGAGGAGGAACATGGCATACTTCTGAGCCCAATCCTTGATGCGAGTGCCGAGCTTGCCGTGCTTGTTGTCCTTGGCCTCAAGAGCTTTTGCAAGCTTGACTCGCCATTTGGCCTGCATCTTGGACACGCGCAGAAGAGCAGCACCCATGATTGCGATGATGATGGAGGCAATGAGCGCAAAGATACCCTCCCAGAGGGCCTCGGCGTTCCCCCAGGCGTCACTCCCAATGCCATAGAAGGCGCCGATCATACCACAACCGATGATCAGACATATCACGAACCCTATGAGGGTGCCGTACCAGACCTGCAAAGCACCAAAGGTAAGGAACACATCACCGAAAGAGGTAGGGCCACCAACGTACCTGGTTCCGCAACTTCTTATAGACAGTCCTGTCTTGATCGGGGCCCAGCTGCTGCTTGAGGAAGGACAGCAGAACCGAGACGACAATGGTGGTCTCCAATGTCTCTCTGAAGACGATGAAAAACACCGGAACGGTGAAGACGTCGGGCATGGCTGCGGTTGGATTGTTTCGGTGCTCTCAACTCAGGTAAGAATACCTTCTCCCGTCCTGACAGACAGTACTACTTGCTGGCACCTATGGACTCTTGCGGTCTCCGGGAAAACAACAGGTAGGCAGAGGATAGAGGAGAAGATTGGGCGGACGATATCTGGGAGGACAGCATCTGATAAGATTATCTTCCTGGACCGGAGACATGGTGGAATCAGGTCATGAGTGACTTGCAAGTCAAGGGGTGGGTGCAGACTGCGTCCCGAACGCTCCACGGAAAACATCATTCGATGCCAAGTCTACGCCAAGCCGATGCCAAGGATGCCCAGACTGCGCCCAAAAAGTCTTCCACCTCGCCATGCTCGCGTCAGTCCACTCTTCCACTCTTCCGATGTCGCTCTCTCACTGGTTTGCTCCATCTTCCGCTCTTCTCGACGATCCTCTCGTGCGCCAAGAGGTTCCCATTCCACCTGTTCGAGCTCCTAACGAGACAAGTTGACCAAGCCATTATTCAAGCCATTGAAGACGCCCCGCCCAGCTTCTCGCTCATTGACCTGCCAGCAAGCTAACAATCGCAGCTCGTTGCCGCCCCCCTTTCGTCCCTACCTACCGTCTCACGAGAATGAGTCGGTCGACTGCTTGCATCGGCTGATATCCCGGTTTAGCAAGAACAAAAATTTGAAATTCACGCAAGCAGAGAAATTTTTTTGGCACGATCACCTCCGTGGTTCCACCTTCGAACGTCCCGATTTCACATCGACTCGACGTCCTCCTCTTCGATTCCGATCGCCCACATGTCCATCTTGAAGCTTTCCGCGATCAACTCTCTGCAAGCTCGTATCGACTACAGCTACAAGCGCCCAACAAAAGACGGTGGGCTGCACAGTCGGAATACCAAGAAGCTCATTATTACTCACTTGGGAGTATGCATCAGATAAAGAAAACTGATCCGAGCACAGCTCGCAAGACAACTGGACCGGGATCCACCAGATTAGATCACAAGCTATTGAGCCTACTTATTCAAAATTTATCTGCTCAATCATTTTCTGACACCACCTCAATCCTCCATATTCTTTACTCGCATTTTTCGACAAACCAACGAAGCAGTCTCTCTCTTTGACGGTATGCCGTCTCTCTCCAATACCTTTGCGGTCGGATTTCTTTTCTCATCGAGATGCGCGGGTGATCCCAGGCCTTAATCCTTCAACGGGCTAGAACACATGCTTTAACCGACCAGCTTGGCGACGAATACAAGCATCAGCTTGTTCTGACTTGGTATGCTCTGGACCACTTCTGCCAAGGTAACGACCAGCGTCCAAGCTCTTTCTTTACAGGTGGGATTGTTTTCGTCTCGGCTGTTCGCCTTACGACTTGCATCGCTCTCCACCGTCGAGGCCCAATGAGCCCGCCATCTGGTCGAAATCCATCAGACCACAGAAAATTTGACCAGCGTTTCTTTCTTGCCGATCTGGTAATATGAGTGATAATCTTATCAGATCGTTCACCTGATGCTTCAATTTTTTCTCCCCGCCGCGTCGGAGCAGCATCGGAGCGGCATTGAAGGTGGCAGGGGTCGTGCGACATCTTCGTAAAGTTTTTCCGCTTTGCCGATAGCTGGCGTCCGGACCCTCGCCTTTCAAAACATCTTATCTGATAATTGATGCTCGATCTCTCTCCTTACTCTCAACGAGCACATCTCCAAGCCAGGCATCATGGCTCTGTCTCTGTCAAACCTCCTCTTTGTCTGCGCAGCCTTCTTGCTGTCGTTCGCCTCTGCAGCGACTCGCGTGTATAATTTCACCGCTGGCTGGGTGAACACAAATCCCGATGGCATGTTCGAGAGGCGTACCATTGGCATCAATGGCCAGTGGCCGTTGCCTCGCATCGAGGCCGACGTGGGAGACAGGGTCATTGTCAATCTGACCAACGATCTCGGGGATCAGTCTACCTCCATTCATTTCCACGGGCTTTTCCAGAATGGCACCAATCACATGGATGGCGTCGCCGGTGTGACGCAGTGCGCGGTCCCCCCTGGCTCCAGCTTTGTCTACGATTTCAATGTATGCAGAACCTCCCGCCTCAAGATACGTGGTCCTGGACTAACGTTGGGATCAGGTCACTCAACCGGGCACATATTGGTACCACTCGCATGCCAAGGGACAGTATCCAGATGGATTCAGAGGGCCCCTGATCGTCCACGACCCAGAAAACCCTTATGCAGACGAGTACGACGAGGAGTTGGTGTTGACGCTCTCGGACTGGTATCATGAACAAATGCCCGTGCTGATGAAAAAGTTCATGAGCGTAACCAACCCTACGGGAGCTGAGCCAGGTAAGCTGAAATCGAATGCTTGCCATCATTCGTCATTGCGCTAACGACATGGGAATAGTACCGCAATCTGCTCTGATGAACGACACCCGCAACCTCCAAATCCCCGTGGAACCAGGCAAGACGTACTTCTTGCGCATCATCAACATGGCCGGCTTTGCTGCTCAGTACTTCTGGATAGAGGGCCACACTTTCCGCATCATCGAGGTGGACGGCGTCTACACCGAACCCGCCGAAGCCAGCATGATTTACTTGACCGCGGCGCAGCGGTACGGTGTTTTGCTCACCACCAAGGACAACGCGGACGAGAACTTTGCCATCATGGGTTCCATGGACCAGGATTTGTTCGACGTGATCCCCGAAGGGCTGGATCCCAACGTGACGAGTTTCTTGGTCTACGACGCGGAGAAACCACTGCCGGAGCCCAAGTTTGTGGACGAGTTTGATCCATTCGATGACATGGAGCTTGTCCCGACCGACGGAGAGGAGCTGCTTGAAAATCCGGACTTGGTCGTGCAGCTCGACGTGGTCATGGACAATCTCGGCGACGGAGCAGTAAGTCCTTGACAACAACCCCTTTTTTTCTTCTCGCAAAGCCCCTTGCCTTCCACCTTTTTCCACGCCCTGCATATCTGAGCGCGATACTGACATGCATGGCTCGTTTTGTCTAGAACTACGCATTCTTCAGCGGCATCACCTACACCGCCCCCAAGGTGCCGTCGCTGTACACGGCGCTGAGCACCTCGGACCTCGCCGCCAACCCCATCGTCTACGGGTACAACACGCACTCGTACGTGCTGGGCCACAACCAGATCGTCGAGATCGTGCTCAACAACCAAGACCCCGGCAAGCACCCCTTCCATCTGCACGGGCACGTCTTCCAGGCCGTGGTGCGCGGGCCCGAGGAGTCGGGCGACTGGGACCCCAACGTGGTGACGAACGGCAGCTTGGTGCTCCCCCGCGTGCCCATGAAGCGGGACACCATCCTGGTCAGGCCCAACGGCCACATCGTGCTGCGGTACCGGAGCGACAACCCCGGCGTGTGGTTGTTCCACTGCCACATTGAATGGCACGTCGACTCTGGTTTGGTCATGACCTTTGTTGAGGTATGTGTTTTCCATCCATCCATCCGCAATCAAGTCACCCACGCCCCCTTCCCCCCCTTCTTACTCTTGCCCGAAAAAAAGCAAAAAACATCTTGTGTTGACGTGATATCCGATACTGACGCCGTATATGTGTAATAGTCCCCCCTAACCCTCCAAAACACCCTCGCCGGAAAGATTCCCGAGGACCACCTGGCGGCGTGCGCGGCGGCGAACCCACCCGTCCCGACGGCCGGCAACGCGGGCGCCAACACAGAGAACTTCCTTGACCTGACGGACGCGCCGGCGCCACCGGACCCGCTGCCCGATGGATTCACGACAAAGGGCATCGTGGCCATGACGTTCAGCATCCTCGCGGGCCTGCTCGGTATCGCGACCATCGTGTGGTACGGGCTCGGCGAGATCAGCACCATCGAGGCCGCGCGCGAGCAGGCCAAGATCCAAAAGGCCGCGGCGGAGCGGGGCGTCGTCTCGCGCACCACCTCGGCCGCCTCGTCCGCGGCTCATCCCGCCCTCTTGTCTAGCGGCGCGGGAGGGGAAAATTCCGCACATGTGGGCGCCGACGGCACCGCCACGACACAGGCCAAGTGATCTTTCAAGCGGATAGCGGTCGTGACTTGAGGGACGCAGGCAGGTAGGCCTCGCGCGAGAGAGGGACACAGGCATACAGACACACACACATGTCTAGAGTGTGCCGAGAGGAAGGTTGAGAAGAGGAAAGGGGGGGAATCAAATCAGCGTAATTCATGTTCTCCTGTCATGGACATATCTAGACGCATGCGACGGCTGGGGTCTCTTCTCGATAATTTGAGCCTCATACCCTCTCGTATGTTCATAATCGTGACGCCTTGATTTTTTCCCCATGAGGCACGCAACAAAGTTATATTATTCAACCAGAGGTTTCCTGACTCAAAGTAACCTGATCTGTGACCAACATGCCAGCAATACTTGCGCTGGTCAACGTAGAGAGCACCCCAGAGAACAAAGCCGAGAGCGCGACGCGAGAAACGTCGCCGGCCCGAGAAGGAGCAATCTGACTGAGCACGCCGATCTGGGTTCCGAGGGAGCCGAAGTTGCCAAAACCTGTAATGGAGGATATTAGCATCAATCCATGCACAAATGCGACGATCACACGAAACTCGCTGCTAACGAGCGCTTCACGTGCTGGGAAACTTACCGCACAATGCATACGTCGCAATCAGCTTGGACCGCGGGCTCATGTTGATATACTGTGCCTCGCTCGTGAGAGAGTTGTACGCCACAAATTCGTTGGCGACGACTTTGATTCCGATGAGTTGTCCCACTTTCAGCAGATCATCACGGGGCACACCCAAAAGGAAGGCCACTGGGTAACAGATGTATCCCAGGATCAATTGGAGGGTCAGGTATGGGCCACCATCTTGGGTAATGTTGATGTATCTATTCCAAGAGAAACGATAAGTTAGTCTTCGGGAGTTTAGAAATAGTATATCCGACCCTTGGTGAATCGGTATAGGAGACAACTTACCTTCCCCACCACCCTAGAAGAGCGTTGATCAAGCCAATCAATGCAATAATGCAGAGTAAAGTGGCCACAATCATGCCCGCGATCTTGATACCGAGCCAAGCACCGTTGGCAAACGCATGCAGGGCATTGGTTGCGCGATGTTCATCGTCATCAGGAATGACCACCCGGCCTGAGGTGATGGTCTCCTCTGTTTCCGGGTATCGCATCTTTGACACCGCCAGGGACGCCGGGATTGACATGATACAAGAAGACACCAGAGCCTGGGGGTTCAATCCCAACCCGATATATGCTACCAGCACGGAGCCGGCAATGGTAGCAAAACCAGAACACATGACTTGATGAATTTCTGCCAGGGTCAAGTGAGGCACGAACGGCCGCACAAGCATGGCAGATTCTCCCTGTCCAATGAAAGGAGAAGCAGCTGCCACGACAGCTTCAGCACCAGAGACACGCAAGCTCCAGAAGAAGAACACGGCAAACTTGCCAATGAACCATTGCAGGATACCCAGGTAGTAGAGGACCTGTACAAAAGCAACGAAGAAAATGATCGGTGGCACGACTCCCGTCAAGAACCAGTGCAAATCGATGACACTGTCCGCCGTCAAAAATGAGGTACCCTGATCTGCGAATCCTAGTAGCTGACGAGCGAGGAAGGAGATGAAGTTGAAAATATCGTAACCGGCTTTTGTACGGAGCACAAACACCGCAATGACGAACTGCGTCAACATGCCACCGATCACCGTGTGCCAGCGAATCTTGCGGCGGTCACGCGAAGTAAGCCAGAGGAGAGCTATCATGACAGCGAGCCCCAGGAGGGAAATGGCACGATTTCCACGGGTGTTATCAGCAGATTCCTCTGAAACGAAAGATCCGACCAGGATGGTAGCCAGAGCAACCAGCGCAGCAAGCCAGATGCGTAGTTTCTCTGGGATTGCCTGGTAGACTTTGACACCCGTGTTGTTCCAGATAAAGTGCATTGGTTTAGTGATGATGGTGATTGGAACCCAGAAGAAGATCAGGCGCAGGGTGATGGCGAGGTAGAGGAGGAACGGAATAAGCCAGCCCAAGTCGTGACGGTGCAGAACCAACCCAGCAATCCACCATCTGCGACAAAAGATCAGGGGGTTTAATCATGATGATAAGGACGACAGAACTCACCCGGTGAACAGCAGCCAAATGAAGAGGTGGACAAGGATCTTGTATTTCGAATATACTCTTGAGAGACGATGCTGTTTCCCCTCTTCCTCAGAACCGTTGGTCGACACCCGCGCGGGATTCACATCTCCTTTCTCAGCATCATCCATGGTGATGAAATCCTTTTCATTGACCGCTTCCGAGGGATGGCGGAGCTGGTGCTTCACATAATCTTGCGGATTTTTGCCAGCGACATGCTGGTCGATGGTGGTGCCGTCGGCATAGAGGACCTCGTCGTGGCGCCCACTTAACGAGGGGCGGCCGTGATGGAGGTGCTTGTGCTGATGTTCGTGGGAGTAATGCAGAGCCAAATCCGGGTTCTCGTCAACGTCCTTCTGCAACGAAGGGTTATGACCATGAGCGGGAATGTCGTGGTGCGTCCGTCTGCGATCCCCAATCTCGGCCGGCGCATCGGTAGGGTGCATCTGGACAGCGTCGTCGTTGATACCCTTGACCTCTTTGGGGTCGACGGGGGCTGGATTTGAGCTCATCCTGTGGGCTGTCTCCGCTCGTGTTTGTCGTCCAGGTACTTGGTGAGCACAGTGGATCGCAGAAAAGAAAGAGCGACCAGGAGGACTGGGACGAAGGCGACAAAAGTGATCAACCACGGAGACATGATGGAGTCGGGGTATTAAATTATCTTTTGGATTTTTTCTTCCCTTGTTCAGGCTGTGCGTTGCGCGTGGGTGGTGAGCACCAATGCTGCAGGGTGTGATCTTCCAGAAATCCGTAAAAGGATGGTAGCTCCGGCGAGCTTGCAGGGGCAAGGCCGGCTGGAACTGTGCGAATCTCAATGCAGGGAGTGGATCGTAGAGGTAATAGTGGTGATCTGCTTGCCGAGGACAAATCTATAGAGGAGGAGGAAAGATGAGTGGTGGGATGCCAGCGGAATGGATGGAGGCCGTGGGTGGCTCGACGCCACCGATGGACCAAATGTTACAACGCTACGAGGCTTGGCATTGTCGCAGTTGGAGAAGCGCCGTATCTCATCGCCTGCGCCGACATGCCTCTCGGTGCCATTTTGCACAAATTTCTCGATCTCAGCCTTGGATTCGACCTGCTCAACGAGGGCCATCCAGAGCATCCTGCGCTTGACTATCAGGCCAAGCAATGTCAGAGGAGTTTGCCAAGTGATAAGAGAGGGCAACGAGGGATTCCACTGTCCAGTTTTGGAGGCTTACCAGCCCGATCGCTTCGTCCGATGCAACATGGCTGTCATGGGGCTGACAGTTCCTCGACCCTTCCCATCGAATCACAGGCGTCTCATCTTGGACATGCCCTGGTCAGCAGTTGTCTCCCAATCCACACTTCGGTCGCCTCCGCTTTCTGGGCGAGCCCAAGGATTCCTGGGTACTCCATCTTGTGCCCCCAGGTGGACAACGAGGGCACCAACAAGGGAGGGCGCACGGGCGATAGACGAACCCTCGTATACGCGGTTACAGTTGCCACAATCTGGACAGTCCGTGCTTGCAGCCTCGGCCCCTTCCAGATGCTTACCTAGCCGCCCACTACTACGACGAGTACTCGGACGGACGAACTCCAGAAGAATGCACAATTTCCTGGCCGAGATAGCAGAAATGCCGACTACTCCTTTCTCCTTGCACGAGCAGAAGTAGATAATATCTTTGCGTAACTATCGGTGGAGTTGGCTTTTCTCGCCACAGACCCTTCATCTGCCAAACTCCTCGCTATCAATGAAAGTCACGACATTAAAACAGACTATTTATGGCATGCCGGAAGCACATGCGAACCATGAAATATCCCACGCAGGTCCCGTCGGCACTCAGAGCTCGCTTCCTAACAATGACCCCTGCAAGGCCTGAGGACCCTTGTTCTCGCCTCGCGTGCTCAAAATCCCGAACCGTAGAAACACTTCGGAGCATGTGACCAGGATGGAGATCACGATCAGGACGATGATGATCCAATTGATCCGCGACATCTTATCATCAGAAATATAGTCTGACAAGACCTCGGTCAGGTCGAGGAACACACGACAGCGTTCGTTGAGGATCTGAATTCGAGGTTTGATTTCAAGATACTCGCGTACCGCGTTGTATAGTGGATGTAAGGTGGGCTCGCTATCCCAGATCAAATTGGGTACGTCGAGGACATTCGATGCTAGATGGTCGCAAGAGTTAGCCCACATATCACCCAGCAGATAAGGCGAAAGGTAACCTTACACAAGTTGACCTCCACTCGGCTCTTATATAGTCCTCCAAGCAGCTTGATCACTTCTTCTCGTTTCAGACCCAGCTCTCCTGTCTTGGCCAATTTGCCAGGGACATCTTTCGCCGCTTCCATCTGCGCAGCCATGGTTTCCTCAAAGAAGCTTAGCTTGGTGCTCTGGGCAATGGCATGGCTGATGGCCAGCTTGATCATATGATCGCCACTGCGAAGTGTGATCATGTCGTTGTATACTCGAGGCCGCAGAATCTCATTGTTGTATTCGAAGTGGAAGTCTTCCGTCTCAAAGTCTTCCTCGTCTAGAGCATTTATGGTAAGGGTGATCGGCGACACGACGTTGGTCTTCTGGTCAACGATCGTGGCAAAGGCAAAGTCGGCCAGGACATCTTTCTCCTGCTTCTCGCTAAAATTCCAGAAGACGACCACCCCATAGCTGAAGACAAACATTTCTGCGAATCGGTATGCGTCGGGAGGCAGACTCGCGCCTGGACTGTTCGACCTTTGTGAATGGTCACTCTCTCTCCATCGCCCATTGAGTCGCGGCCGTTCCAAGTTGCTGGAGTCACCTGAATTTGACTCAACAGCCTGCTCGTCCGGCGTGTAATTCCCCCTCACGGAATGTTGTTCTTCTTCCTCTGCGTAATATGGTTCACTGTAATCTCTTTGCTCGCTGCGGGCAATCTCTTCATCTAGGACTGTTCCGCCTTTGGCGCTCTGGACTGGCGGGCTGCTTCGGATCCGGTATCCTTCATTTCCTGGTAGCAGGGGCAGATGATATGCGCAGTACAGACAATCGTCATAGAGCTTAGCTCTGGCACCATGACGCTGCCTAACAAAGGTCGCCGTTGACTGCAGTTTATATGCTTGAGCTGTGCAGTAGGCCGTGACTCTCGGGAGCTCCTTTTCCGTACGCCTTGCTTTGGGTAATCTCTCCGCATAACTTTTGACACCTTCTTTCCCAGGTTTGCGGTAATCTTCATCGTCTCTCGGTGGGCCTTTATCGGCGTCGGGCGCAAAATCACCTTTCTCTTCTTCCTCCTCAACAGCCTCGGGCAACAGAACCAGCTTTTCGGACGTTTTGGTGGACCGAGAAGGCAAATGCGGACCGACATAACGACCAGTGAGTCTCGGATCGACAGGTCTACCTGAGTTGGTACGAAAGGCTCGAGGTCTCTGGGGATGTCTATTGTGAGCGGAAGGGACGTCGGACGCATATTGCAGGACGCTGTCTACGGTGATGAACCGAGAAGGCTGCTGTCTTCGGGCCTGTGGGAATGGCCGGGTTTCGCGAGGATCAGAGACCTGTTCCAGCTCCATGTTAGTTATCGCCTCAGCCAACATTCTCGAGGAGGCGGAGATGAGATCATGTCGGGGGAGACGCACCAAAACGCTGGGCCCTCTTCTGGCCGTTGAGCTCGGGGGAGCCATATTGCTGCTGGTCGCGGCTGCCACAAGAGAGTAGTGATAGGTGTCTAGGGAGAGGAAGCGGTATTTGTCGGAGTGCAGGAATGGGTGAGAGCAAACGATAGAACCTCTCAACTCGTCTAACCTACAAACTCCAACATGTCAGTGGTTCGTCATCCCGGGCTCCTCTTCCGCGAACGAACCACGCCAAGACGTTCCAATCAGCCATTTATCTCAGTGGGTCCAGATGATGTTGGACATCGAGGAACCTACCAGGACCATCGTGCTGGGGCAATGGTCTGGTTATTCGGTCGGCTTTCAAAACACTCCTGACATTATAGAAGTGAGCATAGTTACCTCGTTCACAGCAGCATATGGAGGCTTTGTTGCGGGTTGAACAAGGCATGTCACTTGTTCGCCCATATACGACGCCCGGAACGCGTTTGGGAGTATCCAAGCTCTCCACTTGCGAGTCCCGATAGCTACGTCCGACTCTAATAATCAAACAGCTGGTTATACAATCCTATGACTGTTTAAAGCTTTTCGAGGGTGCCACGTTGGAGAGTACCATGGCAAGCCACCTCAATCAATACCATCCAAGACGTCAGCAACCGAAGCCGACGGAGCGTCTGCATACAACTTCTGGCGAGCTTGATCAGCCAGCGTTCCCTGAGGACCAGTCTTTTCCTCGCGTCGATTGAGAAATGACAGATATATCTGCCAGATCACCGCGAAGAAGCCAGAGAAGGCAAACCGAAGGTGGGCGGGTACCAGGGTGAAATTGACCGCCGTAACGGCAGGCCAGAACTTGGCCGAGCTCACCACGCTTTCTGGCACGGCCGAAACAATGCGGTGAATAACCACCGAGGGCGCTTCGCCTGTCAACAGCGCTTGCATACCGAAGAAGTACGTGTTGAATATCGGCGCAAAGAAGAACTGTTGAATGGCAACCTTGACTGCTATCGAGGTCCATTTCGAGGCATAGTTGAAGTGAGTGCCCAAGAAGAGGAACCTTGCGACCAAGACATGGTCAATATTCTGCTCTACCCTTAATGTTGGGTGTCGGTCGCTGGCTTACCATTTATAACCCGGTATTGAGGCTAAGCCGCCCACTGTGATCATCCTCAGTGTCCGCAGACCATCGTATGGTTCTCCTCCGACTTCTTGGGCAAGCAGGTCACCACAGAGATATGTTGCTAAAGATGTTGCCAGGGCGATACCCAGCGGCCTCCGTCTCTGCATCCGGCTGAACCAGGAGAAAAAGTCCTTCACAGGACCCAGCCGGTGATACCAGAGCGGACTAGGGACGTCAATAACGGAAGCTTCGGTCGAGTGCGGGACTTCTGTGACTACTTGGTTGGGAGTATGAGGAGTCTTCTGCAATTCGGCTGTCTTGATCTGATCATTGGTAAAGACGTTCCTGCTGAAGCTTCTGTATCGAGGAAAGGGATGGCGCCGGCAAATCCGCCCCAGCGACCGGGGTATCATGGTGACAGGGGAGGCACTTCGAACAGGTCTGTGAGCCTGGATGCTGCTAGACTATCACATTGCAGAGATTGGCGAGGCACAGTGTAGGTGGCGTGATAGGTTTAATTCTCCAAGTACCACGATTCATAGCATGTAGAATTGGGAGATGCAATCTATTACCAAGTCTGGCGAGAGATAGAGATGTTGATGTTCTTTGGTGGTTAAAACACTCAATCTCCAGTTGTGACGTGAATGATGCCAGAAGGAAGAATGACGTCACTGGCACATTCCAAGCTCTGCCTACTTACGAGGAAAAGGAAACGTCGAGTTCTGTGGATGTAAGGTGGCTTTCACTTGATATGAAATCGTAGTATTAAAATATATATGTGCTTTGGAAACAGGAAATGTCTCCATTGGAGCTTTTCCTGCGGATTTCTTTTCAGCCCAGGTCCACCAGACTGTGTGCCCAAACTCTTCCTTTTTCGGGGGTATCACTTTTCCTGTTGCTCTACCATTCTCTACCCTTGCGGGTTCTCTCGAAAGTCGGGTTTTTGGCCGAGTACACTCTGATCTGGGCCCTACGAGCCTGTGTTAGTGTCGACGGACCCCGAACGGGGTCAAAGAGTAGAGTCGCTCACAATACCCGCCATGTCCGTCCCACGCAAGTGTGTGTCAGAGATATCACCAGAGGGTCCGCCATACTTGGACTCATACTGCTTCAGCTCCTCCCGACGTATCTCATCGCCGTCATACCCAATTCGGGGGTCCACCTTGTTCAGTGCTTCGGACTCGTGCCTTGGGATTGTGCTGGTCCGACCAAAGGACGGGCCTCCAAAGGTATTGGGTACTCGGTCTAGCTCTTGACCCTTGCCACTGCCAATTTCGTCTCTGCCGCGGGTTCCTGGCTCATTCCCATTTTCGGCGTGGGAGGTCAGCGAGTCAGAAGCTTCCAGTTTGTCTCTCAAAGCGCCTTGGTCTGCTCCCAAACCAGACATTCCTTCGCTTTTCGAAACCTTCAACTTGTCGAGAAATGCAGACATATCGAATACAGACAGGAATTGTAAGTGTCCTGGGAGGATATGGTGTTCACAATGAAGATGTTCAATGCCACTTCCTACCTTTTGGGCTATTGTATTCTCACGCGACCAACCTCGATGTATTTGAAAGGGCCGTGGTCTGTAAATCCTGGAGACGTCATAGGGGTAAGCCCCTCTGTTGCCAGAGACCGTTGTGGCCGTTGATATCAATCACTCGATCTCCAATGGGGAATGCAGCATCTGGTAGCTCACAAAGGCCTTGGATTGGTTGTCCCTTGCCTCGTTGATAAGCTTTCGCTGCTCCCGTATGACAGGGCTACCCTGAGTCCGCCGATCTCTACACAAAGAGGTGGAGAGTTGCTGATGTGTATTCATGCCAGTGAGTACTTGTACCTGATCAACACGAGCCATCTAGTACTGTAATAATGGCTGGTGATGGAGTAGCTACAAGTATGTAGAAGCACGAGTCGGTTTGATATCCGAGGCAAATCCCGAAAGGTCTTGGCGTTCCAAGCCGGATACGGATTTTTGGTTTCCCCGATGCGGCTCGCCTGACTCCGGATTGGGATTCGTTACTCCATATCGAACCTCGATTGTGGGGATTCTGATCCCATTCTTCCAGAGCCTTCCTTTCTCTCCTGTATCACTGTATCAATGGCAGCCTTGGATTGTACTTCACCGTGTATCTGCAATATATATGGATCACTTATGACTGCTATTCGATTACTCTGCTAGTTATGATAGCCTGCGGTTCGTCCCCAGCACCCAGCTCTCCCATCCTTACAAGTTACATTCCATGTCCCGCATCGCCCTAGACTCTCCAACCGAGTCTACCCGATAAACCATCCCTGTCAGCCTCGATTGTTGTATAGCCTTCAAGAAGCACCCCATGCATGCCCAAAATGCCGCAGCCTTGGACAAGCTGCCTGAAGAGATTCTGATTGAGATCCTCGACTACCTCGAACCTCAGGAGCTTATCTCCATCCAACTCACATGTTCCACATTATCCAAGTTGGCACGTGCCAACCCCCTATGGAGGCACAAATGCTTCGAAAAGTCTCCCAGTGCCTCCATGAGGGCCACCAACAGTATCCTCAATACCCTCACGAATGCATTACAAGGTCTGACTCTCTCAGAGCGCCCACGTCAATCACGCGTATCGCCTTCGAGTGGTCATGTGCCGGAACGGCTTGGTGAAAGCGCTCGTGCTCGGGCAGTCAATCAGTGGGATCACTCAGGCAAAGGCGAAAGGGTGGATTGGTACTCAGAATACAAGGCGAGATATGCCCCCCTGAGCGTCGACTGGCTTGCCCACGACCCCACAAGACACCTGGAGATCAGAGGTGTTGCTCCTCTCGGCGCGACTGACCAGACGGTTGGGTACTTGGAGGACGGAAGTGTCTGCATCTGGGATCTCGGTCGGTGCGCCTCGGGAAGGAGGAAGTTTCGAGAGCTGGGACGGAGCAAGCCATCCATCCTCTTCGCCGACGCCAATCAGCCAAGCGAGACTCTGGTGGTGGACTGTGTGAGTACCTTCCCATCACAGCAAAAGGCGTTTGTCGCTGTCGGCAACGTGTTGAACGAGATCGATCTCAACACCCTGTCCGTGGTGTCGCACGCCAGGTATCCCTTCCAAATTACCGCGTTATCGCAGTCAGCGTATCCGGAGCTGCCGTTGACGGTCGGCACTCAATGGAGCGTTCATATTGTAGACCCACGAATCCCTGTCATTCCGACCTCTCCATCTTCCCACGAACGAGCGGATGAAGTGCCATGCACGCCAGGACGGTCTACGGCAATCCTCCCCGATATGTCGGGAGATTCGTCAATGTTACCTGCCATCTTCGGCACGTCACCTTCACCCCTGTCGACGTCCAGCACGGGCCCGTCGACACATTCTTCTGGATCACCTAGCTGGCGCCCTTCTCATCGTCTACAGAATCCCCAGTGGATGGGCTATGCGCGAGTCGAGCCTGGGCCGCTTTCGATTCTGCACCACGCCGAGAACGAGATTCTCCTGTGCGGTAGATTCCCCAGTATACTATCCTACGATCGTCGATTTTTCCCCCGTCTCCAATACGTCATCCACTCCAGCGCCAGCCTCTCATCGCTGGCGTCGATACCCTATCCACCGGCCGGAGCGTCACCCAACGTGACGGGCGACGCCACCCTCATCGCGTGCGGCGAATACAAAGGCCGCGGGTCTCTAGAGTTGTACTCGCTTCCGCACGTCAAGCCCGGACAAAGACAATCCAACCCGGACATCTCGACCAGTTCCAGCCCTTCTGAGGACGACGAGCTCGACATCACCAGGAACCGCAACCTGACCTCCTCCGACGGGCTCTTCAGCTACAAGAACCGCCAGGACGCGGCCAAGTCGAAGCTCCTCTCCGTGGCGTCGCAGGGCACCAAGATCGTCTTCTCCGACTCCGAGGGCGGCCTGAAATGGGTCGAGCGCGACGGCCACAGCCTCGTGCGGCGGTGGAACATCAACGGGTTCCAGATGGGCGGCAGCAGCCCGAATCACGCCATCGCGGCCTCGGCCTCGGTCCACGGCGACGCGGTCGCGCGCAAGATCATCCCGCTGGACGACGACGCGGCGCCGTTCTCGTCCAAGTCGGAGCGCGGCCGCCGCGGCGACGCAGACCTGCTCGTGTGGACCGGCGAGAAGATCGGCGTCGTCACCTCGGACGCGCAGTTCATGGACCACGAGGAAATGGTCCGCGAGATCGAGGGCGACGTCGAAGAGCTGCGCGAGAAGGAGGAGCGCGAGAGGAAGGAGGAAGAGTACTCCAAGACCATGCGCCATGCCCTCGAGAGACAGGCCGACGAGAGGCGCTGGATGAGCCAGTTCAGACTCAAGAGGCGGGATTATTTCTGACATCCCAGGCTCCCGGGCCGTCCTCATTTTCCTCCGGGTTTTCTTTTTGAGGCGCTCGAGGTATAAAAGGGGTAGAGAGGACGATAGAGCCCGTCAAAAGACACCGTGCTTGGAAGATGAAAACAAGAACACCCGTGTCGCCTGGTCCGATCCCCGGTATATTTTGAGACTGTTGCGGTTTGGAAAAGACTAGACACGTATAGATAGCTCTCTCAAGCTCCCCAACTATTGGGCCTTTCCCATACCCCTTTCCAGCCTGATTTAAACAAGTCCAGTGCGTTTCCCCTCCTACGGCCGATGACATCTAAAAGCAAAACAACAAAAGCAATGATATGTACAGTGGTAGTTCTTTCCAGGTTCTTCGCGCCAGTTAATCGGGAGAGTTGGTTGTATTGTTTGTTATACATTACAGAAGCTAGCTACCCGGGTTGTGCCACACGACAGACTCGCTCGCTCAATCCCTGATCCTTTCTCGAGACCGATTTCCAAATCGACCAGCAGTTCGCGTCATGGTCGAGTCGGGTACAGTTCCGCCGTGCAGCCCTGAAATGGTCCTTCAATCTCATTAATTTGCTCCCTCACCCGTGCTTACATGCATGTATTGCTTGCCGCTCCGAGAAGCAGTGGAACCTCCAAGGCAGAGAAGAACTAGAGAAAGAGCAAGGGAAAGAAAACAGACTTGAGAGGTAACCCCACCGGTGCTCACCCTTGATGGTCACAGCCAGCCGGTCACTCGGACGACCATTGTCAAAGACCCATTTCCACCCATGTTGCAAAAGACGTACATTTCAAGTGGATATCGACTTTACGAGATGACATTATCGTATTGATAGCAGAATGGTCCTTCGGTGGTGCTGATCAGTTCCCTCACGGCGATAGGCTCCAGTTGAAAGTAGCCCCAGTCTGGTTCTATTGAATCCAGGGTGACTACCGGCGATGGCGGTGTGTTCAGCGCAGTACCCGTTGACCCGTCTAGCTGATCCGCCAGCTCGGGGTAGTTGGTCTGCCAACTCCAGTAGACCTTGTCGATCATGGTATGCAGAGGATACCAAACAGGATCCTGAGCAGATACATGGATACTGTCCATCTGGCCTCCGACGGAGAAATGTGCGCCCGAGTGGATGCCTAGAGAAGAAGACCCGATGACACCGTTGAGAAGGAACTCAAAGTTCGAGGCATTGGTCGCGTGCGCGGCAGCAACAAGTTCAGCGGTGTTGGTGTACGTCTGAGAGACGTAAGCATTCAGGTCGCGCATCAAGCAGATCTCGTTGCGAGAGAACGCATCGGCTGGTAGCGTGCCGGTGGCGAGTTGTGTCGGGTCAATGAATTTTAGTGGCGCAATCATGTTTGCGAAAGGTCCGGTTGTGACACAACCTCCGCCTGTACCGTGAGGGATGGTCAACTGTGCGCCGAGGGTGATTGGACCTGTATTGTTATAGATTCCGTCGCCAGACATGGAGTAATCGGAGCCGTCGAAGATGGGGAATGCGTGGGGGTCCGAAGCCGTCGCGGCAAAGTCCCAGTAAGGAAACGCTCCTGTATAGCCACAGGTCTGTTGCAGGTCTGTCTCATAAAGCCAGAGGAAGTAGCGATGCCAGGTCAAGAAGAAGGCGTCAAGATGGACATATTGTGTGCGGTTCACGTGAATGACGGCATAGTCCATGTATCTGTTGATGGCTGCGGGATATTGAACGGGGTCGAGCTGAGATGGCTGAGCCATTAGACACTTCACGGCGTCCGTGTATGCTTTTCGGTCAGCCGCCGCCATGTTGTTGAAGTCCACCCGAGTTCTGATGTTTTCCGGCGTACATGACCAGTCCCCTCTGCCGATATGTCTCAATGGTGCAGCGAAGGTAAACGAAATGAGAAGCAAGACAGTAATAGTAACGAAGGACAAGAGCGAGCGTGGCATGATGGGCAACCTAAACGAGAGTGCAGAGTGTCCGTGAAGAGTAGTGAAGGTCAGTATGCACACCAGCGAGATGTGGCAAAGTTCATTCTTGAGTGAGGGAAGAACACATTGCCAGACAGAGGGAGGACACTCAGATCTAAATACCAGATGATCCAAACCACCACGGTGGTCAGGTAGCACTTGTTGAGTCTCCTCGCCGAGATAGCTGAATGACTTACAGCATCTAGCCGTGTGTAAGAAGCAATGGGAGGCGAGATGCATAAATGGCCCATGCGTGGAGAAGCTCGTTTAGGTGGTGGGTGCGAAGAAGTGGAGTGTCTGTGATGGAGGTGCGGTTTGAGTCGTTGAGAGTCTCGATGCGTAACCGACAGGGGGTCGTTGAAAGAGGTTGGAGGCCTTGACGGCCTGGCAAACTTTGAGCTCACAGGAGCTGAGAGCAGATCCAAGCCATTGTTGGTTAGGCCGGGTCATCTGGAGATGAGCTTAACCAGGCTTCATCTTCGCTTTCGGTGGGTCAAGAGCAAGACTAGGATACCTTGGCCAGGACAAAGTCATCGTTGCCGATCAAGATGGTGTTGTCAATGCGGGGAACGCGATGGAAGCTGCTCTCGGTTGCCCTCAGACTTGCGTTTCTGGCTGGACCGGATGCTCAGCCTTCCATAGGAAGCTACCCACCTCTCAACTCTGGTCTATAGCACTCCCGCGTCGCGCCTAAGGAGACCTTTGTATGCTTCCTCTTTGCTCTTTATAGGGGAAGAAAGGTCATTCGTCCTCCCATATACTTCACGCTATAGTCTCGAGCTCGGCATGGTGTGTAGGTGGAGACACAGACACTTGCTCAACATCTATTGGGTCTTTGTCGCTCATGCCGAACCGTTCTTCCTGCAGGAGCACGGTGGTACTGAAACTTGGCGAATGTAAGAGGGCACCCGGCCTGGCCCTCCTTACGGCAGTGTGTTGACTTGTGTCTGCTGGTGGTGGTCGTTGCGTCGGTCTTTGGCAGGCCAACAGAGATCAGGCAGGTTCCATCAATATGGCCTGAACTTGTCATTGTAAGCAGTCATATGCGCAACATCCACTATTGGATGGATCTTAGCCACCACGTTGTACAGTTCATGTGACTTCGATAAGTGGGCACAAACGCCACCTTGTTCGTTGCCCACCCAAAGCGCAGGACGTTCCTTTCCTGTAAGTTGTGGATCTCTGTGACATGGAACGTTAGCTGGTGCTGAAATGCGCTGGTGATATTGGCCGGGGACGAAACACCGCCCTTGTTCTCCCTGACGCAGGCACCCTTGTCGCCATGTTTTCGATGATATGCCGGGAAACACCTTCTACACCGTGTAATCAGCTCGATTTTCGTTGTTGGGTCCCTGGTGGGGTACATGTCGGAGAAATATGCCAACCAGTGGTCTGTGTCACGGTCCTTTGGTTCTGTTTCGCACCATGGCATGTTCCATTCACCCCAGTGACAGCGTCGCAGTGGTGTAGAGCACTACCGAGCGTCATACAAAGATTATACGCATTCGAATAGCTCTGACGTGCCTTGAGCTGGGGAGGAATGTGTCAGCGTGGCGGAACGCAACGCTACAAAAACCGGTCAAGGAATACCGGTCAGGCAAGCAGTGACACGAGCCAGCCACTTGGAATACTTACGGTGGCGATGCGCCACATCCGCCATTTTAAGGACCTTAGCACCAGGATCTTTGGAAAAAAGGACTCTGTTGCGGGTAGAGATGCGCGTAACTGTGGGTGGGTATGGAACGGTGTTGGTGATGGGAAGGGCCCTCAAGGAAGATAGAGCGAATCAGTCGTCCATGATGCGAATTGTCTGAGAAGGAGATTCCGCGTGCTTCGAAAGTTAACTCATTCGCCTTCCCAAATCTGCGCTGTGTTGTATCGTCCTCAAACTGCGCTGGGATCACATCTTCGTTCCACTGAGGTCGGAGAACTCAGATCCGATAGAAGGAGGAGTGGTTCCAATTCTTCAGACGGTACACACTTCGCTGTGAGCAGACTTGTTGCTAAAATGAATACACCATGTCAGGTCTAGGTGAGCTTGATTATGCGGTGCACGACTTTGGGAGAGGCAGCTTTCAGATATGAGACATCGTCAGCAGAAACACAGGCAATGAACTCAGGAGTAACCCTCGAAATGCCCGAAGATTGGAGACTGGATGGCATCCTGCAGATGTGGTTTGCTTCTTGCACGAGGCAGAAGAGAGGAGAGTAGTGAATACTGAATACTGAATGGCATTATTCAAAGATTTCATTCAGCCCCCACGAACAATCATAATCGAAATCGCAATTACAATTGAGGGTCACGTGTTCGCAGCTGGACTCGACAGAAGGACGAATGCGCAGGCAGTTTGGCGCAGCCAAAAGGGCAAAAAACCCGAGACCCCGGAATCTGGCAGCAAGAATCTTGAACACCAGGAAGCGCAATATTATTTCTTCATCAAAGGCGCAGGCATTGATCAAGGCATTTTCAGCCCAAGCACAATCCCATCATACTCCTTCATCAACGCGTCTGTCTCGATGGTATATCTTCTCTCGTTCTGTTTCCTCGCGTCCTCATCCTCATCCTCGCCCTCGTCCTCGCCCTGGACTTCCTCCTCTCGACCTTCTCCGGCCGACCAGTGACATGCCGAAACGTGTCGCAGACGAATATATCACAAAGGACAACGGTTCTATAGCCAACAACCCCACCGCAGACGAAAAGCCCAAAATGTCAACAGCAGCTCAACAGGCTCGGCGAAAGTGAGTTGCTATGTCCAGCATACCTTCGAATCCATCTCTTTGTCGCGCTTATGTTGTTGCCCTCCTGGATTTGATCCCCAGAATTCTTCCATTCCCCTGCCCCGGGTGCCCTGCCCCAGTCGCTTGGCTGCAGTTATCCGTAGGCTTTTTGCCCGCCGCCTTTCCTTCGCCTTGACCTCTTCGCATTCTTTAAAGGGCCCCTATGATCATCATTTACTAAATACCTCTCAGAATAGCCACGCCGCGAGGTCGCCTAGGCGCAAACCGCTCCTCTCATTCCTCCTCGTCCTTCGGCGCCTCGAACCCTTTTGCTCAAAGCACAACCCAACAGCAGCCTTTTCCTACTATGAACGGTGGTGTTGCCTTTGGCACTACCCAGTCCTTTCCACCGGCATCTGCTGGCACAAGCGGTTCCTTCAATTTTCAGCCTCCGCAGGCGAGCTCCTTTACATTTGGTGCGCCGGCCGGTACACCTAATCCCTTTACAAATGTGAATGGAAGCGTGGACGCGCAAGATATCTCAATGGAGTCACCCCAGAAGAAACCTGCATTTGGGAGCGTTTTTGGATCAAACAGTTTCACTTTTGGCCAACCAGCAGGACAACAGTCCAGTGCCCCCTTCAGTGGTTTTGGTGGAACTTCGTCTGCAAATACCAACGGTACAAGTTTGTTTGGACAATCTACGAAACCCGCAGAAGTCCCTGCTCCAACGAACCCATTTTCTCAGCCTTCCCAGTCGCAGCCGCTGTTTGCGTTCGGCCAGTCCTCGTCGACGACGGAGCCTCAGACCCCCGCGTTCAGCTTCGGCCAAAGCACTTCTGTTCCACAGAGCCCCTTGCCCGCTTTTGGCACCAAACAGGGTAGCGATGCGCAGCCTCCGGCCTCAAAATTCGCTTTCGGACAGACCAGTACCGCGTCACAGAGTCAAGGCCCTGGACACTTTGGCTCAAATGTACCAGCGTCCCAAAGCGTTGGTAGCAGTCTCTTTCCCGCAACACCAAATGAGACCACCAATACTGGGTTCCCAAAGTCGACATCTATTGAGTTTTCTTTCGGACAAACCTCTGCTCAAACTCCCTCGATGAACAATCCCTTTGTTAATCCCGGTTCCGCGAAAGCGGAAGAGCCCAAAGCTGCGAGCTCGTTGTTTAGTGCTGGGAATACATCTCAGCCTTCACTCGCGCCGCAGCAGCAAGCGTCGTCTCCAGAAAAGCCAGCTGCCTCGGAATCCAGTGCGCAGCCTGTCAACCCTTTCGCTGGTCTCTTCGCCACTGCGAGTGGTTCAACTCCAACCTTTCCCACATCTAAGCCCGCGTTTAACCTGGGTACAGCGAGTCAGCCATCCATGCCCGTGGCCGAACAGCGTGAGACAACCACGACTAAGTCGCCATTCGGCTTTGGGACCACGGCGCAACCTAAGTCTGCCGCGAATGAATTTGAACCGAAGCCGGTGAGTTCAACGTTCAACTTCGGCTCCACAACAGCAGCAACTCCATCAACTGCATCAGCTGTCTTTGGCGGAACCGGAAATTCTGGGAGATATACTGCTCAATCAGAGACTCCCAAACCTGGCCCTCGGTTGGGCACTACGCAGGGAGATGCTGCGGTAAAACCGCTGTTCAACTTTACCACCCCGTCAAAGCCTGCCTCTGGTGGGGAATTGTTTTCGGCCTCGAAAGGGCCTGAAGAAGGCAAGGCTACGAGTACAAGCCTTTTTAACAAGCTAAGTAACGCTGTGGAGAGTTCGCCCCAGCCTTTTTTCAATGCACAACCCAAAGCTACACAAGAAAAAAGTCAGCCGCAAACAGCGACCACGAGTCTGTTCCCCAGTGCCCGCAATTCTGGTGTGGACAAAGGTGAGAGCTCTGCAGCAACTTCGACGCAATCATCTCCCGCTCCCACCATATTCAGTGGTTTGTCCCAGCCAGGACCTCAACAATCTCAAGCCACGGAAAAGTCAGCATCCACATCTATCAACTTCCCTGCTCCCGCTGTGCGAGATGGTCAACCTACAACTGGAGAGCTAAGCCTCTCCGCAGGGGCCGCAGTCGGCGCGGCACAAAAACCTTCTGAAGGTGCACAGGGATCTGCCATGGATCTTGAGCCATTGAAGAGACCTGTATACACCAAGGCCCCGTCACGAGTTCCTGGCCACACCACTCCCCAGCAATTTCAGGAGTTTGATCGGGACTACCGTCTTCATTCTCTGAACTACGGACTCCAGAAGAAGATAGCCACCCTGGACCCGCGTTCGCAAGATTTCGAACACATCATCCGGCATTACGTAGCTGCGCGTGACAGCATTGGCGCATCGCTCGGATTGTTCGTGCGCAACGTCGCAGGGATGAAGCGAAAAGCCGATCGCGTCGATGACCATGAAGAAATCGAGCAAAACAAAAAAACCCGAGAAACAAGCTCACAAAACCCACCCAGCTTTGGCTCGCAACTCACTCCTGCGTCATCTGGCCCAAGTGCGCCTGTGGCAAACAATTCTGCAAATGGTAGTCAGACACGTTCGACCACGGCTGGGATGCTCAAGGACAAAACGCCGACATTCGGATCGAACAGCATATCTGGACCGGCCAATGCAGGATTCAAGCCGAGCGTAAACCCTTTTGCAGGGCTTACCTCGACAGCTACTACGGGTGCTAGCCCTTATTCCGGCGCACATCAGACAACGAATACGCCGTCATTCGTACCGTCGACGACACCAACGAAACCACCCCCGAAGCCTTCGACTTTTGAGGTTCCCAAATTTGGGAGTGGCAACACCAACTTCCTTGCTGCATTCGGCCAGAAAGCAAAGGCAAATGCTGACAAGTTCGAGAAGGATCTGATTGAAAAGCGCAAGGCTGAAGAGTTCGATTCAGATGAAGACGACGAGGAAACGTTCCGTCAACGGATCGAGGAGGAAACCCGCGCAAAGAAGGCAAAAATTGACGCCGTAGCAAAGGCGGGGTTCAAACCGACATTTGGTTCTAGTAATACCGCACAGCCATCTAAGGAGCGGGATGTTCTCAAAGCTTCCTCTGCAACTTTTATCCCCTCAGCGTCTCCCAATACCTTTTCTGCACTCACGTCTAAAGATGTCAGTGTGAAACAAGCGGATCCCGCCGACGCAGAAGAGAACGAGAACAGCGGCTCAAGTCATGACCAAGCCGCCGATAGTGATGAAGAAAATTCTGATGACGATAGTGAGGCAGAAGAGCCCGAAGATGATCTTCCAGAAGACGACGTTGCCGAAGAAAACGGAGAGGGAGAGGATGACGATGACGATGATAATGATCTGGGGGCTGCCATGGACAGGGCAAAGAACAATCCAAATGCCGGCAAAAGCTTATTCGATCGTATCGAGCCAAACCCAAACAAAGAGAAAGCGACGCCGACGAATGGAGAGAAAAATAACTCGGACATGGAACCAACGACCACCCAACCGACAAAGAACTCCTCGTTTCAACCATCATCAGCCTGGGGATCTCAAGTCGGAAAATCAACGCCTGAACCTTCATCGGGTTCTCTCCTCAGCTCTTCGACTGGTGCATCAACTCTTAAGCCAACAGGCGGGTTCCAATTCACTCCGATAGGAGCAAGTACGACACCTATAAGCGCTCCCGGTGCCTCCATCTTCTCCGGCGGCGCTACCAGACAAGGTCCAGTTCCAGGGGAGGGATTATTTGGCTCTCGACCAAGTACGCCGAGCAATGCGGACAAGAACCCCAGCCTTGCCAAATCGGTTCTCACTTCCCCAGCAGGGACTGACAACACGTGGAAGGAGGGCGCACCTATCTCTTTCGCAAACGGAGACAAAATTACAAGTGCCCCTATTTTCAAGTTCACGGCGGCTTCTCCAGGCGAAAAGGAGAAGGACTCAGCCACATCCAAGTCGCTCAGTACCCTCTTTGGCACAACTGGACCGGACTCGCGCGGGTCCGACACACCGAGTTTAGGCTTTCAATTTGGAGCGCCGACTCCGTCACCAGCACCCGGCTATCTGGGTGCCATTTCGCATCTAGGAGGTGGTTCTGTGGCTAGTTCTGTTGTCTCATCCCGCGCCACCTCGCCTGGTCTGACCGATAACGAGTCTGTCGCTACAAATGAAACCGACGAAAGCACCGACGATCCGCAAACCTCTTTGATGGACTCGCGAGCAGGAGAAGAGAATGAGACGTGCCTCTGGGAAGGTCGCTCCAAAGCCCTCATGTTTGTCAACACTGAGGCCGCAAAGGGCACCAAACACACTCCAAACGACTGGAATTCGATGGGCGTGGGCCAAATCCGAGTCCTCAAGAACAACGACAACGATAAAACCCGCGTGGTGTTCCGCGTGGAACCCAGCGCTAATATTCTTTTCAATTCCCATCTTGTGGGAAGTACGAACTACGAGAGTGTCCCCAGTAATAAGAGTGGCGCTGTGAGGGGAGCACTGATGTACAAGGGAAATCTGACGCGATTAGTGTTCAAATTGAAAACACCAGAGATGGCGAGTGAGTTGGCGAAGATTCTGGAGCAGAACAAAAGTGCTTGAACAATTCTTGGGAGTGTTTTTTACTTCTAATACGAGATGGATGGACGGTTGAGCAAGACAGGGAACATCGCATATACCAGATGCGGAGAAATGCACAGCGATGGAGTTTTGGGAGCCTTGTTTATCAATGTACAGCAACAAGATATCTGTGATATGATGCCACCACATCCAAACCATCGCACGAGACGATATTGTGAATGTGCGCCCCAGGTCGAGTTCGGTTTTCGAAAGAATTTTGTGTCTCCTTGTGGCCAACAGGGCCAAGTTGACCTTTTGTCTCTCAAAACACTTGATGCTCCCTGAGGTGTTCATTTCGACAATACTGGAGCGATCTGTTTTTTTGATGGTAAAACTTGGTTTGGGCAGAGAGGAAACGCAGGGCTACATAAGAACGTTGAATAAGAGAGAACTGCTTCCTTGACAAAAATTTTATTGTTCTCCGAGGGATGATTGGTATCTCAGCACCTACACCTCTCGCCGTAGCGGGTAACACATGGTAGTAGTAGTAGTACGCACGCAGAATCTTTTGTGGGTCATAATCTCCTCTCATCCTTGTCCGGCTGGCTTCTTTGTCCCCTTGGGTGTTCTTCTAGAGTTTTAGTCTGGACCCAGACTCTCCTCTCTCTCTCTCTGGCTTCCTCGACACCGGGAACCTCCTTGCCCCCCAAAACCGCCCAGCAAGACCTCGCTCGCAGCGTAGCCCTTTCGTGATCCGGCAGCACACGAGAAGAACCTTAGGAGGTTATTCATGAGTCCTCAACGACGACAGTCTGCAGGCCCTTGGCCTCCCTCTCCTTGACGTTCACGGCTTGGACATAAGAGTACAGCTTCTCCTTGGCACCCTCTTCGTCGTTTCTCTTCCGCGAGATCCGGACGCGGAGGCGGAAGGGGACGCCCTTGATGCCGGATTCCCACACCTTTTTGTTCAGTTGGGGGTCAAGTCGCACGTCGCTGGTTCCCTGGAGGCGGAAGAATTGTCAGCCAAACCGTGCTTTCCCACAACACAGAATGGAGTGGGGGGAGATTGAAAGAGAGAGAAAAGGGAACTTTAAAAGTTGCCCTCACTTTGGGGATTTGTATCGCAGTGAAGGATAGAAATATTCATGTCGCTTCGGGAAGCACCACGTACCATAGCTTGTGTGGCGAATTTTCGAATCTCCTTGATCGCACGGGGCGCTCGCTTTTTGAAGCTGACGCCATGAACCTTTATTTTGTAGAGAGATAATCAGTCTTCCGTCCATAATGCTTGCAAGGTGGGAATTTCGAGAAAAGTATTGAGAGGAAAAAAAGAAGTTGACATGAGACGACGGTCGGAAGCAGGGGCGAGCAAGCCGTTCGGGTGGACTTCATAAAACTGATCCCTCCTCTTCCTCATTCTCATCTTCTATCTTTTGTTCTCTCTGAAAGGCGCATCTCGCGGGCTCGGGGAGGTTCACGGGATAAGTGGTAGACATACTCGCTTGTGCAAATGGATGGTGTACTCGCGCGCGACGACGTCTCCGATAGCAGATCGCTTGGCCGCCGTCTTCTTCGGCTGGGTCTTGGGGTTGTCTTTCGCCATTTTTTGCCGATATTCTAAGACGGAACGTTTGGTTAGTTGCAGGATTCCTTTGAGCTTTGCGATTTTTGGCGGGCGCTAAAGAGGGCGTAGAAGAAGAAGGAGAGGGTCATAGGGGTGAGCAGTGGTTTCTTCATACATACAGTCTGGATTGGCGGAGGAGTAGAGACACTGGCGGGATGTTGAACTGGTTGGAAGAGAAGACGCCTTTGGATTGAAATTTGGATGTGCGCAGTTCGACCGGAAATGGAAAGGTGATGCCAAGATTTCGGTCACGTGATGTCGACTTTGGGGAAACACGAAGTTAAGCCTCCAAGGTTTCAGAAGCCGGAGAGATAGACACACGTGGATAGAAATTGTTCCTGTTCAACCCGTCGGAATGTCGGATCTACTGTTCTATTTATTCTCATCTTCTTTTGCATGCTTGCCTTACAACAACATGTCCATCTTTCATCTGTCGTATCACACCTTTCCAGCACTGACGTCAGGATAGACATCAAACCGTCTCTGAGTATAGATCGGAATGCCCTTCCTCGTCTCCTCGATTTTTGCACCGTCAATCTCAGCATAGACAATATCTTCGTGTTCTTGAGCCTCGACCAAGACTTCCGCGTTGGGGTTCACTATCATGGAATGTCCATAGGCATGGTAGGTTGCCTCCATGTCTCTCGCGGGACTGCACATTGCGACGAAGATCTGATTGTCCATTGCTCTCGCACGGGCCTGTAGTGTCCAATGCATGGGACCTGTCGTCGTATTGAAGGCCCCGGGATAAACGAACATGAAAGCACCCTTTCTGGCAGCTATCATGGCGAGTTCGGGAAAGCGAACATCGTAACATATTGCCAGCCCAATCTTACCATATTCCGGAATGTCGACAATAGTCACCTTGTTTCCTGGGGATAACACATCACTTTCCTTGAACTTGATCTTCCCAGGTATGTCGATATCAAACAAGTGTATCTTTCGATGCGTTGCTAGAAGCTTTCCCGTGGGCGAGAAGACAAGGGAGGTGTTAAAGTATTCCTTCGTCTCTGGGACGAATTCTGGTATACTTCCACCAATCAAATATGTCTTGGTTTCCGCTGCAACTTTGGACAGCATGTGCCACGAGGGTGACTTCTCTTCTGAGGGAGGCGAGGGTAAGACGGTCTCAGCATATTTGGGGAAATATTGACAGCCGTATGGGGAGTTGAAGCATTCAGGGAGGACGACCATGGAGGCGCCAGCCTTTGCGGCCTCGATAACTTTTGAGCGGGCATGTGCCAGATTTGCAGCTTTGTCACCTCCTATGCATACATCAGAATCATTTCGTCGAGCCCGAGTTTTCGAGATTGGATACTCACCGCTTACTTACCTGAAGCAAGCTGCACGAGTGCAAGCTTGAAAGGCTTTGCCAAAAGATTTGCCATAATTGGTGTTCAAGTCGTCAAGCTAGCTTGTGAGTTCGGGGCAGAACAAGAGACATATGTTTCAGGCGCGTCTTTCTGAATTTCCACGAGTCAGATGGACGAAGTTCTCCAACAAGATGCGACGCAGAAACCGGTCACTGTCACACTGTATCTGAAATAGGGAAGGTTTGCCGAGTATCAACCTCTTTTTGTCCTCTGAGCCTCGGGATGTCAACACCGTCCGTCTCTTGATGAGGACCAGATAGTTGCTTCTTCTGAGACACTGACACTGTCCGTGCTAAGGTGGGTTGCAAGATGTCATTGCCATCGATTGCATATGATTAGACGATATAGCTGAAGGCTGACGACGGGAAGAGAGCTGTAAGAGGAAAGTGAATATGCCTGAGAGTGAGCCATATGAGGACATACACGCAGACGGTACTAACTGCGCATACTCGATTACTTACTTCTCTTCTGCCTCAAGTCTGCCGGATCCGTGTCTCTTACACTCGCTCCTCTTGCCTATTCTGCAGATAAATGTGAAGGTACTTTCCCTCGCTTCTGTTTTCCTGGAACAACAGGGCGAAAGTGAAGCGTGTTCGTTCCTTCTTCACTTTGACACCTCCAGAGACGTTACTACTTGTCCATCATTCTTCTCTCTCTCCCACCCAACTCACATACGCACACTGTGGAACTCCCTCTCTCCTCTGTTCTCCTCTCTCTGCTTACCTACTTGACAGTGTCTTGACTACGAAGAGCTTAAGGTCAGTCTTGCCCTCTTGCCCTCCTACGCGATGCCCATCTCACTCACTCCTCCACGAACAGTTTGCCCAGCACCAATTGAATCTTTGGCCATGGCCGACCACGCCACTGACAAAGCTGAACCTCTCGAGGCCCCTGCAAGTGGCACCAACCACAATCAGGCCAGCATAGAACCTCCTGTATCTCACACCGGGACTCCAGAACATCAGGCTGCAGCACCCAAAGAAGATACGGGCACCTCGATCAACCGTGCGGGAAGCGCCAAAAAGCAAACTCGAACTCCTGCGGTGTTCAGTGCCGTCACTGAGGACAACATTAGGGAGATGATGAATAACGCTCGTAAAGTGCTTCAAGAAAACGGAAACTCGACCAAGGCAGGAAGTGATTTCGCAGGCATGGCATTGCTTGCCACGAATCTCGTGCAACTGATGAACGCCTCTTTCATTGTGAGCGCTCTTGGTCATCTGCTAATTTCCGACCGACTAATTTCAATTCCCTAGGCCACTGACACCATTGTTCGCGCCGTTGCCTACATGAGAGGTGACAGTCAGCTTTCTGCTCGGAGTGCCATCTTTCAAGCTAGGCGAGACCGTCGTGCGCAGAAGGAAGCCGAGCAACCGCTCAGTGAAGTGAAGAACAGATCATTGACCAATGCTACTCCAGGTGTTGTTAGAGCAGGGCGAGATTCCACCTTGTCACATGCAAATTCAACCTCCAACAATACGAAAGTCAGTACTGATCTCGGCCCAACCCAGGGAAACACTGCACCGGTCAGTGAGGATCAGCAGCAGAAACCACAGTCGCTTCAGACCAACCCTATTAAGAAGAAGAATCGGCGTAACTGGAACAACCGACGCTCTATGCGGAAGCTAAAGAATAGTGTTCACCCGGAGGTGCAAGAGAACAAGATGAGTGTGACGGCTAGTACAGTCAATGAGGTGAAAGAATCAAAGGAGGCTGTGGATAAGAAGGCAGCAACGGGCGAGCACAAGCCTGAGACATCCGGATCAGAGACTGCTGTTGAGCGTGACGGTGCGGTTGTACCTGTCAAGGCATAAAACAGTCATCCTGGGGGCAGCTTGTGTTGGGTGGTCAAGGGATAGTCTACGTCGACTCAGTGGAGAGTTTCAGATGTCGGTCAAGTAACGAATGGGATTATGGGATATCTTAGTGGCTGTACAGAATTCATGACGGGAAACTTGCAGAACCTGACACGCAAGATGGTGAACGCACATAGCTAGCAACCTCTCAATGAACAACTTGATAGCTTTGATACTCACGAGGCTACATATCTCCCTCCCTCGGTAGCACACAGCGCTTGACTCAGCTGCTTGAGATGAAACTGACACCGCGGCAGTGACCATCAAGCCGAGCAATCCTCCCTTATTTTGAGCTCGAGGCTCGAGTGATTCCACTACATCCAGGTTCTTCTGTCCAGACAAGCCGCGATTCCTGCATGAAGAGAGACTCAACCGGGAGAGAAGAAAAATCAGCGGCTCCCTTCATTTAACCATGACAGGTCGTGTCTGCGGAAATATCCACGGCCTTTACCATAGTAGCTCATCGACCCCATCTGGTTCGTTGTAGGGTCGGCATTTGGATCATGAAGAAGTGAGATTCAGGGGTTGAATTTGGGGTTGGATGTTTGTTCACGCCTGTTATAGATGTATAACTTAGCAGAATGACCCCGGTACACTCTCCCCAGGCAGGTTGCAGCCACCTGGGGCCTCCTCGCAGGGGTAATTTGTGGCGCGAACTTCCCCTGCATTCGCCGACAAGTCGAAAGAGCTCTCTTTCAATCTCTCGGTTGCAGAATATCGCGTCCTGGGTGACGACGACGACGACATCCGCCGGTCTATTTGCCATTTGCGGTATGCCTGCAGGACATTCCCAGGAAAGGCCAGGAGCTCCTTGCAGCTGTGTGCCCCGCGACAGGCGTCGCAGTGGATCGTGGCGATGGGCTCGAAATGTCGGATCAGGGCGTCCAGTGAGTGCAGACGCACGGTCGCGAACCCAGCAATGTCCAGCTCCGGATACAGCATCGACAGCACGACCAAGGCACTGTACAGGTGGGCCAGGAAGACAAGGACAAAGGGTTTCGAGCGGCTGATGTCGGCAAAGGAGATGGACTCGCGGTTGGTCATTCCGCAGAACGGGTGCGCGAGCCAGAACGGATCGTACTTTTGGCCGGTCAAGTGGTGTTCCTGAGCCATTCGTAGCATGTCTGCCAGACCCCTCACCGTCGTGGAGAGCTCTTTCATGTGTCTAATACACGTCACCAGTCGGTTCATTGCGGTCAATCCTTGTTCGAGGAGGAATGCGACGGCCGCGGTAGACGACTGCACCGTGACCATCGGAGCAGAGGAAGTCGACGGCTCGGAGGGATAAGAAGAAGTGTTTCCGTCTTGCAAGGCGGCGCATTGGGAATCTTGTACATCAGGGTGTATGTGTTCCCACATACGTCGAATTCCGGAAAAGGCAGCCCACGGACGCATAGCCTCGGCGACCGCTGCTGTCCCTTGCATAACTCTCCGCCAGTCGGTTGGAGTCGGCTGGTTGAACATGAGACTGATGGACGCTGCCAATACCCCGTCGGCATTCTCCCGGGAGAAGCTGGCAAGCGCCTGCTGCAGGCCTTTGAGAGCCAATGATCTGTACCATACCGCGTCCTCCATAACGCTTGCCATCCTGGTTAGCTTCCCGATACGGTCGGCAGCGGCCACTATTTGAGCATATGCGACGAAGTCATACTTTGCTGTGGCTTGAATGCCCCTGTGCTCGTGTTAGTGAAACTTGGCCTCTGCGGGTCGACTCGGGGACAGGCAGGGAGGACGTACAACTCGTAGGTATCGTACCAAAGCGCAAATTGCCGGGCGTCGTTCTGGTCCAAAACGTTTCCGAGAGAGGCGATGTAGTAGAGGTACCGGAGACCTCGTGGATCCAGACCGTGCCAATCGAGAGATGACAAAATCTTCAGCATCGGGATCGGCGTATCTCCGTTTTCCCTCCAGGTCTGACATGCGGTCTCGATTGAGTCTACCCAGGCGATGGACCTTGCATAGTCTAAGGCCGTGCCTGATGAGTTCGGGTACACGCACGCTCGCGAACCTCTAGCACAATTTCGGCTCGTGTCTCTGTTAGTTCGGCATTGCTGGTTCCCAGTGGCTCTTGGAGGAGCACTATACTCACCACGTAGGCCTGGCCTGATCACATCTCACCCGCCGGGATAAACAGGTCTTGCATCCGTCTTTGGATTTGCCATGGCTCCTCCGAAGAATAGCGGCATGGGGAGCCATCATCATCTCTCGCTCGACTTCAGTGTACTATGTACTTGACAGAGGCAAAAAGGCCGACGAGCCCGAGAAGAAAAATCTCTTCTGATACTGGTGTGTCCCTCCCTCTCAGTGAAATCCCGGGCGTCGACATCCTTGGCCGTCAACGTAGGAAGGCTTTATATCAATCCCCAACATTTCTTGACACAGGCAGGTACTTCTGCCCGACCCACAATCCGCCGCCCCTTAGGTCGCCACAGAGGAGTCTTGACGTCCTCGGGGGTGCCACATGAGGATATCTTTACCGTTAACTATATCAGTCACAGGCGCGGTCGGGGAGGCAGACAGGCAAAAAGAGAGTTTGGCACCCGCTTGGGACGGAGGCAGGACTTGACCGCATAGTATTTGGGATTATGCATGTAACGGTGTCCTTTAAGGGTCGAAGCTTGACGAGAGCTTTGAAGGGGCCAGTAACTCCCGTCATTTGCGCGCATCGTGTAATGTTTAGCGGGGTGGGCGGTGCAGCAGATCAATCGCCAGTGATGTCGACTCAAACTGCAAAACGTAGAAGAGTCGAAATAGGCAAAAGCTACTCGACTCCCATTGGTGCAGGATGGCGGGATCGGTACAGCCTCGCTTAGTAAGATAAACGCCAAGACTTTCACTCAGATTGGCATTATGTAACCATTCGAAGTTGTGCAGAGGCTTGTACATCAAATCCTGGTGGACTATGGCATTTGTGACTGTGGTGGGTTGACGCCGACTAAATCTCAGAGCCGCAGCTTTGTCATCTCAACAAATGCGGACACTGCGCCACGATAGCTCCATGGAAATGCAGCACCCCTAAACCGTGAATGGGGCGTCTAACCGAGCGAGCGTAGTAAGATGGTCAATCAATGATTGATTAACCCGACTGATAATATCATCAGTCAGGTTTGTAGACGACAGAAAAGTTAACTCACGGCACTCACTCTATTGCGGCCGTCGGCTCCTTACGTCGAATTTTCATTTTCGGCTGCCAAATGCGTGAGTAGCAGTACGGCCAGCACTTCCAACAATGGGCTTTCACCTGCATCTGGAAGGTGCGGTGCAGCTAAGCCTATCTAGGCATTTCAGGTGGGCGCGTTTCAGAGGCTACATTTTTTTGAGTCTGTAACTTCTAGCGATAGTTAGTAATTCGAAGCTGGCGTCCTGGCCTCTGCCATTACAGGAGAGCACTACCCGACGAGGTTGCTGAAGCCGCACTTTGCAAGTGCTTGCCTGCCTTCCACGGCCAAGACATTGGGATACGACAGGCACATAGCGGGCTTTGTTGCGGACAACAAGTCTGTAGGTGCGATAAGAAGTAGACAGGATAGACTCAGGAGACGAATGTCGAATACTAGTACTACTAAGTATTCGACTCACGAACTACAAACGATTTTGAAGGGTTTGATGCTGTATCTGTACCAGAGCTTGTCACTCCGAGGTCGCTTCGATGCTCGGCCACATACATACCCTCTATGATAAGTAGCGCTAAGTAAGTAGTATTTTGCTAACCCTGTGGCTTTCGGACCATAGTTGCTGGAAAAGGGACCATGACTTGCCCGGCAGCAAGGACTAACATTGGCAATATATCGGCCGCTACAACTGACCTTTACTACATAGTACCTGCTGCTAGTAAAATGACCAAATCAGAAAGGTCAACCGAGCGCCAAGCCTTAGCGTGATACTAACTATCCGAACAAGTATCGTGAACCTCAGTTTGAAAGCTCACTGGCACAAGAATAGGACTACTACTTAGTAGCTCCCGACATGTTCTAGAGAAAGACTCCAATCGCTTGCTTCCTCTACAGTTTGCCTCAGTGGTGATTTGAAATTGAAACAGGTATAGTGGGTGCTTAAGCGAGCCACACAGATGGGCCGTCCTCACCGCTCCATTGAACCCGCTGAACGTCGCTCCCATCACATCCCCATCAACATTAATTAGACGGGAGGTTATTCCTTCTCAGCCTTTGTCTGATGCCGTTGAACCCCACTCAGTGGCATTGATATCACTTGACAGGCGAGATGACTAGTAGTATTTCAGAGATCCAGACGCGTCAGCCGAACCTTGTCATTGAGGTCGACGAGGTGGATTCTGCTCTTGGTGGAGATCTGTCGACTTACACCCGCTCTTTGAGATCTAGCATTTTCCAGGGTGTACAGGAAAATGGTAGGGCATACCACAGGTACAAAGACGGCTCGTACATCCTTCCCCAGGACGACCTCGAGCAGGAACGCCTGGATTTACAGCACGAGATATTCCTGGTCGCGTTTCATCGAAAGCTTTTCCTTGCCCCCATTCAGCGATCGATGCAAGAGGTCCTTGATCTAGGGACAGGAACTGGCATCTGGGCCATAGGGTTTGCCGATCAGCATCCTGAATCCAACGTCCTAGGCATCGACCTGAGCCCGATCCAACCGCATGCAGTCCCACCAAATTGCAAGTTTGAGGTTGACGATTTTGAAGCTCGGTGGACCTTCAAGAAAAAGTTTGATTTTATCCATGGAAGAATGCTCTTGACTTCCTGCTCTGATTTCCCGAGGCTTTTCCGCCGCGCCTTTGATGCCCTGCAGCCTGGCGGGTGGCTTGAAATGCAAGATCTCTACATGCCACTGTTGTGTGACGATGGCACACTTGAAGGCACGGCTTACGGGGAGTGGAATGACAGATATCTAGAAGCCTGTGCAGGGCTTAGAAGGGATCCCTCCTGGACTGCCAAATACAAGGACTGGATGGTTGAGGCTGGGTTTACTAACGTCAGACAAGAGATTTTCAGGTGGCCAGTCAACCCTTGGGCGAAGAACAAGACTCTAAAGGAAATAGGTCTTTGGAACATGCTCAATATGCTTGATGGACTGGACGGTTTCACTCTTCGCCTCTGGACCACGGCATTTGGTATGACGGTGGAGGAAATCCAAATATTCCTTGTGCAGGTGCGAAAAGATCTGCGCAACACGAGCATTCACTCCTACTGGCCCATGTGAGTATGCAATCCACTCGGAGAACAGAGGCTGACATTGATGTTGGAGATACGTCGTGTACGGCCAGAAACCAGAGGATTGACAATCAAACAATGTCGCGACTCAGAATCAACAACCCACGGGCCTCCTGTTGCACACGGTTCAGGGTTGGTGCTCATGCTATTCTCGATGGCCTGAGCTTGACCACGTTCCGAGGAAAGCATTTCACCATCCACCTAGGGCTTCTCTCAGCTACGAAGAGGAATCTTTGAATGGTGCTAGTAGTACTAGTAGCCAGTAGCTAGAGACAAGGAAGCTTGAATATTTCTCAATGGAGGTCCCGGGTCGAGAGGGAAAAACAAGCCTTGGATGACAACGAACCTAAGTCCGACAACAAAGTGCCAATGGATTCCCTCGATGAATTGGGTCCAGCGCGTCTGCAGACAACATGCTCAGATGCGCGTTTGCAGGGTTGCAACCTCGAGAGAAGGGGAAGGACGACGTGGATAGTACATTGCAGTGGGAATATGGTGTTATCCATACACATCATTCTCGTTCACTTCAGTTCTGGCCTATGCTGCTGCACCAGAAATGTTCTATTCCACCTTCAACCAAAAGCACCTGCGTTGCTTCATCCCAAATCCCCCGCAAAAACCATCATCAGCCGATACTCCGCGTGGGGAAACACCCCATCGGTTCACAAGGCCACTGCCACTTATAGCAATGTCTGCACTTCCTCTCAGGATTTTCATGAGCTGCGACCGAAATGGCACCGGAGGCTATGACACGGCACCGTCCTCCCGTGTTAATGCCGACGTAACCGCCCTTCAAATGTCCAAATTCTGCCTATATATCTGTTTTACCGTCGAAGTAGCACCTATCGGAAAGTCGCCGGTACATGCGGTACATGGAATACATGTGCCGGTGATTATGCGCGCAATCTGTGAACTCGAAGTGGCAGACGAGGTCGGGAGATTCTCTCGTCAACGGATCCTTCCATCGACCATCACGCTGCGTGACCTTACTGCAGCGCCTTGACGATCTCAATGAGCTGCATTGATTTAGCCTATATCCTTCCCCGGAGACGGAATCAGTGGTGCCAGAACTGGGACCATAAAGCACACTTGAGCGCTAAGTGTACGCTGCTCTCTACTTGGGAAACCCTCCTCAGTCGAGAATCTATACTAACATGGACACCAAGACATACGACATCACTCACTCGGAGGATCTCGCTGGTGGACGGCAGCAGGAGCATGAATATGGCGACATCCAAGGTACCGCGCGTATACACGCCTCGCGCATGGAAGAGGCTCTTCTGCAGGAGAAGCCCAGACCACTGCGAAAGAGCTTCTTGAAACTGTATGCTTGTATCTTCATAGCGTATCTCTGCTCGGCGACCAATGGCTTTGACGCAAACACCTTTGGTACGTGCCAGACCACGACCTTGATCCGACGCTCATTGCTGAATACGAACCCCCAGGTGGTCTATCCGCGATGCCACCGTTCATTGACTTCTTCGGCATCAACTCTGACAACCAGGGTCTAATTGCAGCTCTATATGTCATTGGCAATGTGGCCGGCTCCTTTTTCGCTGGTCCCTGCTCAGACAAATATGGTCGGCGGGTTGGCATGGCCATCGGCTCGACAGTGTGCATCGTTGGGACTATTCTCCAGGCCGCTGCGCAGAATCTCGCCACCCTCGAGGGTGGAAGGTTCATCTTGGGAATGGGCGCCGTCCTCGTGCAGACTGCCGGACCGAGCTACGTCGTGGAGATGGCGTATCCTAAGTATCGTGGACAGCTCACAGGCGGCTTTCAGGCTTGTTTCTTCTTGGGCACCATTGTCTCCACCTGGCTCGAGTATGGATTGTACTACATCAACACCAACTCATCGTATATATGGCGACTTCCGCTGGCTGTGCAGGGCTTCCCATCCATACTCATACTCTGCTTTGTCTGGTTCATTCCGGAGACGCCTCGATGGTAAGCATAGTGAAAAGGAGACGATGAGGTCAAGTGGTGACTGACAGGTGTTGGGAATATCAGGCTCCTAGCTCACGACCGAGTTGAAGAAGCAAAGGCCGTCTTGGTCAAATACCATGGGGATGGCGACCCAGACTCCGTGGTCGTTCGGGTCGAGCTCGAAGAGATGATGGAGGTTATCCGCATCGACGGCGCGGACAAGCGGTTTTGGGACTTCCGCGAGCTGTTCAACACCAGGGCTGCGCGATATCGCACCTTTTTGGTCACCTGCATTGCATGGTTCGGCCAGCTCGATCTGCCCCCGACGAGCTATTACTTCCCTCTCATGGCGAAGACGGCCGGGATCACCAGCGTGCACACCCAGTTGTTGCTGAATGCCCTCCAGACGCCCATCATGATGGTCGCGGCGCTCTGCGGTCTTCGCTTCGTCGAGAAGCTGGGCCGCCGCAAGGTCCTGATGGTCTCGAGCGCCGGCATGTCCGCGTCGGTGGCGGTCATCACGGCGTGCACGGCGAACCAGGCAGGCAAACCTGCCGTCGGGGCCACAGGAGTGGCCTTTCTCTACGTCTTTCTGGTCGTGTTTGCATTTGCATGGGTAAGCGAGCAGGCTGCCTGCACCATCTTCAGCTCTGCCAATAGGGGACTCCTCTTGCTGACGAGGGTTTTGCTCTGCACAGACGCCCATGCAGTCACTCTATCCAGCAGAAGTCCTAACATTCACCGCAAGGGCCAAAGGCAAGCTTCTCTTCTTTCCGTTCCTCTTGCGTTTCCTGCTGTCGCGAATCTCTCTTTCATTTCATTCACAAACACCCCACGCCACCCCACTGCCCATTGCCCACAGAGTCCGACTAACCGAGTCTAATGCGTGTGTGCGTGTGTGTGTCCCTTATAGGCATGGCATATCTCAACTTCATGGTCAACTGCGTCAACGTGCTCAACACGTACGTGCCGCCCGTGGCCATCGCCAACTCGGGCTGGCGCTTCTACATCCTCTACGTGGTGTGGGACGCCTTCGGCGTCGTCGTCATCTACCTCTTCTTCGTCGAGACCCGCGGCCGCAGCCTGGAGGAGCTCGACGAGCTGTTCGAGGCCAAGAACCCCAAGCAGGCCAGTCTGGCGTACAAGCACGTCCTCATCAGGAGTGACGGGACGATCAAGGACGCGCCGGAATCCTGACGCAAAACATCCGGTTATGCCCTCTCCCTCTGGGAATAGGGTTTTTGAGCAGCATCGGAAGAAGCGCATGCGGAGAGGTATTAGTGTGCGGGTATATATGGCTGGTCGAGGGAGTGGAACCTCGCGGGGACCAATTCTGCGAGGCAGGTCACGGACTGCTTCGAAGGGACCTCGGGTGCCGGTTTGCTCGAGAAGGAGAAGGGTACCCAAGGTCCGCAAGATCACGCAGTGCCGCGAAGGAGACCAAGCAAGTCGAGGTTTGAACGGGATCAGTTGGGCATTTACCTGGATGGTGAGAGCTCGGCAGCGTCTCAACGATGGGAACGTGCCCGACTTGATCGCGAGAGCATATTACGGGAGGTAGTGTAAGGGTGAGCCATCGTGTGTTGCAAGAAATATTCGCAAAATCTATCGGGATCATCCAATCCAGCCGATAAAAAATAACATGTAGCAACACGGGAAACAAGCGATTCGGATATGGATTCATCCTCTCCACTCAATTCCTGCCCTCGACGCGGTCAGCCCTTGATGGGATGGCATGTTTCCCTCGGCGCCGATATCTCCCAGGTATCCAGCATCTGAAATCCATGACCAGACAAGACAGTCACGCCCCTTTAGTTCTTCGGCAACCCGAGCGCTTCTCTTCTTCCTGTGGAGGCAGGATCCAGATACGGCCTCTCACCAACACCCGAGGCACGTACACCGACTCTGCTTCCCCCAACCAAGTGGGTATCGGGCTAGATGTGCATTTCCGTCAGCAAAATTCTCCTGGTGGTGGGGTCTCGGGCTATGGCCATGTGGTGAAACACTCTGGGGACTGGGCAAGGCTAAGACTTATAAAGGGGCAGCCAAGCTTGAAGCATCGGACGGCGCGGACTGAGATCCAAAAGGTCCCACCAAACAAGAGTGATGCGATGATGAACATACCGTTGCGGCATGCAAAGTGCATGAGTTACTCCAGATAGCACAGGCCTGTTTGGTCCAATGCATTCTCGCCACACAGTCATGATTGCGGGTGATGAGCCTCAGGACATAATCGCGGATCATCTGGTCCTCATAGTTGTAGACATCGTTGATTCGTGTAACATGTAGCCCGACGCCGGCGAAAAGAGACTTCCACCCCGTCACGGGGTTGGTGCGAATGACAGGGTGCACAGGGGCGAATTTATCGCCGAAATTCAAGGGCGAGCCGCGGGGGGACATCAGTTCGTAACCGCCTGCTTCGGATGCAGATTTGAATACAGGCTGAGCACAGGTGGCGGTCAGGGTCTCGAGGAAAGCGGCAAAAGGTGGTGAGAGGCGGTCATAGCTGTAGACATCTCATGTTAATGATGTTGCAAGGAGCAGTCGGAAGGCAAATCATACAGCTCATAACCAGACACCCAAAGTGTGTCTCCACCAGATGGTGGTGTATCTTGCATCCGTAAGAAACTGAAATCCGCTGGGCACTCCTCGAAGAGACCTTCAACATGTCATGGTCAGCTCAATGATCCGGGGCTGGTCGCAGTTGAGAACGAACAGTCACTGTGCCATTCTCGTCCCAAATCTCTCGGCTCGCTCGAGCTGTTTGGTCGATTCTTCATCGTCGCATATAGTTTCTTCATAGCTTCCGAGTTGATAACATAGCTTCTACTCGTCAGTACTCCACGACCCTCGTTCAGAGGGATACTCACATGTTCTCATCGGTTGTTCCGTCCGCCATGGGAATGTTGTTGGGATCATTGTAGAGAGGATGAACATGTAAACCATGGTCCTCAGGTCTGCCCGTCAACTTGCCCAAGAGGTATGTGATCTTTTTCTGCTCTTCAACGGTTAAATCGTCTTGAGGCGCGCGAAAGAAAACAACGCCACGTTCGCAGATAGTAATGGCAAGGTCTCGAATCTGGTCGTCCGCATTGGGGGCATTTAGCATATCCTTGAGCTTAGCCGTGGGGTATTCACGCCCGATTATGGGTGTCACATCGACATATTCGAGGTGGTCGATCGCCCCGGTGGTCTTCAACGGGGCGCGCCGCAACTTCATATGTGATATAGAACCCATTGCTCTCCTGACAGTATACGGCAGAGATATGTTGTGCTGTGGTCGTGGTAGATTCCCTTGCTCCTGGAGTACTCGATTGAATTGTCCTCCCCTACGATGAGGAAACGAGCTCTCAGATATGCTTCCAAGCCGTAATATCAATCAACGATCAGCATCGTGGGGCTAGACAGATTGACAGGCACTATCCCTGGCATGAAGTGTTATGCGGAGTCTTCCCACCAACATTGATGTGGGGAGCATGTTTGTTGTCAGATTGGAGTAAGAGTCTTCCCCATGGGGCTCGCTCACGTTGAACCATTTGCCGAAAAGCAGAGCAAGCAGAGGTATTGTACAAGGGAGAAATCCTCGGACACGGGACTCCGGTCGTGCCTCTGTTTGGAGAGGACTCCGCCCAGCCATTCTCAGTGTCGTCTCTGAGGCACGGAGGACACATGACAACAGGGAACAGCTGGTAGAGAACAGAGCAATTAGCCAGCAGGGCGAATGGTTTTCGGAAATGACGGCCACTTTCCGATGGAGGCCTGACAGCAAAATACAACTGCCGAAATGTCTGTTGCTCACGTTTTAGGGCTTGGGTTGCAGTTGATCCTCATACTGGGCTACAGGGCTCAGAGGGCTGTCAAACATGGAGAGTTGGAGAGGACGGAGAGCCACAATAATGTGGGATTCACAGTAACAAGAGCCTGCGCTCGGTACGTGGCGTGTCATGTGACATCGCGTCACTCGTCGCGCTGGGCAAAGATCCACTGATGCTGCTGCCTTGTAGCTGCGTCTCTTTCTTTGGCCCACTGACTGCGGTGGTCCCTCAATGTACCGAGTACTTCCAGTCGATCGTGTCTAAGGATATCTTGAAACGTCTTAGCCTTTCATGCGCTCCCCAACCCGTGGATGCTACCAATATGGTCTTCACTGACAGCGAAGACGACGATTTGGATGCTCCGCGTAGTAAGCGAGAAGGTGTACGCAGTGGCGAAACCCTCGCAGAAAAGGTAAACACAAGTCTAAGTGAGAGGTTTGATGCCAGTCCAAGCACGGCCAACGAGGTGGAAATCTCAGACTGCGTAACAGGGCAAAACCATCGAACAGCACAAAAGCGAACCCAACCTGAACTTGCTGAACCCCAGCCAACGCTTTACGATTCCGCCGACGAGGAACTTGAGCGGCTTGAGCAGGAATGGGAGAAAGGTGAAGATGAGAAAGCCAAGAGTAAGACATCAAAGACCAAGAAAAGCCGCGGCTTGACCGCCAAACTCGTTGAAGCTGTCGACAATGGGTTCGCGCCTCGTTCGACGCTCAAGAAGGCCACAGGCACAACTGGAGTTGGAAGAGCAACAGGACCTGTCAGGAAACGTCGGAGGGTAAGAAATCACGGCGGCTCTGACTCGGATGAGGATCTCATGGAATGGACCATGCCAGACTATGTCAGAAGTCGAAGAGCAAAATTTGACGACCGTGCAAAGCAGCTGCGGGAAGGTGGCTTGGCCCTACCCCCTAGATACGACGATGTCGAGTTCTCGGACGATGAGAGGCTACGGGAGTTGAGGGAGCGACCGGACTTTCCCATACCAACAGCATCTCGGGAATACAAGGACATCGAGTTGCGCTATTCACTTGGACTCATCCCCGCTCCGATTGCACAATTCTTGCGTGACTACCAGATTAAGGGCGTGGCATTCATGCATGAACTTTTCGTGTACCAGAAAGGTGGCATTCTCGGTGACGATATGGGTTTGGGCAAGACCGTTCAGGTGATTGCATTCTTGACTGTGGCCTACGGCAAGACTGGGGACGAACGCGATCAGAAGAGGATGAGAAAGATGCGCAGAACGAAGCAGTGGTACCCGCGAACTCTTATCATCTGCCCAGGTACCCTCATGGAGAATTGGAAAGATGAATTCCGCCGTTGGGGCTGGTGGCATGTTGATCTCTACCATGGAGGGGCCACACAGAGACATGATGTACTCTTGCAAGCCCAAGCGGGTATGTTGGAAGTCATGATCACTACATACCACACATATCGAGCCAACAAAGGCGAAATCAACATGATTCAGTGGGATTGTGTTGTTGCTGACGAATGCCACATCATCAAAGAACGAAGATCAGATACCACCAAGGCTATGACTGAAATCAATGCTCTCTGTCGTATCGGGCTTACAGGAACCGCTATTCAGAACAAGTATGAAGAACTATGGACCCTGCTCAACTGGACTAACCCGGGCAAGCTGGGACCAGTTTCGACCTGGAAGACATCGATTTGTATACCACTCAAGTTGGGCCAAAGTCACGACGCTTCACAGTATCAATTGGCAAGGGCTAGGAAGACGGCAAAGATGCTCGTCCAGAACCTTCTGCCTCAATTCTTCCTTCGACGAACAAAAGCCCTCATCAAAGACCAACTGCCCAAAAAGTCAGATCGTGTGGTGTTTTGCCCTCTGACAGGGACTCAGGCAAGAGCATATCAAAACTTTCTCGACAGTGATATCGTTCAATACATCAAGACAAGCGGTGATCCATGCATGTGTGGAAGGAAGAAGAAGGCGGGATGGTGCTGCAGGATGACACTCGACGATGGCAGCGCATGGCAAAGTTGGGTGTTTCCCGCAATCGCAGTTCTTCGAAATCTCTCAAATCACTTGGCCCTTCTTATACCACAAGGGTCGGACCCGGCAGACAAACAAGCAAAGGATCTCGAGATGCTCCAAATTGCAATGCCGGACAAGTGGAAGGAAATTTACCGGACCCGGGACAGTATCATGCACACTGGTAACCCCGAGTATTGTGGTAAATGGCGAGTGTTGAAGAAGCTTCTCGCCTTCTGGCATGAACAGGGAGGCAACAAAGTCCTCATCTTCTCGCACAGCGTCCGCTTGCTCAAGATGCTGCAGAATTTGTTCATCAGCACAAAATTCAACGTCAACTACCTTGATGGAAGCATGCAATACGAGGATCGGTATGTGGCAGTCAAAGAATTCAACACTGATCCGACACAATTCGTTTTCCTGATCAGCACTCGAGCTGGAGGCGTTGGGCTGAATATCACATCTGCAAACAAAGTCGTCATCGTAGACCCGAACTGGAATCCCAGCTACGACCTACAGGCACAAGACAGGGCCTACAGAATCGGTCAGACGAGGGACGTGGAAGTCTTTCGACTGATCAGTCAAGGGACCTTAGAAGAGATCGTCTACGCCCGCCAGATCTATAAGCAGCAGCAAGCAAATATTGGTTACAACGCCACATCTGAGCGTCGCTATTTCCACGGTGTCCAGGACAGCAAGGATCAGAAAGGGGAGATCTTTGGGTTGAAGAATCTTTTTGCATATCAGAACGAGAATCAGGTCCTGCGCGACATTGTGAACAAGACCAATATTGCAGAGTCAAAAGCCGATGTCCGCGTTGCAAATCTAGAGCTTGAAGAGCACGACTCCGACGACATCAGTGCTGAAGGTGGAATCAAAGATGAAGAAGGTGTAGCATCTCAAGTCAACACCGACCCGGAGTCGGAAGACGCGGCAATGTCCCAACTCGCAGCTGAGATCATTGGAGATGAAGGTCGGTCATCTCGCTCCCGTTCGAAAACGCCTTTTGGCCCTGCCAAAACGGGCATCAAGAAACACGATCCAGTCCAAGCCATCCTCTCTTCGGTGGGTGTGTCATATACGCATGAGAACAGTGAAGTTATTGGATCCTCGAAAGTCGAAGCCCTCTTGTCCAAACGAGCCGAAGAAGCCGCAGCCAACAACCTACACTGGGACACCCAAGAGCAACAGGCTAAGGTATTCTTGGACGACGCGTCGCAGTCCCAACACAGCGATGGGAGCGAGAATGTTTATGACTATGCGTATGACGATCCATACCATGAAGAGCAACACGGAGGGACTCTCACGCCTGATGGCAGCAATGTGCGATACAAATACCGCCCGCCTCAAGCCGTTCGGAAACGACAGTTCTGCAGCATGGCTAGATGGGCTGGCTACGGAGACGATGTGGTGTCTTTCGCGTTGGTGGTGGAGAACTGGAGCCAGGCGCAACGACGAGAGTGCCTTGACCGTTTCTACCGCCATAGGAGAGATGTGCTCCGTGGGCTCGTGAAATCTCAGAGCGCGGGAGAGGGTGTGAAGAAGGAAGAGGTCAAGAACGAGAATATCCAGATGGGAGATTCAAGTGTCAAGGCCGACCACAATACCAGGCAAGACATGACAAAGGTCAAGACGGGCACAGAACCCAAAAAGGAACGAGAGGCAGAGGTGGTCGACAATGAGACGGCGAGTGAAGATGAAGACGATGAGCTGTAATTTCTGCTTTTGGAGAGGGATAAACGGAACTTTCCACAAGGAAAAGTACCAGGATGTGATGATTCACGATGTCGATGACCTTTGATACCCCTGGCTATATTCGGAGATATTTCAATGTGCCTTGGAAATGGCCTGGAATGGCCGAAAGCACGTACATACCTGATCACTTTTTTTCTTTCGATTTTCTTGCTCCTGAACGTAGAGATACGGCTGAACTCTGGCAGGCGGTTCTGGTGTGTTTGGTATGTAGAGCACGGTGAGCGGGAATCGTGTGGTGGAATGCTGAAAGCACCAACCAGACCCAGGGTGCTCGGAAACAGATTTGTTGGTGGCACAGAGAACGAGGCTCGATATCAAGATGGTTGTCTGTGATACCTTCCCGACGTGATGGGGCGCCCTAATTGCAGACGCCCATCCATCTATCTGCTGAACTAGTGCGACTGGTGTCTTTGACTCCAAACGGAGCAATGAGTCCGACCTTTATATTGTCTGTATCCTTGGAGTTTCCACTTGTTGGGGAATGACACCAGTAAGCAGGTACGTCTACACTCAGCGAGAGACGCGCGATGATTATCTGGTCCTTCCACGCTCACTGGGGCGGTGGAATACAGTCATGGGCTGACCCTTGCCAACAGGTCTCAGGACAACCAATATTGAGAGCCAAGCGACGGACACATGGCCTAGAAAAAGTCCCAGAGAAAATCGTACAGCACCTCCTTGGGTTTGTCAAGACTTCGAAGAGGTGGGGGACCGTTCATAGCACAAGAGGCAGCCGCCTTGGATATTGTGTGCACGGAAGAGTCCTTTGGAGGGAGTGGGAAGCTCGTGTTTGTCTTCAGACGATCATTAGCATCTTGAAGGTTTGTGTCTTCATCGACAGACTCCGATATTCCTGGCGATGGGTTCCTGGCCAGGCAGAAGATGCTCAGCGACAATTCCAGTTGCAGGAAGATTTGCAGGCAAGCGTGAGATCAGAGCTGACGCACTCCAAGAGCCAGTGTCAAACAAGACAAGCTGGAGGTATGGTCTCCATTTCGAGTGGTTTCCATGGCTGTTTGACAAGTACAAACAGGTTGGCAGCTTGATCCAGTTCGTTTGCACCCTATTAAAAGTTAAGTCTGGATGTATAGATTGCAGGTAGCGAGCTGCTCCTTGTTCATCAGCATCCCCTACACTTGTTCCTACCGAGCCAAACATCCACCATCCTGCTGGCGCAGAGTCATCGGAGCAACGTCCTACCTAGGCCGCACGAACGATCTTGTCGATAGCCAACTGTGACCCTGCCAGCGCAATGGGCGACAGCACCAAGATTTGGGTACCAATAACAGTTGTCGGCTGCATCCTCGTCTTTCTTGTCTTCTTCTGCTGCCCACCGTGTGGCAACGACGACGACTATATTGAACGACGGCCGACGAGAAGGATACCATCACGTCATCTGCCGTCAGGATTACCTTGGGAAGAGGTCACCACGTTCAGCTCCTTTCCAACTCGCCCAAGACCGGTGTTTCTGGGGCCACGCAGCGGACGACGTGGGTTGAGTCCACCGTGGATTGACAGACCACCAGAGTACTATCCTGGAGTCAACATCATCGAGAGGGAACCTGTATTCGCGCGAAGATGATCAGTGGGCTGAAGCAAGAGCGGTTTTTGCGGCGATTGTGGGTGGGGGAGGCGAGGTGTCCTGGAGATCTTGAATAGTGTCGAAGGGATGTTTTGGCAGGGTTGAATGTGAGCACGGGGATGGCGGGCGGAAGCCGGGGATTTCGACTTTGGCACTCTGATCACAATAGTATTGTGCTCGTGTGGGCTTTTGGGGCGGAAAGAAAGTCCGCAGGTTGTGGAGATGGATTGTGGGTTAGTACACATGCGAGAAGACGATGAATGGCAACATTGTTAGGATATCAAGTCAGGGGGATTGAATACGGACGAGACGACGACTATTAGATTTATCGTGATGTTGTTGCCGATGATGTAGACAAGGAAGAGGGGGGCAGAAGAAGGATTGGGATTGCCAGTGTTGTGCCTAAATTTGAGGAAATGTCAAACATGCGCTAATTAATCACTTATTCTTCCGTTACTTACAAGTCGATCCTCCATTCTTCATCCACCGTTCCCCGACTTCCTTCCTTGCTCTCCATTATGATATCCAAGCCCGTTTCCATCGATCGCTACTCGTATGCGCTGAATGGAAGGGAAGTTCCTAGCTAACCGACGACAAACGGGCACTGCTAAAGCTTGCCGACATCCAAACGACCGAGTCAAACTGCCAGGGACACGGCGGAGCAATACGAAGGCGTACTTAATATCAACCATCAGCGACCACGCCCAGTGGGACAGCTATGCAACCCTTGCATTCTAATCTCTCGGGCTTACCATAATGACGATGGCTGCCAGTCTGAAGCAAATCCGCGAACCCTGTACACTCGACAAGCGTCCCTCTACCAGATGAAACTGCATGGGCTGTAGTGCTTCGAGTTCATGAGGTGGATTGACTTGAAAATCTCGTTTACCGGTGATTTTGAGAACTCTTTTCTCCACAAGATCATAGTTTCGTCGTGTTCTCGACACAAGTGCTTGGAAGAATGAACGACAAGGGGGTGCCTAGGTGTAATGCTGAGACCGACGTACGCTATACTGGACTTCCACCACTCCATCGTGATCATTAACTACGGGGAGGCTTGGGCAATGACTGTCGATATGTCGTCGATCGCGGTGCTTTATATGGCAGAACCTCCACAAGACGTCCCAGGCCCTTTGGTTCGGACATTTGAGACATGTGTCACGTATTGTATATGTCCCACCAAGGCGGAAGCCTACCTGAAAGACTTTGAGAGGACTGACCGGGACTCCCGTTTGTTGGCTGACTATGAGTTTGGTAGACTCCAGTTCTGCATCTACTTGACCGGTTCTCTACGAATAGCACCAATGTGCAATGCCTCCAGCTGAACCAAGGCGCTACTTGCAAGTCCCGACAGCCGGATGATGATCCTATTGCCTGGTATATTCTGTTTGTCATGCTAATAATGGGACTTCCTCACCAGCCAGCCAGGTTCTGGAGGGCAGCAGCTAGACTGAAAGCGGCATCAATCGACTCTCTGCATCGAACATTACTGGTCGCCTCATGCCGACATGTCGTACCGAGACTGCAGCGGCTCGCGCCTTGTTGTGAGGAAGAAGAGGCAGAAAACACAAGGCGTAATCCCAACTTACTACGACATGGAGTGGACTGATCAGATAGCTTCTTGTTGGACGATATCCATCTCCTAGGGACATGTCTTCACAAGCCTGACAGCCTCGGCCAGGTAAAACCCACAACGCCAGACAGATGCTCTTCCTCGCGGTGTGCCTCCAACTGCACAGCCTCACACCCATGCCCAGACTTCTATTTCTCCCAAATCTGCCTGCTTGATCTACCTGTACCTATCCTTTGCCGTTAAGCAAATGTCCTTTCACCCCACGAGGCCATGAAAGTGGCTTTGGGGTGGCTGCGCCCTGGGTTAAGCTCGACCACACCACAAATTGTCTTATCAACCACTGCCTGACCCCTCAACCTCTGATCCCGGTTATCGCATATGACTGTCCTAATGACCCTGTTTAGTTAGCCTCCTGTTAGTCGACTCTGGAAAATACTTGTCTAGAAAACATCAACAGCCGTGCCTCGGAAAAGGCGAGGGAAGAGGAAACCAAGTCGATCACCATACGACTGCTTTAACCTGTATTCATATCGGAAAATACGACCATGACCCCTCTGACTTGAACGCACTCGATAGGCTGTTCCCAACATCAGAACGTTTCATGGGTTCAAAGCAAATAGCTCTTGGATGGAGCCTTGCACGGAAGACAGGCAGACAACGAAAGTCTTGCCCTCGGGCGGCAATCTTTCTTCTGTTCACTACCTGGACGGCTATGTCCCTGCAATGGATCCAACCCTAGGTCAATGGGTAATACCTAACTGCCCTAGGACACCAGGTCCCTCATACCATACACATGACACCGGTCCTACTTTGGCCGGAAGCCAGCTCCTTGGAGTCAAGAATACTTACAGACCATTCTGCAACGTTCCTCGGTACCTCGACCCTCCACTCTATAATGAGTCGGCTACATATCACAACCTTGACGGATCACTCCCACCCTTGCGTACCGAACCAAGCAATCCGATTACGGAAGTCACCGCGTGTGACGCACTGGTGGAAGCCCATGCTGGTGACCTGTCGCCGTCGTTCAACACAGGGCACTCACTCAATGGAAGTACAAGTACCGCAATGTCGCTTGGCTCACATGGTTCTGGATCTCCCCTCGGCCAGCTGCCTCCAACTCGGAACCGATGTCAAGCACCACTGTCTGGAGAAAGGATTGAGCGGTTGCTGCAAGAGTACGAGGAGGAGTCGGGATCAAGAGGGTGGAAGAGACCTTCGAATGATGGCGATGTTGTCTCAATGGGTACACGTTATACAAGGTCGATGATGCCTATGGAGCACTCAGGATGGGAACGGCAGAGGCAGTCTGAACATGATCGCAGGTGTGCCATGGAGCTTGCTGGGGACGCCCCACAAGACTACCACGAACTTCTCGTGGCAGAGCCAAATCGGTCGTCAGAGAGAGGAAGCCGAATACAGGTGGCTCAAGATGATATCATCCGGCGAGAACAAGAAGAGCTGGAAGCCTTGTTTGAGCCTATCCGCAGGTTACAAGACAAATGGAACAGGGAAGTCGACCTCGTTATCCATCAAGAGCAAGAGATGGCACGACCATCTGCAGCACAGAAAGAAAAGGAGGGAAACAGGGCGATACAGGAAACCCAGAGGGATATGCATGCCCAAATACAGGCAGAAGACGCTCGTCAATTGGAGGAGGACGCGAAGCTTGCTCGAGCTTTATTCGAGATCGAGAACGAGATGCGAGCGTCGCCAGAAAGGCATGGACACCAATCGACCTGGACAGACGAGTTGATGGGTTCGGGGAGCCAATGGTCATTGAGCCCATTACTGCCACGGCGCCGCAGCCCGGGGACAAGTCCTTTCCAATGGCTCAAAAGAGCACTGGGTCTTGCGACAAACCAATCGGCAGTCCCGGTCCCAGCTGGGATCTCTCGTCCGCATCAGAATCTCCTGGCACCAAACGAGCCAAACAGTATTCGGTCTTCGCCACCTCGAGATGCTAACCCAGTAAAAGGGACAGGCGCAATCGGAAGCTTTGGTGGTGTTGGAAGTGCGCGTGAGAAGCGAGAAAGGCAAAAGTCGTCAACAGCAGACCGAGACGCTATCTCTATCGGTCTGAGTGTGACAGAAGACGTACAGGGTGCATGGAAACACGACACTCGGAAGAACGAAAGTTCTGCGCGCTATGTTAAAGAAGATGGGGCCACAGAACAACAAGCGTTTGCAGGGTTGGAGCGTCCCCACCGCAAGGAATTGCAGCAACGCCGTGCAGGTCACAAGGGACAAGAGGAGCAAACGAGGACGCGTGCAGCCAGGCCGGTTGAGTGCACCGCCTGTACCGAGCCTGTCCCCCGGAGGCAAACGTGCCGGTTAGGATGCAAGCACCGTTACTGCCAAACCTGTCTGGAGACAGCCATTCAGATGGCAGTAAAGGACAAGAAGGCCTTCCGATGTTGCAGCGTGCAGGTCGAGCCAGATGTCGTTTCTCGGTGGCTTCCATCAGAAATCCAGAGCGCGTACAAAGCCGTACTTGAGGAGCTTTCCACCCCAAACCCGACATACTGCCACAGCAGGAGATGCTCGGCCTTCATCCCTACGGCCAACTATGTCGGCGAGACGGGTTTGTGCCCGCGCTGCTCGAACGTGACCTGTCGACTGTGCAAGAAGAAGGTGCACGCAGGAACTATTTGCGAGCAAGACACCGCGGGCCAAGCGCTACTGAACTTGAGCGAGACCCGGAAGTGGATGCGGTGTCCGCATTGCAAGACCATGGTGGAGCGGATCTCGGGATGTCTCCATATGACTTGTCGGTGCGGGACGGAATTCTGCTACAACTGTGGGAAAGCGAGATGGCGGTGTCGCGGGGCAAAGTGTACTCGCAGGTGATCCAGGCCTCAGGTTTGTGAACATCTGGTACTCTGGTCATCCATCGGCAGTAGTGTTTCTTAGAGGGCAAGGATGGGACTACAAGGTCGAACCAGCTCCATCGTCGCATGGCTGCGAAAACACACGACGAGGTCAAGCCGCACAAAGGGTTAAGGTGTGTTGAGCGACCTGGTCGAAAACTCCATGGTATGCTAAGACAAGATATGGATGTATGTACGTATGAACGTATGGAGGGATGGAAGCGGAGTACATTACAAGTAAGTGTGTTGTTGTGTTGGGGAAATGAGAGCCATGTACGAGGTACTCAGTGTGTAGGTAGGTAGGTAGGTAGGTAGGTAGAGACTACATACATACTCGGTACACGAATGCATGATAACCCCCTTGATGCACCTAAGTACGTACCGAGCGAGTTAGTCAAGCACCAGAAGCCTGACGTTTGCCGTTTGGCTATTTGCCGTTTGTTCTGGACCATTGCCAATATAATATGAATGAAGATGCATACTCGCCCACATTCACAGTGGTTCCTTGCACGAGGCCAGCATCACGCAAGGCAAGGCAAAGGGAGGATTTGGTAATGACGTTGCGATTGCGTTCTTACATACAATAGGTACCTACCTAAAGAGGTAGTAAGGTAGGGAGTAAGGTAGATAGGTAGGTAGCTCGACAGCGTCTCTGGTAGCAGTTCCCTGTGTGCCTCTTACACTGCACTGTACCCATTATTACCAGGCCATGCCGGTCCAGACCACGCACGCCAGGGTTCTTTTGTCTTTGCCAGTTTATATCTCCGCCATCCCCTCCGCTAGTTGCCTACCTACCTACCCACCTACTTTACCTATCGACCAGCCCAACCCTCGGGAATCAAAATCGACCCGACTTCCTCAACCCCTCGCTCCATGACCAGCAGATTATACGCGGCGGCGGCGTTGGCGGTATCCATGACGTCGACCTTGATGCCCAGGTCCTCGGAGAGGAACTTCCTCGTCTCGCGCGAGAGCATCCACAGCCTGCGCCCCGTGCCGAGGATGAGGAGGTCTGGTTTCGGGTAGAGGAGGGAGAGGAGACCAAGCGTGGACGGCGGGAATGTCAATAGGCCGCGCGGGTTGAGGAAGGCTGTAAATCTAGAGTCTTTGGGTGGTGGTTGTGGTGGTGGTGGTTTTCCTCCTTCACTATCGCTTGCGCTCGCGGTAGTATGAGTGGCGGGCATCATCCACGGCTGCCACAGAAAGGCTTCGCCGCCGAACAGCATCACGCCCTTCCCGCCGGACGTGTGCACGCCGTTGTTCAAGTAGAAGCCGTCGGCCGTGCAGGCGTCGATGGACGTGGCGGGTTCCTCGACGCCCGCACTCGCCAGGATGTCCATCTTGGAGAAGTCGGTCTGCGTGTCTTCCTTGGAGGGGGGTCCACGATCGTGGGTTTTCGGCGCGCGGGGGTTGATCTGTCTGGCGCGGCTGACTGCGTCAGAGGACGAGGGACCGGACGGAGTCTGTTGGCGACTCGGTGATGCGGTCGTCGAGAGTGCGCGCCGCACATGTCTCGTCGGTGAGGATGGAGTATGGCATATTTGACGGCGTGTAGAGGCAATCGCGACGCAGCGTGATATTTGGGACGGGGTCGAGTGTACAGAGAGCAGAGACTGTCGCGGTGCTGCTGTGGCTGTTGCGTGACGCAGCGCACGGAGGAGGTCTGTCGACGGAGCACGCATTTTTTTTTTTTTTGATTCCCCCTTCTGTCCTTCTGCTATTTGTGTTTCGCTGTGACAAGTCCACACGGAAGCACTAGAGCTGGAGCAAAGCAATTGAGTGCAAAATCCCTCGTTTGTTCCAGTACCAGGATCGACTGTCTCGACGTAGTTGCTAATAGCCGATCGGACACCAGCTCAGAGTTATGTAGGCAGAGAGCGGAAGGTGTTTCGATGCTGGGTACTTGCTCGGTACTCGGTGAAGGATTGAAAAGGGACAGGTGAATGACACCGGCGATATCTATTGGGGGGACCAGTGCATCAATTCCCCATTGATACAAAGACTTTGTTGCTAGTGTCGTGTGAAGGGTGTCGGAAATCTAATCTGCGGAGAAAAAAGTCACTGACGGTTTATTACTTGGTACCGAGCACTTGTGTCAGCGCACCCATGACTTCATACATGTCCTAGTGGCACCGACGCACCAGAGGGAGGCAGCTTCAGCTCCAGCCAATCAATGCACCGTTATTTCTGTGCTCGATATGCATCCGTTACTCTCAAGCCTTTTGGATTTGTAGATGTTTGCAAATTGAAGGATATTCTCTCCCTCTAATCGTCCATCATTACATAGACTTCCTCCATATTGGTATCCGCGGAGAGTGAGTGATCAGACTCGAATTCACCTCCACCGCCCTGATATTCGCAACGCACCGCCATGCACAATAACAAATGCAAAACATGATTAAATCGGACATGCCCCAAGTTGCACCTCTTTGCTTCACATACTTTGTCGTTTTATATGATCAAAATTTCAAACTCTGCACGATTACAAAATGCACAACCCAACAAGCGCAACAACAACTGCAAACAAGCTGCCCTTGAGGACAGTCTCGCTGTTGCCGCCAATCTGGCCTGCACCGTTGGATGAAGAGTCACCGCCGTCACCCTGCACGAAACCCGTCGATGCAGCTCCTGAGGCGCTGGCACTGCTGCTATCTGACGATCCAGAACCACCGTCGTCTCCGCTTCCACTATTGTCCGTGGTGTTGTCGCCACGCCCGCCATTGCTGCCGGTACCAACGCCAGAAAGTCCAGGAATCGTGGCCACTTCACTGGTCTTGGCGGAGCCGCTGGCGCTGGCGCTGTTGCTAGAAGAGCCGGCCGACGTGTTGGTGCCAGTCCCAAGGAATGACTTGAGCACGGTATTTTGGTTGGTGACTTCGACGCTGGCATTAGTCAAGGCGTCGTCAGTAAAGATGTAAGACTTGGTGCCTTGAACATTTGCGCCTGAGGGTGGATCGTAGCACTCGACCGAGACCGAGTCGAACTGGGCAAAGTAGTAGCCATTGGTCATGTACGGCGAGTCCCACTCCACAAGACCTCCGGCCCATTCGATGGTACCTTCGCCGTTGGTTGGGAGACCGCCAGGCCACAATGACAGCTGCACTTGGCACGGGGTTTGAGGGTAGTAATATCGGTTGTCCGTCGCGTTCCAGGTATCTTCACGGTTTAGCGTCCGGACTGGTTTGCCGTCAATCGACCAAGTAATGCTCTCAGGTTGCCAGTCAATCTCATAGTCGTGAAAATTGGCGTGCACGTCCGAGAGGCCGGTGGTGTTGCCGCCGTTGGTATCTAGAATTCCATTAGCATACTCATTCTCATTCCAGAATCTCTAGAACATGGACATACAGACTGGGACACCCAGAGAGTAGAAGTTTGTTTGAGCACTTGTTAGTTGGGTGCCGACGAACTCAAAGTCGATTTCGTCCTTGGAGTTGCCGAGCAGAATGAACGCAGTGACCACACCGGCGCCTGCAGATGTGGCAAATCTGGCGCTGACCTTGCCATACCACACAAAGTGCGTGCTAGACAGCAGTGTTCCCACAGTTCCTTCTGCCATGGTCAGGAGCACCGAGTTGTTATATTCCAGGGGGTCGCCGGAAGAGACCCAGTCAGCTTTAGAAGCATCTCCTAGATACTTGGTGTTGGGCATGACACCGTCGAGATCATTAAAGTCATAGGTTTTGGATTGACAGACAGGCGCAGGAACGCAGGAATCGAGGCTGAACGAGTTGACGGGGTCACATCCCCCCAGACAATAGGCGCCAACGCCACATTGACCATATTCTGCCACCCCATTGCTTGTTAGTGTCTTGATCTCTTTTGTCACAGGGTATCCCGGGGGCCAAAAAACGTACGTGAACAGCACGGTGTATCTGATGGACACAGAACACCACCGCCGCACTTGGTCTGAGCAAAGACCGCCGGTGCCAACGTGGCAGCAATGAAGACGAGCAAATGAAAAACTCGGCCCGCCATTGCGGTTTGTTTTATACTTCTCGTGTGAAGGTCGGTCGGGATGCGGATGCAGTCGTCAATGAAAGGGCGACGGCAACATGCACAGGTATACTAAGAATGCTCCGAGAGCAGTACAAAGGGGTTTCGATCTTGTAACCAGGGTATCACAACAGGCGGGGCTCGATCTGGTCGCACAAAGAACCAAGTCGAGAATATTCGTCAGATGTTGCTGAGCGAGAGAGACGGTAACCCGCGGTGGGAATTTGGGGGTCGAATTCGAACAAAGAAGAATCAACAACGAGCAGCGATAGCACCAACACCACCAGATGACACGCGGATGCCGAGGCAACAAACGAAGTTAGCGAGAGTGAGAAAGGGTTGCTCTAGATAAAGAAGGGTGCAAAGAAGGTAGGAATTACAATGGATGATGATGATGTCGGAGTGTGAAAAGAAGCAAAAGAGAATGTCGAAAGGGGAGTCGAGTGATACGGAGATGCGCAGGCAAGCAGGGATGGGGCATTGGCGCAGGCGAGGCAAAAAAGTTATAGAGAGAGACTTAGTCAACGCAGAATGTTATTACGGGGTGTTACTATGCTTGGATTTGACGCAGGTGATCACCATTCAGGTGCGTGTTGACTGTCTGTGAGTGGCTCTAGGGTGCCCTGGCAGCCCTGGGTTGCGTACCAGAAGCTCCCTAGGGCCCGAGATCCAGGCCCATGGACGCCCTGACTGGCTCGGGGTATTCAGGGGCTCCATTGCGTGACGCGGCGCGTGAAACATGGCCAGGGAACAGGCGGTGGTGCCCGCACTTGGCCTGGGGCTCTAGTCCACGGCTCCAGGCGCCATTTGGCTCATTAGGTGGCTCCCGTGCTCCCTTAGCCACACGTTAAGCCCAGATCGGTTAGTAGATGGTGGCTACGGCCATGGTGATTGGCGAGGTTTGTGGCTGCGACTCGCCACATCTTCGACTGGCATTGCTTGTACCGACCTAAAGACTTGGACATACCACCTCACCACCGTCAAACAGGTACCTGCTGGGTATGGGGTACTTGTTATGTCTCGGATGACAGTCAACCAAGACCAACAATCACGGTACATTCAAGTCTCCTCGCTTGATCCCGGAGATCACGTGGTGCATCTGCAATCACGTGTACATGACTTGGTGTCCTAGGCCGAAAGAGGGTATCATGCAAGTCATCGAGAAAGGCCACCAACACCACAGCAGCAGATGGTGCCAGGAAAGGCGAGCCCGTCATAACCATCCCGGCCTTTTTGTGCCGCGACTGAATTGTGTCGGCCCGTCTGAATAACCATTTGACCAGAGAAACTGCACGACGGAATCCAAGCCGTCAACCCCCCAGTTCCCCATGTTTGAGTGCATGCACTGCTTACCACGGGTGTCACGCAAGTCCTCTCTGTTCTCAAAGCCGACCTTCAACTACCGGTCCCCAACATGTCTCTTTCTTCCCCGTATTTTCCTTGTGAGATTCACACTTCCATCTGCCGGCTTCCCAGTAAAGGCCATGGAAGTTGTGGCAACGGTAAGTCCGGAACGTTCCGTATCACCATCTAGGCCAATATCTGGACGCCTTATCAGCGAGCATAATCAAGCACTTCAGCGTTATATATATAGTCAGGGCAAGATGTCCGAAATATCTCTTGTTCCAATGCATCGAAATTGCAGGGTTCGGTCACCGAGACTGTAGCAATGGGGTCAATTGAACCAAAGAAACCGTTTGAAAAGGTGAGGATGGTCCGCAACAGCCCCTGTACAACTTCATTGTTCACTCAACCGCAAAATGTTTGTTCAACCGCACAAGAAACTCACCAGCGAAAGCATAGGTTGTCATAGTGGGAGCTGGACCAGCAGGCCTGCTTCTCGCTCTCCTCCTTTCACAACATAATATCCCTTCGATCGTGTTGGAATCATGGAACAGACTGGACGAGCGACTCCGTGCGACCCAATATGGAGTCCCGGCCACCAAGATATTCCGTCGGGCGGGCATCCTCGACGACTTCCGGGAACAAAGCATTGACAGCTTTCCCAGCATCTGCTGGCGTCGAGTTAGCGATCACCAAAAGCTCACGGGGATTGACCTCTCTGTTGTCAAAGACCATCCTGATCGCATGACCATCCTGCCTCTCAATCAGATCATTCAAATCATGTATAAACACTGTATGGAAAGGGCCAACGGCTTGGTCGAAGTCAAGTTCAATCACAAGGTCGTGGGCACAGGGCAGGATGAGCAGTCTGCCTGGGTTGATGTCGAGGCCGGCGAAGAGGGGCAGGTCAAGGAGAAGAAGCGATTCACTGCCGATTATGTTATTGGGTGCGACGGAGCGACCAGCACAGTGAGGAAATCTCTGTTCGGCAGAGAGTGGCCCGGTCAGACATTCGACTTTCGCTTGATGGTCCAGAACGTCCGTTCCCCCAAGGCCTCCCGCATTTGCGGTATGCTGAGGCGCCCAAGGCTGACTAGAGCGACAGGTCTGGTACGACGGTTTCGAGAAACATGGCTGGGACGGAGGGAATTATATGGTCGATCCGGACTTTTGGGGCCTGATCGCAAAACGAGGCAAAGGAGGCCTTTGGCGTGTCACTTACGGTGACAGTGCAGCCGGTCTTTCTGACGAAGAGTACCTCGAACGGCGGAACACGGCCTTCAAAAAGTTACTGCCAGGCCACCCCGAACCTGGCGAGTACAGAATCACACAGACTGACCAGTTTCGGATCCACAACCGTTGCGTTGAGAAGATGAGGGTGGGACGAATCATCCTCGCGGCCGACGCTGCGCACGTGTGTAACCCATTCGGCGGTTATGGTTGTATGACGGCCGTGCTGGATGTCGGTGCCCTCGCCGACTGCCTGATTGGCCTGTACGAGGGCAAGGCGGACGAGAGCATCCTTGACCTCTACGCCGACATCCGCCGCGAGAAGTTCCTGAAATATGTCGACGCAAGATCCATGAAGAATATGAATAGGATCATGCACAGTGATCCCGACACGGTTTTGGAAACCGACAAGTTTTTGCAACTGCTGAAAGGTCTGGAAGGCGATGACGAGGCGACAAGAGCATTTCTGCTGGTAAGTTTAGCAAATCTCTCCCAGGCTCCAACCGCACACAACGCTCATCAGGAATTTCTAGAAATATTCCAGCATCGAACACGATTTCACCCAGTACTATAGACCAACGTGAGAAGGGAAGGTCCCACAAGGAGAAACTCCTGTGAGCTTGGATCCCGCTGGCTGGGCGCCTCGGCGTGTGCTGCCCCTTGTTGACTTCGGCCCCAGTCTGGACCTGTACTTGTATAGAGTCTGGCAAAGTTAGTACTAGTTTGATGTGATGCTCTGCGATTTCTTCAAAGGACAGAAAGGGTGCCACCCCATGCTGGAGGTCTACTAACCCTGCTTGATAAGCCTCCATCTCGGGCCAAAAAACACCACCCTGCTGACCGACTGGATAGCCATTTCTTTCTCCCTATTCCAGTCTAGAAGTGTGTTTGTTTGTTCGATGATTCAGAAATTCCTCTTTCCTTGGTGTCGACGGCCCGGCTTTCCTTGGGCTGAAATGTATGTATTTTTGAATTCTTGTAGAGCTCGCAGGATGGACGATCCGTTGGAGAGGCCGATGCCCCGACTGACTCAACGGAATCATCAAAGAAGCATTATCAAGCAACGGATTGCTTTGTGTTGGTATTCAACTTGACTCACTCACTCACTCCCTTCCTGCAAGGCCCGGTCTAAGGGACCCCCATCCATCCGTCGCAGGATTGCAAGTGCATTATGTAGCAGTACCATGTACAGGGTTTGTGGTATGCAGTATATAGTATCCAGCAGGCTCGCGTGGAGCTCGCAGGTAGGGGCCTAGGTAGCGCAAACTCTTCTCCGGGTCTTCTTTGTTGCAAGCTAAGAATAGAAGTCAAATAACCTCTTCTCTGCATGCGTGCTCGTGTTATTCGCATTTTGTAGGTGCGTTGGTCTTGTCTGGTTTGTTGGGCGTTTTTGAATCTTCATCACCACAGGTGTTGGATCCAGAGATACAAGAAACAGCCCTGGGACATTCTGCGCGTCGTCCTTTGATACCTACCACATCCCGTCTTGTGATGGGAGCAGACGAGTGTAGTACTGTTTGTATCGAGTTTTATGTAGTGCCATTTTCCTATCGGTGTCGGGTACATTCAGTACTTGTACGTCTCGGGGGACAATTTCCGACATCCGACCCCATATGGTATTTTGTCTATGTTGCCCTTACCAAGTATATACGAGTAACCGTTCGGGTGCCAGATGGAAATAGAGCAATAACAAGGTGACTCAAGAAGAAACAAGCACTACATACCAATACCTGATGCAAGAGCTTGTCCGTAGCGTTTGGGGTGGGATGGTGAACTTACCAGAGTCTTGAAAAATCTTGATAGCTGATGCCCATCTATTCGGACGATCATCACTCTAGAGTCCACGGCGCACTGCCAAGAGACGCCAGTCTCTACCATCGCGCGCGTCAATGTCTCCAGAAAGGATGGGCAGTTCCCATTTGCTGCATGTATATCCTGCTTTGTCCGTATCTGGGTGGAAATGAGACTGTTGGATTCAAGGCGCCAAACTTGGGGTGACCAGCTACAAGTTGCTGCAGCTAAAGAGCCTCACCAGCCACTATCAGTGTTCATAAATTGGCGTGATTTGTTGACAGAGGCTAATAGCAGCAGCCAGCTGATACTCGGACGAGTAGATCGGCCCCCAGGCAATCGGAGCCTAGGCAATGATCGGTTGTCGGCCATGCAAATATTGGATGGCGTGCCCCTGGGGCTCCATCTGCGAGCATAGGAGACTGAGCCCATGTTGCAACCCTTCCAAAATGTACGGCTTCCCACTCCGCATACTTTTAGCATGCGGAATATTGTGTGTAGCACCACTGGATATCTCGTGAGATCATTGCAGTTGCCCAGTTCTAACAAGGATCCTCGGCAAATGTCCGCTGCTCCGTCTCGATAGCGTGCAGTTGGACCATTTCTGTAGTCCACAGCTGTTGCTCGTGTCTGGCAAGGCCACCCAAGCCACATGGCAGGGACAAACCGTTTCGAAGCATTGGCCAAGACTCCGTGCTGAACACCTGAACGTCTCTGGGGTTGGTGACAATTTCCTGAAGAAATCCTGTTGTCCTTGACGTGGCTAGCGTTATGTTCAATTCAGGAGAGCCGGTTGTCGGATAACACAGCTTTGTCGGGGTTCAGTTCGATGGTCGCCTAGACCAGCAACAGCAGGGTACTTTTGCGTGAAAGCAGAGCAAATGGTGGGTGTGGCGGTTTGAATCCGTCGACATGAGACGCGGCTATCCACGCCAGGTCGAATTGAGAAGCGATATCATGCATCACTGGTTCAATTCGGTGTTCGCCAGGATAAGCACTACCCAGAGTGGCAGCCTGTCGAGCCTGGACTGTATCACAGAACATCTTGAACCTGCCAGCGGGGAGCGGACCACCTACCGCGTTGCTTCTTTCTCCCAAGCATTTGTCTTGTGGTCTTCCTGAATTAGCATCTTCCAGCCCAGGATTAACAGACGGTCCAGTCACACGGTGTGGTACAACGGGTAGACCAGTCTTGTGTATCGCCTTGGCTCAGCACGAAGGACCCTACCGACATACATATGTCGAGGCATTGTGGCAGTGTGGCAAGGTCTTGAAGCCGGCCGTGATATGCGGGTCAAGATGAGCAAAAGGTTCAAATGGGGGAAGTAGGTATAGGGAGGGACCAGTCCGAACTCCGGGATGGAGCATGCCGATCGTGATGTAACTTTGGTGCTTTTGTGGCTGACCAGCACCGCGACTCGGCAGCGCGTCGAGATTAACGATGTTGCCCTCCGACATCCGGCCCCTGCGCCTCGTCTCCTGTTCGTTGTGTTGCTCTGCTTCGTAGTTTTGGGGGGGGGAAGAATACCGACAAGTGTGTGCAAGGGGTAGTCGGGGGCCTAGGGAGAGCGTATCGGCTCGATTGAATGATAGGTAAAGGGCATTTTTGGTCCTTCTAGGTGATTTCTTGGTGTTGTCGCAGGTTTGAATGCCCTAAGCGGGTGACCGTTAGGCAAGACACGCCAAGCCGCAGGAAGCAGCCGAACCAAACCTCCACCCCCGACAAAGAGGCAAAGAGGGTTCACCTGGTAGATTATCGCCACACTGATTCTGACTAGTATTATTGCATCCGTCAACCTTGATGCCCCCTTTTTTTCCAGAAACAGCCGCATTCGGATGTCGGTGATGGTTTGTACACAGACGAAGTAATATGGTCGGTCTGGAGTAACCTACCCTTGTCGCTTCGATGCTGTGATCATTGGTTTCTCATTTGTTCCTAGCCTGTGGATTGGCTAACTCTCTGCAGTCAGTTCCTCAATAACACCTCCACTCTTTCGAACTGTTTGCCCCTGTCATTCGTTCACGATTGATCCTGCAGAAATCTCTCGGAGGATTTGCCTGTCAGAGGACGATGTCCTTGTCTTGGTACACCTTGTGTGGCTGGCCAGAGGATGGGTACAAAGGCATGGGAAGATTTGCCTTTGCAAGGGAATACACACAGCGAGGAAGGGTCGTATAGAGGGCACGGGCTTGAGGCTGAGCTGCCATGCTGGTCGCGGTGCGCGTTTCCGCAGCTAAATCTGATCGTCGCACTAGAGATTTGTTCAAAACTCTGTGCCTCGTGTTGAATCCTTTTGCGGTGTCCGAGCACTGTCCTCAATCCTCAGTTCGCCAGTGGGTTTTCCTCTCAGATCGGCGTCAGCATCGATGTCTCCAAATTGAAGGACCCCTCCTGGAAGGGCGGTTGGCGAAGTCACGACCCGTATTCTGACTTAGTCCTGAACAGCCGATTCACGGTCTAACACAGTATAGTTGCCAGGGATGGGGCCGAGCACGTTCAAAAGTGGATCTGCGCGACACAGGAAATCTCGTAGTTTCTCCTTAGGATTGTTGCAATTCACATCGCGGCCCTAAAGTCAGCGTGCTGGTTCTCCTTTAGCATGGCTGTGGTCGCCCATTGACAGAGCCACCATTCCCCGTCAGGTCGCGCGTCGAGGGAAAAAAAAAGATAAGTGTTTGCTCCAGCCCCTCCTGAATCGACTTCATCAACCCTTTCTTTCTCTCCTTACCTTGGTTGACTTGTCGCTTCGTTGCGTTCTGGACTGCTGCCTTCTGTCAAACTCCATCAGTGACCTCACATCCCCTTGCACTGTCTTGCGTCAGGGACCTTTCACCTTCTCCCTCAACAGCATCGACATCGCCCACCTGAACATCCTCGACATACAATGGGTCAGACAGCATCTCAGCCCGAGAGCGGCAAGTCCCTCAAAGTCATCGGCGCCGGTCTCTCCAGAACAGGAACCACATCATTCGGAGCAGCCTGTTCCTACCTCCTCGATGGCCCCTGTTATCACGGCGGCACCCAAATGTTAAACTCACCCGAGGCTCACATTAAACGTTGGATTGAAATCATTAAACATACCCCTGTCAAGAACGAAGCAGACCGCAAGGCCTTGAACGAGGGTGTCAAGGAGATGTTGGATGGATATGTTGCTTGTACCGACCTGCCCTCCAACGCCTTTGTCGAGGAACTCATGGAGATCTACCCCGACGCCAAAGTCATCTGCACCGTGCGGGATCCCGATAAGTGGTGGAACAGCTTGGCCCCGATCGTGGAGAAGGGTAACTTGACTGTCTTGTCCTGGATCTTGGCTCCCCTTCCCACCCTGCGGTGGTTCCGAACATACCACGACGCCCTCGACGACGGCCGTGTCGGTGAGCTGTACTTCCGCCCCGGCGAACCCAAGAGACCGACCAGAGCCATGTGGGATCGACATATCGAGCATCTGAAGAAGGTCGTCCCCAAGGAGAGACTGTTTTTCTATGACGTCCGCGACGGCTGGGAGCCACTGTGCGCCATCCTCGGAGTTCCTGTCCCCAAGGACGTTCCGTTCCCCAAGCTCAACGATGCTCAAGCCATGGAGAGCTTCATGAAGAAGAGCGCTCAGCGGGGGATGATGGTGTGGGCTGGTCTTTTCGTATCCGCCGGTGTTGCCGCCTTTGCGGGTGCGAGATATGCCCAACTGATTTAAGAGTAGAAGTTTTTCAGCGGAGGGCTCCATGTATTCATATGTGATGATGCTGCTGCCGTTTCACCCATGCTAGGGCGGAAGACATGTCCAGGCAGTCGAATGAAAGGGTGCACAAATGGTCCGGTCCATTTCATTTTCGAGATGCAGACACTTTGAGCTTTGCGTTACTGGGCGTCATGAGGAAGGAATTAAAACGGCGGAATGATTTGGCGTGTTTTGACAACGGTTTTGTCCACGAATATTCGGGGTTGCAGTGGGATGATTGAACATCCTAGATTGGTGCCATATAGAAGGGATCCTTTGGGATTCAAGGACTGGGACCGGAATGCTTTGTTTGCGGCAAGGTCTGGAGCTGGTATGGTACATCTCTTGTAATGCAATGCCAAATTGAGGAAAATGATTCATCTCACAAATGTGTTGGCTGTGGTTGTGGTCAGAGAGTCGCCCATGGCACCATAGGATGTGTCTGTCCAGGTGCGCAGCCTTATTGCTCGCCCCGGCCCTAAGGCTGAGCAACCCCGGACAAGTAAGTGATCGCCCCTCGAGAATAATCGCAGTAAACCGAAAGCCTCACGACAAAGTTTCAAGTCCTCGAACGTTTAAAAAACAAAAAACCAAGGAGGAAAAAAAGCTTCTCTTTCGAGGATTTAATATTATGGACGCCAATAATCCCATAAATTAAAAGGAATGCCGCCGTTTGTCAGCTTTTTGAATCCCTCAATCCCTCGATTACGCGGGCATCCCTTTTTATGGCGCAATAACGTGCCAAGGGAGCGACGAGGTGACGGAGGATCATCAGGCTGCGCTACTCAACCATCACAATCGAATGAGAGAAGTTCGAGGGGAGAAATGCCGGGCGTCTCGTACTAATATATAGCTTTTTTCTCGTGGCATATTGCGCAAATTACTCCGTTCTCAGCTCCTTGCCAACGAGAAGCCAGAGGGTTGATGAAACCACCTTCTCATCCGAAGATGCATGTCAAGTCACATTGGCTGTTTCCACATTCGTGTACCATTGCTGTGATGGTACGATGACAATGAGGCTGGCCCCTCCAGCACAGATTATCAATTTGGACCAAGCAAACTTCCACATTCGTTCCAGCCATGCGGTCATGCATCAGGCTGAGCCCCCGTGGCTGCCTCTCCTGGGCGTTGTCGAGGAAGTTTTTATGAGAGTGGAAGTCCTTTCCTACGCCTCATGGAGACTTTTCAGGTACAATCCAGCCAGCCATCAATCATGGGTGGGTTTTCCATGCCATTTATGTAGATGGCTTACCCTATCCACTATCACCAACACTAGTTGTGTAACAAATATCGGACAACGTATCGCCGTTTTGGATACCTACGGGAGATAAAATACAAGGACTGATGCGTATACCGAGTGCTGTGCAGACACGACGTGCTTGGCTATCCTCATCTACCATGCTGAAGGGTAAAAACATTGACTTCTCATTGATATCGGAGGGTAGGAGGAAGTCATTTCATAGTATTCGGGCGCCCCAGCCTAAGCCCTACCTGCTACTGAGCCCTGATCCAGCCTTATCCTGCCACCCTGCCCATGTCGACGCCGTGTCATATGGCGGTACAATCTATGACGCTCGATAGAGACAACATCTTTATGAAGCATCAATTACTTGACACTTAGCTCAAATATCGAACACGACTGGTGGGAAGGAGACCCAGTTCTGGTGAAATGACAGTGATCGGAGCTCTGTGCTGTGTGGTGTGGCATATGCAAAATGTAGTGCCCTTGACTCTCCAGGGATTGTCGCAGTACGAGGTACTCAGACAAGGTACATAGGTGGAAAGGGTTGAAATTAGTACTCGGTACTTGTAAAAGGCAGAGAAGCGCAGCTCACATGGGCACATGGGCCTTGTCCCTGCTCCACGTGACGCACCCACTAAGCCTCAATCGGGATCATTCGTCCGTCCCTTCAACTCGACCCTGTGATGCTTGCACCTCGAGTGGATGAAGTCACTCTCACCCACGCAACGGGATAACGTCGATGTTGATTGTTTTATGGCTTCACCACGCCTAATTCCGCAGTCCTGAGTCTGGCCCTCCAGACCGACAACGTTCTATCACCATGACTCGAGAAGAACCACTCCTCGCTCGGCCTGCCTCGCCCAACTCGTCGACCCACGGTATCGAAGAGGAAGACGCCCTCCTCACAGGCCAACCGACCAACCGATCCCCGGCCAAAAAGTATAGAAAATGGAGGGAAATCGGTCTCTTCGTCTGGGCCCTCCTTGCAACTGTGTCCGTCATCATTCTCGGTGTCATATATCAGCATGAATCCACGGTTGGCCGAGCTCGACCTCGGACGGGAGGTTGGGGTCCAGATGGGAAGCCATCTGGCAAGAGAAATATGATATTTATGGTCTCGGACGGCATGGGCCCAACCTCGCTGTCAATGACGCGGAGCTTTAGACAATACACGACCGGGCGGCCCATAGATGACGTTCTGATTCTTGACCGACACCACATCGGCTCCTCGAGGACGCGGAGCACCAGCAGCCTGGTTACCGACTCTGCCGCTGGCGCCACGGCCTTCTCATGCGGATTCAAGAGCTACAATGGTGCGATTTCGGTGCTACCAGATCACACTCCCTGCGGAACAGTCCTGGAGGCCGCCAAAAGAGCGGGATACATGACTGGACTGGTTGTGACTACGAGGATCACCGATGCCACTCCCGCCTGCTTTGCCTCCCATGCGAATCGAAGGGAATACGAAGATCTCATCGCCGAACAAATGATAGGTCACTATCCTTTGGGTCGCGTCGTGGATCTGATGATCGGTGGTGGACGATGTCATTTCCTGCCCAACACAACGGAGGGTTCGTGCCGGGCCGATGGCAAGGATATCGTGGCCATGGCCAGGGACAAGTTTGGCTTCACCTACGTTGACAACAAGAAAGACTTTGACAACCTGAACGCCGACGACTTGCAGTTGCCGTTGCTTGCCCTGATTGCCGACGGAGATGTCCCATACGAAATCGACAGAGTGCATGTGTCGGACGTTTACCCGAGCGAAGTTGAAATGGCCCGACTGGCACTCAAAGCCTTGTCGGCAGCGACCAAGGACTCCGACAAGGGGTTTTTCCTCATGATTGAAGGGTCAAGAATCGACCATGCAGGACATTTCAACGACCCAGGCGCGCAGGTGCGCGAGGTCTTGGCCCATGATGAGTCGTTCGGCGCCGTTCTCGACTTCCTCGAAGACGACAAGACCGAGGGCGTTCTTGTGTCCACATCCGACCATGAGACTGGCGGTCTCGCTGCAGCACGCCAGTTGCACGAAACATATCCGTCGTACCTGTGGTTCCCCGAAGTCCTGGCCAACGCAACACACTCTACCGAATATCTCGCACGCAAGTGGAGCGAGTACATCTCAGAAAGTGCTGATGCCTCGCGTACAGAAAAAGGGACTAAACTCCGCGATTTGGTCAGCTCCAACCTGGGCATATCAGACCTCTCCCAGGGCGAGATTGACGCCATCATTGACGCTTCGCCGATCTGGCCTCCTTTATACCACTTTTCTGACATCATCTCTCGCCGGGCACAAATTGGATGGTCTACACATGGCCATTCGGCGGCAGATGTGAATATCTACGCCTCACACCCGAGTCACGCTCCAGGGTTGGTGGGCAATCATGAGAACATAGAAGTGGGCGAGTTTATTGCCGAGTATCTGGACCTGGATCTGGGCGTGATTACGGCAGAGCTGAAAAGCAAAAAGGTCAAGACCTCAGTGGAGGGAGAGGTCGAGGGGGACTGGGGAGAGTGGATGGGTCCGCCTGGTCTGCCCGTCAACGAGGACGGAAGTTTGGTGGTACTAGATGCATACCACGGTGATTTCAAGCATCGGAAGCGCGAGGCCGAGGGAATTGCTGATTGTGGGTGTGGCATGAAGCACTGATAGGGAGTGCGTTTCTTTGTGTAACATCTGGCGTTGGGGGGGTTGCAAAGCGAAGAATGAGCTAGTATATGCCCCTTTGCAGAAACACGGGGCGATGGCGACGGCGTTGGAGAGGGCATTGTTGGTAAATACTACGATGGGGGTGATGAGCTACAGTAGATTGATATACCAGAAACCGACTGATTCAAAGCGCTGCAGACACAGAGAGACAGACAACCTGTACGTTGGTCCTTTTTCTCTGATCTATTTAAGCCCGTATATTCTCGATCGGCTTCGGGGGGAGGGGGGATATTATTATTCCTTGCGCTGTTCCTTATGTTAGTCTTTGGACCAATGCAGGTACCGAGGACCGAGTTCAAGGATCAAAAGTCAGAATCCCTGCGAGAGAAGAAGGATGACGGAGGAGGGGGGAGGTGGTAGGGAGGAAGGGTATGATGAAACTTTGTCTTAGCCATACCTTGCTAGATACCTACATATCCTATATCTTGTTCCTTTGTGCCTCATGTCGAGATGGTGGTAGTTAGGTATCGTTATAGTTATAAGTGGTCGCCGCAGTAGCAGTAGCAGTGACGCGTCTCCCTCCCCATCTTACTGTCACTCTCACCCTCCCCGCTATCTCTATCTCCATCTCTTCGTGCGTATGATAATTCACATCACATCATATCAAATCATATCGAGGATACCCACCCAGGATCCAGATCCGAGCAAGAAACGCATATTTCGGGTTCGAGTTGTGCGAGATCGAAACGCAGCATCCACCCATCCACCGCGCGGGGAACCCCAGCCACGCCCAGGCGCCCCAGCCAGGGATCCCCAGGGAAGCCAGGGGACGCCCAGGAACGCCTAGGAGTTTATTTTCTCGTCCCTCGTCCCTCGCATCGTACCCTCCCTATGTATATACATAGGTACATACCTACCCACTACGAGGTGCTGGAAAACCACACTATCACACTACCTCACCACCACACCACCATGCCACGCTACGCTACGCTACCTACGCTTCCACACATGCGTACACACAAAAGTACAAAAGTACAAAAGTACAGATTATATCGAACACTTTACCCACCCTGCCCCGAAAAGGTTCCTGCAAAAAAATGTGTATAGATAACCCTATCCTATCCTACACCGTGTGCGTGTACCTTGCTCGCGCGTATGGACTTATCATGGTTTTTTTCCTCTTTGCCAAAAAAAAAGTTATGGAGGACTGCTCAACTGGTTGATTAATTGACTGATTCACTGCTCGACCAAGAGATGAGGTGATGCGATGCGATGTGATGTGATCAATTCATTGGCATTCCTTGTGGGGAGACCTCTATACCCATGTTCTGGTTTCTTGTTCTGTTGTTTCTATCACCCACCAAACCAAAAAACAAAACAAAACGCTAAATGCTGGCAAAAGACGTATGTACGAAATAAAAAAGACAAGTTCTGTGAGTATGGCAGCCCCGAGGACCCGGGCGGCAGATGATTTCCATTACCTATTTTCTCCAGGGTTGATTTCAGATAAAAAACAAAGAGCTGCTAATGCGACATGATTGCTCTTCCCAGTAACAGTATGAGATGCGTTTCCCATTCCTCGTTCCTGTCGTTTCACACTACTCCATTCCTCCACTTCTATCTCTCCTCCTTGCCATCATCACTTAGTTCCTCGCCAGGCGGGCGGTGCCAGAGGGAGGAGGGCAGGTGCCGCCAATGTCGGCAACCCAGGCAGCAGAGTTGAACTCGGTGTGGATCTCGGCGAGTTGCCAGCCAGTGGGTCCAACGGTGGCATCGGATCCCTTCTGCACAGCCTTCAAGATCGTGATACCCTGCGATGGGTAGGTCTGTTGGCCAACGGCGCCGATCCATCGGAGAACGATGTAGCCGTCACAGGTCACAACATCAGTGCCGAGGAGAGTGAATCCGATGGCGGGCTGAGCGCCTTGACCGGCAATGTAGGCCTGGGCGCTGGGGAAGGTCGGGCCGCCGAGGGGAATGCCTGCGATGTAGTTGATCGAGTCCGAGGTATCGACAAGCTCAGGGGCGAGCAGGTTGGTGGCCACGTTGACGTCAAAGTTGGTGAGGGTCGAGATCCATTGCGTCTCAATGTCGATGGCAATGCTGTAGGGAATGCACGAGTCGCTGTCTCCGTACCCACGGGCGTTGAGAGCTGGGGCGGCAGAGGCCAGAGCGGCCAAGCTGACTGGAGCAATGATGCTGGAGAAACGCATGGTGTCTGCTGGGGGGAAATGAAAGGATTCTTTAGGGTGATTGGATTAATGCGGATTTGGTGATGCGATGCTGAGCGATAGTATTATATAGCTTTTTAGGACAACGAGTGACCTGTTCTGACTTGCAAAAAATGAAAGTGATTGTTCTGATGTGAGCTGAATTGATGATCCGAGAGAAAAGATTTCACCTCTCAGGGTGGGAGGCAAGTTCTCTTTAATGCAACAGCGTTGCAGGCCAAACCTGTAACTGCTCCGTTCAGTAATAGGTTGGCTGCCTTAACCTGCCTTCTGCCTTTTTTTGGGGCCTTCGATCATGTGGGATTAGGAATGCGATAGGAATAGAAGTGGCCAGGTGAACTAGGCTCTGTCGCTCCGCCCACTTGACTGGTCGACTTCCTCCACGCCCATGTTAGCAGCTTGGAACGGCCGCCGCTTCGTTCGGCGCACGTTTAGCTAGGTCCAGGTCCTTGCCTTGACTTCATCCTTGTCAGTCATCCTGCGCCCAACACTGACTTGATCGGAGACTCGGGAACCACCTTTGGACCAGATGCAGGAACAAACTGGATCACCAGTCTGAGGTGAGCATCCAATTGGGCATCGCAGTCTGTCAGCTCAGGCGAACATTAAACCGGATGAGGACAAGATGCAAAGGCCCTGAAGGATTTCTGCCGACCATGGGAAGGGAAAAGGACCAGAGGCTGCTGATGGCGGAGGCGCAGAGACTTCGAAGAGTGATCCCTAGGCCCATTCAAGCTACCACGCCGCCCAGCCCAGCCCACGCCTCAGCAACTTGTTACTATCCTCGGATACTAGTCCCTTGGTGTTGGTGGTATCATTGGCCAACCCCGCCTCTCTTTTCTGCTCGTTGGTGACCCAGAACCGATTACCTGTCAACATGGCCCACTGGTGACCTGGTGTCCACCTGCCTAGCCCATCGACCGACTCTTCTGCACCTTGGTTTCATGCTGTAAAAAGCTTAGTTGAACCCGTTGTTGAGCGAATCATGGAGAGGCCGAACCTCGTGTCAAAACGCACGTCAGCCCCGATAGCAGCTCCGTTTGTAGGAAGAGGCGCACTAAGGCGTGTACCGCCATTGGGTGTGGTGGGTGTAGAGGGCTTAGAGGAAGTTGGTGTATCGTCCTGGTTGGCGGACTTGAAGGTTGGCTTGCGGAGTCGAAGCCCTGAGGCTCGCCACCCTGCCGTGCCTGGTCCAGGTACCCGTGAGCTCTGAGTTCTCTGATACATCATCCAGGGCAATGTTTGCCCTGGCCCTACCAGTTGGAAGAACCCTGGAGTATGGGGTTTGATGATGTCGATTGTAATCTCGCCTAGAAAGTGGAGGGTAGGGAGACATGTCCCTCCAAACATGTCCAGGAGATTGTCAGGCACCAGTCATAGTAGGACGAAAAAGATCTACTCGTACAGGGACGGGAAGCACAAGATCCGGAGGGAGAAAGATTTGCAGATGTGGTGAACCTGCAGGGCCTGTGATGTGACACGGACGAGCCTCATGCAGCGGAGTTCGACAAAGTCGACCGACTAATTGAGTGAGTGACTTGATCCTCCACACAAATCCGTTTGCAGTCAACACCCGTCAATCAGCTTTGTCACTACCGAGCAACCATCGCGAACTGTCACCACGACGAGGTACTATTTACCAACACGGTGTAGTAGAGTCTGAAAGCAACAACCACCGACATCATCATCACATCCGACTCAGAGCTCGACTCGACCTCCTCCGCACACCTAGTCCTAGTTTGTCGTCTCTACCTGGCCCCCGTCCATCTCTACTTGGTACAGACGACCGAGGAACCTAGACAGGGCTGTTGCTCCCGCCTTCGACCCCCGTTTGACCCAGCCGATCGCGGAATTCGATGTCATTGCTATCACGCGGCGTTGAAACCTCGTCTCTCCCTTGCGGTTCTACAAGCCGAAAAATCAAGGACAAAAGCTGGATGCCGCCAAAACGGAGCTCACTTCTGAGGCTAATGCAGGCCATCTCATGGCCCCTCTACAGCTGAAGACCTTTTCCGCATCTTCCGTCCTTCGACACCTTCCCATTCCAATACGGATACAGCTCCACTGACGAAAACTTATGCCTGTCTGTGTGCTTCTAGACCGACTTTGAGAGGCCCCGTGAGGAGGAACTCGCCGGCCACGGCCACTGCTACCGAGGGAGGACATACAAGTACAACAATACATCGACTGACCAGCTTCCGCTCGGCGCTAAGCTGACGGCTGGGGAATATAACAGAGCCGAGCCTAAAAATGGTGGCGCGAGAGCCAAAGCCTGTGGGCGGTAGACACATCACACTCGCAGGCTGCCTTGATCGACATCTCTTTTCGTGTGAAGCTCCGCGCTCAGTCAACCCTGATACAACTAACGATTGGGAGTGTGTGGCTGCGACTGTCCGCTCTCTTCTCCTGGTGTAATCAGTCGAACGCTCTTTTTCGAATTGCTGTATGCTGACGTCCGTCCTCGACTACTGCCTCTTCTACCGGGTAAAGTCCGTTCGTCGCCGCTCTGAGTCGCGCGCTCCCCAGCCAAGCTGTTGCGGAGTGCCACTCGTGCCTTATCGACCGCAGGGCTAGGCGTCGCTCTCAGCAGATCTCGCTTGGTTGAGCCGCCTGTGCCATTCCCAGCTTTGGGGCCTCGAATCAGCTTGGCTTCATCCTCCCGTCTGACCTGCTGCTGCATGCGCTGTTCTCGTGTCAGCCCCGGACCGCAATCGCAACCGCAGCCTGATGTTGGACATCTCCCTTCACTGAAAGGTTGACTGAACCACTCCATTAGACAGTGGACATGTCCTGAATGTCCACATGCCTGGCAGAACATCCACATGTTTGCATTATGGCCCCAATGCTGCGACTGGGCTCCCAGATCCAGACCGGCGTGCTTCTCCACCATATCTCTGAGCGACTGGCAAATCGGGCAAACCGATCGAACTTGCCGACACCGTTCACACGATCCCTTCTCTCTCGTCAGCGGCCCTTGGCAGTTGCTACAGACAATGGACAGAGTCATTGAATCCCCATTGCCAAGACTGCCACCAGCCTGCTTACTGTCCGACGGTGACCGATAGACTCCTGGGTAATCAAACTCGACACACATTTTTCTCAGCAGTGCTGCCGATTCAAACAGACCCATCTGCCTTAAGAATGAAACGTGGCTCTCGAAGATGGCCTCGATTATCCGGTGTCCAAGGTGCGGCGTCATCAACCGATCGGCGAGGTTGTCTCCGATCTCATCTTGCGCTCGTCTCAACCTGCGAAAGTTTGCATGGAAAAAGTATGGGTGAACATGCATCAGCAGATGAGCCGCAAATTGCGCCTGGCCGATCCCGTTTTCCAGGTCGAAGGATATGCATTGGCATATCAACGGAAGCGATGACCACGCAAACGGTAATTTGGGCTCATACTTAGATAGGTCAATGGGCCGAAAATCTTGGTATAGGTACGTCTCATGGTCCAACTCTTCCATGGAGAGGCGGCTAAACGACCCGTTTCCCTGGCGTTGGTTGTCATTACCGGTCCTCTGGATTTTCGCCTCGCCTCGGATGGGATTCGACGTGTGTATCCGTGGCTTTGTCATCGAGACGCCCTCTTCAAAGAGAAAAATATCGGGCGATGACGATGCAGCCGTGTCCACATGCGAGGGTGGCAAAGATTCATGTTGTGGAATCGGATGCCATAAGCCTTTATCTTTCAGAGGTGATGCGGAGGGCTCGACTTGTGCATCATTGCCAAAGCTCATGTCAAGCGGGGTTTCGACAGCAGACACCCCCATATCGTTGTCGTCCGGCGTGGTGGGCCTCCCTTGTTCGGGACTGGGCCTCCTGCCATCATGGTCATCCGAACACGATAGTTCGTAGTCATCGTCCATGCTAGAGACGGCTTCCTTTGCCGACAGTGTCGTAGATGTCCTCACCCCTGAACGATGAGAGCCAAAGGACTGTTCAATTGACCTGGATCGATGCGAACTGTCCGTTGATACCGAAAACATCGGGAAACTTTCATCCGAGTCATGCCTACTTTGCGAGGCCACGTCTTTGGTTGATTCGGCCAAGGAGAATATGGGGCGAGCTTGGATGCGGTAATCGCGTAGTGCCGCTCGACGATCTTCCTGGCTCCAACTCTGCGTCCTCTTCTGCTCGATGAGAAACTCGGATCGGGGCCTCTTCACTGGTGAGACCGGCGAACCGGTTTGTGTTGAAAATTTCTTGGATGCTTCAGCAGATCTGAGTAGCTCGGGGGAAGCAGCATCTACGTCCATTGTGTGATTGGGAGAACCCATCAGAGCTCGAGCAGCTGCAGCTGCCGTGGAGTGTGAACTCAGGACCGAGGGAGGCAATGGTGCAATGTTATCCAGCCCTTCTTCATTGATTGGTATGGGCCGTCTCTTCAAGCTCGGCGGAGGTGAGTTTGGTAACGGTTTGGCCAACGGCGTCGTCATGTTCGACGTGCTGTCCGTCTCGGAGACCTGATGCGGCCGGTCGCCTGCACTGACACCCTTGAACAAACTACTGATGAGCTTCTGACTCTTGCTGTCCAACTTCGGGTTGAAACCCCTGGTAGGAAGTCCAGCCAGCGGAGAGAGACCAGGCCGGTGTCCTCCTGCTCGAAAACTCTCCAAAGTCTCACGTCTTCTCGCAGCGTCGGCTCGACGGCTAGCACGATTCCCATCCGCCCAATCCTTGATTTCTGGAACAATGACTGCTCCCAGAATGCGCCAAGATTGAGCCATACGGTGCATGGACACTGCGTCACAAGCAGCTGCGTTCTGGTCGAATGCGTTTTGCAGACGGCTGAGTATTGTGTCTGGAGACGACTTGTTGTCATCGGCTGTTGCAGGAACTGCGTAGTGAGAAGCCAGGTATTCAACCACTTGCGGCTCGGCTGCGACGCCAGGAATATAGCCACTCGCACCCACCTGATTGTTGTTAAACAGGTCTGGACGGTTGAAGATAGCGGCATCTAGAGGGAGCACAGACGGCTTATCCTCCGCTGACGACGGACTGTCTCCATGAAATTTGGTAGATCTCGAGGGCACGTTTACACCTTCGCGACGACGGATACTTGTCCCCACTGTTGATTCGAGTCCTCCCTCATCATCGGTAAGACTTCGGCTCGTCGGGCCATCGTCACCGCTGCTCAGTTTATCTGGCGGCACGTTCAAGAAGCCATCTGCTGCATTTTCCAAGAAAGACACTCGCGGGACGTCTCTTGCCTCGGAAAATGTGTAATATTCTCCATCTGGGAGGAACGTGGAGGTACATGAAGCAATTTGGTTATGGAAGGGTGATGTGTGTTTGATGTCCCATTGCGTGAAAATGCCCTCCTCACCCACCGTCCATAGCAGGTCCTCATCCGCCCATAGGAGATCATTAGGAGGCATGTTGTACCTGTCGAGTTCGCGAAACGGCAAGTGTGGGCGCCGGAGATCCCAGATGTGCAGCCGAGGATCGTCGTGATAGTATGAAACGGCGACCTGAGTGCTTTGCCAAAAGGCTGATTCGCCGGTTTCCGGCGCATTGCAGGCCGGCTTCCACCTGATATTCCTGATAGCGTGTGGCGCTTTGAGCTGAAAAACAGGCTTCTGGCGCTTTTTTTCGCTCTGAAAATCCCACACTCTGATGTACTTGTCGAACCCACCTGATACAAGGTGTCGGCCATCAGGGTGATAGTCAATAGAGTAACAGGCTTTTTCATGTGCATTAATACTCAGCTTCGGCGAGATGGGTACGCGAGCATCCCATTTCTGAACGACGCCCCCGTCCGCGCAGATCGCGAAATCAAACGGGTCAAACGGAGACCATCGGACGTCTCGGACAGCACTGCGCACCTCGAACCTGATGCGGGACTTGTCACGCTGAGGCTGTCGCAAGTCCCAAAGTCGGACCGACTTGTCTTGGCTGGCCGATAGCAAAAGATAGCCGGCATGAGGGTCAAAGTCTAACTTGTTGATCTGTCCCGTATGCTCATGGAGCCACGCCAACTCGGTCTTTGGGCTTGGGGCATTGAGGTCGTACAGCGCAATGCGACCATTCGTAGCTGCGGTCGCTATAATGTGCTCCCAGTGCCCTATCGACCATTTGACGTCTCTTGCCGGAAGGTATTCCCTCCGCTTCTCGGCTCTATCCAACTGCGAAGAGGAGTGGGTGGCAGCATAAGAGCTGATGGACGCCCGAATGTTCAGGTCTTCGGTGACCTTGCCATCGTGGACACGCACTGTTTTCAAGATCTCTTTCCCGGCCAAGACGGCATGCGTCTTCCGTTTATTGATATCGAGGGCGGCAATAGGGATGCCTGTTCGATGCGTGGCCGTCCGGGAGGAATGCGAGCTGCTGGTTGTAGTCAGTCAATACATCGACGACAACAACAGCGACGAAGCAAGCAGTCACTCATGCCTGTAGGTGTGTATGCCAGTGATTCGGCGCAGACCATCGTCATGGTCGCCCTGCACTGGGAGTCCATGCGACTTGGAACCACTATGCTTGCCCCAGGGAGCGATAATTCTCTGCAATTGGCCCAGACGGCCTGGCGGTAATGGAGGAGCCGGTGGAGGGGAAAGAAGATTTTGCGACTCGGAGGAAGCAGGATCAGACATGCTCTTCTGTTGACTCAACGATATCCGCGGATGTCCCGAATGTCGATGACGAGAGGGCTGCTGACGACAAAGGATGGGTCAGGCTCATGGCTGGCGGGTGCAGCCATCATTGGAGCGGATAACGAGCGCGAAAAGAACCTGCAGTGCTGCAAGGTGGCTGCAGGATGAGAAAGCGACGGCAGAGTTAGATGCAGCAAAGCGAGGGCAACCAAGAGGCATTGAGAGAATTGTAAGAACTGCTTAACATGGGGTGGTCGGGAGCGAGTGGGTGCAAGGCTGGAAGTGGAGTTTCCCATCGCAGAGCCTCAATTGGCTGGGCGGAAATGCTCTCTTTACACAAGCCTAGCCTGGACCTGGGGGGGGGGGGGGGGTGGCTCTTTGGAGTTTTCGGGGAAGCAAGCTTGTAGTTAAGTGTTGCTGCAGGCCACCTACCTAGCCACATAGCCTATTAGCATGGGTTGCATGGTGCCCAGCCAGCTAGGGCCAATGCCTAAGTTGTTACTTCCCGGGGGGGAAGGGCAGGTACAGTACCTAGGAGGTACCTACATACCTTCTCCCTAGATGAACAGATTACCGAGTACTTGTAGGTACTCTGGTTCCAGGGAATCATTGACTACTTAGGTGGGTAGTACAAATAGGTATGTGCTGTACCTCCAGGCATGCCTACAGCACAAAATGATGCCGGATAAATGATGCCTCTTAAGGTGTCTTGGGCCCCGTAACTTCCTCCTTTATTCTCCCATTGGGACATGGTATAGGTATCCAGTATAGCTGTCATGATTAGCTGCCCTACGTTAGGGAGCTTCTGAACAGGCCCCTCCAATACGGTTAAGACAAGTGCTTCCCCTTTCTCCTATAACCATTCTGTTGGTACAGAAGTAGAAACCTAAAGCTCCTTGCTGGTGCTTGTACATGGGCTTTTTCCACTCGGCCACAGACCGGGGCCCCTGCCGGAATGGAACCTCCCTAGGCCTGCTAGCTTAGCTACATGCCCACGACATCTGTGCTTCCTCGTAGGCGTGCCCCGGATTCCAGGGGCCTCGAGATCCGGACGAGTCGCCTGGACTTGGGCATGAAGATCCCGTCGCTGGTCTCCCCCCATTCGCGCGGCGAGAGGCTGCTAAGGTGCCAGTTGGCAGCGACTACTGTACCTACTAGATATTTCGACTTCGGATGCAGATTCTTGGATGCTCTGGCTGGCGGTGAGCGACTTTTGTTCTCATTTCCTCCTCATCGCCATCCACATCCCATATCCACCATCCACCATTTCCTTGCATTTGCTCTCCTGCGGCGCACATTTCCATGCTTCGGATGTCCAGCAAAAGCCTCGACTGATGTCTGATTCAACCTCGTCCCAAATCTAATCCAGCTTTCCCTTTCATCATCCGATACCCTACCTTGGTAGTCGATCGAGCTACTTACTACTGGTGGCTAGCGAGATCATTCTACCTCACCCTCACTTTCTCTCTCAGAGAGTTCCCCCCGTATCACCGGCCATGGATTTGTATATTTGCCTCAGCATCGTCCTTCGGGACCGCAGTCCTCCCCCTCTTCCTCCTCTGCCAGACAACATCAACATTTGTCAATTCAACCAGTTGCGAACTGCCCCTCTGTGTCTTCCCGTCACTTCAAATCGGGCTGCTTCTTCTTCTCGGGTCCTGCTTCATTGTCGACTTGGTCTGGGGTGACCTCTTTGTTTTCTTGTCTTACCAGACTGAAGACTTTTTCACCTCCATCTTCTTCTCAAGATCACACATTTGACATCTGACATTTGCAATCTTTCTGCGTCCTTGAGAGACGTACCACGTACTTGACGCTAGACACCGGCACGTCCTGCGCAGGTCCAGTGACATATTTTAGCTGCCACCCACTACTCCCCTCTTCCGCCTTCCCCTCGAGCTCCTCCACCAACGACAGCGCCAGACTGCGGTCCCCTAGAGCCTCAGTGCCTCCTTGGCCGGAAGACAAGTCCCCACCATCACCGCTACTATTGACTCCAACGCCCATCCACCTGAGCCGTTTGTCGGGCCCCATCTTCAGCAGAAAAAGGCACTCCAGGCTTGCCTACTTGTACTCAGCTCACGGGCCATTACGGGGACTATCACATCGGTCCAATCACGACTGCTGGTTGTCACGCGACAGGCGCAATTTGCAGAGCAAGAGGTGAACTTTGATGCGCCAGATCTATTACAAGCTGGCTTGAAAACCTTCCAGGCCCTTGCGAATTGCAAGCGGCCACCGAAGAGGGAAAAAGGACACGCTAAGACACCTACTACACACTACACACCACACCGTTCCCGCTATTGCACCAGACCAGACCACCAGACCACCAAAACCCCCCCGCCCCAGCTTTGTCGCCTCCCAGATCGCTCCGCCTGGCTCGATCGCCACCAACAGGCCAACTCGAGAACTTACGTCGTCATTTTTCACCACGCTTCTCATCTACACTCTTGCAAACATCACTTGCCAAACGACGACAATCGCTAACTTTCCCTCCTCAACACCTTTTCCTTTCGTTGTTGTAATTGTTCCTTTCGTCCCTCGCTCACACCCTTTGACGTCTGTTTTCTTTTTCCCAGCAAAAGAACCCGCCGTCTCTCAAATCGCCTTCCGGTCCTCCAACCCCGTTTTTCGTCGACCGAGGCACCAGAAACAAGCGGACTCCTCCGGCACTCTTTGGTGGAGGCGACAGCGAGGCCCTCAGGAATCCAGCAGACCCTGTATCGGTTCACCTGACAGAGGGCAAACCCTAATATTTCAGTTTCTTAATCCTGGGAGGCTTTCTCGATTTTTGTGTTTTTTGTTTCTTACGAACATCGTCGTCGCCGGTGAGGGATTGATTGGGTAAACATGCCCGCAGAGCCAGATTTGGGTGCGATTCAAGCCTCTCTGCGGGTCTTGAACGTGACTAAAACGACTTACCCCGCCATTCTACTCATCGTCTTTGTCGTCGCATTCGTCTATCATGGCATCAAGACTGCCCCTGATGACACAGGCAAGGTCAAAATTCATCCTATGCGAGGGCCTGGTGGGCGACCTCTCCCGATTCGAAGGAGATCCGCCAATCAAGTCAAGGAGGCCGCGGCAATCAAAGATCTGTCGCCTGCAGTCAAGACCGTTTTCAAGATCGGCCAGGCTGTTATTGTCTTGACCTTTTTGGGTAATGCGGCAATTCTGCTTTTCGAGACCTTGCTCAATCGAAAAGACGAATGGTGGCCCGGGAAGAACGCTGTGGTATGTTCGCGTCCGCTTAATACTCTCTCTCGCTCCGCAACTTACAACGTTAGATCTATGTTATTGCGTCAACATTCCTCTGGCTCGTGGTTTTCATCTCAATCTTAGATACGAAACCCTCCCCCAACTCCGCGCACTTCGTCACGTGGCTTTGCGCACTACCTCTGGAGGTCATTATCATCGCGGCTAGTCTCAGGATATATACCGCACCTCACTATGAACCTCGGGTGGGCAACCAGCAGGGAGGTAAGTATAGGGAGAAGATTACCGGATGGGAGTCGCTAGAAGTCGTGGTCAATCTTAGCCGACTTATTTTCCTCCTCGGCTTGTCAATGCTCTTCCTTGTCCTGAAGTTCAATTGGGGCAGACCCAAAGGGTTGGCTTCAGCCACCGAGGATGAGAGGAGACCTTTACTCGCCGCAGACGCTGAGGCTGGTGGACGACCAAACGGCCATGCTCGTCATGGCGATCCGCGAAACGCCCCATCATCAGAACCTAAGGAACAAGTTGACGCTTGGGCCAAGCCAACTGAGGTTCCAAATATCACCTGGTTTGCATATCTGAGGGGTTTCCTCTTGCTGATACCTTATCTTTGGCCCAAAAAGTCCTTCAAACTCCAACTTCTCGCCGGGTCCTGCTTCCTCATCATGATCAGCCAGCGAGTCATCAATGTTTTTGTCCCCGTCATGGTAGGCAAAATTACGGACGCCCTGTCCGGCGATGACGGCCGTGGAGTCCGGGCTCCTTGGTTGGATATCGCGTTGTACATTGTGTTCAGATGGCTTCAAGGTTCGCAGGGGATCCTGAGCGCAGCCAGATCGATTCTCTGGATTCCGGTGGAGCAATACTCTTACCGCGCCATTTCAACCGCCGCCTTCGAGCATGTGCATGGTCTCAGCGCCGAGTTTCACACCGGAAAGCGCACTGGCGAGTTGATTTCGGCCCTGAACAAGGGAAGTTCAATCAATTCATTCCTCGAAATGGTGACTTTCCAGGTTGGGCCGATGGTTTTTGATCTGGTGGTCGCGGTCGTGTACCTCACCATCAAGTTCGACGCCTACTTGGGCTTGGTTGTCGCCATTGTGACATTTCTCTACATCTATGTCACCATACGTCTTGCGTCGTGGCGAGTCACTCTGCGTCGAAACTACGTCAATGCTCAAAGAGAGATGGAAGCAGTGAAGAATGATTCTCTACACTCTTGGGACACGGTGAAATACTTCAACGCGGAAGATTACGAATTCAACCGGTACAGATCCTCGATCAAGCTCATGCAGAACTTTGAATACTGGGTGGATGTCACTCTGGCCTACATGAACACGGTGCAGGGCGCACTCTTCATGGTTGCTTTGCTGATCGCCAGTTTCATCGAAGCCTTCGAAGTTGCCCAGGGGGATCAGACTGTGGGCAACTTTGTGCTTCTGATAACCTACATGGCTCAGTTGCAGGGCCCTCTGAATTTCTTTGGGACGTTCTACAGGTCGATTCAATCAAACCTCATCAACGCCGAGAGAATGCTGGAACTCTTCAAAGAACAACCACATGTACTTGACCGAGAAGGTGCCGAAAAGTTGGAAGAATGCGCAGGGGATATCATATTCGACAACGTCAGCTTCAGTTACGACAAGCGAAGACCTGCCCTTGACCGACTGACTTTCCATTGTCCGCCTGGATCGACCACTGCGCTTGTTGGCGAATCTGGTGGGGGCAAAAGTACAGTTATGAGGCTAATTTTCCGCTACTACAACCCAGACTCGGGCCATATCAAGGTTGACGGCAGAGATGTCCAAGACATCACCATTGACTCACTGCGAAAATTCATCGGGGTGGTGCCTCAGGATTGTAACATGTTCAATGAATCCATCATGTACAACCTCCGATATGCCAACCAAAACGCCACAGATGACGAAATCTTCGAGGCCTGCAAGGCAGCCTCGATCCATGACCGCATCATGGAGTTTCCCAACGGCTACGAAACCAAAGTTGGTGAACGTGGCGTGCGTCTGTCTGGTGGAGAACGTCAACGCGTCGCCATAGCCCGAACGATACTCAAAAATCCCCGTATCACCATGCTTGACGAAGCCACTGCGGCCCTGGATACGGAGACGGAGGAGAAGATTCAAGAATCCTTCAACACCCTCGCGGAAGGACGGACGATGATTATCATTGCCCACCGACTGAGCACCATCGTAAACGCCAACCAGATTCTGGTACTTTCCCATGGAACCGTGGTCGAAAGTGGTACACACGAAGAACTCATCGCTCTGGGCGGAAAATATGCAAGCATGTGGCGGAAGCAGTCAAGGGCGCAGAAGGCTGCCGCCGAAGCTGCCGAGCTAAGGACTCGGGCGAAGAAGGCATTAGAAGATGCGGAGGCTGACAGTGCTAGCGTCAGTGAAGAGGAGGTCGAGCAATCGAAGAAGCGCGACAAAGGTCAATGGACCAAGGGCCACAAGAGGGTTAATTTTAGTGAAAGCAGTCATCTGCGGGCAAACTGGACAGTGGATGAGCATGATCGAGACGGCGACGATCGATCAGATACGTCCCAGACGGGACATGGGGATACCGTGCACGGTCACTCGGGAAAACCCCCAGGACATCCTTGAGATGAAACGATCTTATGCTTGAATTTACCACTTGACCTGTTGCGAGCTGGAAACGGTCAGCTCGACACCTGCCCAACCACGTGCGGCTATACATGATATTCGGGTCTTTGGGAGGGCGGTTCTATCTGTTTATTCTTTGTGGATTGTTTTTGCAAACGAGTGTTACACAGTTGTGATCGGACGACCAAAATAACGCCAGCCACACGAGGGTTTCACAACGGACTAGGAGTTGGAGAGTGCGCTCTAACACGGTACAAAAGTCCTTTGCTACTCCTTTTTTCCCTTCTTTTGTTCAGATATTCTAGGGCTGTCAAGATCTTCATCTCGCTCACGCAAGCAATATACGAAAAGAAGCCGGAGCTTCGTGGCCTTGAGGTGCATGCAATGACAGGAAGGGGACGAGGGTCTTGCGTGGGATCTGTCATCTCTTTCCCTCCGTGTGTGTGATCGAGAGAGTGAGGCAGCGAGAGTGAGAAAGACAGAGAGAGAATGTCGGTGCTTGTGCTTGTGCTTGTGCTTTTGTGGGCTTTTGCATCGTCTCTCCACCTCAGCGATCGAAACAGTGTACTCTACACTACACAGACCAGACAGATTGGACACATGAAAAGGCCATATAATAGATGATGAGAGTTTGTAATAGACAACTCTTGCTCTCCTGCTCCCCACCCACATCTTTTCCTCGGTCGACGGGTAGTAGTAGTAAGTATCCTGAACTTCATCCCTGGTCCAGCAGACATGAGCGAGGGTGAGGACGACCCAAGTCAAAACCGGCGTTTCTTCTTCGCCCCATCCGTGGCTGCGATGGTGCGCTTGAGTTCCATCCGGCGTCGGCTCGCGGCTTCTTCGGGCGTTTCTTCTTCCTTCTTGTTCGTCTTTGGCTCGATCGCTGGCTTTGTGCGTGTTGAGGCTGGTAGGGGAGGTGGTGGTGAGTGGTCCTGGCGCTGGCGTCTGGTGGTAGTAGCGAGGGCGGGGTTGCGGGACCGGGACGAGGACGCAGCGGACGGCGATGGAGACGGAGAGCGAGATGCGGAGGGTGACTGCGTATGTGTTGCGTCTTTGCCCTGCGCTCGCGGGGACGGTGATGTAGTTGTGTCGTGTGCCCTTTTGCGGAGACCGCCCAGGCGACCTGGCTTCCTTTTCGCAGGGGACTCGGTGCGGGTGCTGTCTGGGGTATACTTGCCCTTGGATGTATCTGGCGATGGCGGCGTCGCTTGTTTCTTTCCTATCCCCCCTCCCCCTCCTCCTCCTCCCCCCAGCCGGCCTAGACGACGTCGTTCATGTGCTGGTGTCGAGGGTTTCGCTTTGGCAGGAGGTGGAGATGAGGACGCGGTTGACGATGTGTCGTTTAGATCGTCATTTTCCACTTCCTCTTCCTCTTCTTCTTCTTCTCCCCCTGCCTCGGGTGTCTTCGATGCACGCGCGGCGACACGTAAATTGTGAGAAGGGGTTTCTTGCTCGGCGGCTCTTCCTGTAGAAGAGGTAGATGACCCCGGCCGCGCCGCTGGTGCTGGCGGTGAGGGGGAACCAGAAATCTTTCTGGATCGTAGTGTGCCGAGCTTGGGCTTTTGCGACGAGTGACTGCCCTTACTACGTGATGCAACGGGTGCTTGGGACCTTTGGTCGGCAGCATCATCCTCGTCCGAAGCTGTCGCCGTGGACGTCGACACCGTAGAAACCCGACGATTTGACGTTGACTTGTTCTCAACAGCGTCCACAGGGCTCGGTGAGCGCTTTGAGGCGCCAAAAGCTTTTGTGGCATTGCGTCGACCTAGACCACCGATTGTCGCGGGCTGTGCTCGTTTGGGGACTGGTTCATCCTCCTCGGTCTCCTCGTCCTCTGTGTTTTCACGTGTCGTCTTCTTAGGAACATCCTTAGATTTCAGGTGTGGTGGGGTCGCTTGACGCTGTAGACATGTCAGTGGTGGGAGGTTCTTTGCGTATAGTCAAACGTCTCACCTCGAATTCGTCGTCTGTGGATTCATCGTCTCTACCCGACTCTTTTCTTGCATCTTTTGTGGCCTTCGTTGATGGTGGCACAGACTGGTCCCTGCTTGCATGATCATTTTGATCTGGTTTCTCCGTGGAAGGCAGATCTTTCACCCAGCTTTCATGCTCGGCTTTACTGTGCGCGAAGCATTTCTCACAGCCCCGGACGAGGTTGCTCAGCCCAGTCCGGTCAGCGCCCTCGTACCCCTCGTCGTTGGCGAACTGTCTCGTCCACGACTTCTCGTCGAAACTCGTCATCCCGGGGACGTGCTTCTTTGCGTCCGCGACAGACACATGGCCGCCCTTGCGGGACGCAAAGCCCGCGATACCGGGGAAGACCAAGCTCAAGTCCACGGCAGAGTTACCAACTCTGTCGAGCAGGCGTGAGATGATGTGGTCCTTGTCCTTGATGATTCCGAGCAGAGAGTTTATTTTGGTTTGGGAGACGAAGACCTCGTGCAAGCTAGGCCGAAGGACGCGTTCTGCCAGCTCGGAAGCTCGCTGCGGCTCGAGGGTGAAGGTCCACTCAAGGGGCCGGAGTGGACGGGGTAGATCTTTCCTTGTCCGCAGCAGCAGCGTCTGCGAGTTTGCACGGCCGCCGCGAATCAGGGAGTTCGCGCCATCCCCGAGACTTTTGCGGATCTTGGAGAGCAGGACAGCGAACTGGTCCGATGAGACGGATGGGTCGATGCTCGTCTGTTGTCGGGCTGCTGCCGCAAGGATGTCATACTTGTCAAGCGAACACTCCCAGATAGAGATCAGGTCGGTGAGGAGGAGGGTGAGTGACTGTTCTTCCGTAGAGAAGGAGTAGAATAGCTTGGGGCACTGTCGTCGAGATGTGGTCTGTAGTTCTTGCCAGCCTTCATTGGTGGTATCGGGCATTGTATCACATAATCTGTTCACATGCTGCCCCCGAAGAATATTTTGGGCCAACAAGCTTCTGCTGCAGCCTTTCTCGTCTACACAAATGCCAACTTCAGCAGTTGACGTCGTTCGACGTCGAAGCCAAATTCAGGAAGAGGGAAGAGGAAAGAGAGCCAATCAGGACAGGTCTTGGCAAGTCTTGGCAGCCTGACAGCGACAACAGCTTCGACGTCGTCAGCATGCATCGTTTGGGCTATATTGCTACTATGTATGGTAGCTGCCCGCTCATTTGCCGCCGACCTTGGCTGGCTCAGCCGAGTCGTCTCAAGGCTGCTCAGGTCGGCGGCTAAGTGCTAGTACCTAACAATTCATCCTGTACAGGGCAAACACACAATGGCTTGTTGCTGGTCATCGGCTTTGTGTGACTCCAGCCAAGTTCTCAATGTGTGACAAGGTGAGCAGTGTTGGAACACCTAACCCCCAATCAAGCCCAAGCAAGGCCAGGTATATCATATTCGTTATTGATGGCGTCATTGACCCAGTCGTCCTGGGTCATTGTATGTCGTTGCCTCTCTCTCGACCTCTATTTACTTGACTAACAGCGATATCGTGAGCTGGTTCGCTCCGAATCACAGCCAAGGGTAGCGGCTGCTCACCGATCACCATGCCGCAAAAGCATTCTGAGAATGTCGTTGTCAGTGAAATCAAAGACTTCCAGCGCTTTCGCCATATACACTGGCGAGCACCAACTGTTATGGGCGTTGGTTTTCTGGGCGGCGTTATCCTCATGGCAGCCCACCACGCCCTCTACCAGAGCCTGAGCGGGAACCCTGCGGACAGCGCTCTGCTGCAGCTATGGGCGATTCGTGCAGGCACAGCGCTCGCCTTCCTCTCTAAGCTGTGTCTAGCGATCGCGACGGGAGTTGCGTATGATCAGTGGATGTGGGTCAAGCTGCATGCGAAGCCGCACGAGATTGGCGTTCTGGACTCGATGTTTGCAATCCCGGGCAATGCTTTCGAGTTCCTGGCTGTGCGCATCTGGTGGCGACGTCCTGTCCTTACCTTTTTGGCAGCCATCACTTGGTGAGGATACCTGCTTCACGCGACAAGATCGAATCTGACTCGTCCAGGCTCCTCCCCATTTCTGCTATCATCACTCCAGGTACACTGTCTGTCCAGCCTGTTTTGGTCTCTGAAACCGGCGATTTAGTCGTCCCTCAGCGGTCCTTCACAATTGACGGCAATATGTTCTGCGGCGTGATAACCGACGGCAACACAACATCTTATGCTTCGATGTCCACAGGCCTATCCAATCCGACATTTGCCACGGTCCTTTCCAACCGCGTTCTTCCCCTCCAGTCGTCCAGCACAAACCTAACCTTCAACCTTCAATTCTTTGGCCCCGCTGTCAGTTGCGATATGTCGAGTGATGAAGAATTTTCATGGGCGAAAAAGGCTATACTCGAGTACGAGGAGATGACCAGCACGAGAGTATTTTACTTTGGCTGGGCACCTCAACCTGGATGGGGACCCGACGTGAATGGCTCATTCTTCGCATCCACGGACTTACAGATCGGGAACAATCGACTGGATTTTGTATCCAAGGACGCGGCTCGTGTGTTTATCTATCTCAACACAACGGGTGTCGACGAGACCGGCGACCGAATCCAAGACGTCATCAACAAGGCAGAGGCCCAAATGATGACCTGTACGTTGTACAATGCGTCTTACGACACGCAATTCGAGGTCAAGAGCACTGGAGCACAATTCGTCACCGCCTCGTTGAAGCTCGAGGCTTGGATGCCTGCCCTCAGCTCAATGGAGGGTACGCCGCAAGACGCGCGTGTCCATCAACAGATGAATATGCAAGCCGTCATGGAATCTTTTGTCATGATGATCGGTGGGCCCATCACATACTCCAGAGACATCTCCTTCCCGACGATCAACTCTGTCTACGCTCTCGGGATGAACCAGGCCTTGTTCTCCGCGCAGCCAGGCCTGAACCAAACGGCCCTGACGCTCCGTCAAGCCAGGCGGAATGAGATGCTGTTTCAGAACATTACGCTGAGTATGCGGTACGGTGTCGTCTCGGGGTAAGTCCTTTTCACATGCGTCACGTCAGCTTTTGATTGCCATAGGGAAACTCTTCTCATTCCTGCTCTCTGATATCTGGCCAACTGACTGACATGAAAAACCAGATCCACCGGCAACGACCAAACGACAGCCACGGCGCTGCGCCAAAGATTCGAATCACAGTTCGTGTACGACCCGCGTGCGCTCCTCGCGGCGTACGGTCTGAGCGCACTCTTCGCCCTAGCCTGTGTCCTGCTAGGCGTGCACGCGCTGCTCCACAACGGCGCCTCGTACACCAGCTCCTTCTCCACCATCGTCAGAGTCACCCGCGACCCGGCTCTCTCGAGACTGATCGCCGACGAGGGCGATCTTCAAGGCGCCGAGCCCGTGCCGAAACATATTCGCAGGGCGGAGGTGCGGCTGGGGAGGAGCGCGAGGTCGGTGACGGCGGCGCCGAGCTCCTCGTCTAGCTGGATTTGAAGGGATTGTCCACTATAGAACGGAGTTTCCGTGGTATTACCAAACATTCAACGGTGAAAAGGGCAAGGTTCATTTTTGTTTGTGTGTGTGTGATATATAAATATATATAAAATATCCCCGCGTATTTGGTGGGCTTTGGCTAGATCCCCAGGTCTGGTGGCGGTATGTAGAAATCCCCGAGCTCGTTAAACAGCGAGTCCCAATCGATCAGGTCGCCGCCCGAGTATTCGAAAGAGAGGTTTTCCGGGAACGGTGGGGCGCCGAACTCGCTGGAAGGTTGGGCGCGATCGCTCGCGGCAGCAAGACGTTCACTGAGAGATTGCGCGGGCTTCTCTAGCCCGAACTGCTCCTTCAGCCGTCTGATGGTGTCCCACATGATGCTAGATGCCATTCTCGACTTGGTCCTCAGCGCGAAGCCGTTGCCCTCCCGCTTTAACGGATGTTGGCTGAGGTAGGAGATAGTGGTGCACGTTCGCGTCAGGTAGTCATGCTCCGTGACGGTGCAGGCGTGCAACGTGTTCCACGCCTGGCCAATTGCCTTTCTGGTGGCGGCGAGGTCGACCAGCGGGTGCTCGCTGTCTCGAAGCATCAGGAGGAAAAAGGTCGCAGCGATGAGCGATTCCTTCGTGTGCACGCTCCAGGAGATGATTTCGTCTTCGGCGTTATTGGCTATGTTGATAAGCTTCAACCCTGTCGCAAGAGCCGGGCCAATGAACTCATCCACGTTAGAGTGTCGGCCGTTTTCAGTCGTCGTGTTTGAGGAGGTGATTGCGTAGATATACAGGTTCAGCTTCGATCCGAGGAACAGAACCTCTTCGTGCGGCGACCACAAAACCCCGTGTGTCGATTCCATGAGCGAAAATTCCTTCTCAAACATGTGGATGGCCGAAATCGAGCTCTGGAGGACACCTGCCGGACTGAGGTCGGAATTGCCTAAGGTAGTATTCGTTCGGTATGAAAGATATGCGATCTGGAGTTGTTGCTTCAGCCGCAAGGGAATAGCGGGAGAGGGCGAAGACAACGCTTCGAGGATGGTATGGTCGATGGGTGTGGTGCAAGGAACTCCGATTCGACGACTCGCCCTGATCGCAGAACATTAGTGGACGATCGAAAAGGTCGGGGACAACATACATCTCATTAACGATGAAGCAGGCAACCCATGCTTTCCTTCTGGGAACAATGGCGTCTTCATCGAATTTGGAGCCGTAGATAAAATCATTGCTATATTCCGGTCGATGTAAACCTATCTGGAGGGCGGCATGGGTGGCAATCCCACTATAAGTCCACGACAGGTCGGTCCAGCTTCTGTCATCGCCTCCTGCCCAGGTGCAGAGGAGCAACAGAGCTTGAATCATTTCAACTGAACGATTTGCGAGGTATTCGGGACTGAGGACAAGCCTCTTTAGCGGCTGGCTGAGCTGGGAGTACAAGCTGGCATGCTGGCGGCATTTCGCAGCGACCAGGATAATGCTCCAGAACAGAGGAGGCCATTTCTTGGAAGACCTCAACGTGACCGAGGGTGCGGACAGTATGGGAAATCGAGGATGGTGATGGACGTAGTATCTTTATGACAGTGTCAGAGTGCGACGCCGCAAGACTTCACCACGAAACTCACCGCTCAAACAGCTCAACGATGGTATCGGGATGAATAGTCATGTTTTCCAGGGTCACTGATTCGAGTTCTCCGGCAAAGCTCGCGAAGGGGAAAGTCGCAAAGTCCTCCTCACCTCCAGGTAGGCGTGCCTGTGGCTCGGTCGACGCGCGGTCAGAAGCAGACGGCGCATGTTCTAGTTTCTGTTTCGCCTGGAGAAGCTCCTCTTCCAGTCTCTCAATGCGCCTTGAATCAAGTCAGGAATTTCCATCTAGAGGACGCGTTTGACTTACTCCTGTCGCTTCTCGCGCCGGAAGGAAGAGTCGATCAGACATCGTGACCCAGTTCTACTACATCTGCTGCAGGGAGCAGGGAAAGTCTGACTGGAGTCACATTTCAACTGCGCGAGAGGTCAATGACTTAGTCGCATATTGAAGGGTACTTGGAGGACAAGCCGCACTAGACAGCAACGCGTTGTGTGCTCAGCCTACCTTCAACTGGCGGCATTGAGTGCATGCCGGGCCTTTGTTTCGAGATTTGTGGATCTTGTCCACGGTCTGCATGATGAAAACTCAGCCGTATGACGGGAGAGCCGCCAAGGCATTTCGGTAAACTGGAAGCAGACGAGCCAACAGGAACATCTCATATGGTAGATGTTGCTCTGTATAGAGAGAAAAAGATGGTGCGAGCTTGAAGTGTGTCACGTCTTCCAACCTCGTCGAATCCAATTCTGCCGAAGTTTAGCCACTGAGTTGCGCCTTGCCCGCTGCCCGCCTCTTTTTTTACTCAACAGGCAGGAAACCTTACAGAGATCACACTTTGCACTCTTTCCACGACAAATCAAGGCTCAAGACACGACTATGACCGACGTCCAGCAGGCCTACAAGCGAAAGCGATCCCAATCCCCTCCACCCTGGCGGCGGGGTGATGACAGCAGACAGTATCGAGAACGAGATGCTCCCAGAGGAGGGCGAAACCATGGCCAGCCTCAGCGATGGTCCCACAAGGACCAAATGAGAATCAATCAGATGCAAGAAGATGAGCGCATGAGAGAGTGGGTTGCGCAAGAGGATGATTTCGTTCTCAAGCAGGCTAAGAAGAAGGCAGACATCCGAGTCAAGGAAGGGCGAGCGAAACCCATCGACTGGTTGGCAGTAACCCTCCGTGTGGTCGACCCTACCCGCAGTCCGTTGGATGATGAGGTTGAGGAGAAAGACCTGGACTTTGTGGACCCGGACAGCGTCTTTGACGGACTCTCTGAAAGCCAACTTTCCGAGCTGCGCCGGGATATTGAGACATACATGAATCTGGAAAAAAACAGGAAGAATAGGGACTATTGGCAGACCATGCAAATCATCTGCAAGGACCGGCAGAAGAAGCTACGTGCGTCAGGCCCGGAGGGAAGAGCAATGAGCTCCGTGGCGTCCGACATAGACAAGCTTTTGGGTCCCAAGTCATACGAGCAGCTGGAGGTATTGGAGGGACAAATAAGAACCAAGCTGGACTCGGACGAGCCCATAGATACCGACTACTGGCAGCAGCTCTTGGATAGCTTGCTTGTTTGGAAGGCAAAGGCAAAGCTCAAAAGAGTCTGTCAGGACGTTCTCGAGTCGCGCTTGAAGAATCTGAAGCAGGAGAACGAGCAGAAAGCACTCTTGGTCCAGCAACAACTTCAGAATGCTGGAGTCGAGCCCGCAGTCTCTCCTCAACACTCGAAGGAGGTGGATCCAGACCCGTTGTTGGAGATTCCGACAAAGGACAAAGGCCTGGAAGTCCAGGACGAGAAGACGTTTCTTCAAAATGTGGCAGCAAGCAGAAGGAAAATCGTGCATATGGGCTACGTGCCGGCCCCCAAAGCAGGTGCCAGTACGGCCTCGACGATCTCGACCTCACTACAGCCTCGACCAACGGCGCAGCCATCCAAAACCGTGGATCCCACCAGTCGATTTGACCGCTCGACAGAAGATGTATCCTCGACAACAAAAGCCCTCTTTGACCGCGAAGTCGCCAGAGGCGTCAACGAGAACGAGGAGATTTTTGCCGGCGAGGAAGAGACGTCGTCCGAATCCAAGCCGCTCTGGATGCAGGAGTACGGGGGCAAATATCGGCCGCGCAAACCGAAATACTTCAACCGTGTCCAGATGGGGTACGAATGGAACAAGTACAACCAAACCCACTACGATCACGACAACCCTCCACCGAAAGTTGTCCAGGGTTACAAATTTCACATCTTCTATCCGGATCTGATCGATCCTACAAAAGCCCCCACGTATAAGATCATCCGAGAAGGAGGCCGAAAGAAGGGCCAAACGATGGCACCTGCGGGCGAAGAAGATACCTGTATCATCCGGTTTATGAGCGGGCCGCCTTATGAGGATATTGCGTTCCGAATTGTGGACCGAGACTGGGATTATAGCTCGAAACACGACCGAGGGTTCAAGAGCACGTTCGAAAAGGGGGTATTGACGCTGCATTTCACCTTTAAGCGGGTAGTGTATCGGAAGTGACGAGATATCGTGGTGTGTGTCAGCAGAGATACAGAGCTTTACGCAGATTGCCAGGGGCCATTATTTGCTCGAGACGGAGCTGAAGGAGCTGACGGAGCTGACGAGGCTGAAGACTGTCGGTGTGCCTGATGTGAGGGCCTTTGTATTACGTGTCAAGAAGAGTCACGTTCGTCGGATTCTCTCGACCTGGCCCCCTATTGATGTGACGAGGATACGCAGCGATTTTCTGATAAAGTGATCAATCAAGCAAAGGGTTCATGATTGCCTGCCTGACCCATTGATGACCAACACACAATACACGCCCTCCGAGATCTGTCAGATCTGTCATACTGCATGTTGTGTTGTCTACTACCTATTACCTAGTCTCTAGTCTCTAGTCACTCCGTCTATCCGTCCCTCCTTTCCCTCCTCGGCCCATCTATCTACTCGTACCTCTCGAGGAAAAGGAGGGGGAGAGGGGATGGGTGGCCCAACAGAGTAGTGTGTGAGAGGTGAGGGAGCGAGAGAAGCGAGACGCCGGCCGGCATCCCACGGAATTCAGATATCGATGGTTTTGACTCCGACATGCACGAGGCCGTGTCTGTCTCTGTAATCCCGCGTGGCCCCCTCATTATTCACTCCTCTCTACCTCCTCTACCTGAACTACCTGAGATACAAGACTACCTGTTCAAGGGACTCTTGGTACTCTTGGTGCTGTAGATACCTGCTGCGCCACCGCACTACCAACCAACCATGCAGTGTCGATCCGTCGATCCCATGACGTCGAGTAATTGCGGTACCAAGCACCTACTACCAAGGACAAAGAATCAAGTATCAAAGTGTCAAGGTTCTAACAGTCGAACGGGCGAGGGGGACGATAGTGTCGCGCGTGCTGCCTTACCACTGTAATAGATGGATGGATAACTAGACCTGCTCAATAGAACGTGGGCAATTGGGATAGAAAAACGTGTTTGGTCTCATTATGTCTAGGGTCTTTTTGCCAAACATTCCCCTCCCCAAAAATGAATGCCACGCTCGACGTCAACTCTTCACCCTCAAAAACTCCCGCTGTGTAGTGTGTCTCAAATGCTAAGAGGGATATCCAATGCAGCAACGCTTCAACGAGAAACCAGTCGTCCACAAAATAAGGGATTTTGAAGTACATGTCCGCCATTTTTGAGGCCAGACTCATCAGACCCATATGCGCTCACCATTCCATTAAATATAGTCAATAGAAATAGTAGTACAGATGCACCTGGAGAGCAATCTCATGGTTCTGGATCCGGAGCCTGCTCTTTTGTTGTCTCGCGGTCGGAGTCCGTGGGCTCGAGTTTCTTTTCGTCGTGATGCTTGTCGCCAGGCTCGATGCCACAGTCTTCTTCCCAGGTCACGGTTTCTTTGTGCATGTCTCGTCGAACCCATGGAATGGTGATGCCCACCCAGATGGCCACCCAGACGAAGGGGACACCCCAGCCTAAAGCCCACATCAGTTACGTCCTTCCTTGACCATGTTCTTGGGACAGAACTTACCAATACCATAACCCACGTCTTTGGGTACGGGGTGGATGCACACCACCACGATGCACCCAATCGACATCAAAAGTCCCGGAATGGACCAGAACAGAGACTGGACCAAGATCATCCTCCGAAACCGTGGACTTGCTCTATACCGCGCAGCCAAGGCTTCGCGGAAAGGCCTGCCGGCGTTGGCGTTAACCGCGACGACATCCTCGATCAGGTAGTACGCTCCAGGGTACACAGCGGCGCCCTTCTCGGTAGAGCTGATCCGGAAAGGCGCCTTGGTGTGCGTAAGGTTGAACATGGTAAGGATGAATACACAACCTGTGATGCAAAAGAGAAGCGCTGGGGCGGGCAACGAAAGAACGCGCAACCAAACAATGTGAGGCGCACTGCCGACAATGAGCAGCGCGGTCACGACGGTGATGGTCAGGACAGAAATCCAGTTGGTGATGTCGAAGGCCCATCGATTCGAGGTCCCCAGAGGTCGAAAGAAGTTCTCCTTCTTAAACAACCGCCAGGTCCTGACGGCGAACTCGACGTATGTAGGCCCACCCCAGATAGTGGCCACGACTGCGAAAACTATCGAGGTTGTGTTAGCCAGGGCTTCACAAAAGGTCCTGCAGAGAATCCGGGACTTACTTATCCAACCCTCAACGTGTCCCGCGAATTTCATGGTATAGAATAAGACAATGGGAATGATACAGGCGTCCACAATGATTGTAAATATCGTCAAGAACAGTTTCCATCGCCGCCACCCGTGTCTCCAGGTAAAAGGTAGTTGTGGCAGAAGCGTGGGATGTTGAGTATAGTAGTCCTGTAGTGTACTCGCTCGCCTTCGGAATTCTCGCTTGGTCGCAGCACGACTGTCATAGTATGCGTCTCTTTCAGGCTCTGCTTTGCGCTCTTTTCTTGCTTGTTCTCGGCTCTTTCTTCGCTCCGTGGCAGACATAGTACTGAGCCCGGTATCAACGGCTCTCAGACCCGGTGTCGGAGTCTCTTCTCGCTCGAGTTCAGGGTTATCGGTTCCAAAGTGAACACCGCGTGCTTCTCGCAGAGGAGAGGTGGGAATCGCTCCATCATGTGACGCCTGTCGACTGGGGTCTATCTGAAAACTGGCACGACTGCCCCGAACAACTTCCGGCATGGCGGCGAATTATTCTTTGATAGAATAGAGAGGTCCAGAGGAAGATAGAGAAGAGAAGGTGGTTCACAAACAATGCCGGTGGGAAGGAAGGGAATGGTGTATGTTTGGCTCTTCCCCGGCGAGGAGAAGCAGAGGAGGCTTAGGAAGGTCGCGGAAAGAGATTGAATGCTTCCGTCATTCAGCGTAAGTGAGTGGAGAGGTGGTATGTAAGGGTACTGCCACCGACGGGCTTAGTACTCAGACCAAGAAACGCACTTGAGTGATTGAGACAATGGAGTGTATCTAATTGGCATTTCCCTGAACTGGATTTCGTTCTGGGCATCACGGCTTGTGACGGCACGAGATGGGCAGTTGGAGAGGACCGAGTACAGTAAGCAAAGTCAGCTCGCGTTGACTGACGTCGACTGGCCTGGCTGGCCCCTCTTGGCGGATGAAGTCCCTAGTAGATTGGTTGGGAGGTTGCAATCAGCTGGGTGGCCCGGAAGAAAGGCTCCCGGGCATCGTGGCCTCAAGCAACGGTTGCGGCCATAAGGCCAAACATAAAAAGTGCACTGCCTGACTCTTCGGGCTCAGTGCTTGACAGTACTATCTACGGCAGACCATGCAGCACCCATATGTACCTCGTATAACTGCCTGCAAATCTCTCCTCCGTTCTCAATTAGATTCCATTGCCTTGAAGAACAAATCTCGCCCTCTTTTCACGGAATTATGACTCCTCAATAACTACTGCCAGGCACTGGCAAATATATACATGTGGAGGCACCAGCAGTAGGCATCTGGGTGTCTTTTGAACGCACCCGTGGCTCTGGCACCCCTGGGTTGTGACTTTTGAAAGTACTTTCTGTCAGACAGGGCCACCACCACCTTTTCTCTCACACCAGATATTTTGTCAGGACACCGACCTTGTTCATGTCGTTGGTGCCGTAACTCAGTCAGTCCAATTATCATCAGTGCCTAGACACAGAGAACTGTCCCGCCACCACAGTATACCTTCATATTGGAAGCTGACAAGCCAGGAAGCTTTTGAGCACCGAGCTCGCCCTGAGTGAGGGAGACTTAAGCCTTCTGCCTAATTTCTGTACGGCAAACTTTTGGCTCCAGTCCTCCTCCGGGTACGTGGTTTTATTCTGGAACTTCTAGAACAGAAAACACTTTCATACCCACGAGGAGGTGAAGCAGACATCCTTCATGCGTCGACTACAGACATGATCAAGATCGGACATGAGAGCGATACGCCTGAATATCCAGCGGGCTGGGGTCTAACCTATTGATCAACTATCCCATCTCGCAGTTCCTTACCACGAAACCCATGGATCCCACTGTCTGGCAGCCTTGCCCCTAGACCAATCTTAGCCGTCAAATCTGCTATTACGTTGGCCGATCAGCCGACCCTAGATCTTGCAGCCCTTCTTCGATGCACCGGCATCGCTTGTTAATCGCCAACCCCCCCTGTGTCTTCCCAGGAGCAAAGGGCAAAGGGAAAATACACAAAGTCAAATTTTGCTGGTGCAGGACGAGAGGGTGGATCAATGCAGGTTGGCATTTGAGGCCCAACCAGATGCACTCTTCCGAACATGACAGCCCGTTGAGCCACCACCTAGTTGCACAAAGAGCTCCGCAAGCTATGCCAGATCTGATTGGTTAGGGGAATCTTCAGCATCCCGGATTCCCTTTGGACAGATGTGATACAGTACTTTACTGTACTAGCATGCAGCTGGTGCTGCCAGGCGTCTTCACTTTCAGCAGAAAGGATATGAAGGTCAGTCCAGGAATCCTCTTGTTTGCGTTCCGGAGCCCGTTCCTTCCACCCCTCCCATCCCTGCCTGTTTGCATGGTTTCCACCCCCCTCCCTTTCAAGCATGTACCGTCATATGCACCTCTGGATCGCTTGTCTGTTCTAAATAATACTATTCCAACCCTTTACTTTCTTTGTTTTGGCTTTGAAGCCTTAAAGCACCGACCTTTCTTCCTGTTTGTCGCGATCTTGAAGTGAATACATTCAAGCTATCATTGTTCTATCCTCCACTCTTCCCTGCTCCGGACAATATTCAGGTCGGCACGTCCCTCATGACCGATCGATAAGTCCCTGTGAAGAAGTTTCTGCTATTGGTCGATCAACTCAGATCTCTCAATCGATCAATGGGCAGAGTGGTCAAGATGGGAGCCCCATTCCCAACACATCACCACGAAGTATACGAAGTATACGGCAATGTTGGAGATTTTGAGCCTTCACACATCATGACCACCAGAACATTTGACGAGCGACACATGCAGCCATCCTCTTCAGAACCCTCTCATTTGCCAATGTACGCAAGCCAGCAACAGGCGGAAGTCCACCCATTGCTCAAGCTGGAGGATCTGGACGAGACCGCCTACGAGGACCTGCATGCACACCACGAGGACGTCTTCCCTACAAGTACCCAACTACAGCTTTGCGATCTCGAACTTGAACCGACCTGGGCACCTCGTCAGCTATATCCGCAGTTTGTTGACAGTACTGTCGTACACACCCACGATTTCAGTGCGCTCCCTCTGCTACCATACAGCTCGGATTCAGTGTCGCTCACGACATACCCATACTTCGAAGAGCAGAGTGCGTGGCCTTCATCACCGGAATACGGCCAGTGCCGATCATTCACCGCAACGGAGGAAGACGAAGAGGCAGGTGATGACAAGCCGTACGCCAGACTCATCTACGAAGCTCTGATGCAGGCGCCGGGTCATAGGATGATGCTCCGAGAGATCTACGAATGGTTTCGCCACAATACCACCAAGCCTCGAGAGTCTGGATCAAATGGTTGGCAGAATAGCATTCGGCACAATCTCTCCATGAATAAGGTTAGCGAAACACATTCTGATGACCACGCGCACCGCCGACTAACTCTGACACAGGCATTTGAAAACGACAGGGACAGCGCCAGGGGGAACTCAAGGAAAGCAACTAGCGTCTGGATCCTGACCGCTGAAGCGATCGAGAACGGAGTGCAATCCACGACCAGGTATCGCAAGACTGGAGCTGGCAAAAAGCCACTGGGGGGTCGCACACCAGCCATTCAACGTCAAAGAGCGGGAGCGAAAGGGGGGCGAGCAGCGCGACATGCAGCCAAAAGGAAGTATCAAGAGCAAGGTGCTCTGACTGACTCGACGGCAACCCCAAGCCCATCGACCGCCTCATATTCCGATTGCACCGACTACCAAAGCTTTGACTTCCACGATCCCCGATCCACTGTGAGAAGTTGGCCAATGACCCCTGTGGAGCCGAATCTGGCAGCCGAAGAAGCGAATTTGCTCCGATGTCTGTCCCCACAAGGCACCTTGGGTTTCAGGGCACAGCACATTGGCAACGGAGAAGAGAACATGCACTTGCAGAATGCTCTCTTGCAATCGATGCGGGATCAACAGCTGGAAGAACTGGTCAGATTCCATGCGGACTGAGTCTGCAGCTGAAAGCCCTCTTTTTTCCCGGGGTTGTACTCATATCATTGGTTACCACGAAATGACTTGCACGAACAAACTTCAGCAGAGCCTGTGATGGATTGTCCGGTTCCCAGGGGGGGTTGGCATCAAGACAAGGGCAGTGTGGGCCGTGCAGCTGTGCTCGTTACGGTTTACGGGGGTGGTCAAGACAGGGCGGTGATGCCGTCAAGGAATGACGGTCGACCTGACTATACTCACATCCCACGCCACGAGATTTTTGTGGAGCTCTGCATAGGAGAATTGTTGCCACCCGGACGGACACACCCACGAGACCTTTAGTTTTTACGATTTGTACTATACCCCCCTTTCTAGCAAGAAGACAAATAATGCATTGGATGACAGATAACGAGCTGCAAGAATCAAGGAGAGACGAGCGCCGGGGGGTTGGGAGGGTTGAGGGTGAGCGTCTCTTGGCGAGGCGAGCGGGCGCCACTGCGGGTCTAGATTTTCCCAACCTGCATTGTCATTTCAGCTCAGAATTCAGAATCCCAGATTCTTCAGCGTCTCCTCTTGCTTGTTCGAGCGTCGGATCGGCGTCACGGAAACCTTTTTTCGTCCTATGAAATGTCCTTGATGCCCTGGTCCATGTGTTTGAGCTGCTCAGTCTCGCTACCACATGCCCACATGGCGTCAGGATTCTCCTCTCCCCGTGCCATCGACCCGAGCCCACGCTTCCTTCCCCGGTATGGGCTGTGCCGTGCGTAGGCTAAAGTTCGTATTGGCCCCCCCCTCAGAAGTCTTGATCCCTCCGGTTCACTTCAGCAGCACAACTCCCATCGACGAATATAGGCGGTCGGCGGGAAAACATAGCACATGTAGACGGCGCAGCGGAGGATTTTGGTGGAATTGACATTACGACTGCAAGGAGGAGGGGGACGCCCGTTGAGGGTGCTCATTGACAACCCGGGGATGACAACCCAAGACGTGTCAAACAAATGCCAGGCCAAAGATCCAATAACTCTTCACACTAATGCAGCAGACTGTGATGAGCGGACAAATACCCCGGTCCCTCCCCTCCTCCCCCTTGATCGATCTTTCAACTTCCTGGCTGTTGATTTTCCGGTGGCGTCACGATACGGGCCAGCCTAGAGCAACATGAGTTAAGTGCATCTGCCGGAACAAAGGACAGACACCAAGCCAAAGCCACCTCCTCGTTGTCAACTCCGCGTGCGAACCTGCAAGACTTCTCCTCCTCGCTTCCCGCATTGGCTCAATCCTACTCCGTGCAGCCCATCCCCGGCACTACTTGAATACAAGTCTTCGAAGCTCGTCATCTAAAGCACGGATCCGATCGGGGCGGCCAAAAGATCGTGCTGTCAAGATGGCACTTGTTGCCACCTCGCCTTGGTTGGTTTCGACTCGATGTCCTAATCGCCCTGAGAAGATTACTCCCGATCTCAGCTCCACAAAGCGGAATAATAGTGTTGGCTCCCTTGCATCGGTCCTTGCTTCAAGTGACTACTAAGACAAGTCCCATGCGGCAGAACGTGCCTCGAAATCTCGGTTTTGAGTTTGTGGAGGCGGAATATCCAATCCACTTGGCCAGGATAGGCTGCTGGATGGTGTGATCGAGCTGGGGCATCTGCGATTATCTACGGCAGCATGCGATCGATCTCGTCACGAAATTCCCTTTGCCATCCCGCTCCCGCCTGGGCTGGACATATAGCCCGACGTAACAAATTTCTCAATGCGGGCAAGCCTCGATGAAAAGAACTGGGCTGTCGGTTTTGGACACTGAGAGTTTCGATGCTTCTTCCTGTGCCAACCCGGGGGGGCTGAGAGACATGTCTTCGAGCCATTAGGAGTTCCAGCCCCATCTATTGCCGGGTAAGAGCCCATGTCGACGCACTTCTGCGAGGCGAACAAGGGCCAATCCCTGAACAAAAAAACTTTGCCTCTACCAAAGAAGAGCATTGGACGGACAAAAGCAGAAGACTACCCCTGGCTAGGATTTCCATCCTAATTCAGGTGCTCGCTCAATTCTCAACAACCTCCAACATCTTGCCACGGCTGAAGCTTCCGGGATGTTGAAACTATGAGTCTCTTCAGAGACATAGTCTCGCAGAACGGTCCACGCCATCTCCAACCCACGCCGGTGACAAATCTTAGATGGGCAAGTCCTCATGGGCCAGACATCGTTCTGTGGTCGAACCTTGAATCTTTTTGTCCACTTTTGGCGGTGACCGTACCATGCAATACCCACCAGATTCACTCCCTGGTTAGTATCGATTGAATCTGATAGATTCAACGAGGCAAAACAGCTTCTTTTTCCCGTCAACCCGTCATGCACGGTTCCGAGTATCCCTGCCCCAGTCAATTGTTCAGAACGTGCTTGACATATGCTGGGCAACGTATGACAATACAACCTGGGATTGACCAGATCAAGACAACCACAGAAGCATCCAGGGCAAGCCTTGGAGGGTTTCGCCTTGCACTGTACCACAACATCAAACGACAACCTCGCACTGTCGGTGCACACCAGGTTCCCCAGCCAGGGTTTCCGACTAATTGACATTCGATGCGCTCACTCTATTACTCTCAATGGTTGAACCACGAGGTCTACGCCATTCCCCTCCAATCCATTGGCCGAGCACATCTGTCAGGGTATCGAAGATCGTTCCTTCCTCGAGGTTACGAGTGCCCGTTATACCTCATAGTAAATGGTGTGACCAGCTCTGTCACCAGCAGAAACTGGTCTCACAGGTATCCCACCGCCCAATTAAGCTGACTAGGGAATGTCACAACACTTCTGGCGCCCCACGGACATCCTCGACACCATCATGGCAGCCACTGGTTTTGGAAAGATAACGCTCGCGCTTTTTCATGGATATGGATGGCGACATGGATTACAAGGTGGGATGAAGCCCTGCCACCTCTTCCCTCTCTCTCACCTCGAGAGGTCGAGTCTCGAATCTCGATATCATCCCCATCACTATTGAGACCCGGAAACCCCGCGGAATATTTTGAAGCTCGCGTTTCGGTCGCGACCACCAGAGAGTTGTGACTGAAAATCTTCTGTGGTACAGATCCGTCTGTATCACCATAGCCCTCGGCCCGCCAACCCCAGTCCTTTTCCCTAAGTATTTCTCTATTCTACACGCAGAGGGGGTGTGCAGTCCACTGAAGGTGACCCTCACATTCCCATGAACGCCGTGCCTGGCCTCGGATGCTGCTCTCCGAGCCGACACAGGATCTTTTCAATGTTCTCATGTCTCATGCCTCTCTGCAAGTGATGTGCCTGCCAGGGTGGTAACTACATGACAATGAGGTAGGACAAATGTGGCTCCCATTGCCAGACCAACTTGTTGGTTGATCCTCGAGTGGCTCGTCTGCATGGCAGCCGGCAGATATGACAGATTTGACAGCGGCATTGTGTTACCTTCCCACTCAAGAGCGCGATCTGATAGAGGTCCCTTCTTTGAGTCCCTGGAGGGTTTTCGAGTCTCGGCAATCAAGCATTTCTCACAGGAGAAATTACGGATTATCTTCTAATTGTCGTTCAACCATTATCTACCTGTTGGACAAGTGCTTTGCAAAGAACTTAAGATGTGAAAGCGCACGAGAAATCGGCCGCGGAAATTTTGCCTTGATTCCGTTCTCGTAAAAGCGTTGTGAGCCGTTGCGCGGTGTTACTACCAACCTTAACTAACAAGAATATCTTTGCATGCGAAGATTGATGCGCATGGAACAGGTGGTCTCTCAACCATCGCGCCGCTTGGGGCCAGATCGTGGCTGGTATCACTATTCCGCATCTGAAGTGGACGAGGCTGCAGGCATAATTGGGCTGTTCCAGGGTGAGTATGCGACGCACGACTCAATCCTGCTATACTGACACTTTGCAAGGTGGAATCGTGACCATATGCAGAACATGTTCATGTCGCGTACTGCCGGAAGTGTTACACCGGCTCTCACGATAGTCCACTCAGGACAATTCTAGCCCTGTTTCTCTTCCCAGAGTGATGCTGTCATCCAGATGTTCTGCGGAAACGATAATACCTTGTCACAATGGCCCTGTCCTGGAGAGCCAGGTGGACGGCGCCCAAATATTGCGATGCCGATCTCACCGACCTGTATGTCTTACGAGAACAAGCAACCACAGACTAAACTTCGGCGACTTCAGTTCTAGGGTATTGTCGTGATACTCGAACAATCCGGGCGCAGGGAAGCAGGAGCATGGAGGAGAAAAATGGTGCACACATGCCATAGGACTCTGCAATGACATGAGAACTGTCCGGGCTCTTCAAGGGAACAAATCACGCCACCTATGCTACTGGTACTTCGATCGAGATATCTCCTAGAGTTGAAACCACCTCGTAGTGACATTTGACCACTCGAATCGTGAAACTTGTTGTCTTTGAAGATGCTTCTCTTCCACCTGTCCGAAGCCTAGGTGACACAAGTGCAGCACCATCATCGTCCACACATCGGAATATTTTCCATTGCCATTTTTTGCTCTCCGACCATCGCCGTTGACCGCATGTAAGTTTCGGTCACAAGCAAGACGCCCCATGTCTCATCAAAAAGAATTTGGTGACGGTCATCTTCCCATCTCCCAGCTACACTCTTGGGAAACCCTGCTCTATTTCTTCCCCGTCTTCTTCTCCTGCGTCTCCTTCAGCACCTTCTTGACAATCTTCTGTTCCTCGATCAGGAACGCGCGGACGATCCGGTCTCGTACGCAGTTGCCGCATCTTGAGCCTCCATATGCACGCTGTACGGTCTTTTGTGGTCTGCTGGTGGTGGCGTACTCTTTGGGTCGCAGGGCGGGAATCTATAGAACCATCACATGGCTTTTTGTTAGAGAAGAGGTCTTCAAATCCTTCTGTGCGTAGATTGAAAGATTGGTTTGTGGGGGTGGGTGTAGATGTGCTGGTCTCTCTCCTCCTTTCAGCGGCTCATCACTTACACCTGGTAGTTTGACGCCGCAGTCACCGCATTTCGGGGCTGTGCCACGCTTC